TTTGGCCACACTAGTTTACTACTTAATCACAAAAAATTAATGATAATAAAAGTCTCATTGGTTCAAACATCATAATCCTACAATAACGATTTACATACTTCCTTCATTCGTATATAGTTGACTTATTAAGTTGATGCAAACAATAATTCAATTTAAGAAAAAGAAAAAGCAAAACTGTATTATATAAGAAAGAGAGAGAGAGATATGGTTTCTCTTGTCAGTCTCACACGCACATAAAAAGATTCCTCGTCTGACTCTACTACTAACTAGGCATCATTGGTCCAATTCTCTTTCTTTCTTTAAAACTAAAAACAAAGTCACCGGTATGGCCATCGCCGACGAATTCTCCGATGAAGACACCTCGCCGATTGAAGAAGTCCGTCTAACGGTAACAAACACCGACGACCCGACACTACCGGTTTGGACATTCAGGATGTGGTTCTTGGGTCTTATCTCATGTTCTCTCCTCTCCTTCCTCAACCAGTTCTTCTCGTACCGAACCGAACCGCTGGTCATCACACAAATCACGGTTCAGGTCGCCACACTCCCTATCGGCCATTTCTTGGCCAAAGTGCTTCCCAAAACCCGGTTTGGGTTGCCAGGCTGTGGATCCGCCCGGTTCTCGTTGAACCCGGGTCCGTTTAACATGAAAGAGCACGTTCTGATATCCATCTTTGCGAATGCGGGTAGCGCCTTCGGATCCGGGTCGGCTTACGCGGTTGGTATCATCACAATTATTAAAGCTTTCTATCGCCGGAATATCTCTTTTATTGCCGGTTGGCTCCTCATCATCACTACCCAGGTTCTTTCATTTAATCATTTCATTTTTCTCAACTTGTGTTATTAGTATATATTATATACAGCTAATGTTAACTTTAGTGAACGTCACCTAATAATTTACAAGATACGGGATTGAAAGATTATGACATTTCAAGACAGATAAATATATATATATATTTTACCTCTTTCCAATTAGAATTTTGGAATGAGATATGCAACTGAAATAAGTAACTTTTTTCATATATTATGATTTCAGTATTTATATATTTCAAACAGCTATGATTTTGTTAGAGACAAAAATTTGCATGCAATATAATATAGGTATTGGTTTAAAAGGAGAATTTGGGGTTTACGTTATATCATCGATCGGCGATGCTAATTCATATTTAAATGTTATCGATCGATATCTTAATTGATGTTGAAGTGTTTATTTACGCAATATTGAAGGTGTTGGGATATGGATGGGCCGGTTTGCTAAGGAAATATGTGATTGAACCGGCTCACATGTGGTGGCCTAGCACTCTGGTTCAAGTCTCACTGTTTCGGTGAGTTTTTTCAGTCTATTATAATACAATTACTAACTATTCCCTGATAAATCTACATAATATGCGGGAGAGAAAGCAACTTAATTACGATCACTTTTATTAACCCCAAAGTTAAAAACATTTTTCTTCTTCGTATCACTGCGTGTCGATCGAATAGTATAAATACAAGTCTATCCATATCTCTCTTCCCAAAAAAACATCCTAAAGAAAAAATAAATATCCAACGACAATTAAGACTATAGGGTATTATCGTATAGCAAGATTTTAGTGTTTCGAGTTCGGAGCATTCGAGTTTTGACTAAATTATTTTCCAACTTTCACACCTATCCCCTTGTGTAAATTCCAACTCTCTCAGCGATTTGGTTAGGATTGATACATCACGTACGTACGCATATGATGGTCTATCTTCACTCTTCACGACAAAAATATAGTGTATTTAATTATAAGTCAATATAGAACATAAATTACTCACTATATAATATTATAATGAACACTAGCCAAAACTATGGTCCACGGTTGTGGGCTATCCTTTGATCGATCGATCAATGACCACTTCTTAATTAGTTCTTATCCATTTCTACAAGATTAATTTGACCAAAGGCATAAGATACAATATCGATACATGTTACATGTATTGAAGGAGAGCAACGAATTTAGTTTAAAATGTTTTTTCCTATATAAGATGTGTAATGAATAAGTATGAATCCACGTGAGTCAAAAGCTGTAGACATGGCGGGGTTTTTGCGTCGACGTGAGTGTGAAACTTACGGACTCATTCACTCCGTGGTCCACAAATTCATTAACACTTTCACATTTCATAATCATGACAAAGGAAAAGATGTACATGTACATGACATCTACTTGTTAACGCCTAATAAAAATAAAATCATTTTAAGATGAACACGTTATCGTTTTATAATCAACTTTTTCATCTTTTTTTTTGTCGACAAATTAAGTTTTAAAAATTTGTAACAACAATAAATGGAGTTACTTGTTTAATCTGTGCTTGTAGTGGAGGTCGCACATGGTGGGTCTATCTATGCGTATAATTAATCAATGGGAGACTTTGAAAATTTTAGATGTTGACTACAAATTGTTATCTAATTATATACTACTACTACTAGTGATGACTAATTAACTATATGCACACTGTAAATAGTAAAGTGGGTTTCCATAGAATTAGGGGAACAATTTGTTGTAATGACAATTACATATATTCATATAGATTATTGTTTTTTTATAAAGAAATTGTAAATTGCATGTACGTAGGGCATTGCATGAGAAGGACGACCAACGGATGACGAGAGCAAAATTCTTTGTCATAGCATTAGTCTGCAGTTTTGGATGGTACATAGTCCCTGGCTACCTCTTCACAACACTCACAAGCATCTCATGGGTTTGTTGGGCTTTTCCAAGATCAGTCACTGCTCAACAGATCGGTTCGGGAATGAGAGGTCTCGGTCTTGGAGCCTTCACACTAGACTGGACCGCGGTGGCCTCTTTCTTGTTCAGTCCACTTATCAGCCCCTTCTTCGCCATCGCTAATGTTTTCTTCGGTTATGTTCTCTTGATCTACATCGTTCTGCCTATTGGTTATTGGGGTTTTGATTCTTACAACGCCACGAGGTTTCCTATATTTTCGTCACATCTTTTCACATCGGTTGGCAACACATACGATATTCCTGCCATCGTGAATGATAACTTTGAGCTCGATCTAGTTAAGTATGAGCAACAAGGAAGGATCAACTTGAGCATGTTCTTCGCTCTTACCTATGGGCTTGGTTTCGCCACCATTGCTGCTACACTCACTCATGTAGCTCTCTTCTATGGCAGGTAAAACAAACAACATAATAACATAGCAGCAGTCTTAATTTGATATATATACATATATATATATATATATGTTATTAGTCAAATCATTTTATTTAATTTTCATCTACAGGGAAATTGTAGAGAGGTTTCGAGTTTCATACAAAGGCAAAGAAGATATACACACTAGGTTAATGAAGAGATATAAAGACATACCTTCGTGGTGGTTTTACTCGATGTTGGCTGTTACACTACTTATCTCTCTTGCGTTATGTGTTTTCTTGAACGATGAGGTTCAAATGCCTTGGTGGGGACTTGTGTTCGCAAGCGCCATGGCTTTCATCTTCACACTTCCCATAAGCATCATAACTGCAACAACTAACCAAGTAAGCAATATTAACCAAATATTATTCCATGGCTAGTTTATACTTTGCAGTTACAAGCTATTCATTTTCTTTACGTGTTTCGCAGACACCAGGGTTGAATATAATAACAGAGTACGCAATGGGACTCATTTACCCGGGACGACCTATCGCAAACGTATGCTTCAAAGTCTATGGATACATGAGTATGGCTCAAGCTGTCTCTTTCTTAAATGACTTCAAACTTGGTCATTACATGAAGATCCCACCAAGATCCATGTTCTTGGTTCAATTCATTGGTACAATTCTTGCGGGAACAATCAACATAACGGTCGCATGGTGGCAATTAAACTCTATCAAAAACATATGTCAAGAGGAACTTCTACCTCCCAACAGTCCATGGACATGTCCCGGTGACCGTGTCTTCTTCGATGCGTCGGTCATTTGGGGATTGGTCGGACCAAAACGGATATTTGGTTCTCAGGGAAACTATGCGGCCATGAACTGGTTTTTCCTCGGAGGCGCGTTAGGACCAGTCTTAGTTTGGTCATTGCACAAAGCGTTCCCAAAACGTTCTTGGATTCCACTTGTGAATCTCCCAGTTCTTCTAGGAGCAACGGCAATGATGCCACCTGCTACCGCCGTGAACTACAATTCGTGGATATTGGTCGGGACAATATTCAACTTATTTGTGTTCCGGTACCGGAAAAGTTGGTGGCAGAGGTATAATTATGTTCTCTCAGCCGCTATGGACGCCGGCGTAGCTTTCATGGCGGTTTTGCTGTACTTCTCGGTGGGGATGGAGGAGAAGAGTTTGGACTGGTGGGGAACAAGAGGTGAACATTGTGATCTAGCTAAGTGTCCAACCGCTAGAGGAGTAATTGTTGATGGTTGTCCGGTTAAATAATCTTAGGCGGCTCCATTAGTGTGTTAAAACAATGTATGATGCACATTTGGCCATATAATTGGAGATGCATGGTGGAACACGTTCCATTGGAACTCAGTGAAGCTAAAAACTGTAAAACACAATGCCCATATAAAAGGATTTTGTAAAGGAAGTCTGATTGTATGATTCTATTCTTTTAGTTGCTTTGTTAACAATATGTAGTTTATAATATAAAATGGAAAGTTATAATATGTGTCTTGCGGTGTATTCGTTGGAGGTCTAGAAGATTGCGAAATTTGTCATAAAGAATGCTACTCGTTTGAAGACGGCCACTTTCTCGCCACAATCCAATGGTTTTGAAGCCAAATATAAGATGCTCAAGGACTTGGTATCTGTAGCTATGCCTTCAAATTCGTGTCAGCTTCTGTTCGACTAAAAAAATTAACCAAGAATGCACTCATTTTGGTTTTTCTTTTCCGGTTTCCAAAACAAATTTAATTGTAAATCAACTTTTACCGAAGTAAACAGTGTTCAACTTCAATACTAAATCGCCACGACTTTGTATAAAAGGAAACATGTTCAAAGACACCTGGTTGAGGATTAAAGCAACACACCCAAAAGACATCAACCTTGCATTATTTGATTAGAATGGGAAGGAACCCAAGTCTTACAAACAGATTACCCTTAATAAGACTTCAAACATATGCAGTTTCTGGTTTTGGAAACAAAATATTATTTGATAAAACCCCAAATTCTCAGCAACATCACAGCTGGATAAATTTTTAGATAAAACAAATAAGAAATGAAACACTTAGGCACCAATCACGGAACCGGAGTTCTTCCTGCACTCTGACAACATGTCCATGTAGAACTGGCATTTGCTAATCTCGGCTCCATAGCTGCTGATGCACTGCATTCATTTTTTTAAAAAGAACATTAATCAGTGACTTAGCCTTGGATTTGCCTTGCATACAACAATGAAAACGTAATTATCCGATGTGATTCAATGTTCGGAAATAAAGTGGCAACAAGGGAAACAAGTTCGAATCTGCATATGCTTCATCAGAGTTTAAAAAACTTAAGCCACCACTAATCCATAAATGTTAGCAAAGTTAAAACAGGTTTCAAAACATGTTCTATCATGCACTTAGATCTGAACAAATCAGAATCTAACAGGATACAGAGAGTGTGTGAGAGTATGATAAAAAGATTAAACACTTACATCTTGGAAAGCCTTAGCGTGAATGTCACAGGAACTAGAAAACATGTTGCTTCCAGCAGGGGCAGCAGATGCAGAGGCAGCCTCAACAGCTTCATGTTGAATGGTTCGTGGTCCCATCACAGAATCAACAGCCCTGTGCGCAACTGCACTTCCAGTACCAAAAGCCATACCTAATCCCCACAAAACAAACAGGTCAGTAGAAAACCGATTCAAGAGAAAACAATTTGGTATAGAGACAGGGGACATGCTGCAGAAAACTCAATAGATGAAAGAAAGACAAATATATTACCCTGAGCAATGGTAGAACCAATGCCTGAGAACATGCCACCACCACCACCGCTGGCCGGAACTGGAGCTGGGGGAGGTGCACGGTTTACTGAACCCAGAAAGAAAAGAGATTATAAATAACTGAATCAAGTGGAGTCATTCATAACTAAGATCAAAAAGAGACAATATCCGAGAATAGATTTCATACCAGGTTGAGGAGCTGGGCTGCGTGCAGCAGCAGGACGAGGGCGGGGAGCAGATCTTCCTGCAAAATGGAAGACAACATTAGAAAAGATCCCATACAAATAAATGGCATCCAAGAATGTAATGAATCACCAGCCCTCCTTACCTCGAACATTCTATAAATTGCAAACCAAACAGAGGCTAATAACCTAAAGATGGTTTCATTACATCTAGTAAATATACGATGGAAAAATTCAATTCAATCCCAAGGTAAACCCTAGATCGGTGCGCTACAGGGCATAAACAAACGAGGACCAAAAACAAAACAAGAAGGGTTTCTTCATCATCCAAAACTAAAAGCATCAGATAGATCTGAAAAATCGGAAAGGGAAGAAATATTTTACCTCCTGAGCTACGGCGACCCATTTTGATAGAGAGCGAAGAAATGAAAATGAGAGAGAGAAAGAGCGATTAAGCAAATGGGAGGAGATTGTCAAATAGCGCTATTAACCCAGCAATATTATGTGGATGCGGTTACTTATAAAGGAAATAAAACTGAGTCGGCTACTCGACGAGGTCAAGACCACGCGGATATGTACACGTGTTTTATTTTCATTGGTTCTAAGTTGATAATCTCGTAATGTCTCGTTCATTACATATGTCCCAAAACCTAAAACATAAGAAAAGCCCAACAAAATAATGACAAAAAATAAGAAAAGCCCACTAAATCTTTACTATTATTACATGCATGCCCATTAATTCTTCTTTTTGGGCAGTCACAGGTCCATCACATTTTTAATTTTTAGTCAAGCAAAAGAAACATAATTACAAGACTAATCATCCTCGTACAAAATAGAGCATACAAACTTGTAATAAAAAGGAAATACATAATAGCCTTGTCTTGAATAGCCTTGTCTTGAATGCTTTTTTTTGGCTCCCCATCTGATTCTGACCCTGTCTGGTAGTTTTATACTCCATAGAAGATCTTCATCTTTTGGATGGTAACCAACAAACGCAGAGTACAAAATATACGAATATCCAACTGAACACTACACTCATGAGTCTAGAAGATAAACCCATATTTCAGAGTTTTTTTTACGCCTTGTTACACTGGATTTTAACGCATGTAAGTCTTAAATTTATTTCATCATTATTACTGACTAGATTAGTGTAGATCAAATATGTTTAAAGTCTTACATTTCAGCTTATTTGGTAGTTTTGAACCAGATAGAAGAAAAGTACCGAGAATATGATAAGCCAGTGAAGGGTCTCGCAAAACCATCAGTGACAGGTTAAGGGTAACAGTTTAGTGGCCTTGATTTGGAACTGTGTAATGTTTCTACCATTTTCATAGCTAAAGAAGGTGAAACAAGCTTAAAAAGAAAAAAAATTCATGTACAAAGCAATTCTGCGCAAGTTTCAACACTCCAAGGCCAGAAACATATGACCCATTGTTCTCAAATTTTCATTTTGTAAAGATTATTCTCTGCTAGATATTTTTGTGAAACCTCGGTTTCTATAGCAGTGACTTTTCCTCTAAACTCCTTTCAATCCAGTCTCAGTTCCATGTTTAGTAAAATGTGTGATACAAGACGAAAGTTTTAGGGAAGGCATTGAACTGATTCCATCAAAGTACTTGCAATGAAAAAGATGTTGTACAAGAGTTCAAGGATCTAATAAATAAGACAAAGATTAAATAAAACAAGAAACATGTGAGAGCTCGTTTATTTTTTTTGGTTATCTGTATGGTGATGGTGACAACTGTGTGGTTCTAGTTTAGGTTGTATCTTTTGATCAATGATGTTTCACCTGTAAGGATGAAGGCATGAAGGAGGTTTTGAGCAGCTTGGGTTTGATCAGGTGTCCCAGATATGACTACGATCCTGTCACTTGTTCCTAGAGAAGGTTCATGTACTATGACCCTCGCACCCGATATCTGATTGAACAAACATCAAATGGTATAGCTGATGAGCATCTATGCTTAAGCTGTTGTGACACTATCTATTCGGCTTGTAGCTGATGATCTCAGACTATGTGGTTTATATAGTCTATTCCGTTTCTAAACAAGGACCAAGTTGTAACACTGGATAAAGGTTATAAACAAAGGTTGGAGAACTTCAGTGGAGTTTTCGTGACTTCAAAGTTCAAACAGTTTTTTTCTGAGTAAATTTATCCATCAGTGAGGATAGTCCTATTGACCTGGATAAGTGGTGGCAAGATGGTTTGCACTTTGCACCATGTAAATTTGTTTTTACGTATAAGGCTATTTTTTTCTCATGCTTTCTTCATAGTAACCTAGTGTTCACTGTCGCTTTCTTTTTAGCCGTTGTTGATTCTTGGTATATGATTCAAGAAATAAGAACAGCCAGTGAAAGATAAAACCTATGACTGCTTTTGTGGAGCAAATCAATCATGGTCTAACTTTCTTTAGATGGCGCTATGGGGTAAACCAAGAAAAGTTTTGTAACAAAAATATGTTGTACCTGTTTCAGTTGCTCCAGATTGTGGCCATGCTCTCCATACACAAATCTCATAGCATTTTCTGGAACTCTAATTTCCATCGTTGTGTTTGTAACGATAGCAGATTTGTGTCCACTAGAAAAGACCAAGCCAGTATGTAAATTACACAAAGTCCAGAGTAATTATCTCATAAAACTGTCTATAACTGTAGTGCTTTTACCTGCCAAGTGGATGGCCAGCCCTTGTGGAAGATAATCCACCACTGGCATCAGATAAGCCTCTTGGAGCTGCCGGTGGCTACATAAAAACTATGTGCATCAGCTACAGAAGTTAAATAGAAGCAAAAATGTCCAAAATCTGTGTGTGTAGGGGAAAAATATTAACTTTCGAAATCTCTCAGCGAGTATCAACAAGTACCTACGTACACCCAAAAGTAGAAAATATGAAAATTCAGAGAGATGGAGACATACCGGGGACACCCACAAACGAGATGGGGCCTCAGTTAAGTGATGGGAGTTATCACTGTTGTGGTCCATGGTGAAACGCCGACCAAAATTAGGAGAATAGCCTGCTGCGGGATTAAACCTATCAGGAAACGGGTCTTCTGGTCTTATGTTGGGATCTATGCCAACATGTCTGGAATAGTTAACTGAAGAATGAGACCCGCTTAAAAAGGAATCATCAGATCTTCTGTGCAGACTTGAAGAGATGAGAGGTGGATTACTAACGGATTGATGAGACCCAATAGACAGAGGTTTATCTGATTGTCCATGGTAGATTCTCTCTGTAGTTAAGGTGGAGCTGCTCTTGGTTACAGAAATTTTCATTGCGTTGGAGAAGAAACTGTCTCGGAGCCTGCTCGTAATATGGAAAATGGCTTCTCTCACATTAGGGAACTCTCCTGAAATCTATTTTCCAGCAAAGAATGAGTTTATGACAGACAACTTAAGAAGACAGACAACTTAAGAAAATGGTGCTTACAAAAAGGATGATATGACAGTGTCCAGTAAAATTTAAATGTTTAAACAATCCCGAGTTAATCCTTCAACCAAGTTTAAAACCAGTGCAAGAATTTAATTATCTCTGTTTGCACATGAATGTTGTTTCAGTTTCTTTCAAAAAATATTATAGCTAATTACTACAGAGTAATGACCGAGAGAGAGACAGATCTAAGTACCTGCACAACTTGATCATTCTCTGAAACACATTTTGGGTTCTGCTCAACCTTCAAAATTTGAATTGTAGCCCCAGTCGTTTTCCGCATTTCTGAAACAATAACACCTCCTTTTCCCAGCAAACAACCAATCTGACTTGTTGGGACAACAAGCCGCGCAGTGATAGATGTCATTGGGCCATTGTCTAGGATTTTTTTAGTGGCAAGCTCAAATAATCTAGAAAAAACAAGCATAATAGCTTTCTGGGCTGGCGAGGTTTGACATTCACGGTTCTACATGATGAACAAACAGCAATTATTAAACAAGAATATTAAATAGATAGAGCAATACTACTTAAGCATCCATGAAACGGAAGAGAGAGAAAAAAATAAAATAAGACCAACCTCTGGTGCAGTTACTGCAATCAAACGTTCTTCGCAGTCAGGAAGTGTATTTCCCACATTTATGAAAGCACCTGTTTCGCTATGAAGCATCCTGATAACTTTACCCCCAGTCCCAATAACTCCGCCAGCATTTTCAGTGGAACAAAGTATCTTAAAAACCACATCTTGGTTCACTACATCGATTTCTGATAGAGGTGGCTTACTGGTGGCAGTGTTAGTCATTGGAGCAGACGTAATGATGCTGTGAGGATGTGTATCAAGAGTTGAATAACGATGTGCAAGAAAATCAGCACTAGGTCGACAAAGAGTTTCTTGGGGGATTGTTTCAATAGGCCTTCCAAAAGCATCACGTGGAAATGACTCAAAGGGCATGCCCATAGTATCACGTTGAACCATCTCGAAAGGTCTATGCAAGAAATCATGAGAATCATCCCTCTCTCTATACTGTCGAAAAACATCTCCCCTGACAGCATCAGAAGGCCTGTATAACGTTTCTCGAGGAACCATATCAATATGCCTGCGTAAAGCATCTTGCTGGTCCGCCTCCATATGCCTTCGTAAAGAATCTTGCTGGTCCGCCTCCATATGCCTGCGTAAAGCATCCTGCCGGTCTGCCTCAACATGCATGAATAAAGCATCTTGCCGGTCTGCCTCAATATGCCTATGATGCAAAGCATCGCGTGGAAGTGGAATCACATCATTTGGCCGACCTAAATTGCCCCTAGGAAACATCTCGTCTTTTCTCTGTCTATAATCATAAGGGTTAACTTCGACGGACCTAGGAAGTGACTCCTGAATGATTGTTTCTATGGGTCTATGCATAGATGCTTGGAACTCTTTTTCAAGGGGTCTGTTTCCGACCACCCTTATCTTGTCAACCGATTGACAATTTTGCAGGCAGCGGGAGATAGATACGAGAGCTTTCTTCACAGCGATAGCATTTCCTTCAATCTGCCATAGTTGATGACTCAAAATGAGAAACAATACATTACAATCTGCAAAAACAAGCATCTATAGAGCGCTAAACCAGGTTTCAGCTCAAACCTGTTCTCCAAAGAGATGTTCACAAGTTTCTATTTCAGGCAAAAAAATGTTCTAAGGACTGATAAAACTTAAATCCAAATCATAAACCTTTATGACTGATAAAACTTGGATCCAAATCCTAACCGGAAAAGGGTAACTAGACTCCAAAGAAAACAGCTGAGACGCAAAATTTAGAGAACTCGGTTTTGAAAGATGCCGCATTTTTACTTCAATTTGAATTTGTACCTCCACCATCTCGTCATAAGTGTCGGCGCAAATCGGCAAATTCTCAGTCCGTATCGCAATTTTGCAGCCAGTTTCTTTCCGAATACTGCCCACCATTTGACCACCTTTGCCTATCACAGCACCCGCATGGCTAGACTCCGTTAACAATCGGCACACGACCGTATCACTATCCGCTTCCGCAGCTAAAAGTTCGAAAACTCTAATCAACGCTCCTTGTGCTTTAGATACTTCAACTTCCTCCTCCTTCTCCGACTCTGCGTTTCCACTGTTATTAACTCCTAATTTTACACTTGATTTCGAAACCACTTGTGCGATGATCGTAATGACCCGATCCGGAGATCCAAGCGGAGGCTCCTCCACCCGTATCTTAGCTCCGGTTGATTGTTGAAGCTGTTTGATTACGCTTCCAGATTTTCCAATCACCGCGCCGACTTGCGACAAAGGGCAGAGCAATCGAAATGCCGCATGTCCTACCGGAACAACCAGAGGCGGGAGCGGCTGCGTGTGATGCGTTTTGACCCTCTTCGAAGATCCGAAACCTGAACCTGGATCGAACGCTGCGGATCTCTTCTCCGTATGAAAATTATAGCTATTTCGCTCCATAACCTCAGCTCTCTCTCTCTCTCTCTCTCTCTCTCTCTCTCTCTCTCTCTCTCTCTCTCTCTCTCTCTCTCGTCACGGCGGTTTCCGGCGCAGAGGACTCGTGAGAAGTCTTTGGCGGTCTTTAACGCTAAGTTGGTAACTTGTGCCGAATAACCGTCTTATGTAACGTTTATTTACGGGTAAACCGAACCAGAACCGCATTATGTAACGGTTATCCATCAGCAAACCGAACCGTACCTTTAATTAATCCTTCTCACTAAAACCGAAATCTAATGACTATACCAGATTACCAGTTGATACACAGAGATACACACGGATCTAACCTTCCTAATACCAAATGTTATAACTTATAATCAACAAGATCTGATATCGATCTATTATTATTTTTACACATAAGAGTATGAAACAGAGGAAACGCTTAAACTTCATAGCCAGGATTCACAGTCTGCTGCACATCTCCATAGCTTTCAAGCTCAGCAACATCCTCTACGCTCCCAAGAAACAGAGGCAACCTCTGGTGAAGCTTCACCGGCTGTATCGAAAGTATTCCTCTTTTGCCATCAGAGGATTTGCCACCAGCTTGTTCCACCAGAAATGCCAAAGGGTTTCCTTCATAGACTAAACGAAGATGGTCTCTTGGATTCATAGCAACTCCACCGTATAAGATGGTCCTGTGAAGATCAGCTACTAGAGAACAAATGTAACGTGCCGAGTATTTCTTCGGGTTTTCGCCTTTGCCTTGTCTCACTGTGTCAATGTACTTCCTTAAACCTTCTGGCCAATCAAAGTACCTCGCATCGTTCACTGAGTAAATTTGTCCTGTTGTTGATGATACAAGGAGCAATGATCAATGTTCAATGCAGGTGTTTTAGTGTCATGATTACATTGATTAGGGATATTCCAATGGATCAAGTCATGTGCCATTCGAAGCTTTTTACCTCGAGTAGGGATCTTGATGTTTTGATGGGTAAGAACAAATTCCCCTGTGGAATGATCCAGCGTGAAAGCGTGTGTTCCCGAGCCAAGTGTAACGCAGAATATAGTGGCTGAAGAGTAGAGCACGTAACCAGAAGCAACAAGCCTGTTTCCTCTCTGCAAAGAATTGAGCTCAGCTTTCTCTTCAACAGGTAAATGATCAAGCTCAACGAGGCGATTGTAAATCCCGAATATAGTTCCTGTGGGTATCGAAGCATCGATGTTCCGTGATCCATCTAGAGGATCTACAACCACAACGTAAGGACCATCATCTTTGATCCAGGTTGGACTATCGTCTTCTTCGGAAGCCATTACTGCTACTTTCCCAGAGTTTCTAAGAGAGGACAAGACGATATCGTTCTGCAAAACAGAACAACAACTGTAAGATATAATCTTTATAACAAAAGAAGAAAGGGTAAAGACATACGGACCGAGACAATATCGAGCGGCTTAGGCGCATCTCGGTCTGACCCACTAGAGGATTTAACAGATAGCTTTCCCAGTGAAGAATTGAAAGGAGAGGCGACAAGAGAAGCGATTCTTTTGCAGGCATGTTGTAAGTGGTAAAGCAACACCACAAGATCATCTCCAACATTAGACCCTCCTCCTCCTCCATTGCCTATCAGAAAATTTCATAAAAGTATACACACAAAATTGGAACTTCAATCAGAGCTGTGTATACAGAGGAACCCTCAAAAGTCAAAACCCATTGATAAGCTTTTTTCTCATTGAGAGAATTTCCAAGACTTTAGATGCTAAAGTCAGGGTAATTCCACTAAAATCCCGTATTTTCGGGAAATAGATTGACACAGAACACCAAAATTAACTTGAAATATCGAGACAATGCTAAGTTCGCTCAGGCAGAGCAGTTTGTTACCTGCAAAGTCTATGAGCGTACAGTAACCATCATCATCATCTCCGGTCATAGTCCTACCAATGGCGAGGGACTTAAAAGACGCAGACTCACGGCGAGACGCCATCTCGCGACGGTTAATACCGGCGGCCGGAGTTGAAAGAAGAGAAACTGCGATTTGCCTTAGCGGGTAAAGATGGAGTCTTGGCGGGGGAATTGGAGTTGGGTACCAAGTTATGGTGAGAGATTGCATTATTCTTCTGGATTTAGAGCATCTGTGACTGTGAAGCTCAATCCCATCTCAGGATAACGAATAGAAGATGATGAATCTCCCAGCCCCAGCCCATAGCATCGACTTGCGGTTACTTTTGGAATTGAGATTCCGGTTCAGTTATGAACCGGTTCGGTTATAAAGGCAAAGGAGATGCCTTTTGGCATCAAATTATTCAAATATTCAGATACAAACAGATTCTCTGTTACAGATACACAAATGATTGAACATTGAACAGTTACAGAGTATTTTTCCAGTTACTGGAAATTTTCATTCTTATGAAGAATTCTTGTTGAGCAGTTGGTCAGAGACGACTTGAGGCTTGAAGTCTGGCTTTATGTACTTAGCCAAAAGGTCGGCATAGACTTCATATCTTGCAGTCATTCTAAATCCCCATTTGTCTTTGTATTGCCGGCAGAGATTGAGATCCATGTCTGAGATCATTAACCCATCTTTGTAACGGGACAGGGACGGAGTGCAAGAAGCATCCGGTGCAGAGAAATGGCTTGACCCATAGAAATGCCCGAAATCATTGTGTTGTGGTTTTCCATCGCCTGACGTAAACGGATTGGGGAACACTTCGGTTCCAACTCTGTTGATGGATCCAACAAAGTAACTGTTTGCTATCGCTGCATTTCGTGCCTGAGATTTTAAGGAACAGATTGACTTTTCAGACGGTGTTATTTCAGAAAGAAAAACTTCAAACATGAATGAAATGGAGGATCAAAAGCTACACCTCAATAGGCCACATTGGTTCACTGAGTCCACCAACAGTTGCTGAAGGGTTGAAGACAATCTCGGCACCATTTAGACCAAAAGCTAACCAATTTAGAGGATGGTGTCTTCCAAAACATATATTGACTGCAATTTTCCCAAACACCGTCTCAAACACAGGGTGGCCTGTGTCTCCTTCCATGTAATATGTGCTTTCGTTGAAATCTCCTACCCTCGGTATGTGGTTCTGCCACCGAGCAATCAATAGTAATTAGCTGACAAGAGACGACAAAGACGAAGCAAACACTTGACATGTAGTGCAAATTTACCTTTCGATGCTTGCCAATGATATTTCCATTATTCCCTATAATCACAGCGGTATTCCAAATCACTTCACCATGATCAATATCTCTTTCAAGAATAGGACTCACAATCACCATGTTATACTTTTTAGCGAGTTGTTGAAGAAATTTTGTAGATTCGCCATCGACAGGCTCTGCAAACTCACACCAATTCCTCTCCCTAGTGCAAAATGCAAATGGCATAGTCCAAGCTTCCTATCGGTAAAACCATCTCCCCAAGATACGATTAAAAACAATTAAAGTAATAACTTTGCTATAAAAGGAAGCAAATGAAGACAAACCTGTAAGCACAGTATGTTAACATCAGCAACACCCGCAGCATCGATTATCGGCTTCAACTTGTCGAAAATTCCTCTTTTCTGGTCCGAAAATGGAGCAGTTGTGGGAAGAGCGATGGAGTTTTGAATGAGACCAACTCTGACCACTCGAGGCATTCTCATCTGCTCTTTATCAGCTGAAAAGCTAACAGCCTAGGAGAAATATATATACAAAGATCAAATGAAAACATTTTCTCAGTTAGTTAGGTGAATGATCTGATCTTATAGCAAATATAACAAACGGAGTAATCAACCTGAAGATCAAAATCATGTTTTGAAGACAAGGCTTTTGCAGAGTCCGGCAGAATAATCTGCTCAAGAGATCTCCCACAGTTACGTCCAAGTAGCAATCGGCTGACCTCCTGCAAATCCAGTCACAAACAAACCAATTCTTTTTCAATTCGAATCAACCTAAGTAAAGCAAACACTTGAAACCACTAGTAATCCATAAAACCATCAATCGAATCATAGCTGGTTAATCAAGAACCCTAATTTTGAGTAAGTGGAACCAATTTCACGAGATCAATCAGAGAAATAAAGAAAGAACCACACTTCACCTGAAAGAGCTCCGGCTTAAGATTCGCTGATAAGAGTTGATGCAGCGAGTCATAGCCACAAATCGATCCGTCTGGAGTTGTTTCTCCGTTTTCTGAGATCATCTTATCTATTCTTCCACGAGTCTTTCTACTTACAAGTTCGATCAAGATGACGATGACTTTTACAACAACAACAATGATCAGTTTGGTCACTTTATGTACTAATATTCTTGGAATCGGAATCTTAAAACAAATCGAGTTTGTCACATGGGGTGATTGGCGTGGCACTGCAACGGCTGTAATATTATTTTACCGTCCTTTTTATTTATTTCCGTGTATTTTACAGTTCTGATTTGGGCTTACATGGACTGTAATCAACTCACTAAGGCCTATATTAAAGAATTTACTTTGTGCAAACATTGATATGGGCTTCGGCGATGGTGTGTTTATATAATAATTGCGATAAAAAGACCAAAATGCCATTAACAAAATCGATCATGTAGCCTAGTTGTTCCGGCTAATGTAACGACGGTGGTATTGTTATTCAACTCCTCGTTCGTCTAGATCTGTATTTTTACTATTTTAGCAATAAGATTTAATTAATTTACTCTACCGGATAGAGAGGAATTACAAAAAAAAAAAGAGGAGATATGGTAGGCGGACGCGGCGGAACTGGTGGTGGTGGTAACAGAGAGGAGGCGGATCGGTGGCTTGTTACATCGGAGAAGCTTCTAGCGTCTAGTGATCTTCAAGGAGCCAAGACATTTGCGATCCGCGCATGCGAAGCTGACCCGACCCGAGCAGAAGCTGCTGACTACATCCTCGCAATCTGCGACATTCTTCTCGCCGGAGAGACTCGTTTAGGTCATTCCAACTTGCCGGACTGGTATGCCGTGCTCCGCCTCGGTCGTTTAGCTCAAAACCCTGAACACGTCGCGACTCAGTACCGTAGACTCGCTCTTCTCCTCAATCCTTCCGTTAACCGTCTCCCCTTCGCCGATCGGGCTTTCAAAACCATCTCTGATGCTTGGTTCGTGCTCTCTGATCCGTCCAAGAAGTCATTGTACGACCGAGAATTGCAACTGAGTCAACTTGGCCAATCTGGTTTCCATCCCCAAACCCAAACGCAGCAACAATTTCACTGGAAACCTAGCAATTGCACCAACGCAGCACAAGAGCAGCCTTCAGCTATGTCGCAGAGCCAGGCTGGGACCTCGACTGATCCTATGGCCACGAGCTTCTGGACCGCTTGCCCTTACTGCTTTGTACTCTTTGAGTACCCTAAGGCTTACGAGGAATGCACTTTGAAATGTCAAGAATGTAGAAGAGCCTTTCAAGCTGTGACGATACCAAAACCTCCGGTGGAGGGGAAAGACGACGAAGATGTTTACTTTTGCTCATGGGCTTTGTTTCCATTAGGGTTTTCCGGTGAATTCAAATCCCCCAGTTGGTCACCTATTTCACCTCTCTTTCCTTGTCCGCTGCAAAGGGTGGATAATGAATCAACCCTGAAGAAGAGAAAGGAACCGGCTCCTCCAAGAATTTATTATGATGATGATGACATATATGTCGCTATTTCCGATGATGATGAGGCTGGTGACGATAATGATGATTGGCGAGATGAAGTACAAATGAATAAGAAGGCGAATGCTGGGAAAGGGAAAGAAACAGTTGTGAGAAGTAACAAGAGACATGGAGTTGAGAAAGTCCAAAATGTAAAAAGCGTCCGTAGTGTTGGCAATGCCACAGTTTCAATTGCTTCAGATGCCGTGGCTGTTGGTTCCTCATCTGGGTTTATGTCTAAACCGGTGAGTTATATTACTAGAAAACGAATGGGAACAGGAGCCAAGAACCTGGGGAGGTTGGATTTGAATGTGGAGTTCAGTAATGAAGTGGAAGAGCCTGCTGTGGCAGGTGGGAGAAACGAAGGCAATGGGCTCGGAAGTAACAGGGAGGTAGATAATATGGAAGGGATTGGGTTCTTTGAGGGCCTTGATGAATTCTTGAATAGTTTGCCCATACTTTCTGTTGTTGGAGATGATAAGATCAAGGCTACTTAGTGAAGTAAGGCTTTTTTTTTTCTTTCTTGGTTTAGGTTGCGATGTTCCACTCTAGGACCTAGCTTTTGTCTTTCCTGTTGATGTTTAACTGTAGTCGAAATGCTGGCATTTTGATTCTTTGGAATCCCTGTAGTTGAAATCTGTTGATGTTATTTTGCCCAACATTCGGATGTTTTCTTCCCTTTTTGGTATATAATCTTCTGCTTCCGAGTTCTGAGCATTGTATTAAGTATCTTTTCTTGGCTTAGAGTATAAATTCTTAGTAGCCAAGTCCTTTTTTTTATTGTAAAAAGTGAGTTATTTATTCTGCTCAGGTTTCTTTTGTTGGACAAGAATTATGTTTCTCCAGCTCAAAAGGCCATTATGCAATATAGGTGTGTACATGTCGTGGTTGCTGCTTCTGTCTGTTTCTGTTCATTCACTATAGACATTTTTGTGTTCTTTGCTTTCTGGACCGAAAACGAAGTGCGGTAAAGTGGCAAAACACACACTGCTTGCTTCTTTCATCATCTATGCTTTGGAAGGTAAGGCAAAACACACATTGCTAGCTTCTTTCATCATCTATGCTTTAGAAGGTAAGGAAAACGAGTAAGCAAGCTTTTTTTTTCGATGGTTTCTTTCTGGGGTCTAAGCCTCTAAGGTAAAAGACCGGCTTTATAGTGACTCTTTTTGTGTAATCATTGTAGCTAGGTATTCTCACGTACCTGTAATGAGTGTATGCAGAAACAACAAGATACAGAAGCTATTCAAGCATGCTATGTGCACGTTATCTGGGTTTTTACATGCTCCAGCTGTGCTCCAGTGAATGTTCTATTATCTAACTGATAAAAAGCTTGCTGAAGCCATCAATGATGAAACTGTTTAGGCTAGGGTCCATATATTTCTGTATAATCTGCTTTTCTCTAGTTGTGGTGAAGACAGTTCGTTGTGTCTTGTATGTATCTATTTTGCTCTGTCTTCTTGACCATTGTTTCTTACTTATTGATAACATGTCTTGTCTGTATGTTCCTTTTTTTTTTTTTTTTTTTTTTTTGTCATCGTCTGTATGTTCCTTTAGTTTGCTGTTTGTGCTTGTAATTTGTAGATTTCACTGTAACTGTTTCCTTTGCTATAAAATCTTAACATTAAAACCAAAAAAAAATAAGGTGAAGGTCGTCCAAGGTCGTCCAGTCCTTGGCTTGAATTTGAATCCGGATGTCAAAAACAGATACACAGTACACGGTAATTTTGGGCTCGATTCTGCTTTTTAATACGGGCCGAAATATCATGAAATTTGTGTCTTTGATTATTATTTATTAGGCCCAGATCAAGCAAAACGTGGATAAATAACAAAAGAAGAAAAAAAAACGGCAGAAGCACTCTCTCAGACCCGAAGCTGAGACAAAAAGCAAAACAGTGTTGTAAAGAGAGAAGAGAAGAAGAGATGGGTGTGGAGAAGCAAGTCATCAGACCCGGCACCGGTCCTAAACCCACTCCCGGTCAAACGGTTACCGTTCATTGCACCGGATTCGGTAAATTTTCCTCTGCATCATGTCTTTGAAATTTCCATGGTATCCAAAATCGATCTATTACAAATCTGCTTAGGTGAAGAGCTAATAACTGATGCCCTGTGGTAGGAAGGTAGTCACCTGTTTTGTTTGTGTCTCTGTGGTGAAATGGATTTAATTTAGGATTTATTTACTCTTTTGGTGAAATTTTTGTTTGTTTTGCGATCTCTTTTTAGCTTTTGTAGTTTTTAGGTTTAATGGAGAATCTTCTAAAGTTTTTTCTGTTTTATCTTATATAGCCCAGTTCTTCAGATTCTTATCTCTCTTGTTTTCTTTCAGGGAAAGGTGGTGATCTATCCCAGAAGTTCTGGAGGTAAATAAATGATTCTTTCATGATTCAAGGATCAATTAACAGATAACTTTTGTTTCTAAGAGTGTTGTTTAATTTGGTATTGGATAAGCCTGAATTGTGTTTGGCTCTTTGTTATATGATGATATAGTACAAAGGATGAGGGGCAGAAGCCTTTCTCGTTCCAAATCGGTAAAGGTGCTGTGATCAAAGGTATAACTACTTACACTTGTGTTTCATGGTTGATCGTATCATATTGTGTGGCTATAATTTCCTTTTTGGAGAGATCATGTGACTCCAACTTTGTAATATTTGTTTACAGGATGGGATGAAGGCGTTATTGGAATGCAGATTGGAGAGGTTGCTCGCTTGCGGGTATGTATACCTCTTCTCTCATCATGTTCCTTTTTCCCATCTTTTATTCTTGCATCTTCTTGTTCCACTTTCCCATTTTTGGCCACCTATACTTCATGGATTCTAAACTTTTTTTTTACTAGTGTTGAAGCACATTTGTCTCTAATGATAAGCTACTTAGAGCTTGCAATAGTATATGTCATTTGTGTGTGTCGTTATGTGTTTCTAACATCTTCGGCTTGCGATTTTATCTGTTTCTGCAGTGCACATCGGATTACGCGTACGGCGCTGGTGGATTCCCGGCATGGGGAATCCAGCCAAACTCGGTTCTCGACTTTGAAATCGAGGTACTGAGCGTGCAGTGATGATCTCCCCAGCTCCAAAAACTGTGGGAAGATTATTAATCTCTATACTTGAATGTTAAATTAATCAAAGAGGTGACAACCCTTTTTATCTTTATTGCTTCTGTGATCTTTGGTGAAACAAACTATGTGATGCCATTGCTCTTTTTCTAAAACTCTTAAACAACGTTTGATATCAATAAAAGACCCGATCTTGTGTTTCAAGCGAATGTTTGTATTATTGCTGTGTTTATTATGAGACTATTGTTGCGTCTCCTCTTTACATTTTCCCTACTAAAAAATGTGAATGCTTAGGATGTGTTTTTTACTAAAATAAGATCACAAATACATGACTAGAACATTCTAATTATCTTGTAATAATTCATGTGTGGATAAATCGAAATGCTTCAATTAAACCTACAGATTTTGAATTATAATTTGGTGGATTTTTGTTTTTGTTTTTTAGATTATTTGGTGGAAAAATATCTTTTACTTTTTCAATCAAAAAGCTTCACACACAAAAAAAAAAAAAAAAAAAAAAAAACAGAAGAATAAAAACGAAAAACGTCAATTTTCTCTCTTTGAAAGTATCAGATCCAAAACAAATATTGTCTCAAAGCAAATTGTAGATATAAATATAAAATAATGAAATTTGAAAAGAGCACTAGAATATTTTTTTTGATCAAGAGCACTAGAATATTTTATATGATATAGTTTTAAAGTTAACAAAGAAAAAAAAAAAAAGAGAAATGCGAGAGAGAGAGAGAAGTCGTGCGGGTAATTAAGCACTTAAAATTCCCGTGCATTTCTTTAATCATCACTTTTTTTTTTGGTTCTTTTTCTTTTATTCATTTTTCATTGTTACTTTTCTTTTCCTTTTCACCCACATTCCCCAATCACATAAAGACTTTTTTATGATAATATTATTTTAAAAGAAATTAATTCTACATTATATATATATATTTTTTTAAATACGAAAGTGCTGAGCTAATTTTGGCGTTGTATAAGCTAGATGCTAATCAGATGCTAAAAAAAAGAAGCTAGATGCTAAATAAATAGTCAATTAAAATTAAATAATAATATAAGGGGCGATTAGCTTTTTCTTTTTCTTTTCCGTCACAATGGGTGTTTGAAAAACACAACACGCACCTGAATAAATGTATTAAAAACAATATAATTAAGGATGAGCTTGACCACACTTTCACTAACATAGCTTTCAATGAAATTAAAAATGTAACCTGAAAATATTACTAATATTTATTTAGTAATTAACTATGGTTATATATATATATACTTTTTAAAGCTCGACCACACACTTTCACTAACTTAGCTTTAAAAATAAATAAGAGAGAAAACGTATGGACTTTTTACTTTAACGAATAATCAATAAAGTATATCATTTTTTTTAATTGGTTTAGGAAAAAATGAATTATACTATAATTTAATGATAAAGTATAAACCTGAAATTATGGACCGTGAGACTTTGTCATCATATATACCATAATTACGTATATACACGTTCGGCCCCCTTGTCCCATTTCTTTCAAGCCAAGCACAAATTAAACTTGCCACCGTTTTAATTTACAAGATTAATTTCCAAGTAACATATCATCCTTTCTTCTTTTATATAGTTTTTTTTGTAAAATATTTCTCAATTGTATAACTCAAAAATATGTAACCTTTTTCATTTTTTAGTAAGAAAATATACGATAAGGTAAAATTTCATTTGTAGATACCGAACCAAACCGGGAAAAATGTATACACAAGAATACAAGATAAGGAGTGATTTGGTAAAATAAAGTAGAGAAAAGGGTAAAAACGTCATAGAGTCTTTTTTTTTTTATAAAGCCTTGCTACTCTTGTTGCCCACTCACCTCTTTAGAAATATATCGTTAAATAAAATTTCTACGTTTACAAATCATTATTGCTCGTTGGTCACTTTCATCTCTCTTATCCCTTCGCTTTTCCATTGATTCAGCTCAAAAAAACCCAAAACAATTCTCATCGTTTTCTCTGGATCTGAACGAAAGATCGTTCCTTTTGTAAGGTATCAGTTTAAATCTTTCTCCTCTTATAGTCTGGTGTCAGTGTTTACTCTGTTTGTATATTTGGCTGGTTTAAATCGTTACTGAAATGGGAAAGCTCTGTAATTTAAGTCTGAATCTATAATAGCTTGGGACATTGTGATTTGTGTATATTCTGAGTTTCTGTAGTAAATGTACTGTAACTCTACTGGGACTGAAGCCTTGAATATACTCGATTGCTAGATGCTGTATGTAAGTTAGGCCTTCTGCTATATTTTCATTAGATGCATATAAATCTTTGTCCTTTACTGTTGTGATCTCTGGTTTTAGCCCATTTTGTGGTGTTGTTGAGATGCTTCCTTCGATTTTGCAGAGATACTAAAGTAGATTGAATACAGACAGTGGATGATCAGAATCAATTAGAGTGTATAAGAGGAGGAGAAAGAGAGAAAACAGCATGTGTATTGCCTTATACCGTAAAGTTTTGCGCTTGAATCTATATTGCCGTGTGATTCTGTAAATTGTTTCACCTTTGAACCAACGCTTCAAGAGTCAAGTCCTCGTTTTTCTTATTCATCTTCCCTTCATTTTAACCGCTTTTGAAAAATGGGATCCCAACATTTCTACGTGTACCATTGTGAGCAAAGAATCAGCTAGACAGAGAGCTCACTTTCCTTCCTCGACAAAAGTTTCTTCCTTTGGTTTGGTTTTTGTATACTTTCTTCATTCTAAGATTTCCTCGAAGTTATGGTGTGCCAGTCACCCGGTAAGACAAGATTTCGAGCATTGAAGTACGAGACAGGAAACGCCAACAAATCAACTATTGTAGTGAGAGTTATTGAATGCTATCAACCGATGGATAATTGCCAGGTTTGTACTAGACAATAATGCTCTCATTTATCACACTTTTGGCTTATAGTTTTATTCTTTTAACACTGTGTGCCATTTTCTTATTTGTGTGTTCCAGGCTGAATACTTCAGACTTCTACTCAAACCAGTCACGTAGTTGGTTCGTGATTCTTCGCTATATTTTCAATCTGGGATCAATTTTTCGTTCGTTTTTCTTTTACAATTTTCTCAAAAAGGGCACAGGAAGACTGCGTTCACCCTATTGAGCAACTTAACAGTCGGTATGTTATTTTTTCCCTCATTACTTCTCTATAAGATTGTTAACTTTATCTTTCTTGAGCTGATTTTTGCTTCTTTTTTCTCTGCAGTGTAGTACTATTTACAAGTTCCCTTGAGTTCAACTGGTAGAGCATGCCTCTAGATATGAGGCAACGGGATTTGCCTCTGGGCTTAAGTCCAACTTGCTTTGAGGATATAGCAGGTCAGTCTGTCCATCCTGGAATTCCTCTCCCTGAGCTTGGGAAACTATACGCAGCTGAGCTTCAAGCTCGCTGTTTGCAGCCACCACCATTCCAGTCTTTACTGTGCAGTCAGGATAAGGAGTCTTGTGGAAACCGATTCTCACTGTCTGAGATGCGGTCTTGGTGCGCTGTTGCTGCTGCTACTACTACTCCACATGGAGCATTAGAGTCTTCTCAAAAAAGACTTGTGATATTCGATCAGATAGGAAATCAGACTCGTCTAATGCACTGTCCATTTCCTCTACGGTTTCCATCTCACAAGGCTGTGGAACCAGTCAAACTCTCTGAGTTACACTCTCTTGAGAAAGCTGTCAGTGGAGATAATGAAGAGTTTGGTGAGAACCATTCAAATGGAAAAGAGTCAGAAATGCATGAAGACACTGAGGAGATCAATGCATTGCTATATTCAGATGATGATTATGATGATGATTGCGAGAGTGATGATGAAGTAATGAGCACTGGTCACTCTCCTTATCTTTGCAACAAAAGGAAATTGGATGAATTTGATGGTCCTTGTAAAAGGCAGAAACTACTGAATAAGGATAACAAAATCAGCGAGTCATCATCACTTGTGGGCACTAAGAGTTCTACAAAACTCTATGGGTCGTCCTTTCTTAAGGACAAAAACATCTCGACCAAGGAAGAAACTGGTTCTGGTATAAGCAACGAGCAGTCGAAGAAAGACAAGATCCGTACAGCGCTGAAAATACTCGAGAGCATAGTCCCTGGTGCAAAAGGAAACGAAGCTCTCTTGCTTCTGGACGAAGCAATTGATTACCTAAAGTTGCTGAAACGAGACTTGATCTCCACAGAGGTTAAGAACCAAACCTCCACCACTCACAAGTCACCAATCTTGTTGGTTAAAGAGACAACATGGGGAACAAGAAATCTGCAGACAGATAAGGCTTGAAGATTCTCACAAGTTGAAACGTGTGAAGTGGTTTTTGGGTACGTATCATCTGCTTTTTAGCTGTATATAGTGGACTGCTTTAAGTATATATGCTGGTGCAATTTCAAAAAGTTAAAGAAGAAAAGAGGTCACTTTCTTCTTCTCTGTGTGTGGAAAGAAAAGCCAAAGTCCTCATGGTCATTGATCGACAATGATTATCTTTTTTGGCGGAGTGTGGATGGTGAAATCAAAAGGCAATATTCAAAGTCTCATCTCAAACTCGCGTGGTCTATGAATCTCCCCCCTAAGGTAATAAAAATATCTCTGACCCACTCTCTTTTGTCTATATGATGACTGTATGGGTCCATGTTTTTATGAATATGTCATGTTCATGTAATTGGGTGGGGTAATATAAGTTAAGTGTATGTAATAATGCAAACTATTCCTTGGGTCTTTTTGCTTCAACCCACATGTTACTGGTTTTGTTGTGTCTGTTTTGTTGTATTTTCAAATGATTTTGTAATAAACCAATGAGGTCTTTTTTGTTCTGTGTTTCATAAAAATCGTTTCTTTTATCACTTATTCCTCATTAGAAACCAATAAGCATTACAGATTAGGGCCAAACAAAAGCTTTTTCTTTCCAAAGAATCAAAATCAAGAAGATATAAGACCATCACTTCAAGAAATTGAGTTCCTCCATCGTCTTGGTTTCCTGGTTGGTTGTTGATCAACTCCAGCTTGTTCTCCTCCGGAAGACAAGTCATGACTCTCATGTCCACTCATCTTAGTCAGTTTACTTAGCTTCTTCCAACCGCTGGTCCAAGCGGAAGAAGACGGTGTGTTCTTGACTTTCCCCGTCGTCTTCTCAAACTGTCTCTGCATCACTTCCATCTCGTTCTGAAGCTCAACATATTTGGTCTTCACGGTCTCTAACTCGAATTTCAACGTGTTAATATCCTTCTTTGCCGCAGCCCACCCTTCCTGCTTTCAGAGGTTGGAAATAGAATTAAAAACATGCGTGGAATCTGTTTGGAATCTTGACGAGTCATTTCTCTTACTTGCCTGAAAAGATTGCGGTGTTGCGTCGATCAATGTCTTGCGATTTGGGATCATTGGTTGATATGTACCCATGGCTTCTCCCAACGTGGTTGACTCCTTGAGTGATGTATTGGCCAAGGCATTGCTGATTTTGACTTGCTCCGAGAAGAGAACTTGAACCACCACTCGCAATGGTAACCGCTCGTTCTGAGCCGCGTGCATACACGCATCCATCGATAGCTTTTGACAGTCCATCACTCGGCACAGCCGTTTCCTCTCGTGTTCCGACAATGTTGGATGCGCCTAACACAACAAAAAATACCAAAGCATCACTCAACAGTGCAAGCAACAAGATGGACCTTATATTAGTCATCATAATTATAAAGTAAACCGGACAAAACAAATGTTTGTCAAAAAAAAAAAAAAAAAAAAAAAAAAAAAAAAAAAAGAAAAACCGGACAAAACAAATAAAACCCAAAAGTCATTAATTAAACAAATCAAAACTGATTTAATTCTTAAATGATCAAAAGTTTTTTTTTTAAATTTAATTTGGAAATAATCAGATTAACATAAAACGTGGAATAATCTGGAATTTACCAAAAAGACCCTTCATATAAATACCTTGAGATATGAATCAATTGCTCTGTACAGTCCATCGTCACAAGTCCGAGCAGATTCAGGCAACGCCTCAGCCAAAACCTGAAACTTCGTCAACGGCAAATTCCGATCTCTAGCAACTTCTGTAAGATAACTATCCACAAGCCTCGCCACTCTCATCTTAGCGTTCTGAGTATTACCACCACCGTTATTACTATTCCCTCTCGGGATCCCGGCTTCGGCGTACATCGACTGCGACGGCGACGGTGACATTCGGCTCGGACTCGACCCTTCCGTCTGTTCTTGAACAAGAAAATGTTCCAACAATCTCTGGACAAGATCAACATCGTACATTGTCTCTCCTTTGTTGTTGTAACCAGGAATCAAAAGATCTTGTAGCGTTGCTTGTTCGAATTGCATCCCTACACGTTTCTCAAGCTCTGTGATCAACGCCGGAGCCACTTTGAGCATACTGGCTGCTCTGAGGAGACGTAGGAGGAAGCTACAAGAGACTGAATCTTTCTGTGGAGGGATTATGCTGATTAAGGATTCGACGATCATGCGTTGGTCTTTTGGGCTTATTCCGATTCCGGCGAGACAAGCGACGGAATCTTGATGTCCGTTTGTTTTTCCGGCGGATAGAACCATGTGTAGTCCGCCTTTCCAGTCGGGACCGGAGCTTCCTCCGCTGCTGTTGCTTCCGCAGCTTACACTCATTTCGTCCCCTCCTAAACCTAATCCTCCTCCTCCTCCAACGGCGGCTGGGGCTACTGCAACTCCTCCTTCTTTAATTAAACCCGGAAGCCATTTTCCGGCGTAATGCATTATTACAGCTCCGAGGAGTTCAAATCTCATACCTTTCACCTGTTTCAAGAGCCTTAGTTGGAGGATTGAGATATGTATATCAAGTGTTTGTGAAAATGCTTATCAGAAAACAATCCATGTACCTTGATTGCAGTGATTACACGAACGAAATGATCGATTCTTAAGATAGAGACATCTTCGAACCACCAATCAGGAGGAACAGGTTGGCTATTCGTGTTCCTACTCGGGCTACAATAGAAACTTGAATCCTTTGATTCGTTCCATCTCGGACTAGAACCTGCGAAATTTGTGGTTGATGGAGATGGAGTTTTTCCTGTGTAAGCCCATCTAATCCCTTTTGGATTACTACAAGCTTTCCAAGCAATAGATTCACTACACCTCCTTACAATCTGAAGATTCTCAGCCCAAGGTGAGAGCTTTTCACAGCTCTTTAGGACCAAGATCGAGTCTCTCCATGAAGACAGAACCACATAGCTGAGAAAGGCTTCGGTCTTGAAGATTAGATTCCCTTCCTCAAGATCCTCTGTCATCTCGAGATACTCAGCTGCACAACGTAATCCTGATATGTTAGTTGCCGTGAGATCCACGGGAACTCCATAGCAGAATTTGGATGCAAGCTCAAATGCTTCTGGCCCTCCGGGTAGATCATCAAGAATAAGGATCGTCGGGTCAGGATCTCGTGACTCGTAGATCAATCTGTTCATCTTCCCGCTACGTGACAGCAACGGATACTGAAGGAAGGAAACAGAAAAAAAATTTCTTGATGTTCCAACTTAATGATAAGATTGATGAATGATGAACATAAAATTATTACCTTGTGTAGGTGGAAGTTCATGTCACCGATTTTAACCAGAAGATCGCTGGGGATATCCGTAGCAACAAACCTAATCAAAAGCAAAGGTTATTTTTATATGTATTAAACTTCCTTAACAAGGAAACATGTGTTTTGCAGTGACTGTATAGTTGAAAGCGTGAGAGGAGATATTACCAAGATTGGCCTCTAAGCTCAAAACCATCAGTCTTGACGCCGCCATGCTTGTTAGAGCTCAAAACTCCATCACCTCCGTACTCTCTTCCACCTCCTCCTCCAACTCCAACCCCGCCGTCGCTCTCAGATTCCCACATGATTCACAAATTTACTCTGTGTAGTTGGAGGAAGCGCAAGTAGGAGAGGATGAGAAAATCCAAGTGAAACCAACTGTTCCAAGAGTAGAAGAGATTGATTAGTTTTGATTATAAAGATGAAAGAGATATAGAGAGAGAGAAAGGAGACTAGAGAGGAGATATTATCCCCACATGGGATGCTTGGAGAATTGGAGCTTTCTCTGAATTGTCTATTTTCTCAGAGAGATTTTCAAAACCAAAGTCTCTCATATATCTACACAGCCTGTGAAGTAATGGGCTTAAACTCTATGCTTCTCAATTATCATAATTTGTTTTGTTTGAACTTTATAGTTTAGTAAATATAATTATTTGCCCATTCTTTTCATATAATTCAAGATATATAATTCTATCTGTCTTTTACTTAGATTTTACAAACATTATTAGATTACTGATGACAGTTGTAATATGTTTTTTTTTTTTTTGGGTCAGTGAAGATAAGAGTTGGTTAAGAGGAGGAGGAAACAAAAAAAAAAGGGAGGGACAAGTTGGGGAGTGAGTGAGTGTCATTAACTATGACAAAGCCTTGTTCCTTCTTCTTTGCCTGTCTGTTTTTTGATAATGTTGGATCCTCTCTATGTACATTGCATTTAACTTTGTTTTTGTATCTTTGCTTCCTTTTTCCTCTTTGAGACTTCTCTTATGGGTCCATTTCCCTAATTTTCTCTTCTCATTTTTTGCATATATCTCCTCTCACTTTCTTTCAAATTATTCCTCTCTATGTCCCTAATTTCTCTTCATGTGTTTTTGAATGTGGTTAGCTAGGACAAATTTTTACAAGTTACAAAAAAGTAAAGTTATGAACACATTTTTGTTTTTTAAGTTATGAAGACATTTACACTTAAGTGACTTATTGGATCCAAAACGCACTACTTGATTGGTTTGGTTCATCTAGCTAGTACTAGAGATATTAGTATATCATATTTACGGGCTTATTAATATCATACTAATATTACTTCACGAGATAGTTTTATACATTCACAATAGGTTTTCAATGGTTGTTGGTTGATGACAAAAACAAAATAAGGAAGGAAAAGTTAGAGGAAATATTAAAAGAGAGCATTAAAAACAAAGGTTGTTCAGACATACATAAATGGAGGATAGAGATAGAAGAAAGTGGTCCATAAGAATGTCAGCTATGTATATTTAGTAGCTATCCTTCTCATTGCGACTATATGTAGATAGATCCATGAGATCTTCATCTAAGTAACTTTGCATTTTTAGAATGGTAGAGTTAGTTGCTGTGTTTGATCTAACCAGTGTGATCGAGTAGTTAGATTACAACTTAATTAGATCTTATTATAAGTGTGATCGAGTAGTTAGATTACAGAATGATTAATGAAACACGTTTTTAATATATACAACTAATTATTCTTTAGTTATATTATGATTTTGGTTTCGAATCACATAGTAGTATAGTACTATAAAGAAACATGTACATATGATCATGATTGATGGTCATATTCAAGAACCAATCCAATCACCACGTTATAACTCTTACCTCCACATATATAACCCATGGCCATAATTATAAAATGGCCACATATTGATTGGATTGTTGCGAGCGATTAAAAACATAAGTGCTCTTTTGTTTTTTTTTTGTTTTTAATACACAAAGTAATAATGTGATATTTTATATTATATATATATATATCACATTAACATTTATATGCATACAGCATATATACATATATAAAAAAAGTTTGCATTATTGATGATGGTGTTGGTGTTGGAGATAAGGGTGGCGAGTGGCGACATCGCCTTCGTATGTTAAAAAGCTACAAGTAAAATTGTCGGTTCCAATCAAACCGGATCTACTCACCCGACGGTCAAAAGGAACCGTTAATGATGAAATCTAACGGTGAGGATCAATCCAAAGTCACTTCCGGTTCGGTTGTTTTTAAAGACGAATATTCGAACCCTCTTAAGCAGCGAGAAGGTTTCAGGGCTCATAAGGGTAAATTAGTAAATAACAAGTGTTCTAACTTCTAAAAGATGTTCTTCTCTCTCATCAGAACCTGAGAGAGCGAGGTCTCAGTAAAATCCTCTTTCAGAGATTTAATGTGGCGTTTATGGTTATGCTAGCAAGATCAAAGCTTGCTCTAAATGTGAGCAGAAGATCACAGTCTTTGCTGAGAGTCTCCTATTACGCGGTTCTCTCATCTGGATTCTGCGGCGGCGGCGATGACGTCGGCGGTTCAACGGAAAACGGGGCTGCCGCTTCAGCCAACGAATGGGAGAAACTTCTTAAACCATTCGATATCGATTCTCTCAGGAATTCAATCCATAAGATCACTCCTTTTCAGCTCTATAAGCTACTTGAGTTACCACTCGACGTTTCGACATCAATGGAGTTGTTCTCATGGACCGGTTCTCAAAAGGGTTATCGTCACTCCTTCGATGTGTATCAAGTGCTTATAAGTAAGCTTGGTGCGAATGGTGAGTTTAAGACTGTTGATAGATTGTTGATGCAGATGAAAGATGAAGGAATCGTTTTTAGAGAATCTCTTTTCATTTCGATTATGAGAGATTACGGAAAAGCTGGGTTTCCTGGACAAACCACGAGATTGATGTTGGAGATGAGGAGTGTGTTTTCCTGTGAACCCACTTTTAAATCTTACAATGTTGTCTTGGAGATTTTGGTTGCTGGTAATTGTCACAAAGTTGCAGCTAATGTGTTCTACGATATGCTTAGCAGAAAAATCCCACCAACGCTTTTCACATTTGGAGTTGTGATGAAAGCTTTCTGTGCGGTTAATGAGATAGATTCGGTTCTGTCTCTGCTTAGGGACATGACGAAGCATGGCTGTGTCCCAAACTCGGTGATTTACCAGACTCTTATCCATTCCTTATCCAAGTGTAATAGAGTGAACGAATCGCTTCAACTTCTTGAGGAGATGTTTCTGATGGGTTGTACCCCTGATGCTGAGACGTTTAATGATGTTATCCTTGGTCTTTGTAAGTTTGATCGGATTAACGAAGCTGCTAAAATGGTTAACCGGATGCTGATCAGAGGGTTTGCTCCTGATGATATAACTTACGGTTATTTGATGAATGGACTTTGTAAGATAGGTCGCGTTGATGCTGCTAAGGATCTTTTTTTCAGAGTCCCGAAGCCTAATGTTCTCATCTTCAACACTCTTATTCACGGTTTTGTGACTCACGATAGACTTGATGATGCTAAAGCTATTTTATCAGATATGGTATCGTCCTATGGTATCGATCCTGATGTCTGCACGTTTAACTCGCTGATCTATGGATATTGGAAGAAGGGTCTTGTGGGTATAGCTCTGGAAGTTCTTCGCGACATGAGAAATAAGGGATGTAAGCCTAACGTCTACTCTTATACTATTTTAGTTGATGGTTTCTGTAAATTAGGAAAGATAGATGAAGCCTACAATGTTCTGAATGACATGTCTGCCGATGGACTGAAACTCAACACTGTTGGTTATAACTGTTTGATATCTGCTTTCTGCAAGGAACATCGAATCCCGGAGGCTGTAGAGATATTCAGAGAGATGCCGAGAAAAGGCTGTAAACCCGATGTGTACACATTTAATTCGCTGATATCTGGTCTTTGTGAGGTCGATGAAATAGAGCATGCCTTATGGTTACAAAGAGACATGATATCTGAAGGTGTTGTTGCTAACACTGTTACTTACAACACGCTGATCAACGCGTTTCTCAGAAGAGGCGATATCAAAGAAGCTCGTAAACTAGTCAACGAGATGGTTTTCCAGGGATCCCCGCTTGATGAGATAACCTACAATAGTCTGATAAAAGGACTGTGCAGGGCCGGGGAGGTAGATAAAGCGAGAAGCTTGTTTGAAAAGATGTTAAGAGATGGGCTTGTGCCGAGCAGCATCTCGTGCAACATACTTATAAACGGGCTCTGCAGAAGCGGGATGGTGGAAGAAGCGGTTGAATTTCAGAAAGAGATGGTTCTTAGAGGATCGACACCAGACATTGTGACATATAATAGTCTGATAAACGGTCTGTGTAGGGCCGGTAGGATAGAAGATGGTGTGGCAATGTTCAAGAAGCTTCAGGCTGAAGGAATAAAGCCTGATACGGTGACGTATAACACTTTGATGAGTTGGTTGTGCAAAGGAGGTTATGTTTATGAAGCTTGCTTGCTTCTGGATGAAGGAATCGAAGATGGTTTTGTTCCAAATGATAGAACATGGTCAATTTTGTTACGGAGTCTCATCCCCCAAGAAACACTGGATAGACGAAGGTTTTATGATGGCGTTTTCTGAAACTTAAAAGAGAACAAGTTTTGTATGGTTAGTGTAACTGTGGAATGTGTAATTTGCCGTGTAACTCTTCATTTGGTCATTGGGCTAAATTGTTTTTACTAGTAGACTTTGTAATGTTTATGTATACAAAAAAAATTCGGACATTTAATTTAGGCATGTTACCATATATTTCTTAAAGCAGATTACACTTTTCTTGAAACTATTGCAACTTGTAACGTGTAGATCATGATGTTGTTTCACTTAACAGTTGTATATCTCTTCATATTGTAACTTGTAAATGTAGAGTTATAGATCATGACTTTGTTTAGCTTGACCCAAGAGTAGTAGTCATTACGCTTAGTTTGCTTAGCTAGTTATTCTCATAATTAATTTAGGCATGTTACCTTACTTTTATCATGAACTAAATTATACACTTTCGTCATGATTCTGTTGCAGTTTACCGTGATTTTGTCTTTTGGGTTAATTTTTCTTTTATATCAGATCATATTAGTTGAATAAAGAATATATCCATAATTTGTAAAACTGATAAATCATAGATAAAAATATTGGATAGGTACAACGATCATAGGAGTAGATCCTGATATATAAATATAAAATGAAGAGAAAATTAAGGAATCATGGTCATCTCTCTAAGCAAAACTCATAATAAGTAGTAGTATATATCTTAAAATAAAATAAATAAAATAAAATAAAAACTCCTCAAATCAGAGAAGAAGCTTCGTTCGTCGGAACCTAGATAACAAAAACGGCGGCGGTTAAGATAAGAGCCACAGAACCGAAGACAGCGTAAGTGTTGGAAACGGCGGCGCCCTGAGAAGGACCAGGAGCTTCGGTAGGAGAATCGGAGATCATGGGTGGAGATAAAGCCGGCGAGTCAGAGGTGGGAGAATCAGCAAGAGGAGGAGAAGGAGGGGAAGCGGATGAATCAGGAGTCAATGCATTGACTGCGGGAGAAGGAGAAGGAGAAACCTCAGGTGCAGAAGTAGTAGTAGTAGTAGGAGAAGGAGCCGGTGATGAGATCCGTCTTCCTCCGACTTTAGATGGAGCTGGAGCTGGCGACTGAGCCACCGCTGAAGATATCAAAAGAGCTGCGAGAAGAACGAATCCAAGAGATTTCGAAAAAGCCATTGCAAAAGAGAGAGAGAGAATGAGATTCGAATGAAGCTTTTGTTGTGTCTTTGGTAAGCTTTATTATTCTAGAGTAGTTGTGTTTTTTTTTGCTTTCAAGTATTATGACAAAACTAGGAGAAGGGGTTTGTTTATATAGACAAGGAAGAAGTGTGGGATGCACTGTTTTTACGGGGTAGGGTGAATCTCAACCGTGATATGAAAAAACGAGGACCGACTTAGATCTAACGGTTGATAAATATCATATGCTACAGAAGAAAACAGGGTGTGAGACCTGAGACGAGACGACTAGTCAGAAAGAAAGAAAAAGAGAACGCGGTTGGCTCAAACCTTTTCTTCTCCCCCTTGACTACGGCGCTAACGGCTCTATGACAGCTGTTGATTAGTGAATCACAAGCGTACACGTGTTTGGTCGCATTGACGCGTGATTTGTGTAATATGGCCGTTGTGTTGTGTTGTGATGATTCATGATATATTATTATTTTTCTTAAACGGTCGACTTCTTTGGAAGCTTTGGTTCCACATGGTCCACTCTGTTCCTTTTTTTTTTCCATTTTTCCTTTTTTCTTATGCTTTTCCTCTTTCTTCTTTTTGAGTTAATAAAAATATTTATATATAGATGTTCTGATTTGATAATTTTTATTGTTTAGTATCAATCCTAATTTTTGCAAGATAGCAAAAATACTTCTTTGCTTTTGCCTTGAACTGTTGTTGTTGTTCAGAGTTCAGAGTTCAGACAGTGTTTTCCAGTTTCCAGGAGAGAGACGTAAACTGAAACTAGAATGCTATATATATAAAAAAAAAATATGAATTTTCACTTATTTTAAATGTTAGAAAAAAAGGTTTTACAACGAATCAACCAAAAGGATGATGACACACTTCAAAGCTGGCCTCTTTTTCACAGCTCCACAACTATTCTCAAATTCAGACAACAACAACTAACAAATGATGAAAAAATTTGTAAAACACAAGAATTGTAGGGAAACAAATAAATCAGACATTAGATTAGAACATAAACCACTCTAATCAAGTTTCTCTGACAGATCAAAAGTCTTTTTCTTCTTCTTCTGTGTCAATTTCTTTCCTCGTTCTTCAAGTATTGTATCTATATTTCTTGATTTGATTCTGTTCTTCATGGTTTTGCAAGCTTAGGACTCAGATTCAGACTCAGTCTTCTCCACAACATCCCCTTTGAACTTCAACCCATACATGTGACCCATCTTGGTCCGCTTTGTCTCCAAGTATCTCTTATTTTCCTTTGTGATGAGACTCAATAGAGGGACTCTCCCAACAATTGCTAACCCATATCCCTTCAGGCCTACGTACTTAGCTGGATTATTTGTCATCAACTTCATCGTCCTCACGCCTAAATCCCTCAGTATCTGCATATTCAAGGAGAATTAGTAATACACCCCGAAAATACATGTTTTCTTTCTTGCATGCTAATCCGAGCTTGGTTTATAATACCTGTGCACCAATTCCATACTCTCTAGAATCAACAGGAAGTCCTAATTCCTCGTTAGCTTCAACCGTGTCTCGGCCAGCATCTTGCAGATTGTAAGCTCGAAGCTTGTGTCCCAAACCGATCCCTCTTCCTTCATGTCCACGAAGGTAAACCAACACACCGCGACCAGTAGACTCGATCTGCTGCATCGCAAGAGCTAGCTGGTTCCCGCAATCGCACCTTGCAGACCCAAATATGTCTCCTGTGAGACATTCAGAATGAACCCTCACGAGAATGTCTTGACCGTCACCAATCTCACCCTGCCACAATTTCAAACAAATGGCTTTTGGTTAAATCTCATCAGATGTTCTGAATACAATTGGATATTTTCAATGGAGATATTTCTAAGCATTGCTTTTACCTTAACCATTGCAATGTGCTCTATTCCGTCTAATATGGACTTATAGCAGTAAGCTGTGAAAGGTCCCCACATTGTTGGGATCCGAGCTGCAGAAGAACGTTCTACAAGTTTATCTCTCTTCCTTCTATATCTGTTAAATTCAGAAACATAAAGTTCGTTCTTTAGCTTCAAGAAGCAGAGAGATTATAACAGACACAAAGCGTTGAAATTTACAATACTTTACCTGATCAAATCTGCAATGGAAACAATTTTCAGGTTATTCTCGGCGGCAAATTCACGGAGTTTTGGTAATCTAGCCATTGAACCGTCATCATCGACAACTTCACAAAGTACTCCAACAGGATCCAGTCCAGCTAAAACAGTAAGATCAACAGATGCCTCAGTGTGTCCAGCCCTTTTCAGAACCCCGCCGTCCCGATACTTCAGGGGGAAGATATGACCTGGACGGTTGAAATCCTCGGGCTTAGAATCTCTTGATGCAAGAGACAATATCGTCGTGGCCCTATCACGAGCTGATACTCCAGTTGTTGTACCATGTTTAGCATCCTGTGAAGACAAAGTATGATGAGCAAGCAAATTAGATAATCACCAGAAGGACCAAGATCAGAGGTATTTGAGAGTCTAATACGTACCACAGTCACTGTGAATGCAGTACAGAGCTTTTCTTCGTTCTCCTTCTGATTCACCATTAGAGGAAGGTGCAATCTCTCGAGATCATCATCTTTCATGCTCACACAAACTATCCCAGTTCCATGTTTCACAATAAAAGCCATAGCCTCAGGTGTTGCCAACTGAGCAGCCATTACCAAATCCCCTTCATTTTCTCTATCTTCATCATCCACAACCACCACAAGCTGCAACATTACCCCCAAAATCAGTCAATCGAGGAAAAACAAACAAACAAGAACATTTGAAGACTCTGATCTTCACAAAGCAAAAGAAAAACGAACCTTTCCTTGGCGTATATCTTCAATGGCCTCAGGGATTGAAGAGAAACCTGGTGTTGGTAAATCCAACTCAAAGTCATCATCTTCAGAAACAAATCCATTGGCTGGTGCAGGAGCTGAATCTGGAGCAAGTGTTCCAAGTGAAACAGAATCAGCCTGCAACGGTTGTTCGGTCCGATCATCAGCGAGAGACCCATTGGTGAATGAGAGCAGATCATCTTCTCTAGAGATCACTTGAGCCATAACTTTTCCAGTGGTTTTAATGGCAAATGATGATGAGTGGTTAGGTGGTAAACTAAGACGCTGTAGTCCATGGAGCAATGTAGTAGAGCTTTGGCTCAGTCTGCACAGAACCATACAAATCATTAAGGCAAAAGGAGTGAAGAAGCAAACAATTCGTTCAGTGAAAACAATATGAATCTCACGATCCATTCTAAGATCACGATCTAAGCTGCAAATTCGAATTGAATCTGTATTCGAGTCAAAACATAATCAGATTCCCCCAGAAATCAATTAACTAATTAAGAAAAACAAATTCGAAGGTTAGAAAAAGAAGAGATTTGGAAGAAAAAAGGCTAACCTTGAGCGGGAAAGAGAGATGGTGGAAGGAGACGATGACGATAGATTGATCGAAGACATTGTTTTATGAAAAAATAAAGAGAAACCCTTATCGAAAAATCAAAACTTTGGGGTAGATTTCTAGTCCACGATCTCCCACTTGGGTTCTTCGATTAGTAGGTGAGAGATCGGAGGCTTTATCAAGGAAGAGAAGAAGAAAAAGAAGAAGAAGAAGAAGAAGAAGAAGATGCGGGGGAAAGTGAGAGAGGATGGGTGAGAGTTGCGGATGACGATAGCGATTAGCTAAGCTCTTTTCTTTTTTAATGGCGGCGCAATTTGGGGTAACGAAGAAAAGAAGTAGTAAGAATTTGTATTATCTTTTGGTAAAGAGATAGATAAGGAAGACACTTGCTTGGCTCTCTTGTCTTCTCCAACCATTTCTCAAGCAGCCGCCTTTTTTAGACTTTCTTTTTCATCCTCGTTCTTTTAGTTATACATATGTATCAACCACCGTGACTAATGCTATTTGCTTTCAAATGCTATTTATTTGTTTTCTTATGTATAAATCTCTCATTATCTCTTTCATTAAGACAGAAGAAATTAATCATTTGTATTGAGAACTTGTGATCATAGTGGAATGATGTGCTAATATAAAGACTGTCTCTATTGTGGATCTAACTATGAACATTATTCAGTTGTATATGTATAGTTTTGCATATAAAATTAGCTCAGTCGAATTTCATATGTAACCAAAGATTTTAAACTGTGTAGTGAAAAACTATTAGACTATAAATAAATTCAACTAAACAGATCAGCTATGTCAATATTATTTGATTGATTGATTGATTATAATATATAGACACAAATATTACAATTGTTTTCACATTGGTGTGATCTATCGAATATCCATGCTAGTAACTTGATAAACATACACATGTTTCCCCGTTACAACTCGGAATCGGATTCCCATCATGTTCTTCTCTGTTAAGCACTTAAAGCTAGCTAGTATATGGTATGAAGAAAATGTCAAAAACTGTTAAGAAAATAAAAGGGCTTGTAGAAAATGTCCAAGATTCCAAATAATCCTTGGGTCGTCTTATGTATAAGTGATAATTGTAATAATAAAAAATTATTTGAGTGGCAGTCCATTCCCAAATTCCCATGAGCCATGACCATATGATGAGATACCAACCGCACATTGTTTGAGTGTTTCCATCCTCACTTCTTGGTCGGAATGGCCCATGCAGCAACATTTATGTGTAATCCGTGCTTCAAGAGAAAAAGATGCCTGTATTATAAATCATTTGTTTAATCATGTGTTTGCATCATACTATCATACTACTGTATGTACGTACCTTGGAAATGGAGTCATGGATTGAATGGGCACTAAAGAAAAAGAAAGAAAACAAAACACTGATTCGGTTCAATTGAAATATTGGTTCCTGGTTCGAATCGTCCGGTTTAAATTGAAGAACCGAAGACTTTTTTAGATTCAGTTTTTTTAATTTCACTTTCGATTCTTCCTTCCTTCACATGAATCACATCCACTCACCATCATTTGTTGTTACTCTCCGCCGGAATAAACACACTTCGCCGTCACTCTCTCTCTCTCTCTAATCGCCGGCGATGGAGAGTTTCGCTCTTCACTCTCTCTCCACCACCGCCACTTCCACCTTACTCTCTTATCACCATCACCATCCTTCACGTCTCTCTCTTCTCCGTCGTAACTCTTTGAGATCTCCGCCTTCGACAATCTCTCTCCGATCTCACTCCGTTCAACCTCTCTCCTTCCCTCTCCTCAAACCAATCCCTCGATTCTCCACACGAATCGCCGCCGCACCACAAGACAACGCTCCTCCTCCATCTCCGTCTCCGTCTCCTCAGTTGCCACAAGGAGCGAAGCTCGTCCCTCTGATTCTCTCCGTCTCCGTCGGTCTTATCCTCCGATTCGCTGTTTCCGTGCCGGAAGGAGTCACTCCACAAGGTTGGCAACTACTCTCGATCTTCCTCTCAACAATCGCTGGTCTCGTCCTTAGTCCTCTCCCAGTCGGAGCTTGGGCTTTCATCGGCCTCACCGCTTCCATCGTCACCAAGACGCTTTCTTTCTCAGCCGCTTTCTCGGCCTTCACTAGCGAGGTCATCTGGTTGATCGTTATCTCTTTCTTCTTCGCTCGTGGATTCGTTAAAACTGGTCTCGGCGATAGAATCGCTACTTACTTTGTCAAATGGCTTGGGAAGAGTACTTTGGGTTTATCGTATGGTCTCACGCTTAGTGAAGCTTTGATTGCTCCTGCAATGCCTAGTACTACCGCTAGAGCTGGCGGCATTTTCTTGCCCATCATCAAGTCTCTATCGCTCTCTGCTGGAAGTAAACCGGGAGATCCCTCTTCCAGGAAACTAGGCTCTTACCTGATCCAATCCCAGTTCCAGGTTTTTCCTTGTTTATGCGCTTTGAATCATGAGTTGACGTATCACTTCTGTTCTCGAAATTTGTATTCCTTGGCTCCAATGTTTAACTAGTAGTGCGTGCGATTTGATTCTGAGAAACAAAGTTTGCACTTTGCATTTTGGTCGAGTTTGTGTCTCAATCTGAGGGCTGCTTTGATGTTATGTATTATACTCGAGCCATCTCTTCAGCAGTCTCGATCATCAATACCGAACCTTTTAATGGCCCTCGAGGCTGCATTAGTTTAGAGTCGTGAAAGTTTCTTTCTTTTTGTTAGAGTCTCTGAGTATGTGACTTAGAGAATTTTTGAAACTTTTTAAACTCCAATTCTGCTTCTCTAATTCTGTTCTGATCTTTGACAGTGCGCTGGGAACTCTAGTGCTCTTTTCTTGACAGCTGCAGCTCAAAATTTGCTGTGTCTCAAGTTAGCCGAGGAGCTTGGAGTAGTGATCTCAAACCCGTGGGTTTCTTGGTTTAAGGCCGCTAGTCTACCCGCTATCATATCGCTTCTTTGTACTCCATTTATCCTTTATAAGCTTTATCCTCCCGAAACCAAGGACACACCGGATGCTCCAGGTATTGCTGCAACGAAGCTCAAGCAAATGGGCCCTGTCACTAAAAATGAATGGATAATGGTCGGTACAATGCTTCTTGCTGTCACTCTTTGGATCTGTGGGTAAGTCATAGATAACTCTCATGTTAATTTGAATCAATAGCGGTGGTTAAATTCTGAGCATTACATGGGCTAATACCATACGCAGAGAAACTCTCGGAATACCAAGTGTTGTAGCTGCGATGATCGGTCTCTCCATACTTCTTCTGCTTGGTGTCCTCAATTGGGACGATTGCCTAAGCGAAAAATCAGCATGGGACACGTTAGCTTGGTTTGCTGTCTTGGTGGGAATGGCAGGACAGCTCACAAACCTCGGTGTTGTAACATGGATGTCTGATTGTGTAGCCAAAGCTCTCCAATCTCTCTCCTTGAGCTGGCCTGCAGCGTTTGGACTTCTCCAAGCAGCTTACTTCTTCATTCACTACCTTTTTGCAAGTCAAACCGGTCATGTCGGAGCGCTCTTCTCAGCTTTCCTTGCTATGCATATAGCAGCAGGTGTTCCGGGCATTGTAGCTGCACTTGCTTTAGCTTACAACACCAATCTTTTTGGTGCTTTGACCCATTACAGTAGCGGTCAAGCCGCTGTCTATTATGGAGGTAAGTATCTAAAAAATTCTCGTCCATGAACAGAACAGAAAGAGAGGTCTATCTGTGTGGTAAAGTCTCTTATGTTTGTCTCTCTTTCTTTTTTCTTGCAGCGGGTTATGTTGATCTGCCTGATGTATTCAAGATTGGATTCATTATGGCGACGATCAATGCGATAATCTGGGGAGTAGTTGGAACTTTCTGGTGGAAATTTTTGGGTCTCTACTAAGAGTTCCACGGAAGAAGAAGTTGTTCTTGTTCAAAGGCTTCATTTACTTTTTCTACGTGCAATTAGAGAAGCAGACAATTCTTTGTCACATAACATAGATATACAGAGAGATCTTCTATATCGATTTGTTTCTCTTATAATAATATCGTATTTCTTCTTTGCAGAGCATGTTTAAAGAAAAAAAAGATAATGAAGCTTTTGTTTTTGTTAAAACAAAAAAATACTTTACAAGGACCGATTTTCAAATACTTGAAAGCTAAATAAGAAAATAACTCAAAAAAATAAGTTAGCTCCCACAGCCACAAGCATCACTCTCGTATTTGTCCTTGGATGATACGATGCTGTTTTTGTATGCTACAAACTCTCCCCACCATGTTGTTGTTATGCAATGATGTTATTAAATTGTTATATCATCACATGTTACGTCTCCTACGAGGAAAAATAATTTGACTACTTAGATCATTTTAAGATGATTACAACTAGAACAAAACATATATATGTACTTGTTTTATTCGTAGATGGCAAAACTGAAAATCTATACATTCATTCATATTTTTAAAAAGTATGATGAATAATGAGGAAAATAACAATAACGTTTTGTTGAAACTTTTTCATTTAAAAAAAAAAACATTTAAAAACAGGAATCAAAACAGAAAATAATAAAATATCGATTTCCCTCCTCCGGCGAGAAACTAAATCGGAAAAATCTGCCGGCGATGCAGAGTTTGGCTGTCCGTTCTCTCTCAGTCTCCACTTACTCATCAGCAACCTATCTCTATCTCCGCCGTTATCCTCCCAAATCATTTTCTTCGATTCCTATTTACTCATCCCCTACACTCAGATCACTCTCCATCTCCTCCGCTAGATTTACTCTTCACGCCACCGCCTCCTCCTCACCGGAGAAACAAAACGAACCTCTCCCTCCTCCTCCTCCTCCGCCGCAACAGCAAGGAGCGAAGCTAATACATCTGACAATCTCCATCTCAATAGGTCTCGTGGTCCGGTTCTTAATCCCGAGACCAGAACAAGTGACCTCACAAGGATGGCAATTACTCTCAATCTTCCTATTCACAATCTCAGGTCTCGTCCTTGGTCCTCTCCCAGTAGGTGCTTGGGCTTTCGTTGGCTTAACCGCTTCAATCGTCACCAAAACGCTCCCTTTCTCAACCGCTTTCGCAGCTTTTACTAACGAGCTCATCTGGCTAATCGCGATTTCTTTCTTCTTCGCTCGTGGATTCATCAAAACGGGTCTTGGCGACAGAATCGCTACTTACTTCGTCAGATGGCTTGGCAAAAGCACTCTCGGTTTATCCTATGGTCTTGCCTTCTGTGATACCCTTATGGGCTTGATTATGCCGTCTACCATGGCTAGAGCCGGTGGCGTTTTCTTGCCCGTCATTAAATCTCTGTCTCTCTCCGCCGCAAGTTATCCCGGAGATCCGTCCTCGAGAAAATTGGGATCTTTTCTTATTCAAACCCAATTGCAGGTTAACTAATTCAATACTCAACAAGCTTCTGGCGCTTTTCTTATAGCTTTGGTCTCTTGATGAGTTTAGTTTTAAGGGTTTATGTTTCTATGTGACAGTGTTCAGGAGCTTCTGGTGCGATTCTTCTCACATCAGCTGCACAAAACTTGCTATGTCTCAAACTCGCCAGAGAAGTTGGTGTTGTAATCTCGAATCCATGGATCACTTGGTTTAAAGTCGCCAGTGTTCCTGCGTTTGTTTCTCTTCTTTGTACACCTCTCATCATCTACAAGCTCTACCCTCCTGAGCTGAAACACACACCTGAAGCTCCGGCTGCAGCTGCTAAGAAGCTGGAGCGATTAGGTCCCATCACCAAAAACGAATGGATCATGCTCGGTGCTATGGCTTTCACCGTCTCTCTTTGGGTTTTCGGGTAAGGTTTCTTGCAAAACAACAGCATTAGTATCATCTTAGAGATTTTAGCATAAAACTAATCACATACTAATAGAACCGTACGTCTGTGATCAAACATTTCATCCAACTATTTGATGGTGACTTCTTGCAGAGAGGCAATAGGAATAGCAAGCGTTGTATCCGCGATGATCGGTCTATCAATACTTCTGCTGTTAGGAGTCATAAACTGGGACGATTGTCTCAGTGACAAATCAGCTTGGGACTCGCTCACTTGGTTTGCGGTTTTGATTGGTATGGCTGGACAGCTAACAAACCTCGGTGTCATTGCTTGGATGTCGGATGGTGTGGCCAAACTGCTACAATCCCTCTCCCTGACTTGGCCAGCTTCATTTATGATTCTCCAGGCTTGTTATCTCTTGATCCATTATCTATTTGCAAGCCAGACTGGTCACGCAGGAGCACTCTATCCTCCTTTCTTGGCGATGCAAATCGCTGCTGGAGTGCCGGGGGTTCTAGCAGCACTTTGCTTGGCTTTCAATAACAATCTCTCTGGTGCTTTGGCACATTATAGTGGTGGACCAGCTGCTTTATATTACGGAGGTCCGTTTTCTTCTCTTTCTATGTTTTTTTCTTTCTATCTTCTTTCTTATATCCTTAGTTACTGAATCAATCGTCCCTTCAAACATTTTTTCTTGCAATGATTTTCTTGGTCTGGATCTGCAGCTGGGTATGTTGATCTGAAAGATATGTTTAGAATCGGGTTCGTGATGGCTCTTGTACAAGCGATCATCTGGGGAGGTGTTGGATCTTTTTGGTGGAAATTTTTGGGTCTCTACTGAAACCAGTCCCTGAGCATTTGACCAGACCCAGTCCAAACAGAACCATACTTTCGGTTTTAAGGGTATATCAATTGAAAAATATCTGGTATTCAAGATCTCATTCCAGTTCACAGCCAAATACCAATTTGCTTGTGTTATTATTAAGTGTTAGACCTTAGAACAACATCCTGTCTTACGTCGGCAACGAAATTTTTAATTCAGCCTGAACCGAAATCAACCACTTTGAAGTTAGTTACATGCCGACCAACGAAACTAAATTTCAGTACAAACCGACGCAATAATGTAAAGGCCGAGGCCTAATTTTCACCGGAGTCTCGCAATATGACAAGATCTAAAAGCTCTGATTATTTAGTGTCTTAAAAGATTTCTACGTTATTTCCTGATCCTGCAGCTGTAATGCATAACCAATAACATGAAACTAAGTCAATAACAAACACTAAAAAGTGAGGCTAGGTTTCGGAGTTTGCAGAAGAAAAAAAGAACCGAGAGTTTTATACAAAGCAAACCTTTGCAATAAAGCCAATACCAAAAACTACACGAGACTGGAGAGTAAAAGAGTAACTTAGAATCCAGAAAGATTGTGATTCTTTCACACAAACATTGTTAACTCTGGTCGGCTATACACGTTGTTCTGCTCATCTTCAAGAACCGGGTAAGCAGCAACAAGCGTGTCCTGGGCACCAATGTACAGAGAATTGTAAATCTTCCAGTATACTTCGCGGACTTTACGTGCCGGATGAAACAAACCCTGCAGACAATAGTTCAGAATTACAGCTGCACCTAATGCAACTCGCATTCCTTCAATAGCTTCCATGACTGCGTTAATGACGTGGGGAGATGTCTCAAAAATGTTGGGCCAAATGAAGTTAAGCAAGTGAACCAGAGCATCTTCGCATCCCAAACCAGCTACACCTAAGGCCATATGTTTCACGGCTGAAGCGGCAGTTTGTCTATGAACCAAATCTCTGTCCATGAGAGCGTCCTCGAGCAACGGTGTGACTGCGTATATGTAATCTTTGCCCATTTCTCCAATGTACTCGAAGAGGAAGGAAAGAGATTTCAGAACACCGTTTTGGACGTTTAGCTCTGGAACACGGTACTCATTCATCAAAGCAGGTAAGACGGTGAAGGGAGAGCATGTTTCAGCAACAATGGCGATCGCGACTGTGGTACAAACACGGTTCTGACGTTCTTGGACTTTGAGATTGTTCAGCAAAGTGGCAAGAACGTCCTGTGGTCCAATGGCTTTGGCAATGTACCCGAAAGTGTTGACTGTGGCACGACGAATACCTTTCTTATGCGCCTTCAGCATTTCAAGAAGCTCAAAACAGATTCTCATCCATTCTCTGGCTGGAACAAATTCAGCCCCACGATCTGCAATCCTACCAACCAGGTCAATACAATTCTCTTGCACTTTCTCGTGCCTGTTCTTCAAAATCGGGGTCAGTCTTGGAAGAAGATCCTTAATAGGAGGAGTCATCTTTGTCATACCAATCACATTGACTATAGCTTTCAAAGCTCCAAGAATTGATCCCAAAACTTCTGGATACTCCTCCCCAAGATATTCATATAAGACAACACCAAGATGTCCCATCAACTGTTCCTCTCCACACTGCTTCATAATAACAGCAATTCTAGAAATAAGATCAGCAGCTTGTTGTCTGACCTTTGCACTCTTGTTGTTTAACCGCCACTTAATAGTACCACAGATCTGGGGAAGATAAGGCTTTACTCTCTGACCAAGAGCATTCACAACAGCACCGAAACCATTAAGCATCACATTAGCATCGTCACTAGTCTGTTCTTGGAAAGCATAAAGAATGCCATCTATGAGCAGTTCCTCCAATCTCGCATCAATATCAGATGCTCCTAGGTTTGTGACAACCTTGTCAATGGTTTCCATAACCATACGTCGATATGGTTCACTCTCGTCCTTGAGATCTTCAACAACTCTTCCCACAATATCTGCAACACCAACCTTGTTTGCAATCTCCACAGTAGTTTCAACAAGCTGCTTGTAGTTTCTCCTTTCCAGAGCCATTCTCCTAATCCAGAAATGCCTGAAAAACTCAGGCAGAATATCACTACGAATATAATCCGGTTCTACACCCTCTGTACTCACACACTGTTTCACCACCTTGAGGACAATCTTCTTCATCTCTTCATCTGGCGACTGGAACTCACGAATCAAAATAACCATCACCTCTTTTGTATAGTAGCTCGCATATATAGCATCCATCAAGGGGATGATAAAACCAATCGCCTTTAAGAAAGCAGCTAAAACTTTACCACGGTGCGACCTAATACCTTTCCACAAAGGCTTCAGAACAGAATCAAAGCTTTCAATACCATATGGAGCAGCAGCTTCAGCAAGAGCAGCCAGTGACAAAGCTGTAATAGTCCTAACCTTCTGGTTTTCATCACTGAGACCATGTTCAATAATTTCAACTAAAGACCTTAAGTGAGGTAGGACGGCACAGCCAATTAGTATCGCAATCTGCTGAACAATCTTAATTCCAGTGTGCCGTGCCTGCCATGACTTTTTACTCTGGCACACAGCTTTCAGGAAAGGCAAGAGTGCTGGGATACCAAGAGCTGAAGCCACCACACTGAAAGCTCTCGCTGTTGTGTTCCTCACATATTCATCAATGTTGTCAATATCAGGACGCATAGCTGCAATCATAGTGGCTAAACCAGCTGCTTTGCTAAGGTTAGAAATAATCTCTCTCCCTTCTACACGAGCATAATAATCTTCATCAATCAACAAAGGCTCAATAACAACAAGGATTTTGTGGACGTAAGGCCTTACCATCTCATCGAGTTTGTACAGAATCCTATCAATCACTTTGACCAAAAGATGCCTCTCTTGATCTTCTAAAGTGGGCTGCATGAGCAACGGCAAAATTTTATTAAACAAAGGACCTGCACCAAGCTCACGAGCCTTGTCAGTAAGCTGCCTCAATGCTGTTTTCCTCTGGGCAGGTGTTCCATTTTTAACCTTTAACAACAGTTTCATAATCTTGCGTTCTTTCTGCTCGTCAGGAGATAGCTCTTCTTCGTTCTCTTCATTCAACAGAGCTCCAAAGTACTGAAAATCCTCTGGTTTCATAAACGGCAAACCACCAGGAACTTCTTGGGGCACATCATACTGTTGCCCGCGGTTTTCCTCGGGAATAACGTAGCCAGGAGTTGCCATGGGTGTCGGAGTTGCCTGAAGTTTCCTGGCAGGGGTTCTTATGGGAACATATGAAGCAGGCGGATCCAAAACCTTGTATCCATCTTTAGGAAACATGGCATCAAGCTCTTCATCAGACAATGGTCTGTTTCTCTCCTCGATATCCTTCTCCCACCTTAGCAGATTGTGCTGCTCGGGGGTCATAGCACCACGGAAATTTAGCTGACCCGGCGTTGGAGTAGCCATATCAATCCCACCAATAGGGGTAACACCAGGAGTGTAAGCTGCACCAGGAGTGACTCCACCCATAGGTGTAGCACTCCCCATAGTGGCTGGAGTTTCGTCCCACCTTGAACGTTGACGCTTTGGGGTAGGCGTGGCAAGCCCTTTTGGAGTGCTGTCCCAAGTAACACCTGAAGGAGTGGCACCGGGAGTAACACCACCACCAGGGGTTGCATCAGAATCAGTCACACGACCAGGTGTAGGAGTTTCGTCCCATCTGTTCCTTCGTCCAGCAGATGGCGTGGCATCAGAAACTCTCCCTGGAGTTAGAGCATCCCATCGTCCAACCCCTGGAGCTGCATCAGTTGAATCCCAATCTGAACTTGCTGCTTTAGCTTTCTTTGCAGCAGAACCGTCTTCATCAGAATGATCCCACCTGTTTCTCCTCTTGGAAGAAGAAGAAGGAGGGGGAGGAGGAGCAGAATCTTTCTGATGCTTTGCAGCTTCTTCTTCCTCCTTCATTTTCTTAGCAATAAGCCTCATGGTTTCCTCTTTGTCCCTCTTTAAAGCAGCCTCCCTCATATGGTCAGCGTAAGTGGTAACACCAGAATCCGGCGTCTTCTCGCCCATAGCAAAGGCATCAACTCTATCAGGAGAAAGAACCCGATTTAGTCTCCTATTCCTATAGTCACCCTCACGTTCCGCAATAGTCTGCCGAGGTCTAAATCCGGCATCGTCATCTTCGTTGTGAGGACGAGCGACGTCATTGAGAATCGACCTAGGAGCAGTGTAAGACGCAAGCCGCTGAGCCACAAGCGAACCAGTGGAGTCCAGAAGCGGATCCTCTTCATCGTTGAGGGGAATAGAAGTCGAGTAGGATTCACGGTCGGTAGCTCCGTATAGATCGCGATCGAATGTCAAAGAAGTGAGAGAAGCAAGGTCTGCTTCCATCTTGCGTCTATCCTCTTGAGTTTTAGCGATCTCTGGATCTAGATCCGCCATTATCGATACCCGACGAAGCTTTCTCCAACAAAAAAGATACAACTGAGAAATTGAGCAAAGCAGTATATCAGAAACCAAATCATATCAAATCAAATATGAACGAAGATAGGAGAAGAACTTACCGCTTTATCGGGAACTAGGTCTGCTGATGATTGTGAGCAAGTAGAGCGTGAGAACAAATTAAAAGAAGAAGAAGAACTTAGGGTTTATCCAGATTCAAGCCAGACAAAAAAAAAAAAGGAGAGAAATTATATATACGGGAGATAAGTTATTGAAACCGACCAATTGAGTCTGAGGGAGTCGGTTTTTTATTTCGGGTCAAAAAGTTTAGTTTGGGCTAATAAAATCTTTAGAAATTGTGTTCACATAATCAAGGCCCACTAAAAATCCGACTCTTCTAGTGGCCCCTTTACATCTTTTGTGTCTCTTCATAAACAACTTAACTTTAGTCGCAAAAACAATATTGTACCTGCTAAACATAATTATTATCCCTTGAGCTCCGTCAAACCTACATGTTCAGACTCTAATGTTTTACACCAATAACTCACTCCCATGTGATACTCGTCATGTTGGTACGAAATCAACTTCTTTACCACTACACTATGCTAATATATTAGTAATATAATGTGAATATATTATGTAAATATATCTAAACGTGTGACTGAAATTTTACTCGACTTAATGATTCTGTCACACGTATTTACGTCTGTTAAGTTGGGTATTTGATTACACTAATTTAAAAAAAGAAAAAAAAATATTTGAGAATAATTTAATGCATTGAATATTTTTTATTTTAACTAATAAAAATTAAATATTAAATTTTCAGTAACATGAAATTTTTTGAAGGAAATTTTTAACAATTTTATAGAATGTTTCAAAAAAATTAAAATATGTAAACTTTATGAAAAGTTTAAGTATTATAATTTAACTCTTAAAGAGTTTAAAATATTATATTTAATTACATATGGGTATACGGGTTATATGACGAAAAGAGTTTGAATCCCGCTCGATATCAAATAAACATGTTAATATAGATTAAAATATTATTAATTATATTTCATAACGGATTAAAACTTCATTATATTATCTTTTAACAACAATAATATACGACATGTCAAATTAAACTGATTTAGTTAAATTTTATATCATGCTATCTTAATATTTTTTAAACAAATTCCAGCATAAAAAAAAATTTTGAATTTAAAAATATACCCCGGGTAAAATCTAGTAGTGGTGTATAATAATTAGTTAATATACAATAGATAGAAAACTAGAAATCTTCCAAGTATATATATACAAAGTACTTTTGAAATAAGTATTAAAAAGGAAAATTTCCCATTTTGATTTACAAAAGAATTTGAAAATTTCATATTTACATAATACCACCCTTGTAAAAATATGCATGCTTTCCATTTTCATATCCCACTAAGTAATACACAGCCAATATTGTTTTAAAAATCTACTTATATGAGTCATAACCCTATATCAAAGTCTCTTTAATTTAGCATTATCCTCACTAGCTTTGTTATGAGAGTATTAATTTGAACTTGTGGTATATAGCCGAAAGTTCGGATCCACTCCAACCTAATCAAATATATAAATAGAGAGATTAGTGAAACGGAGGAATACATACATTAACATATACTAATGGAACAAGAGTGCATAAATGTTTGAAATGAACAATACTATATGAATAGTCTCGATGAGCCTTTCATGCAATACTACTTAAATGTTTTCAAAGTTTCTTTTGGCTTCTGCCGAAGAACTTCACCAAACCCACTGACCATTTTCAGATATTGAATAATTATATTATTAAGTTTTTATGATTTCCTTATTTTTAAAAACTCGGATGTTTTGATTATTACTCTACTTTAATTTCTTAACTTACTAGTGGTGCCTCCTACCTTTAAAGTTTTAGTAGTGTAGATTTACAGAAATACACAAATAAAGGATTTGTAGTTACAAGATAACGTATTAAAATGCGTAAGGAACTCAAAACATCTATTAATACGAAACGAGTATGTTGTATACTAGTAATAAGCAATCAATCTGGTCTCCTACACCCCAACATCACCCACTTTAAGTACTCCCCCATCTTCTCCTTGGTAGTATTGGTTGCTTATCCAATTTATCACCAAATTAAATATACATCAAATAACATCATTATATATATGTCTCCCCACTCATCTGAAAAAGTCAGAATCCTTTAAAGAATGAGAGGTTTGATCATTAAGCAAAACCGAGTGCATTTAAATGTAAATAAAGTTGAAAACAAAATCATTTGTTTTTATTTTTATATGCATATTTCCGAAGCACCTTTTTTACACGTCACAACAAAACGACAAAAGCAAAGATAGAGAGAGAGAGAGAGTGAGCCCTATCCACAATCCAAACCCGAGATCCAAACCCGAGAGATTTTTATACACACACGCGCGTGCAGCATGTTTTTCGACTACAGATGCCATCTAGATCTCGTCATAGCTCTCGATACTATGCCACGTGTCATTCTTACATCCCTTGGATCAAACCATGGTCTTGCACGTCGAAGTCTGCGGATCCCACATCGCCGGCAATAGATACTTCCTACCGGCAAGTCCACGGGCGTTGTAACTAGACCCGGTTGTTTTGTCGACAATCACCCGACCCGCGTAACCCGGGTAAGAACCCGACCCGAATATGCCAGTACAAGCTGAGACAGCTTCAAGCGGTGCAGTTGGTGGACCTTGGAAATATCCGTTGTTAAACGGGTTCGTGACGGTGTTAGCGAGAAGCGTGGCCAGGTTTATAATCATTCCGTCAACTCCAACGTCACCGTTAGGAGAGACCAACGGCGGCGTTTGTGGTCCGTAAATAGGTTGGTGAAACGGCCACGCGCAGTATCCCGGGCACAGCGTCTCCGAGTTCCCCACCCAAACATAAGCCGCGCCATTCGCCGCGCGACGCGGTTTCGAGCCGGATGATCCGTGAGTACCGCATCGGTTCATACAGAATCCTTCGACTGTAACGTCTTTCGCCGTTAGAACGACGGTTATGGAACGGAGTCCGCCGTTGAGTTTGGTGGACAGAGCACGGAGGTAAGGATTTTTCAGGGATTTCCCGAGAGGATAGTTCTCGAGGAGAAGCTGTTTCCCGACGACGAGCGTTGAGGATCCGCCTTTGTATTTCTCCGTCGTCTTCCACCACGAGGCCACGGAAGGGGCTGCGGCGGAGGAGACGGCGTCTTTGGAGTTGAGAGAGCGGATGAAGTCGACGATCACGGACCGCTGGATCGGCGTGAATTTCCCGTACCAGACGAGATTGACGGTGATGTTACCTTTCAAGAGAACTCCGTTGTGATATTTGAGAACAAGGGGCTGCTCCTCGACCAACGCGGCGGCGGAGAAGCCAGCGGTGGCGAAGAGAAGAGTGAGGAAGATGGTAAAACGGTAATTAGAAGCCATTGAGAGGGGTAGATATGAAATTGAATAGAGAGATAGATAGCAGAGGTTTTGTTCGAGGTTTATAGGGACGTTTTAAGTGATGGAATGGGATACAGATTACAGAGAGGTATTTATACCAATTGAGATGTTTTCTTTCTTTGAAACCGGGGAGAGGAGTGTGACAGCTGTAGTGGCTAAGGTGTCAATGTCAAAGGAGTGACACGTGTAATTATGTGAATGGGTAGAGAAGGGTGTTTGGACAGCCTGTAAGATTTCTTACAGTGTGACGTGGTTTAGTCTCTCCGTAACGTGTATTAAATTTAAGTGATGCTTAGCCGATAAATTTGTTATCACAACATACATTAAGATTAAATACTTAGTGTAAGAAGATCTTATGACATGCGGAGACACATACTTTTTCCACCATACCTATTTGTTACAAAATTGTTACTAAAACTGTAATCGATTTAAAAGAAGAATTATAAGTGAAAAATAAATACAAACCGAGTAAGTTTAAATGCAAACAAAAAAAAAAAAGGAAAAAAAAACCCACTCCAAAAAATTTCTAATGTTAATGCTAGAAACTTCATAAAGCAAATACAGGTAGTAGGAGTATTAAAAATGTAGTTATTAGATCAACTGGTCTTTCATCAAAGAATTTTGGTTGAAAGAAACTGATCCGGTAATTTGGTATACAATACCAAGATACATTCAACACCTATATTAGTATTGAAAAAAATCCATATGTTGTATAGATACTTATGACTAATGGGCATCATCATGAGACATGGTATTGGACATGGTCTATAGGCAAATACATTGAACAGTAGTAAATGTTTGACCATTAGTAGAAGAAAAGTCAATTACTCATCATAACATATGGTTCTATTATTTTAAAAGAATGTCATTAATTAAAGAATTTGGGATTACTTAGGGAAGGTTCCTCCGTTTGTATTCTTTAGGGGAGGGCCACTGATTTTAAGAAAGGTGCAAGCTAGTGACCCAATTGATGATACCGTGTGTGACTGAGTCTGTGTGTGTGATGATAAAATCAACTTTACTTGGGGGAGGTCCCTTGGGTATACGTATTTTATACTTTTATGCTCAGTGTATACGTACAATTATATATATACTTATAGCCATGTAGGTGTGTATCTATAGGAATATACATACGGAGAGCTGCACATTATAGTTAAGCCGGCGTGTAGGCTATAAGCAAAGATACGAAGCGTACGAACCACGCCCTTACCGTCCATTATTGTGCCTTTTACATCATCTCTAGGTCCTCCCCTCTTTTTCTTTTTCTTTTTTTTTTTTTTTGAAAACCACTCTTTTTATTTTGATTTAACAAAAAAAGTTATAAATTTGGAATGTACTGGTTTTATTAATTAATCCATTCTTAGCCGTTATTCAAAAGAAAATGTATTCCACACGTTTTTTTTTTTGGTTTTTTTTTTTTCTTTTTTGGTTTTAGTGACATTCTAAAGATGTTTTTTTCTTGAACAAAAAATAGTGGAGGTCAAAATAATATGTGCATCCAAGAAAAAGAAAAAAGAAAGTGAAAAATTAGATTCAAAACGAGGGAGGGTATGTGAAAGTTGGAGGCCCATATGTTGTTGTAGTAGTATTAAAACTTAAAGAAAGTCACGTCACAGTTCAAACGTACGTGTCACAAGTACTCCATGGACCATCATCATAGTCCCTTCCTTAGTCATAGCATATATATATATATAATAGGTGGATTCGTAGTAATCCACTTATTAATAGCTCTCTGCCTCTCTAGCTAGTCTTCTACTTCTACAGTGTATTTTCCACACGTGAAACTTTTCTACTCCACTTTATAATATGAATAGCAAAATACTACTACAAAAATTAAAGAGATTCATATCCAGGGGGATGTGACACATGAGTTTTATGTAATTTTAGATATAGACGCCTCGTTCACTTTGGTTGCGATCATCATATAACCGCACTTTTGGTCATGTTTTATGTAATTTTCAGCTCTTGTTTCTTTTATAATATAATTACGCCCCTCTTAGTACAATATGTCTCGTGTTATTTAACTTTTTCTAATATTCTAGCATTTGAAACACATGCACAATGTTTTGTGTCAACTTATGTGTCTGTCGAATAAAAACACAAGTACGTTCGATTATAGCCTAACATCGCCAATAGACTTGCATGTTATATATAATCGTAAATGTAAATACAGTGTGTTCACTTTCATCCTCATTAGTTAATCGAATGTCAGTATAGTGGATAGCCCTAAAAAAATTCATTGATGGCAATAAGAAAACTTTTACTAGATTATACAATTCGTATATCAACGAAGAACGTTATTCAAAAAAAAAAAAAACTGTTTCTTATCACGAGTAATCAATAAAGTTGAGCTGAAAATAATAGTTATATTTGGAAAGAAGAAAAACAAATGTGGCCGACGTTCCAGATTCACAAGAGGACCAGTACGTTTTACTTGTATCCCATCATCATATCATCTCAAACTTTTCGGTTTATGTCACTGCATGAAGAAGAATAACTAAAGATCGATCAATGTATATAACCAATTGAACTGATCTTCATAAGTGTCACGAGTATTATTAAACTTTAACTTTTTCTCAGTCACAAGATTACTATATATATACTACTAAAAAAATATGTTTTGATGTTTAATTATCGCGGAATTAATAAAAATTCATACTTGGGAGAAAACTATTAAACAGATATGAAAGAAGAAAATATCTAATTAAGAAAAAAAAAAAAAATATCTAATCAGGGATAACAATAGTATAAGGATGAATAAGGACAAGGAAGCAAAGGGAGTGTCACTCTCTCACGTGCGGATGGGATATTTGCGTGCGTGCGTGCGTAGTCGGCAAGGAAAGCGACAAAACATCGGTGGAAGGCCACACGCTTCTTGTATTAGTAAGTTCGTGCGTTATCCTTTAGCATCTTGACACGTCATGTCTTCTTCTTTAACACAGCAGACGTGTAACTTTTTTTTTATTTTCCCAGGAATGGTTTTTGGTTCGCAATAAATTAGTTTATTTTGTAGAGCGTACCATTTTATTGAGACATCTCTTCACTAGGCCGTCTCTATTCAATTATATACGCGACCTACTGTATAGTATTAACCTTACACACTCATTTATTGCAATTACTATATACTAGTACTACATTACATTATTGTCACCACAAATTCGAAGATAACTAGATCCGATTGCATGGTTCGCTCGTTGGTCATTTGATTTTGACCCGGAACTTTTTTTTTTTTTTTTTTTTTAATAGTTGCTTAATCATTAATCATAAGTTGTGTGTGTTGATGATGATCGTCAAGTACATCAAATAACTTGAGAGTTTTTTTTTTTTTTTTTTGACACCATGCATGCACATATATATCTAACGATTACTAATTATAATACTTTTATGGAGAATTAGTCAACAAATTAGGTTCGCCGACTAAAATACATTTTAGAATGTTAAAAACTTAAAATACTCATTCACCTCCAACTAATAACTTTTATGAGTTCTTTTGGGGAGATTTTTTGTGTGCTGACGGACCCATTTTGACTTCCGTTCTGCTTATCGTATTTCTTCTTCTTTCTAATATCGAAATAAGAAGTTTGGATCCATTGGAAAAGAAGATTATTATTGTAAATGGTAGTCGTCCAACATGTATCAATCCGTGTTTATGAACTAGTATATATAATTAAGGTGTTCGCAACAAGTAAATTTAAGGTACTAAAATGAATATCTGTTCATTATATGGAGCTAGCAGTATACTATAATCGATACTTAAGAACGTAAGAAACGTAAGCCGTAACTCGAGTGACCTGACCGCATGCATAATCATATGAAGTTGGTTTAAACCTAAAATCAATTATACAGAAATGTTAACATTTTGTTTCTGAGTTTGAGTGTGTGGCCACTGGCCAGAGTGACCAATGACTAGTAAAGATAAGTTTTTTAATATCCACTGGTACTGAAATCAATTATTTACGTGCTCGTACGGTGTTAGCATGCTCACTAGTGATAATGACAAAGCAATGATTAAGTGTAATTATTTCAACCGCGATTTTTTTTTTTTTTTTAATAACCATTTTCATAAAAGAAAAATGTAAAATTCTTTTTGTTGTCTTTTATATCACTCGACGACGTATAGAAAACATGATAATGATAGTCCTAGCTAGCTACTCAATAATTATTTTTCTGTGTACATTGCATATTGAAGCAGACGTATGCCAAACTTACGATATTGTATGTATAATTTTTTTCCTTCCTAACTAGACTTTTGAAAGTGACATACCCCAGAAGAATAATATTCCACTTCCACAGTTATATTAATTTTCAAATTAAAACTCACATATACAAACTTAGAACAAACTAAACAAGATTATTTCGTGTTTTTTTTTTTTTTTGAATATTTCGTGTTTTATAAAAAAACAATCCAAATAATATTAACGATTGAGAAAAACAATCAACAAGTGGATATATTTATCTTTCAATTGGGATTAGTTAGCTTTTATAATTTATAAAACCGATCCAATCTTATGACGAACATCGAGCTTATATTGCCGTGGACCGACCGACCAGTTTTTATTTTAATGTTGATTTGGTCATTAGACCAACCCCTACGTATACATGTATTGGCTTCATAAACCGATCATACTTTCCATATACGTAGTAGTATATATACAAGTCCATTTACTTGGAATATTCCCGATATTTTTGTTTTGTTTGATTTCAGAACTCTGAAAGAAAAACATTTTTTTAAAAAGTGTATATATTAGATTTGATATGCTATTTCTTAGAAGAATTGGCCGATTTGATTTTCGATTTGGCTAGGGTTTGTATTTTAATTTACTGTGTTTTGAAAATTTTCAGATTTATTGATCGAATGCTAAAAAATGGTCTCGCCGGACTTTGGGGTACAACTCGGCTATAATGTTGTGAAAATTTAACTAAGCCCATAGGCCTACATTATCTAAGCCCATTAGTTTAAATTACAAGCCCAAGAAAAGTAATTGGTCTTTTTTTTATTTTTATTTTTGGAAACCAATAATTGGTCTAACAGTGTGAATGTGTGTGTGATCCGACAAAATCAATTCAGGGAAGATGATCGATCAGTCGAAATTTGCGAGGGAAATTAAAATCAGTTAATCATCCTTTCCTTTGTGAACTGATGTAGTCAGCTATTATGTGACGAAAAGCTTCGCAATGTGTTCGTCATCGCTTAGATGATTGAAACTAAATTATTTTTTTATATATAAAGAAATAGAAAGCCAAGTAAAATTCGATCACGACTCTGTTTTTTTCTTCTTTTTTTTTGGTTTGTGGTATAAAACGAAGATGTGAACACCGAGAGAGATAGAGAGAGGAAACTTGAAATCATGGGTTTGAAAGGGATTCTAGGGTTTGATTATGGGATAGTTCAGGCGCCACTAGGTCCAGATATCTCCGGACCAGAGCTTGTAGCCGCCGTCGCTAATGCCGGAGGGATTGGTCTTCTCAGATGTCCTGATTGGGTAATTTTCAAGTTTTCTTTTTTATTTCTTATTCACTAAACTCTCTTTTAATATTTGTGAACTTCAATCTATCAGGAGTGTCCTGATTACTTGAGAGAGCTTATAAGGAAGACAAAGACATTGACAGACAAACCATTTGGGATCGGTGTTGTTCTTGCGTTCCCTCATGATTTGAACATTAAGGCAATCTTAGAAGAGAAGGTTGCTGTGCTGCAGCTTTATTGGGGTGATTGTTCACAGGAGCTTGTCGATGATGCTCACCGTGCCTGTGTCAAAGTTGTTCCTCAGGTACCATATTCTCTCTCACTTATTTGGAAGTCCAAGTTTTTATTAAGAGAGTTTGGGTCTATTTACACCACAAGGAAGGAACTTGTCTTATTCCCCTTACTTAGTCGACTGTTTTTTTTAAAGGTGGGGAATATCGAAGAAGCTAGAAAGGCTGTTGCTGTAGGAGTAGATGCCATTATTGTCCAAGGGCATGAAGCAGGTGGGCATGTAATTGGCAAGGTAAAGCCTAATCGTTCATTCTTATTTCATACAGTATATTTTTTAAGTTTTCAATTCATGTTTTAATACTTCATCCAAAACAAAACAAAAAACAAAATTCAGGATGGTCTCTTTTCATTGTTGCCAAGAGTGGTGGATTTAGTTGGGGGACTCGATATTCCCGTCATTGCTGCTGGTGGCATTGTGGATGCACGCGGATATGTCGCAGCCTTGTCACTTGGTGCTCAAGGGGTCTGTCTAGGCACAAGGTGTGCTCTGCTGCTCTTTCCACTTGTTTTCAAGAATGATGATAGGCTTTTTGTTCGGCTGAGTTAGAATCTTCGTTTTCCTAGATTTGTGGCGACTCATGAGAGCTATGCTCACCCAATATACAAAAGGAAGTTGATTGAATATGAAAAAACCGAGTACACAGATGTATTTGGAAGGGCAAGGTGGCCTGGTGCGCCACATCGTGTTCTCGAGACACCTTTCTTTGATGACTGGAGATCTCTTCCGGCTGATGAGAATGAAGTTAACCAACCTATTATTGGACGTTCCACCATACATGGCGTTGTAAGTTCTTCGCTTACTTCCTTATCCTCCAAATATGGTTTTGCATTTATGACCATGGGAGTTTCATTTCACTACAGGAAAAGGAGATAAGAAGATTTTCAGGTACAGTACCGAACATGACGACAACAGGCGACTTAGAGAGTATGCCAATGTATGCAAGCCAAAGCGTAGGACTTATCAAGGAGATTTTACCAGCTGGACTCGTAGTGAAAAATCTTGTGGAAGAAGCTCAGCTTCTGATCCTCCAAAAGTTCAAGAATGCTTCTTGATGCAGTGCCTCCTCAAAAATCATGAGACAACAAAACACTTTTACTGCTTTGGAATAGGATGAGAATAGCCTCATCTAATATAATAAGGTACCCCTTCTGTATATCATGTATAATCTATCCCTCCTTTTACCACCAGATTGCAGACCTTATTGTATTGAATTAAGTACAACTCTTACAGTTCTCTCCACACATTTTCGTTTCATATTCAATTTCTAAGTGACCTTAATACTGTTTAAGGAAATCTCATGCTGAGTTCATACACATAAATTTTATAGCTTTATTGCTCGAAAGAAGAGAGAGACTTTGCAGTTTTCACAAGTTTTATTACAGACATCACCACTACATGATACATACACATAGAAAAAGTAGGTGCATATGTGGAAAACGTTTCCCAGCTATTTGCAGAATAGGCAGTGTATATCTGTACAGCATTCAAAGTGAAAACTTTGTAGCGTACATGTCGAATTCATCAGATGATGTTAGCAGTGGCTCCTGCAAGCAACTCGGGAATACAATATTCAGTCATTAAGAACATTGCAAGTTTCAGACAATACAAGTTTTAGTATAACATACCGCGGATGCATCAGAGCTTGTGTAGTCCTCGTCAAACGTGAGGCGAGACTGGGCCTCACGTATTGCAGAACGCATAAGGTTAAGCAGGTGGCCATAAGTGGGTGCCGGTCCAGCTGTCTTCACGGCCTTTATAAAGCTATAAGTCATGGCTCCTGTGTTTTTCCCCGTGAACACCTGACACAACGCGAAAGGATCCAGTTAAGATTGCGGAGAGGTATGTGTGATTAATTAGTTGCATGATGATGATGACATAATAGAAGATTTTAAACATACAGGAGTGTAACCACTGGTTTCATCATCGTCACAAGCACTGAAACAGAAAGCTGCTCCACCATCTGTTCCTTTGTAAGCTCTGACTGATCTATGATCTTCCCATTCATAAGAACCATTTCTGATTTTTCACAAAATACACCACAAGTTTCTTTTTCAGATCCAGTCAAGTAGAACTGAACTGGTAAGAATGATTTATAAGTTTACCTCTCCATCCTGCAAACGAAGGGTAAATCAAGGACAGTCCCGCTGTTACAAGCGTCAATGACAGCATGAAGCTTAGCTCCATGGACGAGCGGCCTCACGAGTATCCGGTTAATCTCGTCATCGATGATTTTTCCTTCTGTTTCATGGTCTAAAGGGCACAAGGTTTCATCTTGACCGTCGATCTCATCCCCATTGTAGTCCTTCTGCTGAGATCCATGACCAGAGAAATGGAACACAAGTGAGTCCCTCGCTCTGTTCCCTTCGACTAACCATCTCATAGCCTTCCTGATGTTTCTCTTCGTTGGTATTCTCTGTAGGCTGGTTTCATCTTCTGCAAACAATAACACGAGAATCATTCATCAGGAAGCAAGAAACAGAGAGAGTTTAGAGAAATTATGGGGAAGAAAGAAATCAACCTGTGAGCATGAGAATAGAGTCAATAGGGAAACCCATTTGTTGAACCAAGAAACGTCTCATGGATTTAGCATCACTGATGCAACCTTTCAAGCTATAGCTTTTTCCCTTATAGTTCACGCCGCATAACACTGCTCTCTTGTTGCCAAACGGCGAGGGAAGAGGGTCGAGCAGCCGCGGTGGCGGTTGTTGTTGCTGCGGTTGATGTTGTCCAAGTAGTCGTTGAAACCCATGAATTATGCGGTTGGCACCGTGCGCTACGTCCACCAGCGAGTAGAGCTGCGTGACAGTGTGGCAGGCTGAGCATTGGATGGCACGGACGTCTGGTTGAACCCACATCCGTCTTCCGCACCGGCACCGTACTTCTCTCCGGCTAGCCATGATTTTTTTTTTGTTTTCTTTTTACAATTGTAACTAATGCATTTGAGTAATGACTTATATAAAGACGGGAATGCTATTATTCGTTATCATCTATGAAAAGAATAAAATGTGGAATGTGGATTTTGTCCACCCAATTAGGTTTATAACGTCGATTCGCTTTGTGAATCAATTTGTGAATCAATTCGAACAAAAAGTTTTTAAAAATTGTAGAGGAATATGATTCTGTCAAACATTTTTTTTTTTTTTTAGAATTATGGTTTGATCTCTCTCGCATACCTATTATTTCCACTAACGTCACTTCATTATATTTTTGCAATTTGATTTTTTTTTTTCCTGTTCAATTCAACACAATGAGTTCTGCGTTTCATTTGAAGCCAGGCATGCACAGATGCACTACTAAAAGCTAATACTCTGATCACACATATATGACTCCAGCCAAAATTCCAAAGAAGAAAAAAAAAATACTCATTATTTTTGGTATTGAAGCAGCTACATTATCACTTATCAGTATTAGAGACTTGTATTCAAATAAATCATGGGCATTGTATTCAAAGAAGACGAAGGTTTTTGGGAAAATTTTTAGATCATTAGCCACACCAAAAAGAAAATTTGTGGTCAGAAGATACATAGGAAGTTGTGGAGGTAATTAACAAAAAATGAGATCAGTTGGTGCACTTGGCTTAAGAGAGAGAGACATTATTAGGCAAATTTCAATGTTGTGTGTTTGCTGGCAAAATCCATATTTCCTATTAGTACATACATAATCAAAGATTCAAAGATTATACAGATGAAATAATCTATTGGATCAGCAGTGTGTATACTACGTAAGTCCAACAACAAGACCATCGGACTTTTGGTTTGTTCTTACCTAGAGACAACAACGATGAGTTACGTACGTAGTAATAGTTTGAGAAATAAAAAACACATAAATAATGATACATGTATATAATTTGAACTAGGCTGTATAAAAAATACAGTTAGTGAGTGTGTTCACAAGGAACGAAAGAGGAAAAGCTGGCGAGAAGAATGACACCAACGAAGATAAGAGGCGTTGAGGTCAGGCCAGTCGGAGGAAGAGCAGAGAGTGTAATGGTGAAGCCAGAGTGAGAGAATTACTTCTTGCTCCTCCTCTCGTTTCAGTTGTGATATCATCTCCTCCAGCACCTTCTCCAGCTCTGCTCGTTCCGCGCTTCTCAGCACCGGTTTATCCGCTCCGTTGCTGGCCCTGCAGAGCAATGGGATCCACGATGCAAGCATCTTCTTCTTCGTCTCCTCCTCTCTTTCCATTTCCTTGGCTTCTTTGAACATCAACGCGCAGATTTGGACCAAACAAGACTGAAGCCGCGGCTCTGACGAAACAGCAAGCGATGCCAAGTTTGAAGCCGAAGCCCATTTCTCAACGGCCTCCCCCGCGATTCCGTAAACCGCCATCTTCTCCGCCAACCAAAGCAGTTCCGCCGCTAGCTTCTCCGCGGACTCCTCTCCACCCGAACCGGTTCCCACGGCTCTGACCGCAGCTCTCACCATCCGCTTTAATCCCGGTTCATCTGCATCCCTCCGGTTACGCTCAGCCGCCTCTAACCGGCTCAGCGTTCTGCGAAACGACGCATTTAAAACCCTGCGGTTCAAATCGAACAAGGCGATCGAGTTTCCGGCGTGATTCTCCTCGATCAGTCTCTCCGCCAACGATCGAACCACTTGGTACTTTCTGGAACTCACCGGGATTTCGTTCATAGCCGACAACAACTGCCAAATCGCTCGACCGATTCCTGACTCTTGGCAATCGAGCTTCATCCTATCCTTCTTCGAGTTAGGGTCTGCGAAAGAGACGACCCAAGGAAGAGACCGTAAGAAGAAGAGGAAACATGCAACGACAAATAGACGGAGTTTCTCGATGAGCTTCGAGTTCCCCGAGATTTGAAGGAGAGTTTCATCGGCGAAAACAACGACGGCGACGATGATGTTGCGGAGGAGCTGAGGAACCACAGCAGCTGATGACAGCTTCTCCATCCCCCTCTCCCTCTCTCTCTTCCCTTTTAATTATTAGACAGAGACGGTTACTGAATACCCAAACAAGAAAAGCTCTCTTCTTAATTTTGTAGTTTAACGAAACCTCTCTCCCTCTCTCTCTTTTTATGTGTGTGTGTGTTCGTTCGCTATAGATTATTATTATTATCTTTTCCATTTTTATAACGCGCTTTTGTAGACTATTCCTTTTTTTAAAAGATATGTATATTTTGTTTTTTCTTTTCTAACACCAGTCGAGTTCTTTGGGTATAAAATCGAATTTGAAACAAAGCTATACGACTTCATAATCGAATTGCAATTCCTTGAACCGAAAGAAACAGATATGTCCAGCGAATCATAAGATACGTACAGAGACATGTCTTGCTTAATTATCATCAAGTTAACTATATAACTCAAACTACAATACAACGTTTTATTATTTTTTATTAGTTAACACTCTTTAAGCATATGCCACCATATAGGAAATTTTTCGACACCAATCTTCACATATATAATATATTAAATAATATATATATATATATTTTTAAAACTAAACCCCTATAGACCAACCCAATTGGTTTGTGTGTACAAATGCATTTTCCTAGACGACAGAAATCTATGGGTACATTACATACAACTGAAAAAGAACCAAAGTCTCTATCCCGGACCAAACCCAAACTAATCAATCAAATCCGTCACTCAATTCGAGAGTTATTTCTATTCCAGCTGTATTTACAATGGAAACCTAAAAAAAAAAGTTAGAAAGCATTGTTGATGACGATTGTATACCAGATGGGTGTGTTTATGTACGGGGTTTTCCCCTCAGTTGCACTGATCATCACTCAAATGTAAGAGACATGAACGTGTCGTCATCCAGAAGAGAATCTATGTCTATTAAATCGTCTTCCTCGTTGTAATTTGCGGCTTCCTCTGTGTTGCTATTGTTGTTTCTCAAAGCCGAGCTAGAAGAAGCCTGCTCAAGATTTCACAAAGGTGAGTCTCAGGTTTCAACTATTGAGGTGGATTAGTCTGTCCTGGAGATTCAGATACACAATTGTTACTTACCTCATTCTCACGGAAGCCTTCTACGACTGTCAATAGTCTACGGTATTGAGCCCTTGCCTCTGGATATTGAGCCATAGACTTCACTCGGGTTAGAGCCTTTTGGAGCCTTTCCTCGGTTTGTTTCCTTCCTTCCTTGAGGAAATCATAGTCATCTTCTTGTGGGGCAGGACATACAGGTTCCGGTGGCTTGGTGATTGTATCACGTTTGAAACCACGTAAGCCACTACCTTTACGCCTCCATCGCAAGATGATTTTCTCAAGTAATCCTACGGACCAAATAATGGCTCGGTATTGTTTTCGGACTTGATGTCCTCTCACATGAGCCTAATAGGTTATCAATACAAATCCAGCAATGAGACACAAGAAAAAAAAACTAAGCTTAACATCCTCAACTTGAATTAGAGAAGTAAGTTAGTCAAACCTGAATCTTGACGATTCTTTGTCGGATCAGAAGGAACTCCTTTCTCTTCTTCCAACCACGATATTTTTTCTGGATTTGAACCGCAGCAGCATGAACAGCACCATTACTATGTCCTGGCTTCTTAGTCTTTGCAGCTGCAAAAGAAACAGCTAACTCGTCGGATATATCAAATTCGTTGTCACCACCAAGTTCAGAAAGCTGTTTCCGCTGGAATGACTGCATCCTGAACACTTGATGAAGACGATCAGCTGCTTGCGTAGCATTTAAGACAGCAGTAAGTGAATCCTTCATCGAAAGTGTTTCTGGTACATCACCATAACTCATAGGAGTAGCTGTTCGCTCAGCTACTGTTAGAACAGCTTTTGCTCCAGAGGAGTCAGCGGAGCTGTTTTCCTTAGCGTCCACCGTTAGCTTTTCAAGGTAGCTAGTGAGGGATGACTCTGCAAGGAAACCCGATATTCCCCTGTGTCCGTTTCCATAAGCCAAGTCAGCAGCTGTTTTACCCAAAGGATGTTCCGGAGATGGGTCCGCCAAAGCTCCAGCATCAGCACCCAGAGAGACGAGTACAGCGACAGTATCTTCTCTGAAGTTTAACAGTACAGACAGAGTTAGTATCGATAAGGAAAATACAAACCAACTGTTAGAGTTGAAAACATATTGGTTAAAGAATTTTTAAGAGAAGCTCACTCGGATCATTAGAACTGAGAAATTTAAATCCATAATGAATGGTAAGATGTTTTTATAATGAAAAAGAAAGCAATTGAATGAAGATAATATTGAGGCCCTTGCCTGCCACTGAATGCAGCCCAATGAAGAGCAGACCACCCATTTGCATCGCGGAAGTTAATGCTCACTCCTGCTGCTAAAATTGGCTTTATCGCCCAATCATACCCAAGCGCTGCGGCGAGGTGTAGAACACCCTGTCCAACTTCATCTAATATATTCGGACCCTTGCCCTCTTCAGTCACCTTATGGATAAGCCACAGATATAATTTATCTTCAAACTCTTCCCTAATCAGTCGCTCTTTTGCTTCCAGCTCTGTTGAATCTTTCTCAATTGTTCCGGGGAGAAGCGACTCCTTTTCATCCATTAGCAACATGATTTTGCTGATTTTTCTTCGTTTCTGCCCAACATTTTCAAATATATGGTGTTCTTGAACAGAAGATCTGAGAGCCAGCAAATTTTCAAACCGCAAATGAAGTGATGCTTCAATAGTATTGGCACCATAAACGTCAGTAGCATTTAACTTTCTGGTAGACCCAGGAAGGAAATCGAATTCTCGTACTTCACTGCAAGAGAACCTGTCAGAACATGTAATATAGAATGGGACTCGACCGACTTCATGTGGCGGAGCATGACAACAAAGAACACCATCTACTAAAATCTCAGCTGGAACCTCCACTTCTCCAAACATGCATGACCAGCTGTAGCTAGTTACTTCCTTAGGACTCAACAGAAACGTCCCAATAACCATTACCTGTTTGAAGATTAAAATGGTAGATGAGAAAGGAGTTATCTCCATAAAAGAGCGAAAAAATAAGACCTAAAAGGGTAATACCGTTTCATTAACCATACATACAACAGAACAATAAAATGAAAGTGCTGTTCCAAAGCATATATGGGCTTACCACTTGTAGAAAGATTAGATTATCGGGCAGAAAAGGTGTTCTATGAAAGAAGTTTCAAAGATTTTACAAGAGAAAAGAGTGAAAGAAAATCAAATTTATAAAAAGAAAGAAAAACATGGCAACTTGGATAAGCGAAAAACCATCTTAACAAAATGCTACACCACAGAACCATATTTTTTTTTTTTAAAACATAAAAATTACCTCAACTTCTGAGTCTGTCTGAGTCCATTTGGGCCAAAAGTCGATCATAGTGAAGCGCTGAACCTCGGACAGAGAAGGACTTAAGGAAGACCCAGCTGCTGCAGTTTCACATTCAACAGAAGTCCATGCAATACCTCCAGATGAAGATTGCATTTGTAAGTCCTCCATCTCCCCAAGTTCTTTACTAACCCACCGAGAAAAACTGTCAACCTTTTTCAAACTATCCTCTGTTTTTAGCAATGCTTTTCTAAGAGGTAGTGTTTGGTTTGCACTTGCTTCATATATAAGATCCTCGGGGCCTAATTTAGGTATATATGCTGCTTCATTATTTGTAAAAGGAGCTTGAAAACTACTAGGCTGCTGATTTTGACAGCCAAGAAGACTGGAAAATGTTCCAAAATTTCCATGTGCTCTTTGCCCAAATAAGGCAAGATCAGTAGCATCCGTCATACCAGAATGTGAATCCATGGGCCATTTTTGTAGTGGCAAGCTTTCCTGAACAGGAATCTATAGAGAAGCGAAAAGTAAAATCAGATATTTTCAAAGACGCAACATACATGATGAGAAAATGCATGCTTGAATATTAAGTAAGAAGATTAAAAAGTGGCACCATAAGAAATACGTAGGCGCAAATACTACTTAGATATAAAATAAATAGCTTAGATATAAGTATGCATATATCACCTGCCAATTTACTTGATTTTGAAGAGGATTTCTGAGATGCTCTGCCGTTAACAGGGAACCTGTTTTCCCTTCCATGGGCATCAAACCAAAATTAGAAGGCTGTGTCTGTGTCGATGGAGCATTATAAGGTAGATTCTGGTATCTTGCCAATGAATTCTCAAAGGAAGCATCCCATACTGGGACATCACCTGATCTCTGGGAGTCGCTTTCTTTGACTCTGTTCTCATGAACTTGCGGTACAATTCCAATGGCAGGAGCTGACGTCCAACCATCTCGATTTCCTAGGAAGAGAAGACATTCTCAGTAAACATGCAGAAATTTGGTAAGGTAAGGTAGCCCGTAAAGCAGAAAGCAAATGTAGTACCCAAAACAGAGCTCGTATTAAAAGAATTCATTGTGCTAGCATTCTGATGATGCATTATCTGAGGTTCAGGATTTGGTTGCAAACTGGAACTTGCTTGATGACTATCCCCTGCGTCAAAAATGATATTAGTTTGTGTTGAAGCAGAACCAAGTGCAGGAATATAATCAACCACAGAGGCATCATCACCATCACTATATAGTCTACATTTCTAAACAAAAGATACCAAAATAGATTATATAAGAGAGAAATAATATACCAGAATCAGCATCTTCACATAATGGTGACAATATGCTGGATCGGGTTGCTGTTGAATCAACATTTACAGAACCGGTGCCACTCAAAGAGTTTGAATGGTTCTCTTTAGTTCCACCAGTACTCATCCGGTTACCCTAAATAATAGCATGATGTACAACATTAGATGACTATATCAAAACCACCCATAGGAAAGACATCATCCACTTAAGAAGATTTAATGTTCAGTGATGGAAGTTCATACTTTAAGAGTACAGTACCAAAATAAAAGTTATACCTTAACCTCCAAGTAGTGAACAAAAACAATGTGCATCAGATCCCTGTATCCATATAGCATACAAACAGTGGACATCAGTACTAACAGTGAAAAGTAACACCAAATGAAGAAAAGTATCAACAAGCACATCTCATTCCAGAAGATAGGGATTTTAGAGATCACTTGAAATGGCATTTGGTACAGCCTTATATGAATATTATCTTCTCACAACCTAGTCTCAGGAATTATAATAATATTCCTTTCTCTGTTCTTTCGAGCTCATGTTCTGCTAATAGAATATAAAGGCCATTCCCAGGACACTAGCAGACTACCAGGCACACTTTACATGGTTTGATTTACAGAATAAAAATGCATTGAACAGAGCACAGTAATGCTGAAAAATAAACATCTATGGTGCTGCGCAGAACAAAACTTATGAAATATGGACAAAAATAGACTCACTGTTCAAGCATCCAGTAGCACCGCCTCTGAAAGTTCTCATTATCTTCTCCATGGGCATAGTAACAGTGTAACACATCAATGCTTCCTACCTGTATATAGTTAAACAATGTTACTAATTTCTACTAATCAGCTAGAAAAATCAGTAGTAAAAGCAAGCAATTGGTTCCAAGGTCATTGCATGAATCTGAACTAATATTTAGCGAGGAGACATCAATGAAATTATTAACCTTCAGCTTTTCGTGAGCCTCTTTCACTGTTTTCCCATCTTTCTTCTTCCTCCAGTTGTGCCCATCTTTTCGGAAATATCTGAGCACCTTCCTATCAAAGAGAAAGAGTGAACCACCTAGAGGAGCAGGAAATTTCTGTCAATTTAGAGAAGAAAACCGCAACAAAATTGCTGTCAAAGCATGCAACACACAAAACTTCTTAACTAATCGACTAACAGGATAAATGGGGGAGTGTGAGTTAGAAAAAGCAGGACAAGTCTAGCATAAAGTTCGTTACTACAAGACAGAATTAAAACCCAAGGTAATGTAGCTTTTTCAGTATCCTATTGATCGTAAACCTCATAACTTAATATCTTCCTTGCAAACAAAAATGAAGGAAATCAGCAAAAAACATACTAGGTGGTCGGTTGGGAGGCTCGGACGCAATATGAAACTTCTGATGATTCCGAAGAATTTCACAAATCTCGGCAGGTCTTAGCCACCTGTGCTGTGCTTCTGACAGCAACTGCTTGATATCTACAAGTTCATAAAAGGGCAAGAAACACATTAATGCTACAACTATTTTAACAGTTCCATAGCTAAATATCCATTAACACTCTCTTGCACTAACCAATACTAATAAAAAAATATCAAATGCAACAGAGCAATTCGACTAAAGCGGGAACAACCAACCCAACTAAGAAGCAAAAGATAACTCGTGAATCAACAAGCTAGAATCCTACCCTTCACTAAAATGTTGCAACCGGAAAACAAACAAACTATGGCAATTAAACAAAAACTAACTAATAGTGATCAGATCCAAACAACTAAAAAGAGTAAAAAACACGGAAACAAAGATAGCAAAAAGCCAAAAAAAAAAAAAAAAAAAAAAAACTGTAGATATGGCGAGATAGAAACGCGTAGAGAACCTAATCGAGGAGCAAAGCCGAAAGATCCGCGATCCGCCATGGAACATAAACCCAAAAAAAAAAAAACCAGGGGAGGGAGATCTCTAGCTGTCGAAATCACAGATAAATCAAACGAACGCTAACTCGATCTGGTGTATGTACGAAGAGAGCTCAATAAGAAGCTGTGTATTAAGTTTTCCGAGCTTTTGCAGGTGTGAAAGCGAATCGATGATTTTTGTTTTCCCTTTCTCTGTCTGTCTTTTTTTGGGAGCAGGAAATCGGAAGGAAAGCGCCGATATGGTGGTGGAGCTGGTTTCTTTTATCAAAAAATAATACATTTTTATCCAATTAGTATATTACACGTCGACACTTGTGTGAAATATTTATCCAATGTGTTTCTTCTTTTGCTGAATCATGAATGTAAAAATTAATTATAATCTTACATTGAATACTGCTATTGAAAATTTGTGAAAAGTTTTAGATTTAAGATAAAGATGTTGTCTGATGATAAGATGTATCTTTTAAAATTGTCAAAGATAATTAACCCTATAATTAATGAGTTTAAGAAATATTGCACTTAAAAAATATGACAATAATAATTTGATTAAAAATAGTTTGGGTACTAATTATCATAATGTTTTAATCAAGTGACTTGAAATATTTCTAAAGAAAAATACCAAACACAAATTGTAACCATTTATTACAAGCAACTTCCTCCTCTTTTAGGCTTTAACCGGACTTTTCTCAAGACAGTACAATTAAGCAGAATTAAACCAAACCAAAACATATTGGAACAGGAAGGTTCAGTCAAAACCAACATTCACGTGCTGCTCTGAACGTCACTTCAAGATTCCGACAACCTGAATGTGCGCATTCGTTCATGTACTCCTCCTCCTCCTCATTTCATTAACATTACAATAAAAATATTTCTTAATACTAAAGCAACAGTTGGATATGAGCCATGTGTATTCAGTAGCATTCGACACGAAACAGCTGATTATCACGTCGTCCTCGATATTTTTGTCTTCTAGTTTTGTCTTCTAGTTTTATCTACTACTTTACTCACTAATCTAGTATATAGTCTTATCTCTGAAGAAAAAAGACAGAGTTGAAGCATTTTTATTCAGTCAGACAACAAACCCCTTACCTCAGAAGTGAATCCGTAAGTATAAGATAAGAGGGAGTACCGTGAGATGAGTCAACTCGTTGCGAGAACTGCTTTACGAGCTCTGCTTCTTTGCGGCGGAAGAACCTGTAACATGTTGGTGAGGTCTGTTTCCTCCGCCTCCGTTATTAAAATTCGGGATGAGATAACAAAACCAATGCAAATTCATGATTGGTGCGGCGTTTTTGGCGGTTTCAATATCGGTGCTAAGCATGTGCAAGGTGTGCATATTTGTAGATGATCCTCATATGTATTACAACTTTATAAAAAAATTGTACCTGGCACCAAAAAAGAAATATAAAGTGATTAACATATAACTATGATTTGTATATTCTCAATTTCAAGTAGGGAATCTCAACTTGAAGTGGAGGGAGATGAGTTCTGCGTCGGCCATGGAGAAGAAAGGTGAAAACTCGACCGTGAAGATCAAGGATCAAAACGGCGGTGGATCGGTAGCGGTTCCAAGTTATTGGGGAATAGAGACAGCAAAGATGAAAGTTACTCGGAGAGATGGATCGGACTGGCCTTGGAACTGTTTTATGGTAAAATTATATACATCCCAAATTTACGTTAGCAATTTAATATGTAGTTATACATATATGAAGTATGTAAATTTTTGAACAGCCATGGGAGAGTTACCAAGCAAATTTGTCGATAGATTTGAAGAAGCACCACGTTCCAAAGAATGTCGTCGACAAAATAGCTTACGTTACAGTCAAGCTCCTCCGTATTCCCACCGATATATTTTTTCAGGCATGACCCTCGTTACAATTTAACATTCACTTCTCATTCAAAATGTCTTACATTTTTCTCCCTTAAATGACTGTTAACTAAATGTTCTGTGTCAGCAGAGACGATATGGATGCAGAGCAATGATGCTAGAGACGGTAGCTGCAGTCCCAGGAATGGTTGGAGGAATGCTTCTCCACCTAAAATCAATCAGAAAATTCGAACATAGTGGCGGTTGGATCAAAGCATTACTTGAAGAAGCAGAGAACGAGAGGATGCATCTAATGACGATGATGGAGTTAGTCAAACCCAAATGGTATGAGCGTCTTCTAGTGATGCTTGTTCAAGGGGTTTTCTTCAACTCTTTTCTCGTTTGTTACGTGATTTCGCCGCGATTAGCTCATCGGATCGTTGGATATTTAGAAGAAGAAGCTATACATTCTTACACGGAGTTTCTTAAAGATATCGATGATGGGAAGATCGAGGATGTTGCAGCGCCCGCTATTGCTATTGATTATTGGAGATTGCCTAAAGATGCTACGTTGAAAGATGTTGTTACTGTGATTCGTGCTGATGAAGCTCATCATCGAGATGTCAACCATTTTGCTTCAGTAAGTCTTGAAACACAAACTCTATGACAAAAAATACTTCATTTTTCCAGGTCCAATTCAACCAAACAATCTATACATTCAATTAGGTTGGTGATACTAAAACAACAAACGATCTAAATAGTGAAGTCAACTAAATTTGGTTTAGATTCGGTGCGTAGTTAAAAAGTAATGGTTATATATACACGAGGATTTGTTATTTTTGTGCTGTGTACTTGTGTTTGTGAGATGCTAACAATGTGAGTTGTTTGCAGGACATTCGCAATCAAGGAAAAGAACTGCGAGAAGCAGCAGCTCCGATTGGGTATCACTAACCAATTTCAAAGAGTCTTCTACTTGGGAGTTTTTCATACGAATCTTGTTGAATGTACTAAAAACATGATTTAAGAAAAGTGTTGGTAATAAAAAAAAAAGTTTCATATTTATAAAATTGCGTTTTAACCGTCCCAGCCGTTTATTAATTGCACGATCGATTAATCAGTCACATAACGCTGCTTGCGTTTTGATCCTCTGTTGTACTAATTGCTGTTTAACCGGTACGAATCAATATGTCGGTACCATCCGGTTCGATATTATCATCTTTCTACTTATAGCGCTCAATACGGGTATAAATGTAATTAACAAAAACGAATAGGGGCAAAGTAAAATAAGAAGCCAGTCCACCGTCGTATCTAGTAGATTCCATTGTTTCGTCGTGAGACCAGTTTTAACCTAATTTTTCACTCGCTCTCTCTCACTCCGCCGGCGGGAAAACCATGTCGCACTTCGGAAGGTCAGGTCCACCGGATATCAGCGACACCTACTCACTTCTCGTCCTTAACATCACCTTCCGTAATCTCTAAATCCCTCTAATTCTCTCGAACTCGTTACAATACTGTTCATGGTCACTTGTGAACTGGGTTGTTTCTAAGAGATTAGGGTTTTTGTTGCTTTTTGTATAGGTACGACTGCAGATGATCTCTATCCTCTATTCGCAAAGTATGGGAAGGTCGTTGATGTCTTTATTCCCAGAGATCGAAGGTCCAATTCTTATCTTCTCCCCTTCTTAGTGAGAATTTAGGGTGTCTTTGTTTCTGTTTATATTGAAATCAGTCCGACTTATTTTTCTTTTTTCGTATTGAATGCTTATTGTTGTGTCAATTTTAGGACTGGTGATTCGCGTGGCTTTGCATTTGTTCGGTATAAGTATAAAGAGGAAGCTCAAAAAGCAGTGGAAAGGCTTGATGGTAACTTATCCCAATCTTGTTGTATTCTTTATATATGAGTTATATGCACTTGGGTGCCTGAATTTAACATGACTTTTGTTTCAGGAAGAGTTGTTGATGGCCGGGAAATAACTGTTCAGTTTGCGAAATATGGCCCAAATGCTGAAAAGATGTAAGCTTCTCTCTTTTGCTTCGACTGTTCAAGTTTCTTCTTCAGTTGTTTTTTGGACTCCTAAAGTCATTATAAAGATTTTTGTCTGATCTAATTTGTTGTTTACTCTTAATTTTCGGGAGGTCACAATGAATGTTTCCTCTTTAGACCTCTATGAAATAAAAATCTGCATCTTTTGTTGTATCTTGATTAGTTCGTATTTTTATGTCAGTTCCAAAGGAAGAGTTGTGGAACCACCACCAAAGTCACGAAGGTCAAGGAGCCGTAGTCCTAGGAGGAGCCGTAGTCCTAGGAGGAGTCGTAGTCCTCGGAGGAGCCGTAGCCCGCCTAGGCGCCGTAGTCCTAGAAGAAGCCGCAGTCCCCATAGGAGGTGAAGTTTCTTCTATAATCTGAATGAGTTTGTTCTTTAATCTGAATTCTTTTGATGATAAGGGGATTAATGGTGATGCTATTACTCAACTAGCTTTCGTTACTTGATTCATCACAGTATTCCATCTCAGACCAAGAACAGTATATGTTTGAATAATTCTCTAATCGAGTTATATAACATCCAGGTCCCGAGACGATTATAGGGAAAAAGACTACCGGAAGAGGAGCAGGAGCCGAAGCTATGAGAGACATGAGAGGCATCAGGAGAAGGGTAGAGATCATCGTCGGCGCAGTAGGTCTCGTAGCGCCAGCCCAGATGACAAACGCAGAGTCAGAGGCCGTTATGATGATGCTAGCCGAAGTCGCAGTCGCTCCTTGAGGTTTCTTCCATTGTGAACCTCTCGTCATTTGTTCCACATCACAATCTAAAACATATCCTGATTTCAACTTTTTGACATGCAGTGCATCTCCTGCTCGCCGCAGCCTCAGCCCTAGAAGTTCTTCCCCACGAAAAGCCTCTCCTGATAAGCGTAGCAATGAGAGGTCTCCGTCTCCTCGTCGCAGCCGTAGCCCAAGAAGCCCTTCTTTGCAGAAAGCCTCTCCTCCTAAGGAGATGTCTCCTGAAAGGCGTAGCAACGAGAGGTCTCCATCTCCTTGTAGCCCTTCTCCCGGAGGCAAAGTTGCTGCTGCTTCTCGAAGCCAATCTCCTCATGCTGCGGTGGGTTACAAAAAGCATAGTGCTTTGGATGTGTATCACGAATGAAACTTGTTGTCTGAATTGTGCTTGTTTACATTTTGTTTGCAGGAATGATTGCCGCCACTTGTGAAGGATGCATGGTGTATGAAAAACATGTTTGCTTGTATTGATGATGTTTCATCCTCAAGCACTGGAACGTCTACCCTCTGTAGTATTACTTGCTTTCCGTAGGTGCCCGCAAACTACTGACTGTATCTTTGTTTCTTGTTATCTTTCGGGTTTAGTGTCTATGTGGAAGGATTATTAAGTGTCTGAACCGCCTTTGACTTGTTTGTTTGAGTCTTCTTCGATTTGGAATTCATAGCATGCTAACTCCATTCCCATGGCTTGTCTTGGATTTTTCTAGTCTGGTTCGAGAAAAGAATTGACTTGGAAGATGGCACAACCATGTTGAGATTGTAGCTGTTGATGCTGTTTAAGAAACTGTAGATGGTCGATGCTGTTTATGAAACCGTAGATGATTGATGCTGGTCACAGCATTCTGCTAAACTCTCCCTTCGGTACATAGTAGCATTCTTGTGTCTCTAACTTGTTGCCCAATGCTTAGAAGGGCACGGTTCGTTGAGATTTGAATCTAAGTTCAGTTGAGTTTCACTCATTGTCTCTCTTCTGTTTAAGATTCTGATCAAAAGTAACTAACACAGAAATGAGATCACAAAGAACTAACTTGCAGTTGAATTTGTTTTGGTCTGTCTTGAGTAAGGTAAAGTTGAGTTGGCAAAGAAACCGAAAAAATAGCATGTTCTTGTTATTTGGTTAAGCAATGGTGAGATTAAGAAGCTGTGTAAACTCCAATCTTCGAGTCTCATGGTAAAAGGTCTTATACTTATTTGGCCAATAAGTCAACCAAATACACCCTTTAATCTCCCACTCTATTTTTCTCCCCAATGCTCCTTTTCCAATCTTCCACACCACACTCTCACCATACTCATCCCCTGCAAATATAACGCCCCCTCTCCTCGTAAATGACCTATACGCCCTTGCATACCTATCCTTGAACCAAGACCTCGGGCTCATTATCGAAAACCGTGATGGCTTTGTTGAGAAAACCTCTCTTCCTCCAACACTGCTATCGTACAAGATCCAGTTAAGATTAGCTGTGTAGCCTAGCACGGATTGCTCGAACTTCCATGGGGTCATTGTCATGGTGGAGGCTTCACGTCCAGCGACCCTTAGGCCTAGGGAGTTTGGTGGGTCGAAGGAGCCTTCGATGGATCTCTCTACTTCAAACTCTCGGCCCGGGTTGTTTGATGATTTGCTGACTGAAACGCTTATGAAATCGGTTTGCAGTGTAGGAGTTAGTTGCAGAGAGATCCTTGATGGGAAATGCTTTTCGTGCTCTCCTGCTCCTCTTCTCGACATCAGTTTCTCGTTTACAAGTTTTATTACATCGTATCTGCATCCATTAGTAATGAAGTGCTTATTGGTAGTTTAGTTACCCTCGTTTATTACAAAATTGTCTAAATTGACAGTCAAAATTAAATGAGTACCTAATGTTGTCAATCTTCACGATCACATCGATCCACCTGTCTCTAACTACAACTTTGTGGTTGAATTGCATCACACCTTCAAGCTGATTAAACTTGAGGGAGAAGGACAATTTTGAATCAGCCGTTGGGTTGCTCGATCTCTCTACTTCCATGGCTTCAACGGGACAATACAATTGCACTTTCCACAATTCATAAGCCGAAACGGCGTAAGAGAACAAAGGAGTTGTTGTGGTCTTTGTGGACTGACAACGACGCTGCTCAATGATCCAATTTGTAAACGCTAGATTCACCGTTCTCATCCACTGCTCTTCCAGATTCGACCCTAGAAGCTTCATGAGAGATATAATCGCTTGCCTTACTTGACAAGTAACCAAATGGTTCTTGAGGGTATTGAGGCAGTTTTCACGGAGATACAAAGGAGCTTCGTAGACGCAAACGACGAACGAGAGAGTGAGGATCACAGCGTTGAATATGTCATTGAGACAGTCGATCTTCGATGAACCGGGGTTAGGGATTTTGATCGTCGAATAGGTAGAACTATTAGGTGTATAGGTTAAGATAGCTTCGACGAAATTGAAGAGAAGAGAGATGATTGTTTGTTCATCGAAAGGGTTTGGTGAGTCTGGTTTGATGTTGAGCTGCTGTTTAGTGGTCCAAAGATACAAAGGAGAATGATTATTGGATTGCACGATGATGGATAAAGTGAGAAGTTTAGGGTTAGGGTTCTTTTGTGCTATGAGACTAAGGGTTGGATTCGGGAAATCAGAAGTGGAAGGGCAAATGCAGAAGGAAAGAGAAGTTGTGCGCCATTTGGTAATCTGTGGGATGTTTTGTATCCAAGTGAATACATCAGGGAACTTCTCAAACATCATTTTTTTTTTTTTTTATGTGTGGTTGTGTTTGAGTTTTGTAAGCGTAGACACGTATATATAGATGCACGTTATACTGCATATGTACGTTAAAGGGGATCACGAACATTGAATCATGTGCAGGATTTAGCAAAAAGAAAAATGAAGTGATAAGCTTAAAATTTGCTAAAAAGTGGAATAATAAACTTGGCCATTTCGTAGGAATATGTATTTCATCTATGAAATGGTTTGGATATACTCGTGCGTGGTGAATGATTATTATCGTAACTATCACCTCAATGTGACAATAATATACTGTAATTGGTAAATTACTGATATGTAATTTTGCCATAAATGGAATGCTAATTTCATTTACTTCTGTTAATTGATAATTTGATTATTACTAATGGAACATTTTGAAGATGCCACCTAAAACCTAACATTATAGTATTTTATAATATTATTACGAAAATATAATTTTTAGTATATGGGAAATTGAGTTCTTCTAAAAGAGTATGATAGAGATGGTTTACTGTGCTATGCTATGATATGCATGACAATGGACAAGAGTTGACTAGTAACAGCAAAAAATGAAATTCAGATTCTAAGTCATAATCAGAAAGGATTTATGCATGTTCTTGCTTCTATCCAAAATGTACAAATTAGTATTAGCCATAGTTTTGAACAAAAAAAAATAAAAAAATATTAGCCATATATTCTTTTAACCACTTTCGCAGCGTGAAGTAAACAACCATATGACCTTTTGCATTAATTTTTTTTTTTTTTACTTTACGTATTACTTTGGTTCACCCCCATCTGGTCATCATCTACACGTACGGTGATAGTTTTTACTTTTTAGATACAATCCTAGCTCATTTTTCTTACCTTACTAATCGATCCCTTAAACATAGAAAATTAATATACCTGTAACTGTATACTAATAATTAAGTAAAAAAAGAACAATCAGAAATAGTCAAAAATTCCTTGATTGGTATTTTATCATTACTGAATTTGGTGAATAAATGAAATAAGATAAGCTAAATGAGTTTCTACATAATGAGATAAGTATGCAAAAGGTTCTAGTTCTACCAACAAATTAGATCATTTAGAGAGACACCCACACGCTAAAAACCATGAACCATCACTCTTTCTAATTTGGTCATGATCCTCTTTTTGTGAAATTAGTTAGATACGAAATTGCTTCTTCCGCTGTCATATTAATGCAGTTTCTTGCTCCACACGGCTGGAGATGCCCGTTTCTGAATCTGGCTGGCATCGCAGCACTATCCGGCATGCGTGTGAAAGCAGAGCACTATATGGCATTAAGGCCCATTTCTAAGCTACGGGCCTAAGGCCCATATAAAATTAAGGCAAGAATGAATATACCAAATAACATTTATCTTTTAAGAAATTGTCTCCACAACACACAAGTAGTACAGAACTTTACAAGTGAAAAAGAAAAAGAAAAAAGAACGCATCATCATCAACCATTCACACCGCTTTTTCCCAACCGCTCTTTGCCGCCGAGCGTTTGGATTATAGCTTCCAAGAGTTTAATCTCGTTATCGCGTTTGGAGATCTGTTCTTGCATTCCTCGAAGTTCTTCCATATGCAGTTTGAAAACCTCTGAAAACATGAATGACAAACAATCAAATGTCTCGGTTTCATCAAACCGGAGGATATGAAACGCGTATAAACGTGCAGGTGAGAGAGTGGTGAATCGACTCAAGAAGCTGATTAATCAAAAAGAGTTGTAACTTGTAAGTGAGTGATTGATTATAAATTACATACTTGTGGTGTTCTCTAGCTCTTTCGTGACCTCTAGGGCACGTGATTCAGCAGCCTTTTGAGAAGACTCAGCTTGGCGTTTCTCTGACCGAGCATGAGCAGCAGCTGTAATGGCAGCATCTAGTTCTCTTTCTAGTGTTTGCACCCTTTGCTCAAGAACCTAAAACAAAGCATTGAACAGAGTACAGTGAAAAACCTGGTTTAATACACAAGCAACCATAATTTTGGACACTTATCGGTAAAACCTCAAGGTCCAGCCTTTCCCGATTTGGTGAGCATTTCAAGCAACAATAATAGAGCCTTTGGTGTGATCATTTTAATTTAGGCTTACACCATAAAAATCGAACTAAAAGCTCAAATTTTTTATCCAAAAAAGCCAGAATCATATAATAACAATGTGGTTGTCGCTGATCCAAACAAAGTACTTGTGATCAAGAGATCTGGTTTGGTGATTAAGCATCCATAATTCTAAATTTCTGAGCTCCAGTTCTACCCCAACAATACAATACTACTACTTTAAGTTCCCAAATTCACCATCCAATGCAATTCCAAATTCACACTGAGCTAGAGTACTACTAGAACTACTATCAAATCACCAACGCAATGGTCGAACTATCAAATCACCGACACAATCTCTCGAAATCAAAGAAAATAAACGGAAATTTCAGCCAATTAGCCTCTAAAACATCCAAATGAATCACCGGAAATAGGATTAAACGGACCTTGATTGTTCGAGCTTGCTCGGAGACTAGAGAGGCTCTAGTGAAAGTGTCTTCTTCGACAAAGACTGCTTTCTTGAGAATAAGTTTCTGAAGAGAATCGAGATTTGATGCCATCTCCGTTATATTCTCCAATGATCCTTTCCATCTCTCGTCGCTGCCTTCGATCTGCTCCTCCATGGGAAGAGCTCAAAGTATCTCTCCCGGAGAAATCTTCGCCGGCAAATAAAAAAAACTTGACTCGCAGACCGATCGGAAAAAACAACAACTAAAGATTCTTTGGGCTTTCTTCGGCCCATATAGTATATGATTTTTCATTTTTTATTATCCCAATAGAGCTGTTGTTGTCTTTTAACCGCATGGTAAATGTATGTTTTAATTCGCGAATAAAAAAGCTGATGTCATCATTACGAAGGGTTAGCCAATACGATGATGAGACGTGTCCAGTTTCGAGAACATACTAATGACGTGTACCAATAATAAGACTGGAACTGATAGGATCTCACGCTGCTCTCTCGTCCACAAATTCTGATTTTACACCCCAACCGGCCAGCCCGTTAAATCTTTTGATTGCGTTGACACGTGTCAGTATCATGGTCACTTGTCTTTTGATTCTCCCGAAACAAAAACAATAATTTAAAATTAAAGAAAAAAAAAATTAGGAAGCCTTCATCTTCTTCTGCCGAACATCATCATCTCTAGAAAGTCCTACAAAGGATTTTATTTTTTGTTTTTGTTTATTGGGTTTTTTCGATCTAGCTCCGGTGAATTGAAAATATCGCTAGGATCTGCTGATTGTTTCTGTGCTGGTAAGTTATTTGTATTGGTGAAGTTTTCTGGAGTTGCTAGTGGAAGAATCTGTCTCACAGGTGAGCTTATTTGGTTGAGACTTTAGGGTTCATTTCGAAAGTTTGATGTGGAATCTATTTTCGCTTGAATTTTATTTGATTTTCTTTGGTTCTTATCCGCAATGATTGAGTAGCAGCAGAAGCAAGCTGAGCTGAGGATTTCTCAGATTTGATTTTTTTTTTCTTTTTTTTTCTTTTTGCATTTAGTCTCATTTAATGGTTCATTTAAGTGGATTCTAGTTTGTAATGATCATAGGTTAGCTCGATTTGGTTAGAAATGCGAACACAGAAATGTGAGGATCCGTCTGGTTGAGTAAGCAAGTGAGAAATGGGAAATCTTCTCTTAATACGTTTGCTGTAAGATTTGGCTGTGTAATTTGAGTCTACTTTTTGGATTTATGAATTTTGGAAAGGATGGGTTAGATTTTAGGGGTTTGGATTACAGTTTCTTCTGGATTTTTTTGGGTTTTGATTCTGGATAAGAAAGATTAAGTTTTCCTTTGTGATGGGTTCGATATCTCTTTTATTGGAACTTTCTTCCAGCTGTTTAATATCTTATGTTTCTTATCCAGAACCTGAACTAGTAGTTGGAGTTACATGTTTTGCAATAGAGATGACATATCGGGATAATGTGCATGATTTTAGTGGTGATTAAAGAGTCTTGAAGTTGGGAGGAATGTCGGGCTTGTACATTGATGAGGTGAGTTGAGTCACAAATGATATGTCTGAGTGTCTATGAGACTTTCGTTGTTGCTCTTCTTGTATGTTCCCGGGGGTGTTACTGTTGTGAATCTCTCACTGATAGTGGGTTCAAGATATTCTACAATCTCATACTCTGCTTCTTGTTATCTCTACCACTTAGATTTGTATTAGGTTTTGGGGTTCTTTCTTATATTAGTTGGTTTGATGCTTCCCTAGCTTTTTCTTTCTTCAACTTGCTAATGTTAATTGGTAGCTGAAGTTTTTTCCTATTTTTTTTTCTTTTTTCAGCTAGATGATGATGATTATATTCCAATTGAATTGCTTGGGAACGATGATGGTATAGTTCCAGACTCGGCGTATGAGGATGGTGGTCAGTTTCCAGTTTTAGTTAGTAGCAGGAAGAAACGGAGAAATGAAGATATGGGTAGCGGAACAAACCGAATAAAGAGTAGTACTTTTATCAAGAGGGAGGGCGATATGTTAGGAAGAAATTCATGGCCTAATAAAAACAGTGGTGGCTCTCCGGTGTCAGGCAAAGATGTTCAGGATATCACATTGGAGGATGCAAACATTTCAGATCATGGATTCACTGGTGGCAACGCAAATGTGGCTAAAAAATTCTCCACGGCAGATCCTATGTTGTGTGACAATTCTGCTGCAACACATGATGGAGTTTATAATTATTCCCTCAACAACATTCCGGATGCGGAAAATAATCTCAATTTTTTCGACAATGGAGACAAAGGAAGCAACGATCTCTTCTATGGCTGGGGTGATATAGGAAATTTCGAGGATGTGGATAACATGCTGAGGTAAAACTTCAAATATTCTTATGTAGAATCTTTAACGCTTTGAGGCTCATCATTTATAGGAGAAACATGGTATCATCGTAATGAGCTTACACTTGAATTTTGGGCCCTGCAGGAGTTGTGATTCAACTTTCGGCTTGAATAGTCTTAATAACGAAGATAACTTGGGCTGGTTTCCTTCTGCTCAGCCAAATGAGGAGACAGAAGGTGCGATGACAGATGATTTAAAACCAGACAAAATGTTGGAAAATCAAAGAACCCCTATGTTGCAGGTTGAAGACTTTTTGAACAACAGTGAGTCCAACCATAGTTTGGAAGATGAGTTTGTATATACTGTTGACGGAAGTTCAGCTCAAGGAAAATCATCAGAAAATGTATGTGATTCGAGTTCTCAAAAGACGGATATATTAATGCTCGATGTCGAGGTTAGTCAATTTCATTTTCAGTATTTTTGTGCCTTCCAGGACACATGCCATCACTAGTTAGATGGGATGTTGTCTCTATTGATGATTTTTTCTTTGGCTACTTACTGCATGTTTGGCGTACATTGCTTTTCTATCCTCAGTTAAATTCTTTTGATATGAATATGCTGATTTTTACAGTTTTCCGTCAATGGTGGTTTATGATTTTTGTAGCGGCTAGTAGATATTCTGTTAGATAAATATCTCCAGTGTTAAAATCTTGATATTGTTCCTGCAATCATATTAGTCCACTCTTTTGTTCTACAGGCAAATTTTGAGAAGAATCAGATTGATCATCTTAATCATCTGCATGGGAAAAGTGATGGGTATTTAGATAACAGTTTTTCTTTACAGAATAGTGGTCTTTCCGGGGAAATAAAGGACACAGACCAGTATAACTCTCCCTCCGAATTCCAACAGCAAAGAATTTCATTCTCACATTCCAACTGTGAGCAGCCTGCCGATCAAGTATCAGCATGTGAAAGTAAATCTGGTATCAAATCCGAGAACAAAGCCAATCCTTCCTCTGCTTCAAATGAGTCATACACATCAAATCAGGCACAGTCTGTAGAGAGCTTACAAGGTCAAACGGTTGATGATCAATGTAGGAGGGGATTCAAAACGAGAGTTAACTTGCAGCCGGGGCAAAATATGCCTCCTTCTTTTGCTGCAAGTACTACGAAGAGTTGTAAGACAAACCCCATGGTGTTTCCTGATGCTGCTCCTATCCAGAAGATTGAGCTTGAGAACGACCACAGGAAAGCTGCAGCTGAATTCGAAACATCAAATTTGCAGGGAAGTTCTTGTGTTAGCTCTGTTGTGGATGACATTTCACTGGAAGCAACAAGTTTTCGCCAGCTTCAACAAGTTATAGAACAGGTACAACTTCAATACATAATGGATGATACAGGGGAAAAAGTTTTCCTGCGAGTTCTGTAGGTGATCGGTAAAAACTTGCTGTTCCACTGTGGTTGATATCAAAGTATTTTTATCTTAATAAATTTACATTTACAATTTTTACTTGGTTGCTTCAGTTGGATATTAGGACAAAGCTTTGCATAAGAGACAGCTTATACCGATTGGCAAAAAGTGCGGAGCAGAGACATAATGGTGGAAACAGACAGGAGAAAAGTGCTGGCTCGCATCTCGTGACTGGTGAAACAGACAAGTAAGCTCCACCCTACATCCTTTATGTCCTGTTTCATGAGGCCAACTAATAACTTTAAATAGGGTTAGACTCAAAGTGTTGGACAGATTTAGTAAACTTCTTTAAAAGCTTCTTTCGGGTACTTGTACTCATCCTTCATTTCTTGTAGATTCTAATCTTTGATATCTTTATTTGGTTTCATCCAGGTATGAAGGATTCATGGATATTGAAACTGATACAAACCCGATAGACCGATCCATAGCTCATTTGCTGTTTCACAGGCCCTCGGATTCATCCCTTTCGTCAGATAACGATGTTCTCTCTTATAAATCTCATCCAATGGTAAATAAAACAAACCCTTAAACTCTCACAGAGCCATTTAACTAGCAAACTGAGTCGCACTGTGCCTCATTTTAGTCATTATAACCTCCACAGATTCCTCAGCCCAATAGTAGTCCGAGCCTGAGGATGGAGAAACAAGAGGAAACTCCAAAACTTAGACCCGAAGCAGAAGTTGTAACAGATGACAACAACTAATGATGTCAACTCAAACTGGCTCTTTCACTGCCGAAGCATTCGAGATATGGTTGTTAACATTAATCTCGATTTTGGCTAAGCGAAATTGCTCATGCTAGTTACCAAATCCTGACTGCTTCTTTCATTAGAATCATGGATGTAACACAGTTGTATGTAAGTGTCGAGATTCGGTTTGTACCTGATTGTTCACCTGGTTACTTGAACCGGGTCTTTGAGATATGTTTTAAGTTGTTAAGTAGACGAATGTGTAGAGACGTAGCATTTCTGTAGATAAGGATGTTATTTTTTTTTTCCTTTTTTTGTAATGCCACATAATATCCTGCTGTGTATTTGCGGTTTTTTTAATAAACTATGTATTTAGGGGTTTTCTTTTCTAATAATGATATGATGATTACACAGATATACTAGTGTGCGTTACAGAGGACTCTCTCTCTTCTCTCTTTCGTATCCTTTAGAGAGAGAGTCGAACTTTGTTCTTTAGTCCGCCGTCCGGAAACTCCGGCAAGGCCGTCCGGTTAGTTTTAACCGGCTTCAGCCCAACATCCATTGGCAATTCTCATGCTATGGTTGGTTGGTTCTCTTCTTGACATCTTCTGGCTCTGTTAGCGGAGATGGTCGGTTCTCATCCGGCAAATCGACTTCTACATGCGGTTTGGCCGGCGTAATAGTTGCTTTTGTTTTGAATCGGTCTTAAACTGATTGTTATAGTTTGTTTTTACTTTTTATTATCTTTAGATTTTATGGTTTTTTTTAATAAGCGCCTCATATCTGGTTTGGGGATTAGTGTTGTGTGCCTTAAATCTATTAATCTCTGGCTAGATCTTTTGAAGATTTCGAGTTACAGGAATCGCTTAGAGATGACATCTCTATTTTGAAGGAGCGAAGAATTTTCCGACGCTTATTTGGATTTCCTTATGCTGTTAACTATCATGAATCTTTGATGGTTAAGCTTCCGTGATTACCAAAAGAATCACAATACAGTTCGATTGTTTTTCGACGATGATTCTCTCACCGGAATCACTGCTCAAACAGCAGAGGTTGTTATCGGAATCCTTCTGATTACTCATCTAACACGTATTGAGGTTTATCCTCTTGATGACACGTGTTTTTAGATTGAGTCAAAAGATCAAAGATGATATTTCTTCTCAGGAGTCGGTGTTATTTTGGTAGGCTCTGGTTTGGGCCTCAACTTTTCTGTAATCTCTTAAGAGGCTTGTATGTTGAACTTTGTATTGTTCGGATGTTTAATATAATATTTCATTTGAGAAAAAAAAAAAAAAAAGATTACACAGATATACTACAACATTCCGAAAGCAATACAAATTCCATTAATTGCGTAGATTAAGATTAAACTTTGTGTCACAAGCTACGTTACACAAATTGGATTTGGATGGTACAATGTTGTAGAAGGATAAAGAAAGTTTTGAAACATTCTAATCGAAAGTTTGCCTAAGCTGCATCTCGGTTTCACTTTTCCAAGAAGCATGAGAGGACTGTCCTCTCATTCTTTTGCTCTTCTCTTTGTCTTTGATTGTAGAGCCTTTCTTCTTAGCGTCTAAGTCTGGTAGAGGCCGGTCACCACAAATCGGGCATACCATTCCTCTTGTGCTTGTATATGTTTTTGGTACACCGCATTGCAAACACATCCTAAACTCATCAAAGAAATCCTAATTCAGCGAACAATGTGCAAATTTAAATTTAACAAAGAATAAAGAAGAGACCAAGGTTATTCATTACCTCAAGAGATCTGCTGATTCTTCTGCGTTAGGAATGGTTGCAGTAGCTATCCGCTTCTCTCCACTCACTGAAGATGGTGGTGCATCTATATCGTTTCGTACTCTCTCGTGGATTCCTACTAGTTGAGGTTTTGCTTCCATGACAATACCTACAAGCCATTGAGGGCAATACTCCAAACCCGTCAATGCTTAGATAGAGAGAATACAACAGTTCCATAAACAGAACTGCGAAGCTGGATAGATAGAGCTTATAAAACAAAGTGCCTGGTTTTCTCAATGTTAAAGCTTGAAGTACCAAAACATGCTTCTAGAGCTAAAATCCAAATTTCACATCTATATTCTAGTTACCACCAATATGTAATCTTGTGAACTTTAAAACAAAGGAATGTGAATACTTCAAATATCATCAAAAGATAAACCATTTCAAATTCAAAATAACCAAAGTGAGACAAAGATGCAAACAAGCTCGTACTACCTTTTGGCTTAATTTTCTTCTTTTTGCGACTAATACGATTTGCATGCTCTGCATCTCTCGCTGAAGCTTCTTCATCCGCTTCTGTACGGTTGTTTAGAAACTCCGGTGGCCCTGAAATCTGCAAAACCAAATAGAAGCAAAACCTCATTAATTATAAGCTTTTCCAAGTAGGCAATTAGTTCATAGACTTGCAAGGCCAACGAAATCTAAGAGGTTTTCACTATCAGCAGAGCTCTCTAAATGTTCAAATCCCGAACCTACTCACTCTCAGAAACCCCTTAATCTCAATCACATCAATTTACAGATGTAAGTGACTTTTCTTCTTCCATAATATGAAATCACTCAATTTCGTCGCGAATCTCTTCAGCGAAAACGAGAAATTCGATGAATTATGGCGTTTTAAGAAGATTAAGGAGAATGATGACCTGAGAGAAAATATCGTTAGCTGAAGGAAGGCCGGAGTCTTTAGCGGAAGAAGCAGATGCAGAGAAATCAAACACAGAAGACGATTCATATCTCCGAACACCATTGTTACTCTCATCTCCGTCGGAGTTCTCGTAATCCTCAATATTTCTCTCTTCCGCTTCATCATCTTCCGCAGAAGAATAGCCTTGAAGCAGCGTCAAGCTCATCTTCTTCCAAAGTTCCGATCTGTCGCCGCAAAGAACAACTTTTGTTAATTGATGCTTTAGCCCCTTAAAAATCAATCCTCTCGGTTCCCATAACCCGGCTGAAGCCAAACCGGAATTAAAGTCTGCTATCCCGGATTCTCCGGTTTAGCTGGGAATATTTATAAACCGATTTGGTCTGCTGGTGCGGCAAAAACCTTGAAATGATAAGAATCTTCCCGAGTTTACGGTTTACTCCTCTGCTCTCTGCCGCTAAACCTTTTTGCTCATCTTCTCCGACGAGAGAACCACAGCAATACGCGTCGTGTGTAGAGGCTAAAACTGCTCCGGTGCCTAATTCTCTCAGTATAACTCCCAAGACTCCACTGTTCCTTAGAACGCCGTCTCACGCAACTTCTCTATCGGAGGTTTGGAAATGGCACGATTGGGCGAAAGATCTTGCCTCATCTGTAGAGGAATCTTCGAAGAATTCTGAAGATAGCCTTGACCCTGTTATACTCCACCGTGAGCTAAAATGGCTGATCGAAGACTCGATCATAGACGATCCTTTGGTGATTCTCCACAGAAGTGAAATCGCGGACGGCGGCGAGAAGAATGTGAAATTGAGAGCGTCATTGGCGGAGCTGTACGATTTGTGGAGGCAGAGGATCGAGAAGCGTCGGCCGTTTCAGTACGTCGTCGGATGCGAACACTGGAGAGATTTGGTGTTGTGCGTCGAAGAAGGCGTTCTAATTCCGAGACCAGAGACGGAACTGATCGTTGAAATGGTGGAGGAGCTTGTAACGAGCGATGAACAGTATAAGAAAGGTTGTTGGGCTGATCTCGGGACAGGGAGTGGTGCAATTGCGATTGGCATTGCTAAAGTATTGGGAAGCCATGGGAGAGTTATAGCTACAGATCTCAGTCCAGTAGCGATCGCCGTCGCTGGCCACAATGTGCATAGATACGGCCTTCAGGTTAGTTGATTTTCATGTTATAACTATTGTGTTTATGGTATTCTCATCTTTCAACATCAAAATAGTGATGGACTAATGAATTTGAAGCTTTGCTATATATATATATATATATAGTAAATTGTCAATTGAACAACTTTTCTTGCATCATTCTTTAGTTTGATATCTTCTCATAGTATATTTAATAGATGATTGATGTAAAGGGAAGGATCATGTTTTTGATCCCTTGAAAGATTCAGCTTTGTGTTTTTATTCTCACCATTGTGATTTGTGATAAAATCTGACTAATCTAGGGGATGGTTGAGCTGAGAGAAGGATCTTGGTTTGAGCCTTTGAAAGATCTCGAGGGACAACTCGTGGGGCTTGTGAGTAATCCACCATACATACCAAGTGATGACATTCCAGGTCTACAGGCTGAAGTTGGTAGACATGAACCGAAACTTGCATTGGATGGTGGTTTCGATGGCACCGATAGCCTTCTCCATATCTGTCATGGGGCTTCCCGGATGCTTAAATGTGGTGGCTTTTTCGTGTTCGAGGTACCTACCCTTTTTCACTCTCTTTCCAAATACGTTAGTAGGAAGATTCAATTGGTTTCATATGTTTCTCTCCCATCTAGAACCTGCGAAGTTAGTATTGGAAGAAGATTAAGATTACTACTTAAAAGATAAAATATGGGTTGGTCAATAACTCAATGTTCATTATACCTTCACTTGATTTGAAGATGTTTTGCATTTGTACTAATAAAATATATCATGTCCACCATGAATGATTGATCCGATTGGTTTATGATGATGCAGACCAATGGAGAAAAGCAAAGCAAGATGATCGTTGATTACATGATGACCAATGATCTCAAAGACTATTTCTCTGATTTGAAGATAGTTTCTGATTTTGCTGGAATCAATCGATTTGTGACTGGTTTTCGTCTGTGAGGATATTACACAACTCGCTGTGGTGAGCTACGTCCCAATACTTGTAGACTGACAAGTTAAAATTACAGTAAATCTGTACTAATTGAACTAAAATAATTTATGGCTTGGTTATCTTCATTTCCATCAAATCATGACCTAGTACACTCATACGAGACCATTGTAATATAAATTTTTTTTTAAAAAAAAAAAAAAAAAAAAAAACAGCATTGAAAGTGATCCAATATCATAGCTGGGTACTTGTCAGTTGTCACTAGTTGTGTGTTACGTTAGGTATTTTAATTGTAGTCTGATACGAATATGGGCTTTTCAGCCCATAAACCCATATGAGTTCACATTATCTCGTAGGTTTGGCCCATTTGTGCTATATAACCACTAATAAATTCATTTTTTCAGCTTCCTGCATTTAGGGTTTTGTTTAGCAGTCTCGATTTCGCCTAGCTTCCTGAGCTTCCGCCGCATCCGTCTACAGGTTCGTTCATTGTACCATTGCTTTGATAATATCGTCGTGCCTCCAGTCCTTACTCTTAACATGCCCGTAGAAGCTACCTGCGATGTTTGTATAGTTTGAATTTCTAAGATTTCTCCCTGTTTTTTAGTATATTGTTGTTCGTTCTACAATTTTTTTTTAAAGTAACACGCTGCTTGATGATCGATCTTACGAGTAGAAGATTTAGTTGAGTTAGATAAACCATGAATAGATGATGATCTGTGGAACACGGGAACAATATAGTTAATTCATTAGTTTTTATTTAAACTCTCTTGTGCAGTTGTGCTGTGAATTGATTCTAGTTGCAGTGCTTAATTTGTACGACCTTTTGGGTGATTTCAGATTGTTTTGTGTTGATTTAGTGATTTGGTCTGTTGAACAGTAACAATCATCTGGTTCTTTCATATTTCGATTTGAGCTGAGATTAGTATGAAGAAGTTGACATGCCACTTTTGTATGTATGCAGAATGGATTCTCAGATCAAGCACGCCGTGGTCGTAAAGGTCATGGGCAGGACCGGTTCTCGTGGTCAGGTGACTCAGGTTAGAGTTAAGTTCACTGATTCAGACCGCTACATCATGAGAAACGTGAAAGGACCGGTCAGGGAAGGAGATATCCTCACTCTCCTCGAGTCCGAGAGAGAAGCTAGAAGACTCCGTTGATTCCATTCTCTTACAGATGTCTTCTCAAATTTTACATTTTGTGATGGTCTCTTGTTTCTTGGTCTTGTAGTCCAAGTTTTTTTCCTTCTTTCTTTTGCTGCTTTGTTTTTAATTAATTACTTGAGGTTTTGTTAAGACAAAGTTTGAATCTAGGAATGAATCTTTTATAAAATCATGAAAATGAAAATGTGCTGCTATTATTCTCAACCAAGTGAATCACGAATAGGGTTCTGTTTTAACAATTTTTCCCACGACGTATCCTATATACTTAACAGCTTTTACATCGTTAAAAATACTTTAATTGTAATTTAGTAATCTGTAAACATGATTGGTTGCTTTTTTTTCCTTTTCTTTTTTTTTTGATTGGTTAATTAATTGAATTATTCTTTTCTTATCTTTTAACAATGAATGACACATGTCGCCCAAAATATATTAATTTAAAAAGTGTCACTAATAAAAGAATATAGCATGAGGGAAAAAACATATGATAGTGGTGATGTCCCAAAATTGATTGCAAGTAGTGGTTGTTGGCTGGAGGCCAGAGGTGGTGACGGCTAAGAACCGGAGGTGATAGACGTGGCTAAAGGTGGTGGACGTGGCCGGTGGTCGAGGCTGAAGTTGGTGATAGATAGTCGGAGGCCGAAGTTGGTCGTCGATGGTCCAAGGTCGGAGTTGGTGGTGCCCGATTGCCAAGAAGTAGTAGTTGGTGGCCTATAGTCGAATGAGGTGGTGACCGATGGTTGGGGGTGATGGTAATAAGGAAGTAGGGGTAGTGATTATGAATACACATAGTATATATTGTAGTTTATATAGAGTATATCATTTTTTAATGGTTGTGTGTATTGTGTCAGAATGACATTATTTATTAACAGATGAGATGAGGTATTAAATAGATCCCACAAATGTGAAAACCTTCGTCTTCAACGGTTTAATAGATTTGTCAAACCCAAAAAAGAATATTAATCACGTGTTTTAACCTTCGTTTAGTTAATCATAATTACCAATTTAACCCTCGTACCGCGTTTCTTTCTTACCCCAAATCATATCTCTCTCTATCTCTGTCTCCCACACATCATCTCTCCTTTATATTTCATTTCACATTTCTCAAGATCTCCCCATTGACAACAACGACGAACTCAGAGGGAGCCATATCAATCCTCTTCTTCTTCCTCTTCCTCCTGGTGCGTTGAATCTCGATCTCTTTTTTTTTATAAACCTTCACTTATAGGTGTTTCGTTTCTTCGTATTCTTATCTCGATGTTGATGATGATGATCTTCGATCGATTGGGATTTCATTACTCTCTACATCGTTATGTCATTTTTACAATCTTGTATACACATGAATCTGATTGTTTATCGCTAGGGCTTTGATTGTGTTAGCTCTCTGATTTGAGTTTTCATTGTGTCATCCACTTCACCGTCGGTTTTGTTGTGATCTGATCTTTTGGCGTTGTTTTTGTTGGATTTTGGCTTCTTATAATCCTTGTCTATATGCATTGTGGAGATCTGATTCATATATATCCTTTTTTTGGTTTTGATTTCAATCTCGGAATTGATTTGATTAAAAAGTAGAATCCAAACTCTAAATCTTATGTATTACCATTTGTGATCCCTCAGTTTTTTTTACATACATAGAGATCTTTTGAAATGAAGTATTATATGAGATAAGCTTTTGGAGGCTTTGTCTATTTTATGGAGTATACACTCATTTGTGTATTCAAGTTTGGATTTTGTTGTGCTGCCTCGAGTTTAATAGGTTGTTCATAGCTAGGCTCATTCATGATCTTGAGCTATACACTATTTCAGAGCAGATGTTTGGGCACAGGATTATGGAACTAGTATCAAATAGGAAGCATATCAATTGAACAATTATTAATTAGCTTCCTTTAATTGATGTTTGTTTTTCATTGATGAACCCTGGAGAATCCGCTTCTGTTAATGGTTCATGAGTTGTGTGTATTTGTTAAGTAATGTCGTGTGATATATATTTGTGCAGCATATTTTTGGTTTTGGTGGCGTTGAGACATCATCATAATGTCTAGCGCAGGGGATGTGAAAGACCAATCAGTGGAAGGAAACCTCACCAATGAGGCTGAGAAGTCAATGCCATCATCACAGCAGGAGGTTTCCATCTACTTCTCACACTATATAATGATCAATAAACATAACTTAAGATGATGTCATGATCTAACTCTTTCTTTAATTGCATTGTGCAGGAGGCTGCTGTAAAGAAGAAGTATGGAGGGCTCATGCCAAAGAAACCACCACTCATTTCCAAGGTAGCTTATTATCTGGTCTAATTTGGAGAATTTTTGGTTTTTAGTCGATCTTCATGAGATGTGATTTTATATCAGGATCATGAGCGAGCATACTTTGACTCAGCTGACTGGGCTCTTGGAAAGGTAATATTTTGAAAGTTTGGTTCCACGAGTGTTGTCTTTTTTGGGTTGTCATATATAAGATGTCTCTAATGGTAACACTCTCTCAATTCTCACGGTGTTCTTATTAAATGTCTAAAACAGCAAGGTGTTGCGAAGCCAAAGGGACCCCTTGAAGCTCTTCGTCCAAAATTACAGGTAACTGAACTTGAAACACGTTTCAGCTGTTTTCTCTGTGGTTTGATTCCAATTCTAAGGTCTTGTCCCGCTTTTGCAGCCAACACAGCAACAGACGCGTTACAGGAAGTCTCCAATGACTCCATCTGAGGGTGGTGAAGGTAATTTTCTTCATCTTTCTGATCATCTTCCATCTCAAAGAAATTTACAGACTTGCTGATTGGTACTGTTGCTCTGATATCGTATTACAGATGGAGGAGCTGCTCAGGCTGAGGGAGGTTCAGGCAATGAGGCGTAGAGAGATTATGTATGAAACCTCTTGTGTAAGAATTCTGTTATAATCAGATATTTGCTGTCCATTTAAAACATCAGAAATATGGCTTTCACTAAATCTTACTTGATCGCATTACGGCAGCTTTGAAAATGATAGTTTAGCCCTTTCGGTCTGGAATCTCTGGCTATATACCTAAACAAATTTTATGAGAAGCCTTCCGAAAGGCCTAAAAATATATGATATATATATATATATCTCTCGTCATGGTTAGCTAAGTTATCATGACTCCTGAATCCTGATTGAAAAATGATGCTACCAAAAAAAGCGCGATAACATTAATGTTAGGAGGCTAAGTGATAGTCGTTTTCTCCATGCAAATGAAGATATCTCATATGCGAGTTAGTAACACGATGGCCCTAGTTAAAACTAAAAGTAACAGATTTCTTTTCTCTAACGTGTGTACTGTTAATATATACTATTATAGGGGATTGTTATTTACTTGGTAACTATTATTACTCTTTTCACTATCATTAGGCTAATGTATATTCATTTATTACTGTGTCGTAGAGTTTTCCTAAACACATGTTAATCTTAGATCATCTAAACATTCTCAAACGAGTATATTTAACTAGCAACTATATTTAGATGATCATGGTTAAATTACTATTCGTATTGATATATTAAGTGATGTTTTAGGTTTATTTTTTCATTTATTTTATTTTATTCTAAGTGATGATTTCGAAATTAATTTAGTCATAAAATAGTATGTAATATACCCCATCGACATTATCGTTAAATTTGTAAATACGTATTTTCATCATATTACATACTATTTTAAATATTTGTAGGATTCATTTGCATTTTTGGAAATTAATGATAAGATTAAAAAACAAATGGCTATATATGTTTGAGGATTTTTCGGAAAACCCTTTTAAATATATATATAGAAAATATGTATACTTATATATCGTTTGGCAGTAGACGTTGGAGTTAATCGAGGCACTCGACAACTATCTTATTCAAACCAAAAAAAAAAAAAGAAGAAGAAGATATGATATTGAACTCTTTAGTCAGCTACATGTTGTTCATCATCAATTTTGTCTGAATTACAAAGTCTAAAATCATTTTTTCTTCCGCACAAAAACAAACTCAACTTAATATTCTTCTGAAAATCCGTAATATCCCCATGAAGTGTAAAATTGTATGGTTGGATGGAGATAGAGAGGTATTCATCAGAGTCAAACTTATAGTCTAATTTAATAAAGACATGCATATATGCTAACCAACCAATACAAACAAACGCATACGTTGGCAGATATTGTAAAATACATATAAACAAGTTAGAGATACTGATCTATAATTTTTAGTAGTTATATGTCAAATCCAAAAATAATGGATACAGACACAATCGTGTGTTCACTGAAACTTCAAACACACATGACATCAAGGAAAACAAAACGAAAGCGAAAAATCCGGAAGATTTTTGGAAGCCGGAGAACTTTAAACCGGAGATACTTCCAAAACCACTAATTGCCGGATTCCGCAGCCTCTTCTCGACCGACTCTTCTTATGATGACAATTCGCTCAAAGTCAGCTTCCAGAGAACCTTATCAATTTCGATCTCTTTTATTCTTATATCTGTCTATGTATTTTTTTTTTTTTATCTCCCAAATTAGTTCTCTCTTCGTCTATGCATACATTTACTGGACGTATTATTCATTATATGCATGCATATATATCTAAATTCTATTATACATCGTGTAACTAAGTAACTTAATTATACACCATCAACATGAAGGGAAGTATATTACAAAATTACAATATTTTCATACATGTAAACGCATATAGTAAACAATCCTAATTTGACACAGTCTTGGTCATAATCTGAATCTTATTTCATATTCAAGAAGAACTAATATATATAAAATCAAGCTTTTGACCCAAAAGAAACTAACAAAATCATTATATTTAGAGAGGAGTATAGACAAATAAAAGCTCATGATATTCTCAGGATCGATGATCATCTAGATCTTATCTTGTATACAGTCAGCGGTCATGTTTCTGAGGAATATCAATTAGAACAATAATACTATATGAGTCATGTACCAAAAATATAAGCTTCATCTAAATCTTTAGTTCTTCGTGTGATCTACATATATTTGAAGTGTTACTAGCCTTTGGAGATAATGTGGTTTTCACCCACCCAAGTTAGGTTTTTTTTTTTAAGTTGTGCAAGTTATGGTTTGCCCAAAAGTCGTTTGATGAACAAGATAATTAGTGATTCTGTAAGGCAAGGGACCAGGATTTGTATAAACTTCTTAAGAAAATAAATCTCCTTTGTGTCTTTTACTCTCTTTTTTATGCGTTACGTTATTATCCATTAGTTTTTCTTTTGGCTCTTGCACTATAGTTAACACATCGAAAAAAAAAAAAAAAACACATCGAAAAATATACTCCGATATCATGCTTTCTATTACACTTGCCACTATATATCTCGCACCAATTCTCAGAGTACTTAATTTCCATAGTTTGTAGAATGAAACCAGATTTTCTTGATATTTTAAGACATCTCTACATTACCAATCATCATGCATGATTCTAATCAAAGCGTAACCGAATCATGTCAGAAGTAACTTCATTTAATTCACAGTGTAGCTTTAAATTGAGATATATACCTTCGGATATTTTCATATTAAAATCCACTAGGCAGAGACTTTTTGCACTTTGTAAGTAAGTACGCACAGTATTTGTCGTTCGTTCTAATCCTTCTCTCTAGCTAATTGAGTGTGAGAGATATCCACCTACCAAAAATTGGATGTATTCAGATTTTCCACTCAATAATTAATAAAAATAATTATCCTCATTAACAATTTTATATATTTGCTGTAAATGAAAACCAAATTTCAAATTTCCTACGCAAACAATATTTCTATCATTCGTTACATATATATTCAATCAATTTCACGGGAATGATCAAAACAAACAAAATCCAAAACAAATTGATTTTAAAGTCAACGAGTCGACCAGCTCACACCGCAAAGAGACCAGCAACACGCGCTTTTGAATTCTCTCACTAACGATGTCGTTTTGTCTAAAATACTCTAAATCTCCAGTCTCCACAAACACTAAAGCCGGATTAGTTGACTCAACACGTCATTCTTTGACTTGTCAATCTCCTCTCTTTTTTTTTATTTTTTATTTTATTTTGTGGTCTGTCAATCTCCTCTCTATAAATAGTATTCTAACAACGAGCTAATTCCCTACTCACTTAAATCTACTTAAACACACACTTCATCTTCTTTAGAGCCCTAAAAATATAACTTCAAGATGGGTTTGGTTAGATCATTGTGCTTATTTATAACCTTCCTTACTTGTCTCATCAGCTCGGTCCATGGCCAAGCCGCCGCAAGGCCGGGTCCTGTTTCTGGCACAAGGATCGGGTTTTATGCGACCACGTGTCCTACGGCTGAAACCATCGTCCGAAATGCCGTGAATGCTGGTTTCAGTTCCGACCCAAGAATCGCACCCGGGATTCTGAGAATGCATTTCCACGACTGTTTTGTCCAGGGTTGTGACGGTTCCATCCTTATATCGGGTGCTAACACCGAGAGGACCGCCGGTCCGAATCTCAACCTCCGTGGATTTGAAGTCATAGACAACGCCAAAACGCAGCTCGAAGCAGCGTGTCCGGGAGTTGTCTCTTGTGCTGATATTTTAGCCTTAGCCGCTCGTGACACTGTCGTCCTCGTAAGCAAATATGCAAATGAATTTGACTTTAAAGTGCATGAATTTTACTTGTCTTATTTTAGTATGTAAATAACACGTTATACGTGCATGGGTTAATTTGCATGCAGACGAGAGGATCAGGCTGGCAAGTACCAACGGGACGTAGAGATGGTCGCGTTTCTTTGGCGTCTAATGCTAACAATCTCCCTGGCCCCCGTGACTCTGTTGCCGTTCAACAACAGAAGTTCTCAGTCTTGGGACTCAATACCCGTGATCTCGTCGTCCTATCTGGTAAGTACTATATATAAACTTAACACATTCAAGAACTCTAACACTCCATGTGTTCATTGAATACTTGGCAACCGTCAAGTACCTAAAACATCTTAATTGCCGAACCTCTTAAGTGCGTGAAGAGACTATTAACATTAAGAAGAAACATTATCTGCAAATCCTTAGGATCAGAATAATTAATAACAACATATATATACTAAATCAATATTGGTACATGATTTAACAGGAGGACACACGATCGGAACAGCAGGATGCGGTGTATTCAGGAACAGGCTTTTCAACAGCACCGGACAACCCGCGGATCCAACCATAGACCCAACATTCTTGGCGCAGCTTCAAACACAATGTCCCCAAAACGGAGACGCTTCAGTGCGCGTTGATCTTGACACCGGAAGCGGAACCACTTGGGACACTTCTTACTACAACAACCTAAGCCGTGGTCGTGGAGTTCTCCAATCCGATCAAGTCCTTTGGACCGATCCAGCCACTAGACCCATTGTGCAACAGTTGATGGCTCCTAGAAGCACCTTCAACGGTGAGTTTGCGAGGTCAATGGTCAGGATGAGTAACATTGGTGTCGTTACGGGGGCTAATGGCGAAATCCGTAGGGTTTGCTCTGCGGTTAATTAATTAAACCCGTCGTGATAAAACTTTCATGGCGTTAAGTACTTGTTCCGAGTGTGATTTTAAATTCCAACAATAAATAAACCAATAGTAAACGACATAAGAAAAAACCCAAAAGTGGGTTAACTAATGAAAATTGTATCTATATATATAAAGTGTTGGTATTCGATTTCTTTTGGTTTGGTTTTTATTAATAAAATGTTATTTCATCACAAAAAAAATTATGGCTTGGTAATTAAATTTTGTGAGCTATGTCAAAACATATCTTAATTTCGTAATACCATGCATGAGAACTGCAGTGAGACGTCGGAGATCATATTCAATAATCAATATGCATGTATCATAACTAATGATTTAAAACTGAGGCTGGATACAAACTAAGTACAGAACTATACGTACAAAGGAAGATATAATAAATATCATCAAAACTCGAGTAATTTAAACAATAAACAATCGATAAATATATGATAAAATTTTGAACTATAAACCTAGATCAGAGTAATATACCAACCGATTTATTATGATTTTTTTTTAATATACGAAAATATATGAAGAATTAAAAGGGTAATACAGCCACCATGGTGGAGTATTATAAGTTTGATACAAGAAAACTTATCAAAATAGGTGAGCCAAATTAACATACCCAATGGTAAGTTTACCGAAAAGGACGTAACAATGATGGATTCTTGACATTTTGCTTTAGTCTTCTAGATCATAAATTAATTATATAGCATAACGAAATTAAAATCTGGCTAATCTCTTGATAATCTCAAGTATTAAGGATTAAAGACGGCCAAAATTAATACTCTTGTCTCTTCAATAATATTGCAAAACTTGTTAGTTAACCTGTCACGATCTCTCTAGTTTTGAAATCCCAATCATTCGTTGCATTCTGGAAATCTTTGGTCTAAGTATTATTTCTTACTAACTAAATAATAGTGATCGAACGCGAGAACTTAAGTGATATGTAATCAAAGCTTTGACCCAAAAACAAAAAAAAAAAGAAAAGATATGTAAACCACAGGCAAAGCTTATCTTGATCTAGTCACTGTCATTTTTTTTTTCTACCATATGCAATTGCAAATGCATGAATCAAGAAACTTTGGCAATCCTATATTAGGCTATTATAGTTAATATGGTGTACGCGTGTTGATAAGTTTGATTTGTATATATTAAGTGAATGTATTAGCTGTATTGATTTAGACGGAGCTACTAGCTAATTCTTTTCACACTTTCAAAGAACGTAACTTACAGTAGTATTAGATGAGAAACAGTATTATATTGTATATACATAACTAAATCCGCATGTCAATGGTCGAGTAGGTTAATTATATTTTTATGTATAGTAAACATAACTCCAAAAATAAACGTATACTATATTTTTAGCATTTGGTATTAACTAAAATTTTATCCATAACATGTAAATAAAAAAAAATGTAGAGATGGCGTGGCTTCACGCGTCTTGTCAATTATTTTAGATTCGAAGCTAAAAACTCCAAAACGGTTCGATGGAGTCCGTGTAAAACGTCTATTATTTCAACGATTCCATTCTTTATATTATATCGTTTTCAATTGTCCACTCCAATAATTTTTAGGATAACAAAAATAGATAGAAACGAGACAATATTCCAATTGAGTCGTCGTTGACTATTGATATATGCATGTTTTTTTTTTTTTTTTATGCACACTAAAAAAATTGTTTCTGATATATATTTGATTATATTTGTAGTGCTTCAGACGCATTTTAAACATTAAAGAAGGTATGTGGTTATATTGCAGTCAACCTCCTCGATTAGTTATGAAATTGGTAGTGCACATTATAACTAAAGAGTGATGGATTTTTTATTGGTGTTGATGTTTTATCCAAAATACAGAATATTCCCCGAGACAAAAACTTTGATGACTTTTGTGAAAAGTCGAGGTTTTTCGTGTTCATTCGTGTTCATTGTCGTAGAGAGTCTTTATTCCAAATGTACATGTAGCTAGACTGGCCAAACTTAATACTATTTTATACATCTATTACTATTGTTTACATATAAAGAAATTGATCATGAGGTGTACATTTTTTTGGCCTTTAGGGTAAGTTGACGTTAAAATGATTTGTGTGTTGAAAAATTAATACAGTACTATATATTAATAATGGAATGTGTTAAGTAGGTCTAACAATTGATGTTGAAGGGGGCGAGTCCTCGTGCCTTCTCGTGAGAAAAGGAAAACGCGTAGACATAACAACAACAACAACAAGTGATTACAAAAAAAGGAAAGATAATAACAAGACGTAGTTTACCAGAGAATATGGCCGACAATTCGTCTTTTTCATCATATTTTTACTTTTGCTTCTTTTTGTTGGAGAATACTACATTGTATCATAGTTTTAGATAAATTACAAAAAAATATACTAAATTATCATAAGTCAATAGATAAAATTGACAGTGTCTATATATATGTGTTAAAGTGTATATGTTAATTTTTAATTTCAAACATTGTAGTCCCGTGACATCAATCTTTTGGCCTACTTGAACAGCAAGTTGCATCATCATATTCTAGAATACACAAACAATCAAACTTTCTTAACTTCTTCTTAATTATTTTCTCTGTCAACACACATATATGATTAGATATACAATCTTTCTTCTCTTCTTCTTTACTTTTTTTAATTTTCCGTCAACACAAATCCATATATTTATGTTAAGTATAAATAAATATAATTAAATTTATTAGTTTCTTGATGTTGCCATGAATTTGTATATATTTTCACATCTACTGTACAATTCAAACTAGGTCCGGACCCGCGTTGTAGCGCGGAGAAAATTACCGGGTTTTTAGTCCTTTGTACGTTGCGAGATAATTTTATTTGTGTTTGCTTTACTTTATTTTGATCAGTAATTAATTTTTATCATTTTTATATTGTATGTGTTGGTTTCGAATATGTTCAAAATTATTTAAATTGTATGATTTTAGTTGGATTGTTAATTTTAGAACAATATGTGACATATATACATGTATAAATATTATACAATGAAAAAAAAATATTATACAGTGAATCATTTTTAAAATGTAGGGATTGACCCGCGGTACACCGCATAATCATAAATACATGATTTTAACTTGGATCTTTCATGCAGTTTTGTAAAGTTGCAAATCTCTAGAATAAACAAATAAAGAGCCAATGATTTCTTATTTCTTATCGTGTTTAAATGTAAAATCTGTGTTGATGTTACAATTTTCTGGTAGCAAAAACTTATTTATATAGATCATATTTTCTTAGGGTTAAATTGAAAAAGATTAGTTTTATAATCAACCCAGAAATTCGAAATTATTGCCAAATAAATATTAAAGATGGTCATAGAGGAAAAAAAAAATATATATTAAAGATGGTTGAAAATGAAATATCCGGTAACTGGTGTGAAGATCTTAGTTAATATAGGAGAAAACTATACATCCAAATATCAATATAGGATATTTAAGGAAGATTTTGTTTTGAAATATTATGGATAATTTGATAATGATTATTTTATATTTAATTTATATTTCTGATTTTTAGGTTAATTTGTTAAACCAATATACAAAATCATACATTAATGTATTTTCCTTAAACAAATTAAGATTAATGTACTTTCCCAAACCGATATTGATGGTTTAATTTGGTAGATTTCGAAATAATATATATGGAAACTGGTATTTAATATCCTTAAATTTTTAGTAAGATCCAACTGAAAAATTCCAGGTTAATTTTTTTTTTTTAAACCCGACCCAAGAAGCATTTGTACTTCTCTTTTACTATAGTAGGGATATCTCTTGCGTAATCACTTTAATTAAGAGAAAGTTAAACCATTTCATTTCTTATACTAGCCATTGATCGTTGCACACACACACGAAAAAAAAATTTAACCACTGATCAGATCATTTGAAAATAAATTTTCATATACGTTCAACGGAATTGCGTATATTATTAGAGTACAATTTGTGTTTCTATTAAAGTTTGAAAGAGTTGATAATAATCCAACCAAAAACTAAGGGGGTGGGGAAGATAAACTTATATAACCGTGTTACGAGACGTGAAACTACGTGACTTATTATTCCGCTAGAGAAACAAACATGCGCTATCAAACACAAATTGAAGAGTTTAATATTTAATATGTTTTGTCCCACTCGTCCAAATATTACTATTATTTCTTTTGCGTTGCGTGTTGCTTTTAACACATAATGACTAGTTGTATTATTATTTTTTCTTTATAACCCATATAATTATATGAATTATGTTATATGGTTTTGTCCGAGCGCTACTCTAATCAAGGACTTCTAAACATTTGCTAGAAGTTTTTATCAACTGAACTATTTGCGTTTGATAACTAGTTGTATTAATTAAGCAACGCAATACTTAAAATTAATTAAATTAAACCCCTCAAACTTGTTTTAGGACAAAATCCATTAATTATGAAGGGAATATTATGATTTCATTAGGTTTATATGTCTGTTTATACTGATATTTTTCTTATAGTATAATCAATTAATCTAGCTACGTGTTAAAAATATCAGTGACATAAAAGATCTTAATTATTTTTAGTAATTTTCATTGACAAGTTTTGCCAGTAATTAATGACAATCGAAGTTGTATGTTAGATGTTACGTTAATCAAATATACATATTTATATAGCCAAATCTAATAGTTACGTATAGTCATTTAATTTGGATATAAAGTATATATACTCTACATCTAAACTAGAAAAAAAAACTTGAATATCTCCTTTTTCTTCTATAATAACGGGTATAGTAGTATAGTACTAACTTGAACATATATCAACGTATATTTGTGACAAAACTCATTCACGAGTCACCACAACCACAACCACTCTAATTGGGTTTCTAAAACTACTAATGTTTCTGAAGATTATTAATAAGCCATATTATATGTAGAGCATTAACCAGAGGTATTAAAAATTAAGAAAAAATAAAACAAGAAACTCCCAAATCTACGTGTAGGTAGTTAGGTACATACATGGACCATATTCATATGCTTAAATACAATATTAACAAAACAAATCAATAAATTAAAATAAAATTACGATTATAAAATTATAATACCAGTAAAACGTAGCTCCAATTAGTTAATGATCGTAGCACGGCATTGCTTACTCACTTAACTGTACGAATCATTTAGGGCTATTTTTCACTATAAATACACACAAAAATCTCAAACTGTTAAACACAACAAATCAAAAGTAGTAATCCGAATTAGATTACATATATGCACCATTTGGTTAAAAACTAATTAGAAGAAACCAAAATGGGAAGTGTTACAAATTATAATCCTCGCTGCGTTATCTTACTTTTATTCACTGTCCTAGCCGCGACTGCAACCAAACACAGGAACAATTTCCTCCCAAGGCCTCGGCTCGGGTATTACGGTAGTTCATGCTGGAATGTAGAATCGATAGTGCGGTCTGTGGTGCAGTCTAACTATTTTGCTAATCCAGCCAATGCTCCGGGGGTTTTGCGTATGCACTTTCACGATTGTTTCGTCCAAGGCTGTGACGCCTCCATTCTCCTTGCCGGACCTAACTCTGAGAGAACGGCGATACCAAATCTATCGTTGAGAGGCTTTAATGTCATCGAAGAAGCTAAAACTCAGCTTGAGATCGCTTGTCCTCGAACAGTCTCTTGTGCTGATATTCTCTCACTCGCTGCACGTGACTTCGTCGTTTTGGTATAACTATAACCCACTTTTATTATATATAATTAAGTCCATAGTTTATAATCGTTTTTTTTAATATATTTTAAATGGAAATAAATTTGATACGTATGTGTAGGCTGGTGGACCATGGTGGCCAGTTCCATTGGGACGACTCGATGGTAAGGTTTCGCTAGCCTCGAATGTCAATTTGCCCGGACCAACCGACTCCGTTGCCCTGCAGAGGCAAATGTTCTCGGCTAAAAATCTTAATACGCAAGACCTCGTTGTCCTTGTTGGTACGTAAACCAAGTTGGGTTTAGGCCTCGCGCACTGGTTTTAAACATTTTTTCCCCCGATTCTAGTTTATATGTTTGTGAAATATTTCTGCCACTATACACGTTAACCACATGCATGGCGTTGGCGTCACATATTAAATGTATACTACTACAAAATATAGACTCGTAGCATGTGTATGGTATATGGAGTATATTTTAACATTATCTAACAATATCTAACAATTTCTTGCATCTTAAGGCTTAAGTTAACTTAGCATTATTCAAATGATATAATGAATAAGTGATTATATTTTATAACAGTCATACGTTTTTGAAATTCCGTCGAGATACCTTCTAATCCACATAGAGCGTTTGGTACATATAACAGCTGGACACACGATAGGAACGGCCGGGTGTGGTGTGTTTAGGAACAGGTTCTTCAACTACAAGAACACAGGAAGTCCGGACCCAACCATCTCCCCCAGTTTCGTCCCTCAAATCCAATCTCAATGTCCTCTCAACGGCGACCCTGCCACTCGTGTCGTACTAGACACAGGAAGTGGAGACCAGTTCGATACGTCGTATCTTAACAACTTGAGGAATGGTCGAGGAGTCCTCGAGTCCGATCAGGTCCTATGGACTGATCCCCAGACCCGACCCATCGTGGAACAGCTTTTAGGACTAAGGTTTCCATTTCTGTGGTTCGGACAGGAGTTCGGGAGGTCAATGACCAAAATGAGTCAGATTGAGATCAAGACGGGTTTGGATGGGGAGATTCGTAGGGTTTGTTCTGCCGTTAACTCATAAAGAAAAAAATAGTTAACCATTATGATATGATATAAAGTATGAATAAAAATGGAGGTCATAAATCCCAAGTGTTTAGTTACGTCAATGTAAGTGTGATACAAAAAACATTTCTTAACTTAAGATTTTCTTAAGAACTCATCAATAATAATTGTATTTTGTCTCTGAATCACACATGAGAAAAAGAAAAAAAAAAGTTATGCATCCATAAACTTGAGAAATTCAACTATACTATATATGTATGTGTGTAATTCTCCATGTTTATATATATATCTATATAGTATTGCTATTTATGACCCAAAAAAATACAAAATCTTGTACATTTCCTATCTCATATACAGTAAATACTAAATATAGAAGAAGAAAACAAAAAAATATATAGAATAACAATTTCAGTTTGTCCAAAAAATATAGAATAACAATTAGGTATATATATATATATATATACGATGAATTGGGTTAATACCACAAACATTAGTTTTCAACTCGAGGCAATAAAAGTTATTAAAGATATAAAAAAATAACCACCATTTAAATTTCATAAAATAGTATATATATATAGAAGAATTTGGTGGCACGAGGTTTTTCGCTAATTCCCGGCAGGAAACTAGGTGATGAATATTATTGCTCGGTGCATGATGGGTAAAATTTGTCTTCTCTGAATTTTTTTTATTTTTTTTAATTATATTTTTAAAATTGACATCATTTATATTAATAACAATATAACCGTTGAACTATGAATTCTTATCCGTTCCTTATAATTTATTTAATCTATAATTTGTAAAATGTTTAAATGAAATTTTGAATAGACTTCACAAAAATAAAATAAAAGTAAAGTGAAGTCAAGAAGAAAAGTTAGAAACGATCAGTTTGGGATTCACTGTTCGAAAATGAATCTAATCATTGTTGAAAATGATTTAAAGGAATAATAATAATAATAAGTAGTTGACTTTGAAAATAAAAGAGCAAAAAAGGCTAGTCAATGTAAAATTATGCCATTGGAAGTTGTCTTTTGGTGGTTTCATTAAACAAGACATCCTCAGTCAAATTATACGTACATTCCTCTTTTTTCCACCGCCTAGTATAGCTAATCTCTTTACAGTGCTGTAGCTTTTCATTGTTAGATTTTTTCATTTGAGTTCATAATTATACTCTTTTTATCATTATTATCTCTTAAAATGGTAACTTTTTCCTTCACTGCATGTTTAATTTTTTGCAAATTTTACAACAATGAATACATGAAAAAAAAATTGTATCTAAATTTGGCCTGTGGAAAAGGTTTATTTGACCAAGTCTATAATCATTAGTTAAACATCATAATGTATCTCCCCCGTTTAATATCCTTTGACAATGTATTTGCCTTGATCGTATAGTCGAATTTTCGTAACAAAATGATAATTATATAACTAGGATTGTTTCAAACTCCTATATCTAGGATGATTTCAAACTCTTTAGAATGTTATGCTAACTAGGATTGTTGCAAACTCTTTAGAGTGTTATGCTTTCTGGCGACGAAAAAAAAAAAACTCAAAAGACCAAAATTTAAAGCTTAAAAAGAATGATTAATTAAAAATATACACACAAGTTGTAATTGAATGGTCGTCACACACGTTTTTTTCGTCATAAAGAAAGTTACACATATGTATGCATGCCAGCTGCGAGTATATATAGTATATACTAATGTTATGTTATTACAGCTTGTTACATGTTAATTACTTCAACTTATGAAAGTGATTAACTAACTACAGTCATCGTTACATATCCATATTCTCTTTGTTTTGTTCTTTTCCCATCGATGGTTGAAAGATTCCGTGGCGGTGAATACTTTAGATTTGTTTAATTCTTCGTAGAATCATTAGTAGTACGTATTAGTAGTAAATCCAAAAGAATAGAAAAACTAATTTACCATTATAAGCAGACGAATTAATCATTATAAAAAGTCAACTATATATGCCCGTTACAAAAATATTATCCATAACCACAAAACATTCTGACCAAAAAAACGTTGTAAACTATATTATCCCCACGCAATTGATCAAACTAATCTATGAAGCAATCTTTGACCTAATAAAACATCACTATTGCGCGTGGTACCACCTCACATTCTAATTTTTTTCTTAGTGTAATTTTTTGATAAATTTTTCTTAGTGTATCTTTTATTTCTCCAACACGTAAACCAAATTAAGTAATCAAATGTTTTACCAGTTTATTGCTAACCACATTTGTAATTTCCATTCTACCGACCAGTTTAAGATGCCTTTCGTTTATATATACCAAATAATTATTATAGGGACGTTTGATCAAACTATGATTCTCTAACCAATAATCTACAACTTAAAACAAAGATAGTTTCCCACAAGAACTGAAAATATGTATAATACATACATATATGTTCAATGGACCGACTCATGCACGTCATAATGTAAACTAATTATTAACTAATGATCAATAAATTAATAAGCTTATAATGATAAAAAAAAATTCCCATAAATTTCGGGGTCGTGTGTCGAAGTTGCTCCTTGGGCGACTTTTTTTTGCCTATATATACAAACCCTTTAACACCAGACTCAAAACACACAACAAATAGCAACTTTGATAAAGCTAAAAGATTCTCTTAGTTACTCAACGAAACAAAATGAGTCGTGGTTATAATTTTCTATGCATATTAGTAACGTTTTCAGTATTAGTTGCAGCTGTAACCGCACAAGGGAACCGTGTCTCAAGTCGAGGTGGTGGTCGAAGACCGCGAGTTGGGTTTTACGGGGATAGATGCCGAAACGTAGAGTCTATCGTGAGATCGGTGGTTCAGTCTCATGTCCGGTCTAACCCGGCTAATGCACCTGGACTTTTGCGAATGCATTTTCATGATTGCTTTGTCCGTGGCTGCGATGGCTCGATTCTCCTCGCTGGTAACGCCTCGGAGAGAACCGCAGGTCCCAACCGTTCATTGAGAGGATTCGAAGTTATTGACGAGGCTAAGACTCGGCTTGAGGCTGCTTGTCCTCGAACTGTTTCTTGTGCTGATATTCTCACCCTTGCTACCCGTGACGCAGTCGTTTTGGTAACATACTAAAATTATTACACGCATTACATATACCACCTACAAGCCTACAATCAAGGAATATATTATAGCATGGTGCCGTGTTTAACGGTCGTTTAATATTGGTTTATGCAGAGCGGTGGGCAAAGCTGGAAAGTGCCATTGGGACGTCTCGACGGCCGAATCTCGCAAGCCTCAGACGTGAACTTGCCCGGACCAAGCGACCCCGTCAGTAAGCAGAAGCAAGACTTTGCTGCTAAAACTCTCAACACATTAGACCTCGTAACTCTTGTTGGTACGTGTAATTGCATATATAGTACAAATGCAACACTTTAGAATTATTCAGAAAATAATTAGCCATTTGTTGGTATATTTATATCCAACTAGCTAACTTAGTAAATTTTGGTTTTGACCAGGCGGACACACAATAGGAACTGCTGGCTGCGGTCTAGTAAGGGGAAGGTTCTTTAACTTCAACGGCACAGGACAACCCGACCCATCAATCGACCCAAGTTTTGTCCCCCTGATTCAGGCTCGGTGCCCTCAAAATGGAGGCACCCGAGTCGAGTTAGACGAGGGAAGTGTTGACAGGTTTGACACATCGTTCCTAAGAAAGGTGAGGTCAAGTCGCGTGGTTCTCCAATCTGACCTAGTCCTATGGAAGGACACTGAGACCCGAGTCATCATTGAAAGGTTATTAGGCTTACGCCGACCATCTTTGAAGTTCGGAACCGAGTTCGGGAAGTCGATGGTCAAGATGAGTCTCATAGAAGTTAAGACTGGCTCAGATGGGGAGATTCGTAGGGTTTGCTCAGCGATCAATTAAGAACTAAAAAAACACAAATGTGAAGTTTGTTTTTAATATATGAACTTGTTAACTAATAATCATTTGGTTGATATAATAAGCTTTGCTATAGCATCTCGTGGTCGATGGTTACGTTTTGGTTTTTCAAGTGTAAGATTGTACTTGTAACAAAAATGTAAAATATATAAAAGTGTTATTTGTTTCTTTACCCGTGTACGGAAGGTATTTAAATGAGCGAACTTTTCAAGGAAGTAAAAGTGTTGAATATGTTTGATTAATCAATGGAAGCTTTACCTATTCTCCATCAGTAATGATTGGCAACTCATAAACTAATTAATCACTAGTTTTGACGTATTTATTGGAGTTGATATTATTGTTGTTGGGTCAATTTATGGATTAGAGGAGTTAACACTCTTGCGAATTCCACCTCTAATCATTATCCGAAGTTTGTTTTTATCGGAAATTCCTAATTAGATAACGAATTGTTTTTTTTGGTCAAAGAAAACGAAATGTCTAATTAGGGTTTTTGTAATAATCATTTATGTAGCACAATAATGATGTTTTAGTTTATTATTAATACAAGATTTGGGTGTTTGATTTCTGAGGTGCCGTTACGCTGTCATATTCAATGCAACATCCCCACTTAAAATCGAAACAGATGTAACTTATGGGCTATCCTTTATGTGTGAATTTGATTCATAATAATGTGGACTATCAACAATAAAACCAATAATCAAACTTTTTTTGGAAGATATTGAATCGATGGAGAATGATGTTTACGGATCATTAGTTCGATTTTGTGCCAAAGTAAATAGGCCATTGTTCTGATAAATTAGTCATAAGAGGTCAACATGATATAATAAATTGACGAATGATTTGTAATTTCCTTCCAAAACTCTTTAGCTTCAAACATAAAGCATGATGTTACTACATAATAGTAACGGCCTCTCCAAATTATATGCATGGCCAAAGTAATGAAAACTTTGGGCTTTTACGGTTCCATTAGTTATTGGCCTTTTCTCCATTTGGGCCTCTTCTATTTGTTTTGCAATTTTGGTAATTACACAGATCATGCAGATCAACGACCATTCATGTACACAGAAACTATTTAGAGAAACATAGAAACATAACAAGATTGTTTTGATACAAACAATATAAAATGCGAAACAATTAGTTATAAGGTATACAAAAAGTGGATTTTTTTAGTTACTAACGGAAAACGAACAACAGGGTATCCAGAATATGATCGGTGAAAACTAGAAGACTTAAAACTCAAGGCAAACGAAAGATACGAAAGGCTTATTGTTGCCACAACCGCAAATTAAGACCATCCTTGTTCAATTAAAATCATACAAAGTACAACACTAAGACCATCGACCACCGCAAATTCTCACAAACATCTCTAACCCAAACCAAATTAACCCTCAGAAAGTCTTAAAAGCATCACAACAATGTGAAACCACAAAACACTCTACATCAAATCTGCAATTTTTCATTTGTCCCCTTCCCCTCACATGTTTCAAATTCAACTATACATCATAACCTACACAAACCAAAACAATTTTCAGATTTAAAAGAAACACTAGACTCACTTTGATGCCAGAAGAATCTCGGGTTTTTTCGCCTTGCTTGGAGTGTTCACATTTGAGGAACCATTAACAGTCTCTGTAGATACGGTCTTTGCCGCGGTTCTTGCGCTTGTATCGAGGTTAACTAAACTCCTCGTAGCTAAAATAGCCTGGGGATTCAAATCATGAGAGGCTCTTGCGTACAATGATCTTACTCCATTGGAAGCTGCATCTTTGACATCTCCAGTATTCAATGGACTAAGCAGGCAATGACCTAGGATCCGTAGCGTAGGTTGAAACAGCTCCCATGGAAGTGGAATCCTCACTCCTCTTCCTCCAATGCCATCAGAGCTAGAGTGTTCTTCGTTCTCTCTGATTGCTAATCTATCAAAATCCTCTTCGATCTCAAGGCTACGTCCACTACTGCCATTGAAAGAGGAAGAATCTCCAAAACCATTGGTCAGTGCTAAGACTTTGTCTTCGTCTCCATCGATCTTTTCCTTGCAGTCGCAGTCTTGACCAGCCCAACTAGCAGCGAATTTACAGAATTCGAGCTTGGACCAAGCAGGCATCTGTGAGATCTCTTTGAAATAGCATTGTAGTCCCACGCCAACGATACTAGCTCTCTTAGTTGACTTAACCGCGATCTGAGGCTCAAGCTGCGGAGACAAGACTCCGACGGAGGCGGTTGAATTAGAATCACGCGATTTGTCAACGCCGTTTCTCGGAGAATGGTAAAGAGAGGGCTGAGAGAGATCTGGAATGTGTACGAGTATAGGTTTACCTGCGCGAGCTTTAACCTCGGCGGCGTAGATTGCGAGAAGCACAGCTTCGAATCCGGAGAGAGAAGGAAGAGACGACGAATCAAAAGAATGAATTCGAGATAAGTACATTCCGACGAGTAAGGGGAGGAACGAGAGGACGACGAGACGAAGCGGGGGATCAGAGGAGAGGTAGGTTTCGTATAGCCATTGACAAAGCGGATCAGATCCAGAACCAGAAGCTGGATTGCAAAGACAAGACGAGATCAATGAGTAAGCAGCACGAGAAGAAAGTAACGATAGCGCCGGCCGATCGGAATCAGCCAGAGAAGAGATCGGAGTTACGTCGCCGTCTTCCGAGTGAGAATCGCCAGAGAGGAGAGACGAGAGAGAGAGGATGCGAGATCGTTGCTTGGAGACTGATTCCCACCAGGAATGCATCGGATCTCGATCGGCGGCGGCAGAAGGGGAGATTCCTGAGACGGCAGCGGCATTAGCGGTTGGTGTGGTGGTGGATTTGAAACGGTGAGGAGTAGATGAAGAGGTGGAGGACGACGGAGAAGGTGAGCCGCCGGGAGGTTTGACGGAGAAGTCCATGGGAATTGAGTTTGACTTGAGAGAGACAAAAGGGAAGTTTTTAGCAGCACCCGATAAACAAGGATGATTGAAATTGTTTGTTCGATCAGGACCAGTCTAATACAATTTGCTTATTATGGGGCAGTTTTCGAAAGATGATAGAAGTTATGGTGTGGTTTTATTATTTGTTTCTTACGAAAGGTTAAAAGAACTCTAGTAAGGCCAGGATCGATGGGCTTTGGGTTCACGGCCCAATTACAGTGTTATTAGTTTCGAATAATAAATAGGGGAAAAAATAGGGAAATTAGTTACCGTCCAGTAATGCTTGAAGTCGGTAGGTAGCTTTTCTTCTTTACGATTCCGAATAGCTCCGATTCTATGATCTTTACACGTCGACCAAATCAAATCACCAACCAGATTCTTTTTTTCATTTTCAGAAATAAGATTTGTTGCTTTTAACATACAAATGGCAAATCATCCTTAATATACAAATACAAATGCATGTATGTAGCAAAAAATTGAAGAGCAAGTTATTAACCTAGAAGTAACTTGCTTCTTTGTTTTTCTTTCTATGTAGTAGGTGTATCGTGGAAGCTAAATATAGTAACTATCTTCTTTCTTTTTTCACGTATAGTAATTATCTTCTTTTACTTGTGGGACATACAAAGCAAATATTGACATGCTACAGCCTACAGCTAAGCTAAGTATGTATTGCATTCATATTCTAGTTCAACGACGACTTAAGTCGGTGGTTTAGGAAAAATTAAATCATACACAATCGTTTCACCATTACATGGACTCATGGATTACCGATCCACAACCACAAAGAAGTTGACAATGCCAAACACTAAAGAAGGGTTTTAAAAACAATATATTTCCTTAAAAATTGATTGGTATTTTCTATATTGACCATATATAAGTTGGTTATTATTTGATGTTCTGTTCTTTAAAAGTAGCCACCTTTTTAACACTGGTGTGATTAGTTTTAGATTGTTTTGTTTGGAACCCCTAATTGTTAGAAACATAGCGCCAATTAAGGAAGAATAACTCGGATGTGCGTTCATACTTTTCCTAATACGTACGTACGTAATATGAAAGCTAAATAGCATTAATTTGTTCTGATCAATTTTCAAATTATTAAATTTTGAGGAAAGAATTTTAATTATAAAAAAAAAAAACGCAAGGAAAGATGAAAGGGCAGGTCTCTTCGTAAAAGACCCCACGATCACGCATCCATATGAAAATGGCATGACACGTATACCTAAACGTCATCGTTTCTGCACATTACCCCAAACCCTTAAACCGACCTACTTTATTTATTTACCTCTTCTCCCTTCTTCTTTCTCTCTTCACTCTTTCCACTTCCCCTCGCCATTAAAGTCCTCTCTCTTTCTTTCTCTCCTCAGAAACTCAGAAGAGCAAAGAGAGAAAGAAGAGCAAGAAAGAATCAAATCCCACACAATGGCACTCTCCTCCGCCGTGACACCTCTCCTTCTCGCCGTCCTTCTATCTCTCTCCACCGTCTCAGTACTCAGCGCATCTCACCACCACGTGGCGGCGCCGGCTCCTTCTGTAGACTGCTCGACTCTCATACTCAACATGGCTGACTGTTTATCATTTGTCTCGAGCGGAGGCACGGTGGCGAAACCGGAAGGTACGTGTTGCTCAGGGCTTAAGACGGTGCTCAAGACTGACGCTGAGTGTCTCTGTGAAGCGTTTAAGAGCAGTGCCTCTCTTGGAGTTACTTTGAACATCACTAAGGCTTCTACTCTTCCTGCCGCATGCAAGCTTCACGCTCCTTCCATTGCTAATTGTGGCTGTAAGATCTATTCTTTTCTTCTTTTTTTTTTTTTCTTTTTTTTTTCCTTTTTTTCTTTTCCCATTCTCTAGATCTCTCCTTTTTTTTTATAGCGGTTTCTTAGATCTACATTTTTTTTTAACTATTTTGAGATTTATCTTTTTGAATTTTTTGTTGTTGTTGTTGTCGTGAATTATTGATTTATTTACTTTACAATGCTTATATTTTTATCTGCTGTTCTTGCAGTATCTGTTGCTCCTACTGCTGCTCCAGGTATTTTGTACTTCCTCCCTCTATTGATTTTTTATCATTTGTTTCTTAATTTACTGTTTCATTTTTTTTTGTCTCATGCAATGCTATGCTTTATTATGTTTTTAAATTGTCAATTGGTAATTATAAATAGAAATTGTGTGACGACAAAAAAAAAGAGAGAAATTGTGGATTGTTTTGATCTCCCTGGTTCTTGCTTGGAGCTTTCAAAATAAGTGTGCAATAGAAAACGAGTTATCTGATCATGGCAAAAAAAAAATGTGTGTGTGTGGATGTAAAGACTTTGATTGTTGAGAGATGCGTTACCTTTTTCTCCGTATGTATCAGTATTAGTTGGTTGGTTTCAACTTTTTATACGAGATTGAACTATCTTAATTTGGAATCAATTTTTCAGGTCTTGCTCCAGGAGCTGCTGCTGCTGCTGGACCGGACTCAGCAGGAGGTATACTAGCTCCAAACCCGTCTCAAGGGAACGATGGATCCACCTTGATCCCTATCTCGATCACAGCTCTATTCAGCGCCGTATTGTTCGTATTGTTCTCCTCTAGTATGTAAAAAAACCTGAGCCATTTTCACCAGTTAGATTTGCCTTCATGAAGTTGGTTTTAGGGTCTCTTTAGAGCTTAATTAAAACTATGTGTGTGTTTTTGAGTGTTCTGTTTTGGGACCATATCGGTTTCTCTGTTACTCTTTAGTTTATGTTATTACTTTGCCTCCCACATTGGTCCAAATTTTTATTTCAGCTATCGGTTATTATTATTCGTTGCTCTGGTTTTCATTACTGAACAAAATATCATGAAATCAAAGTGCATGATTCTCCCTAGCTATCATCAGATTCTAAGTGTGTATGATGTACTTTCGTACGTATAAGTTCAAAAGCCAGACAGACATATAAGTTCCGGTGTCCAGACAGACATATACTTTTCCATTCAAAAGCCTCATACATATAAGTATGTTCTTGGACTTACTTGATGAACTTACTTATACGGTCTTTTAAAGTGTTACTGCTGCAAATATTAAAACCTTCTTTGAAAATAAATTTGGTGAAGGAAAAAAACAAAATGTTTCTCACAAATTATAACTTTCTTTTCTTTCATGGTACTAATTAGTTACTAATGATGTTTGCAAAATAAAATTAATTAATTACTACTAATGATTAGCTTTTTATCAAATTCAGAATTAAAATTATAATGGTTAATGAATACTAGACTGGTTTACAAAGAAAAATGAAAATTAGACTAAAAAGAAGAAAAAAAATGATTAAAATGAACTGTCGAGGAGAAAATAAGAAACTGTCGGAGAGTGTTCGTCGTCGTCGTGGACAAATCTCACGTTTATTTCGTCGCCCACGAAGATTTTCAAATGATCGCGTGGACTTTTCCAGCGCACGTTAGATCCCCTCCCTCCCTCCCTTCGCCATTTTTTATATATATTAATAACTATTAAATTTAAAATAGTACTCTCCTACGAATTTACTAAAGACCAAAAATTAAATTAATTTAAAAAAACCCTCAAAAAAGTTAAAAATAAAATAAAATAATTTCAAAGTGTTTGCGAATAATAATAATAATTTACTTTCCCCTCTCTCTCCTTGTCTGCCACCAACAGCAAAGGACGACGACCGTATCCACCACAAACCGCTTCCCGGCTGAGACGACGGCGATCTACTCCGGCCGGTTGTGCTACTTGGTTTTGCTTTATATTCTATTTGAATTTTTCAAGCTGAGAATCTCGGGAGCAGGAAGAACGGGATTATCGTTTGATTTATAGCTGATCGCTTGGTTCTTTTCCTGTGATTTAGTTTTGGTTTCTGGGGAATTTTCCGATCGCCTTCGGTTTCCGGCGATTGGATTGAGTAGCATACGAGGAATCTCTGTGCTGCTGTGCTTTCTTTCTTCTCGCGCGATTAGGTTTGCTGGCGTGGGAGAGTTTAGCTTTCTAAAGCCAAAATTCGTAGGGCATTTGGATTTTGAGCTTTTGGAGGTTATAGAAAGGTCTATTAGGTTTTTGAGTTAAGGTTTTACGAATCATCCCAGGGTTTAGTTATCGTCGAGAGGTTCATCTGGTTCTGATTTGTTGTAGCATCTCCTGGATCTGTCTTCTCGACGGATGATTTGCGTCTGTGAGCTAGGGCTTTCTATGCTTGGCTGATCAGGATGCCCATGGGACGGTTTCTATCCCTGGTCCGAGGAGATTCGGCTGAGTCACCTCGTGAGATTACCTCACACAGTAATATCATCGGCGACACCGGTTCTAATGGTTGGCTTATTAGGTTTTTCGATTCTGCCTTCTTCTGTGAGTGGATTGCAGTTAGTTATCTGTACAAGCACCCACATGCTGGTGTTAGGGATTACTTATGCAATAGGATGTACACCCTTCCCTTATCAGGTATTGAGAGTTATCTGTTCCAGATTTGCTACATGATGGTGCACAAACCAAGCCCATCTCTTGATAAGTTTGTAATAGACATCTCTGCCAAGTCACTGAAAATCGCGCTGAAAGTGCATTGGTTTTTGTTGGCCGAGCTGGAGGATTCTGACGATAACGAAGGCATCAGCAGGATTCAAGAAAAGTGTCAAATTGCAGCTACCTTGATGGGTGAGTGGTCTCCTCTCATGCGTCCACAGAATGATGTCTCAACCCCAGGGAGCAAGAATCAGGTCCTTAATAGGCTTTTGTCATCAAAACAGAAGCTCTTCTCGTTAAAGTTATCTCCTCCCACCCAGAAGTCTTTGTCATTCTCACCTTCGCCGGGGACCAATGTGCTGGATGATGGTAGTCAGTTACCTGCTGAGGACAATAAGATTTTTAAGAAACTTATTCCAAGTCCTAAAGTCAGAGATGCTTTAATGTTTAGAAAGTCAGTTGAAAAAGATGATGAAGAGAGTGAAAAGGAAGGATTCTTCAAGAGGCTCATGAGGGACAGCAAAGGTGAGGGTGATGAACCAGTACCTAACTCAGAGGGTTTCTTTAAGCGTCTTTTGAAAGACAATAAATCAGAAGATGAGGACATAACAAATAGTTCCGAGGGGTTCTTCAAGAGGCTCTTGAGTAGTAAAGGAGAAAGCGAGGAATTGACATCGAGTTCAGATGGGCTGTTTAAGAGGTTGTTACGAGATAATAAGGGAGATGAAGAGGAATTGGGTGCAAATTCAGACAGTTTCTTTAAGAGGTTGTTACGGGAGAGTAAAAACGAGGACGAGGAGGCAAACCCAAACTCAGAAGGGTTTTTTAAGAAACTTTTCCGTGACAGCAAACCTGAGGAAGACAAAGTTTCTAAAGAAGTGGACGATGAGGACAAGGATGGGTTCCTTAAGAAGCTTTTCAGGGAAAAAAATGATGACAAGAGACCTGGTAATGAAAAGAATGAAACCAATGGAACAGTGTATACCGAGAAGAAATCTGGTGAGGAGGATGAGAGGGAGGGGTTTTTTAAAAAGTTCTTTAAGGAAAAATCTGATGACAAGAAAGACATTGTGAAGGCTGATGATGGGAATGAAAGTGAGGGTGATGAATCTCCAGAATTTTCTCTGTTCAAAAGACTATTCCGTATACACCCCGAAGATACAAATCCTGCTTCAGAAATTGAAAATAGCAGCAATGGCTTAGTTGAAAGCAGTCCTGGGACAGAAAACTTTTTCCGCAAGTTGTTTAGAGATCGTGACCAATCTGTTGAAGATTCTGAACTGTTTGGATCTAAGAAACACAAGGAGGTTTGCCTTTTATTTGACTTTGTCTTTTGTGTTTCTTTCTTATTGCAGACACTGGTTACATTTACATTGTTTTGACATTTACTTTACATTCGATCCATATCTTCAGATTCGTTAGTCAAGATTCTTGTAGGAAACAATCGTATATCTCTACTTATGAATTTTACTTGACACAAATGTTGGCTGAAACAGGGTGGTTGTTCGATTTCAATTTTTTATTTATTTATGATTGACATATTTTCTTTCATATGTGCTTGTATCATCTCATGCCAATGTTTCTTATTATAACCATTGCAGAAACGTCCAGGCTCACCCAAACAGCGGGATCATACTCCATCTGGTAAGCCCCCGCTACCAAACAATACTGCATCACAGTTCAGGAAAGGGGCTTACCACGAGTCATTGGAGTTTGTACAAGCTTTATGTGAAACATCATATGGTTTGGTAGATATCTTTCCCATAGAAGATCGGAAGATTGCTCTTCGGGAGGTGATCCTTTCCACCTTACTTTTCAAATTGATTATTAAGTTAAAGGCGTCAAATTCTACCATTGTAGCAGTTGACTAAGTTTAATATTTCTTTTGTTTGGTTGTAGTCTCTTGCAGAGATCAATTTTCATTTATCAGAAGCTGAAACCACTGGAGGTATTTTTCTGAGATTAGATTTTTAGAGGAGTTATTCTTTGGAGGTTTACTTTATTTGTGTCATTCAGTTATATTGAGCCGGCATACATTAGATTGGTCATGTATCTTTATCTGAAATAGTATCTGAACTCTTCTTCCCCTGTTTATGTTGCTGAGAGCTAAATTATGTTGCTTGTCTTATATCATTTCTTGGTTGCATACATGATTCAAATGTACGATAGATGTTTTTTCGTTGTTTCTATTTTCTTCAACATTGTTTCTGTTGTGGTTAATGGTTTTGTTATCAGATACGAACTTGAATTCATAATTTTAATCAAATAATCTTACAGGAATTTGTTTTCCAATGGGGAGAGGAGTTTATCGCGTGGTCCATATTCCTGAAGACGAATGCATTCTTTTGAATTCTAGAGAAAAGGCGCCATACATGATCTCCGTAGAAGTTTTGAAAGCGGAAACACCCAGGTAAATTTAGGTTTCGTACCAATTTACAGCTTTTAATAGGAAGTTACCTTTTATTCTATATCTCATTAATCGTACAAAGTGTATAAACTTTTCATGATAACAATCTCCCATTTCTTTTTGTTTCTGATATTTGTTGCGGCAGTGCTAAGGATACGTCTAACTCCCAGAAGCTTTCTAAAGGGGGCATTCCATTGGCAAACGGAGACGCCTTCTTGCAAAAACCTCCTCCATGGGCTTATCCACTATGGACTACGCAGGAAGTTTATCGCAACAGTGCTGACCGAATGTCGCTGTCCACTGCCCAAGCAATTGATCAAGCAATGACTCCTAAGTCAGAAGTGAAGGTGAAACTTGTCAACGTAAGTCTCTCTGTGGAGAATCGTACTTCAGCTCTTGAATCATTGAGCGATTCACTTGATGATGTCATGGCTGAGGCCCCAAGGACTGGGCTGAACACTGATCTTGAATGGGTAAGGGTGGTCGTGACGGCTGACCCAGGACTTAGAATGGAAGGCATTCCTGATCCATCAGCCCCACGTAAAAAGGAACATCGTCGTGTTCCAAGTACTGTTGCCATGGAGGAAGTAAGGGTGAGTGTTTCTTGATCAAACTAACTTTAACTATCTGAGTCATCATGTCCTTCCAACATGCTATGCTCTTCTTATACTCATTTGAGTCGATGTTTTTAGTACTTTTACTTGCTATTGTCTTTACGACATGCTTTGCACTTTATTAAGGTGTCCAAGGTTAGAAAATCAAGATATTGAAATTATATGTCTCTGTTTGGTGTTGTTTCTCTACCCTACATTAATCCTCAATCAAACCACCCGTGCAGGCTGCTGCAGCGAAGGGAGAGGCACCTCCAGGCCTTCCTCTTAAAGGGGCTGGTCAGGATTCATCGGATGCACAACCAAGGGTGAATGAATATTAAACATAGAATATATATCATCCTCTTCTCTTTCCTGTTTTTAATGTTGAACCTTATTTATTAATTTTTATTCTTTTACAGGCCAACGGTGGAATGCTGAAAGAAGGTGATGCCTTATCAGGTGAACTTTGGGAGGGAAAGCGAGACAGAATCCGTAATGCTTCAATATATGGAAAATTACCTGGTTGGGACCTGCGTTCTGTAAGTGCTACAAAAAGCCAAACCATTCATCTTTTGTATTTCTGTTTCCAAATGGGTATAGTCCTCTAAGCTAAGTTCTTTTGTTGATGAAATTGAATTTCTACATGTTTTGAACCTTGAAGGCCTCAATCAGTTTGATATAGTACCCAACGGTTTCTGTTTGTCAAAAAGGACTGTAATTCGGGATTCCAGAATGTTGATTAAGGAATATTAAGGTCTAGTGTGATGTCGATTTTCATAAGTGAAAATACCTATGAACTATTTGACACTCGTCCTATTTTGATCATAGTATTTTTCATCCAAGCCGGCAACTATTTAGACATTAAAGTGATGACTGATGCATGAGTCTATGATAACTTTCTGAGAGACTTTGTTTGTGATACACTTTTTTTTGGCTCTCTTTCCAGCTGAGTTTTGTGTTTGATGACATTGAAAAGCTGATACCAAAGATGTTAGATACTTCACATGCTAAATCTTTATTAAATTGTGTCCTTGTGTGTTGACCATTTTTCCATTGCTATTCCTTTCTATCTCTGTTATTAAGTAACTCTAGATTTTCGCAGATTATTGTGAAGAGCGGTGACGACTGTAGGCAGGAACATCTTGCTGTGCAACTCATTTCTCACTTTTATGGTAGGTGATACTTTTTTATATTTACCAATATCTCAATATCCTATATCTTAGTGTATGCCTTACCGTGTTTACTTCTCAGGCTTACTTATTCTGTTATTTAAGATAAGGATTGTTCGCCTTGTAAAGTAACTGTATTGTTCATGTACTAGATATATTCCAGGAAGCAGGTTTACCCCTCTGGTTATGTCCTTATGAAGTCTTGGTTACATCTTCTTATACAGCCCTTATAGAAACAATTCCAGATACGGTAATTATGTAAACCAGAACTCTTCAGTTGGACTAGCAACAAAGTTTCTGCACATCTGTTTAGTTGCTACTTTTTATCCTGTAATCAATTTTGTTACATTGAAAGCGTATATAAAGAGAACCATTTTTTTTCCTGCAGGCTTCTATTCATTCTATCAAAAGTAGATATCCCAACATAACAAGCCTACGTGATTTCTTTGTTGCAAAGTATAAAGAAAATTCTCCGAGTTTTAAGCTCGCCCAGGTAATGTACTGCTGGTAGGTCTTAATAGTTTTATTCAACCAGAACGTTAGTTATTTTGTTTCAGGAACTTGCTTGACTTCAGTGTGTTAAACATGTTATATAAAACGGGAGAAGGGATGGAATTACTTAAATTGCATTCTTTGCACTGGATTTTCAGTATCATATCTTTATGAATTATTTGAGGAAAAAAAGCTGATTGGTTCAAATTTTGAGGATTATGTGCATAACTACGAACTTGTGCCTTGTTGTATGTAATTTTGTGAATTGGCTTCTTATGCAGAGGAATTTTGTTGAGAGTATGGCCGGATATTCTTTGGTGTGTTACCTTCTGCAGGTAAATAGGTTTTACACGTTCTGATGCCATTTTTTTTGTTTCATGAGTAGCATGTCTTGACATTTTATTTTATTGCCATGTCCCCATGGTTACTTGCCTTTTCTTTAGGTAAAAGATCGTCATAATGGAAATCTTCTCTTGGATGAAGAGGGTCACATTATACACATTGATTTCGGTTTTATGCTTTCGAATTCTCCTGGTGGCGTAAACTTTGAGAGTGCCCCGTTTAAGTTAACTCGTGAACTTCTTGAGGTAAAACACTTGAAAGTTCTTTTGGTCATGTTTCCTTCTGCGAACCTGTTGAATCCTTGAGTCTAAATTTACAAAAAAGCTTCTCACATCCAGGTCATGGACTCTGATGCTGACGGGGTTCCAAGTGAGTTCTTTGACTATTTCAAGGTATCCCCATGGCTTGTCCTCGCACCTTTCACATATTAGTCACTTTAGACGATTTTTTCATCTTTAGTAGTTATGTGGAATGGCCATTAATTTTCAATTCTTCCTAATTAGGTGCTATGCATTCAAGGATTCCTTACATGTAGAAAGCACGCAGAGCGGATTATTCTCTTAGTTGAAATGTTACAGGTTCATATTCTCTAGTTTCTTTTTACTAACCAGAATCAGTTATAAATAATCTGGCAGCAAGCCTAATTATTTACTTTGTGAATAATTACATTGACTGGTGTTGTTTCTATCAGGATTCGGGTTTCCCTTGCTTCAAAGGTGGTCTGCGAACCATTCAGAACCTCAGAAAACGGTTCCATCTAAGTTTAACTGAAGAGGTAAGTGTTTTTTAAACTCCTTCGAATAAATTTATATCTGTTTCACAAGAATCCACTACAGTGTTCTCATTCCTTTTTTTTTGTTCTTAATTTTTTTTTGGGGGATCACAAAACCAGCAATGTGTCTCTTTGGTGCTCTCTCTCATTAGCAGTAGCTTAGATGCTTGGCGGACACGGCAATATGATTACTACCAACGGGTCTTAAATGGGATATTGTGATGTTCCAAAGAACCAACCAAATTAGGGTTAAAAATTCGCAGCATACTTTTTGTATGTGGGGTTAGCTCATAAAACGATATGTGTTTTTTTGAGGAACCCTTTTTCATAGTAGCAATCACAGAATCCTTCCAACCAAAGGCAGAAGAAGATGCCTGAAGTCTGAAGAGAGATCCGAACTTGGGAGAAGAAACCGGTCACACGTCGAAGAGAAATCTACAGTTTGTGTACAGAATATGATTTTTGCAGAGGTGTTTGATTGTTATCTTACTTGCTTGTTCTACTTGTCGGAGAAAAGAAGGCAAAAGCCTAAAATTTTTCTTCCTCCCAAAAAGCTCAAAACAAACCCTTTTTTACAGAGGACAAAAGAAAGGGTAATGTTTTGTTTTTAATTTGTTTCCTAGTTAAAACGGATGATGTGATATTATTGTATAAATTGTGTATTATCTTTTCTTTGTCTTTGTTAAAATCAGAGTCTGAGCCAGAAGAAACGAATCCCTTAACATATATACTTGATATTTAATGAAAAAATGTGAACTATATCACTCTCTCCCTAAGTCATCTTTTCATAGTCTCGTAAATTATTCTTCGGTTGGTGATTATAGCCAAGTATCAAATGGGAAGTTTCAATACTAGTAGTCAAATAAGTTCATAAGCAAGTTTTTTGGAACATGTCGAGATGTGCTTAAGGATCATGGAACTTAGTCACGTACCGTATGATTAAAAAAAATATACAATTTACTTTCGCTGGCAAATTTTCTTAAATCTAGAATTAGAGTTAAAGGGAGAGATCAACAAAATTACTAAATAGACAAAGGAAAGTAGTGTACTCCTAAAGAATCTCTTCCCAATTGCATTTTTTACTTTTCATATCAAAGAAAATGTCTTTATGTTAAACAAAACTTAATAGTCAAATAGTCAATTGTGGAGGGGAGAAGTATTTAATAATAATAAAATAAAAGTATTGGTGAAGTCATCAGGCCAATGAGGAAGCTCAGCTCGAGTGCTACTTCGTTTCCTTTAGCTTCCAATTTATATATAGTCCCAAAAAAAAAAAAAAAAGAAAGCTTCCAATTTATTTATAAATTTGATTTAAGTGTTCCAAATAATTTGTGTCTAATATATATATATATATATATATATATATATATATATATATATAATGCATCTTGATTAATCGCATTTTGGAGGAGAAAATTGAAAATTATATTGTTGACAAAAAAAAAAGATAAGAGCTACATACTGTATATTTTAATTATCACAAATCTTCAAATCTTCTAATTATCACATATGAAAGACTAGACTGAACTATCAAAAATCAAATTACATATACTTTTATGCCACAAATAGTGTAAAAGAAAAACCCAAAAATGTAACTTTTGAAGTATATATTTTGGTTTTTGACTTTGTGGTCTCTTTATTACATTTTAATCATTATTTAAAAATTACAAAATAATCACATACAAATACATACTAGCTTGTATCTGTCTAATAATAAACGCGTAATTAGATCTATATAAACCCTAAACCCCACCAGTCACTCACTCTTCCCCCTGGCTTCTCCTTCAAGCTATACTCTCATTCTCTCTCCTCCGACCACAGTCGTCTGTTCCTCCGCTTCACATTCTCCTACGGGTGCGACTTCTCATCTCTTTTCTCTTTTCTCTTTCTATTACATAACGCTTTTATATGTTTCTCATTGGTATGCTTACGTTTCCGATGTGGTCTCTCTCTTCTTCTCTGTTTCTTAAAAATGGGTTTTCATCTCTCTCTCTCTTGTGTGATTTCTGGGTTTGATCTTAGCTACATCAATTTTGATGCTTTCTTTGATCAAAGTCTTATATTTTTACAGTGGAAACTATACCTGCTTACCAAATTTTGATCAGTTAAAAGACAAATAACAAAAATCAAAACTAGCCCTAGAATTTCTTGTTACATTTCCATGCTTAAAATTTTTCTTGTTTTGATGTGCGTTTTAGGTGTTTCGATTGAGTTGTACAGCAGATGTCTGTTGATATCTGCAAGAAGAATCCATCGTTTCTTTGGTGTGACTGTGGTTATATGAGCAGAGGGAGGTTGTGGTGCTTTCAGACAATCCACTTTTACTTTAAACCTTTCAGTTCAACCCCCTTCTAGTTTTCTTCTTCTTCTTCTTCTTCTTTCTTCTTCCTAGCTTCTTCACAATTCACTGTCGTTTCTTTTTTTAGTCAAGAGTGTTTGATTTTGCTCAATCTTGTTACTGTGTGAGTCTGAGAGTTACTGGTGAGGGAAGTTACTTAGTTTAGTGAAAGTACTCTCCTTTGGGTTTCTTCTTTCCTATGGGGAAAACTAACTTGGCACCTGGATTTCGGTTTCATCCGACTGATGTTGAACTTGTGAGATATTACTTGAAGAGGAAAGTATTGGGGAAAAAGTTCCGAGTTAATGCCATTGCTGAGATTGACATTTACAAGTTCGAACCACCTGATTTACCTGGTAACTCAATTCTTTCATAAGACTTGTATTGTTCTTGGTGGCTTTATATCTGTCTCTCAACTTAAAAGATGTTTGTTTCTTTTTTTTTTTTTTTTGTAATGAACAGAGAGATCATGTCTCGGGACTGGAGATCTCAAGTGGTACTTCTTCTGCCCAAGAGAAAAGAAGTATCCCAAAGGCGGTAAGGCTAACCGCTCGACTGAATGTGGTTACTGGAAGACCACAGGAAGAGACAGAGATGTTTCTTACAATGACCAAGTCGTGGGGAAGATAAGAACTCTGATTTATCACTTCGGGAAAATACCTCGTGGTGATCGGACTGATTGGGTCATACATGAATATAGACTTGAAGACCAAGTACTCGCTCAAAAGAATGTTCCTCAGGTAATGGGTTTTGGTTAGACAAGCTCCTTTTTGTTACATACTGATTTCTTGCAAGTTTTACTCAATTAATATGTTGTTGTTGTTGTGCCCTGCAGGATAGTTATGTGCTTTGCGTTCTCTTTAAGAAAAATGGGCTTGGACCAAGACATGGATCTCAGTATGGAGCTCCATTTAAGGACGAGGATTGGAGTGGTGAGGAAGATGAAGATACTCAGAATCTTGTAGCTGTTCCTTCTGCAGTACACGCCGGTCCTGGTCCTAGCAAAGAAACCAGTATAGTTGCTACGGACTCTCAGTCAACTGCTCCTAAAGATTGTTTGGCAGGAGTCATCTCAGACTCTTGCGTCTCTGATATACCGCCACTAACTGCCACAGTTCTTCCACCTCTAACAAGTGATGTTGCAGCTCACGCTCCCATGTCTTCTTCACCTCTTCCTGAGGTTCCTCAGGTACCTCCAGATGATGACGATGAGTTAAATTCGATGCTAGATCTCTTTTCTGTTGTCAATGACGAGTGTTTACTTTTTGACGATTTCGACTGTCAGAATGAGGTAAGTCTCTGCATCATTTCCTCTGATGAATCAGATTCAGTGTTCCTTAGATAAAGTTTTGTTGATTGCTTCTGAATCTACAGGTTAGACATGAGACTGGTGTTTTTGTTAACGAGGAAGCTCCAGTTTTCTTAGGAGATGGCAATTTCAGTGGAATGTTTGACCTGAGCAACGAGCTAGTCATGGAGCTGCAGGATCTGATACAGCCAGACACTCCTCCTCCTCCTCCTCCTCCTCCGGCTCAAGCCAGTAATCCCGATGACTCAAGTAGCAACGGTCAGACTTAGGACCAGTTAGTATATGCCTGCTGATGTATGATCTTTCTTGCTTTGATGGTCTATTGAAACAGAGACCAAACATATAAAGCGTTTAACCAGAATGTTTTCTTCTGTTGCCATCTCTGTCTGCACGAAAGATGTGGAGGCAGCTTTCTATGTTATGTTTCTGCAACAATGTTACTGTCTGTGTAGTATTAAATTTCATCATCATTTGAAGTGGCAAAGACCATTGCTTTTAACTTGTGTAATTCCATGGATTCTTAGTTTCAATGATAATGCCAACACATTAGTTTTAATCAGAATCATCTTATGGATGAATGAATGTCACAGGTATCAAAGTAACTCCAATAAACTATATTTAGCGTTATATAAATAACAGGGTAAAGCTAAAATGCTCAATGTCCCTTCACCGAATCAAATTGACAAATTCGATAAAATTGTTCCCCCAACTAAAACCCTCCAAGAGAGGCAGAGGTTTCTGACGTTGACTCCCCTAGTCAACGGAAAAGAAGATGACGTCATCGCGTTGAAGTCGACTCTTTATTGTAAAAGGAAAGATTCGTAATAACAAAACCTAAGTTTTCCTTTTTCCATTTTTTTTTTAATGGGAAAAAGTTTAATTAAGTGATTTCCTTTTTTTTATTTATAACATGTATATAAACAAAGGAAATTTCCTTTTTTCCTGAAACAACCTGAACACCTCTGTTTATAAATATACTGAGTTGTACTCATAATCTCTTCTTATTACTTCTTACAGAGAAACCAAAATTATATCAGAGAGTCTCTTCCTTCAGTCTTCACCAAGAGAAGAAATGAAATATATGAGAAAGAATTCGAGAGAGAACATTCTAATGGCGAGGAGAGGCGAACATGTCAGAGTCAGAGGTTTCTCTCTATCTATTCGCTTTCTTCTAAGTTCTAAGTCTATGAATCTCGCTTTGATTTTTTTTACAGAGTTAGTGTGTAATCCGAAGCTATTTTTCTTTATAAAAGTGAGTTTCCTTTGTTTTATTATCTGAGATCTTTGATGCATTGCCTTCGTTTTGGATTATGTGAAACAGAGATGACTATTTGCGGTGGTGGAGAGAGAGAGAGAGGGCAGCGTCAGCAGAGTGCGTCGATCATAATCACCGGAGAGAAACAAAGCTCCTCAACCGTCGGGGACCGACCAAATCGACTTGCAAACCAAATTCCAACGGTATAGCGTCACTTCCTTAAATACTACACTTTTTCCAATGACTGAAATCTAGCGTTTTATAACAGGGAGCATATAGTTAGGAAACATAATATGGGGATGGAACTTTAAAATTATAAAAGTTTTGAGGCTTTTATCGAATTTATTTATTTTCAAGCATACGACTTTCTCTTCTTCTGATTAAATCCTTTTATCCTCTGAAAAAAATCGAGACTTTAGAAGAAATTGCCGCAACCAAAATGGCGAGCCTTGTTTTCAATACGCCGTGGCTCAAGGTTAGGTCTTTACCGGAGCTTGCTCCTGCTTTCCTGAGACGGCGTCGGTCTTCTTTATTTGACTGTTCTCGGCGAAGCTTCGCGGTGGTTGCGTGTTCCTCACCCGGCAATAATGGTGGGTCTGTCAGAGTTCGTTTCGCGCCTTCTCCCACTGGCAATCTCCATGTAGGTGGAGCAAGGACTGCTCTTTTCAACTACTTGTTCGCGAGGTTCGTGGTGATCTGGTTAAGAGTTTTGTTTTCCTTTATGTAGTACACAACAATTTTGGGAGTTTTGGGTTTGTTACTGATGGAGTTTTACAGGTCTAACGGAGGCAAATTCGTGCTGAGAATCGAAGACACGGATTTGGAGAGATCAACACGTGAATCTGAAGCAGCTGTTCTTCAGGATCTCTCATGGTTGGGTCTTGATTGGGATGAAGGTTGCTTATTCTTCTTCTCTGTGCTAGTTCAGATGTTTTTCAATGGTGGTGTGATGCCAATTGGGATTGAAATTGCAGGTCCTGGGGTTGGTGGAGACTTTGGTCCGTATCGACAATCTGAAAGAAATGCTCTTTACAAACAATATGCAGAGAAGCTTTTAGAATCAGGTCATGTCTATCGATGCTTTTGCTCCAGTGAGGTGAGAATCTTCAAATTCGTGTTAACCCTATTGTTTGTTGTCTACTTGTCTCTATATGTTTTTTTTTACTATGGTGCTGACTCTAATTAAATGTAATGCTTGTACAGGAACTTGTAAAGATGAAGGAGACTGCAAAGTTAAAACAATTGCCTCCAGTTTACACTGGGAAATGGGCAACCGCTACTGATGCTGAAATAGAGCAAGAGTTGGAAAAGGGAACGCCTTTTACTTATCGGTTTCGTGTGCCAAAGGAAGGGTCTTTGAAAATTAATGACTTGATTCGTGGCGAGGTATGCTGTTTTTTTTTTTTTTTTTTTTAATATTATCCTTAACCGATGGTTGGATAGGATGATATTGGAACCTGTGGTTGGTGATCTAGTTAAAAAGCCACCTGGTTTGGTTATTGAACATGTGTGATAGTGTCTTGAAGGTATGTTGGAACTTGGATACTCTTGGAGATTTTGTTGTCATGAGGAGTAATGGCCAACCTGTTTACAATTTTTGTGTTACGGTAGATGATGCTACCATGGCTATTTCACATGTTATAAGGTTACTACTACTCCAGTGTCTTCCTTTGGAACTTGTTATTTTAACATGCTTGATTATGTAGTTTATTAATTAACTTTCGTTTCAGGGCCGAAGAACATTTGCCTAATACTTTGAGGCAGGCTCTAATTTACAAGGTAAGCACTAACTTTTTGTGTGTTTCTATCAATTGCTTTGGAAAGATATGTGATCCCAAAGGTAGGGGGAAATATTTGATTTTCTGCTGTTTGCATCAATCAATGGTAGGCTCTGGAGTTTCAGATGCCTCAGTTTGCTCATGTTTCTCTAATTCTAGCCCCTGATAGAAGTAAACTGTCAAAGCGACATGGGGCGACTTCTGTAGGCCAGGTATTTATAGCTGTCATTGCCTTTACTGTTGATCATAGATTACTCAACTGTTGATTCTTGCTCTAATTTCTGCTTTATGTTCCTTTGAAAATGAAACAGTACAGAGAAATGGGATATCTGCCTCAGGGTATGGTTAATTATTTGGCACTCTTAGGTTGGGGTGACGGCACTGAAAATGAATTTTTCACACTTGAGGATCTTGGTAAATTGTTTGTTGACTACATAATTTTGCTTTGTATAATCTTTATCGCCATCCTTTTTTTTTCTGACTAATTTGTTGAATTTTGGTTTTTGACTTGCAGTTGAAAAATTCTCTATTGAACGTGTCAACAAAAGTGGTGCGATTTTCGATTCTACAAAATTAAGGTGATTATAGAATTTGCTTAGCTATTGAAATCTTTTTCTCTCTTGTTTTTCGTATCTCTGTTTGTTCTATACTTTTTGCTAATAATTAGCTTCAATGTGGCGTATCCATAAACTCAAAGATGGATGAATGGTCAACATCTGAGGGCACTTCCAAATGAAAAACTAACAAAACTTGTTGGTGAGCGATGGAAGAGTGCCGGTATCTTAACAGAATCTGAGGGGAGTTTTGTAGATGTAAGGTTTCTGATCATGACTCCACACTTTCTTCTGATCCCAACAAAGATGTAGGATTAACAGATATTTTCTGTACAGAATTACCAAATTTGAGCTTGTTGTTGAAGTACAGGAAGCTGTCGAGCTGCTCAAGGATGGGATTGAGTTGGTGACAGATTCAGACAAAGTGCTTTTGAATTTGCTTTCATATCCTTTGCATGCTACATTGGCTAGGTAACTATCAAACCATTTGTTCGTCCTGCATCGCCTCATTCCTTTCAATAAACACTTTTTAATGGCTTTCTGGAGCTCTGAGTTTGTGGTGATTTGAGTTTCGCTGCACCTGATGCAGCCCTGAAGCTAAGCCTGCCGTGGAAGACAAGCTTCATGAAGTAGCAGCCAGCCTCATAGCTGCTTATGACAGCGGTGAGATTCCAAGCGCATTAGCAGAAGGACAAGGTGCTTGGCAGAAATGGGTGAAAGCCTTTGGCAAATCATTGAAACGCAAAGTTAGTCAAATCTCTAATCCAGTTAATACTGAAACAAAATCTGCGTAACTTGAATGAACAAGCGTTACAAGAGATTTTTCTGATGCTGGTCACAGGGTAAATCACTTTTCATGCCACTACGAGTCTTGTTAACGGGAAAACTCCATGGACCTGAGATGGCCACCAGTATTATTCTGATTCACAAAGCTGGAAGTCCCGGTATAGTTGTTCCTCAGGCTGGGTTTGTATCCATGGAGGAACGGTTTAAGATTCTGAGGGAGATAGACTGGGAAGCTTTGAATAAAGGTGAGAGTGTGCCTCTCGAATCTACAGCCACAGTATCAACCTGAGAAAACTACCCTTTTTTATATATCTTCGGTTAGTTGGTGAGAAAGACAGCCCAGAGATTTTGATCCCTCGTGCATTTCTTGTTCCCGAAACAAATGGCACAGCGAAATTTGTAGATTATTAGAGAGTATCAGAAAAGCAAACTTAGGACCAAACCTGAGAGCTTGTAACATTGTCAGGCCAGTTTTAATATGCTTTCAGTGCTCTGTTTTTTTTGTTTGTTTTGTTCTTCTCTCTTAAGATAAAACTTAATAATGGTTATGAAACATAGGCTTTGCCAATTAGAGCCATAGTCAAAACCGGGTAAAGTTCAAGTATTTTGGAGCTAAACCGGATCAGACTGTTTCAAGCTTGACCCGAGTGGTTTCTGATAAAACTGAGTACCAAACAGAGATTTTGAGAGGTTTTTTGTGGTGGGGACTCGAGTGAATCTAACCACATAAACACTGAGAATCTGAAAGACTAAAAACTTTAAAAGCATCAAGCTTTGAGTAATAAGAAAAGGCTTGGACTTTTGCCAATAGGACTGAAGGGAAATCTCACCTTATCCACACTCCAGCCACAATCCCTTATTACATCCAAGTCCACGTCATCATCATCCTGATTCATCTCTAATACTAAAATCTAATCTCTTCCTTCCTCACTCACCAATCAAACTTCAAAAACTCTTGAATTTTTTCAAAAACAAAAGAAAAAAAAGAGATCTTCAATGGCGGCCATGAACTCGAGTGTTCTCACCTGCAGCTACGCAATCTCTGGTTCTGGCTCAGCAGAATTAAACCAGAAAGTGGGTTTGGTGAACTCATCAGTTGGGTTTGGTCAGAAGAAACAGATGGTTATGCCTGTGATCAAAGCACAACGAGTTGTTGGTGATGATGTTGATGGATCTAATGGAAGAAGATCCGCTATGGTTTTCTTAGCTGCTACACTCTTCTCCACTGCTGCTGTTTCTGCTTCGGCTAATGCTAGTGTCTTTGATGAATACCTCGAGAGGAGCAAAACTAACAAAGTAAGTCATTGAAAAAGTCTTAACCTTGACATCTCGCTAAAGATCCTAAAGGTTGAAATTTTGATTACAGGAACTTAATGATAAGAAGAGATTGGCAACAAGTGGAGCAAACTTTGCGAGAGCATTCACTGTTCAATTCGGAAGCTGCAAGTTCCCTGAGAATTTCACTGGCTGCCAAGATCTTGCCAAGCAAAAGGTTTGTCTAAAATGTTTTTTTTCTCTGGGGAAATAATCAAATTGAAGAGATTATGATGTTCTTATTCGTTTTCTAATTTTTGCAGAAAGTCCCATTTATCTCAGAAGATATTGCTTTGGAATGCGAAGGCAAAGACAAGTACAAGTGTGGTTCCAATGTTTTCTGGAAATGGTGAAGAAGTTTGTTTGTTTTTTTATCTTTTCTTATATAAATCCAACAATGTATCTACCTTTCTCTATTCATGAAAATTCTCTTATCCGTTTGAATCTATCAAGCTAAACTCTAATGTGAGATTAGTTAGTATCATTGCACACATTAATCACTTTGGGGGCGCGTTGATGAAAGTCTAGTAACAATATATGAGGAAAATATGGTTTCATTTTATATCATCTTAAGATACAAATCTGACTGAACATACATGTTCATCAAATAATAAGTTTTGGACTAAACCTAGTTTTGCTCAAGTTAAAATATACCGGCAGTTGATACCAATCAAGCAAATAGAAGAAACCAAAGAGTAAGACATTATAAACTGTAATCTAACTTTACCAAAGAACCTCAAGAATGTTCTTTTACCTTCAAGAACATAAAAATGTGCGAATAGTACAAACAAATGACTTGACTCAACTCAGACTCCACGCTAAAAAAAAAAACTTCCTAAAAAACGAAACAAAATAAAAATAATAAAAAAAGATGATAAGGAGTTAAAAGAGTGTGTTTATACGTACAAAAAGAGTGGGACTTGAAGTAAGTCTTCTCAAGCGATGGCGTAAGTGAGAGTTTCTACTTCATTGGGTCGCCAAAATGACTTCTGAACAGAGAGCAAGCCTTCTTTATCCTTGGAATAAGTCATGCGAACTTCCCATTTCATTGCTTTCACCATCGATTCCACTTGCTGTATTGTTTCCGCATCGTCCCGAACTATCAGTTTCCCTTCCGGTCTTAAAACCCGATCCACTTCCGCTATCACCGCCGTTAGATTGCATCTGTAAAGTAAAATAAGAGATTGTTATTTATTATGTTTCTATCGTTTGAAAACAGAGACTCTCTTTCTTACAGAACAAACCTTTGTTTGAGTTTGGAGAAAAGATGGTCGGCATGAAGAAGATCGTATGATCTAGGGTAAGTACTGAAAGATTCACACCAATCGTGGTAGATACCGAAGAGTCCTCGTTCATAGATTATTGCAAGTGTGTCTGGTGAATCTATTGGAACCACATTCATGACCCACACTTTCAAATCTCTTAGGGCAGCCGCAAAACTGTGACAAGAGAATCAACACAAACATTAAAGATGCAATATAGTGTATCTTGAATGCCCGTATATTATCTAGCTACGGATGAAAGCGGAAAGCGTAAGCAAACCATGTTTTACTTACCCTCCATAAACGGCTCTCATGTCCATCACATTTCTAACAGATGCCCAGTTGATTCCTAAACCTTTAAGGTATGATTTGGTCACTACACGTTTCCAGTGCTCATAATCAGCACTGAAATCTTCTGGTGCTGCTTTTCCGTAAACTCCAGTTTGGGAACTTGATAACCAGAACGGTGGTTTCTCTAATCTCGCTGGCCATTGCTCGGGCCACTGAGATCCACGTTGCGTTTTGTCTTCTGGCGCAGTGTGCATGCATGCTTGAAGCGGCACTTTCCTACAAAAACCACTCGACAAAACGTGTATTTGTAAACTAGACCGCTGATTTTTTATGCACACTTACAAAAATAATTGTATAGAAATATACCAAGATGCATTTGGATCATCAGAGTCGGCACAGATTGGAGGTTGCTGTTCTGATCTGTTTGTGTAGCACTCATTTGAAGTCGGCTTTCTGTAAGTAGCAACACCTACTCCATTGATAGTGTCTTTATTAATAGATACAAGTTCCCAGCACATTTTCTTAATGAGTTCACTCATAGCTGCAAAAGTCGCCAACATAAGGTGTGAGAAAACATGCTCCAAGGCAATTATGTAAGAAGGATAACGTTTTCTTACAACCTTTCCAAATTTCAACATCTTCAGTTTTCTTCTGATAAACAGGAGTAGCAGACCACACAAAGAAGCCACCAGGTCTCAATACACGGTTAAGCTCTAGAAGGAGTTTACCACCTGCCATGTTGTGCACACAAACATCAAAAATAGATAACAAAAAGTTTGACGAATCAATAGAAAGAAATGTTTAAGATCCAGGATTTTTCCATTTAAAGACTATATCTATTGTGGCTATGCTGCTAACCTTCAATGTGCCATGGCACTCTACAGCGAGCACAATGAACTATGTCAAAAACTCTGCCGGGGAAAGGTAGCCTTGTCGTGCCCATAACTGCAGAAATGGCAGGAATGCCCCTCTCAAGAGCAAACTGCACTTGGGCTTCATGTTCATCTTTAGGTGCGAGGGACATAGTGATGACATCTCTGTCAAAGAGGAAACCTCCAAAGCTTGCAACACCACAGCCAACATCCAGGACCACACGAGAGCGATTACCCCATGCAATAGCAGGGACAGACTGAAAGCAAATTTTCATCAGAAATGGAACATCATAAGCACAAATTCTAACCCTAAAGTAATCAAAGTATGAACCGATTCAGTCGTTTTGACAAAATAAGGGAGTAGAAAAAAGCGGATGCATAAAAGAAACAGGGGTATGGGTGATAAAAGGATTATACAAAGTAGTAATCCCATTCAGACTTTCTGACAAAAGAATTACATCTGAATACCAACCTCCTGTATGAAATCGATGTAATGAAGAGCACCATGCTTGAATTGGGTTCCTCCACCCGGAAATGTTAGATACTCACCGGTAACTTTAACCCAATTTTGATGCCCCTTATATTCAGCAAGCTTGGTATGAGGGACGTTGGTGTACCAGATCTGCATAAATGTAAATGGTGGTATTAGGTTCTTGCAAATTAAAATATCTAAATGGGGAGGTGAACAAATTCAACAGACCTTTTCTCGACTTTTCGGCCACTCAATTGGCCGCTTGTATCCTTCAGGCAAAGGAACAAGGCAGGTGGGTGGGGTGTCTGGGCAATGCCTCTCACGATGCTCGTAATGTTTAGTACTCGGAAGACTCCTAATGGCTTGCACATTATCGAGACAGGGAATGTAATCAGGTCCTGCTGTTGTATTGCATATTGCCCATTTGTAATCAAGTTTATCCCCAGCACCCTTCTGAGCTTCTTTCTCATTTTTGGACTCTGTTGCCTGGGTTGAAAATGAACCATTTTGTGCTGTAGTTTCATTCAGTAGCTCTAATTGTGCCCCAGGAGGCGAAAGATCACCTGAGGTCTCGTTTTTAGGTTGACCCTCTTGCTCTACTTGAACATCCACATTTGCCTCAGTGTTTTCCTTCTCAGTCTTGGTTTCAGTATCTTCGTTGCCTGTTTTGGTTTCTTTCTCATCATCACTGGATTTTTTCTCACTGTTATCAGACTCAAATTGCTTTTGGTTTTCACCATCCTCACCTGACTCATTATCCTCTGTTTCAGGTTTAGTTTGCTTTTCATTTGTGTCAGGATTTTCTTCATCTGGGTTGTCTTTCAAATCTTTTTTCTCATCTGAATCACCTCCACCACCATTTTCTGACGTGGAGTCATCTTTTTTATCTCCCCCACCTTCGGTCTCGCTTTTTGTCTCACTGGATGGAGTAGACTCTTTTTTCTTCTCCTCCTGATTATCTTGTTTGCTTGAGCTCTCATCCTCTTTGGGCAAGCTTGCATCATCATCTCCTTTTTTATCCTCATTGGGTGTTTCACCAGATGCGCCGTCAAACTTCTGACCATTTCCGTCCTCAGCAGGTGGGGTCATCTGTTTCTTTATCCCATCTTTGTTGTCCAGAGAAACCTCATCAACATTCTGAGCAGGTCCAACGGAAGATGATGTCATCATCCAGATTCCGACTAAGCATAGTGCCACAAAAACAACTACTGTCACTGTCGAGCAATAGTTTGATGAAGGCCTCCTGTTATCTATCCTAGTGTATCTTGGTTGCGCCATGCTTCTGAATTGAGCAACAGATGATAACAATACGTGTACGCCTACACAGAGAGCGAAATAAAGAAATGTATATTATGCGAGAAATAAGATCTATATCATCATTTCCATAGACACAGCAAAGCAAGTGTAGTAAAACGAAAACTATCATATATCTTGAAGATGCATGTATCAGCCCCATTATCTCTAACTTGAATGGATGAAAACCCAACAATAAACTTTTTGGAGAAATGAAGAAATATCGGAGCACTTAAATGAATTCTGGATAAGAGAAAAACTGTATGTAACACGGATCGAAACGAAAGGTAATGTTAGCAGATCTGCTTAAACCCTGGTCATCAGAGTATAACCCAGATACAGACGAGCAACGAAATCATCGAGAAGCTTGTCAGCATAAAATTTTCAAAATCACTCTTCCGCAACATGGAATTTCAAATCCTAAGAGCAAAAAGATGCGGAATCATAAAATATCAAGTTAAGATAACCACCATCAACGAAAAGCCTCAACAACAACAAGAAATAAATCAATCAGCATAAAAACAAAGAAAAAACAGCAGATCCGGAACAGATCTAGGTAGAGCCACCATTATCATACATCATCGACATCATCACTAAGCAGCAACATAAGAAAAGACACAAACAAAAGAATAGAGAGCAGTAATGTACATAAGGCGGACCTGATACAGGCGAGAATCAATGAGACTACGAAAGAAATGGAGAATCTGAAACTCAATTTGCAGCTACGGAGCCATTTTACTTCGTTTTCTCGAGAAAATTCGAATGGCACGGGATATCTTGGGAGGAGAGAGGCTGAGATGGGGGAGAAGAAGGAAGGTGTATATATATATAGAGGATAGAGATTGATTCTTTATGATTTCTTTAATTAATCCACAGCCAAAAAAAAAATATCTTAAATTCTGAATTAATGAACAAATAAATATTACTAGTATGGATTTAAATTTAAAAATTTGGGGACAAAAGGATTATTTTTAGATTCGTCATCAAGAGGGAACTACGGAGTAGCCCTGAATTTAGTAGTGGTCGAAAATCTCTAAATTACTCGCAAAATTAATTCGTTTTTTAATATTGTTTTTGGTTTAAACATCATATTATTAATTCAATTGCTTAATACCTTCGCATTCTTTTTTTTTCTTTTTTTTTCTAAACTTAGATTTATCTTATAAAATCATGATATAAATCAAGTTGTTGAGGAGTGGTTACTACGGCATGATTTTAGCTATAAAGCAAATTCACACTTTTTAAACTCTACTCTTTCTTTGATTTTTAAATTTTTTTATTTACTCTTCTTTAGTAATATTTTATGATACCTCTTTTGTAGATTAACATTTAGGGAATGCTCTAAATTAAATTAACAACAAAAAGATAGGGGAAAACAACACATCTCTTGCGTATCTTTTAAGTTTTAACGTTTCTTAATAAAGAAAAAGAAAAAAGTAAACTATTTCGCCATATTTATGTATGCTATATATCAATAATATAACTACTAATGAAAACTATCATGATTTCAAAGTTTAAGTAAGATGTTTTAATGTTCTACTCCTCTATTGGCTATAATGCCTATTGCTACTATATTGTTCCAATCATGTGACATATATATAACCACGTTAAAAAAAAACTTCTGTTTAGCACCCTAAAACTCAAAACTAAATGAGGTTTGAATGTAATTATTCAAACGATCGGATACAATACAATATACAGTTACCAAAAATAGCAGAAACGATTATTTTGTGGTTAAAACGAAGAAAGTAAGAAATCGAAGGACCAATAAGCTCTAGGGACTTCATTAGTTTATTTATTTATGAGGGACCAATGTTTGAATTAGTTACAATCAAGACCCAATAGTTTCCCTATTAAATCACAGAGACGCATCCAGTGTCCCCGTGATTTTTGCTTGTTTATTATTATGTATTTATGCAATTTAACTCATCATCTTATTAGAGGAATACCAAAATAAACGCATCGTTTTTATTTGTCAACTACTAAATTACACTCTCCGTTGAACTAGTTGTAGTTACTTTGATGACAAAAAAAAAAAAAGACTACTAAATTACACATCTAAACACGTTAATAAAAAGTTAGTATTATACATTGAATGAAGAAATTTAATACACATGTTTTTGCTTAGTTACAAAATAACTAGGTTTTGACCCGCGCTACAGAGCGGGGAAAATAATTATTTATATGTAAATTTTAACGGATTATTAAAAGTAATTTATTTAACTTTTTATTAAAAAAAAGAAATTTTAACGGATTAAAATATATTAAAGCTTAATTTTATTACAGTGCAGTCGATTACAATGAATCATATATTTGTATAATAAGTTTAAATAGATTACCAAAAAAATAAGTTTAAATAAAATAATAAAAGGAAAAAGTGAGTAAATAATAATATATTGAGTTTTGCTACGATTAAAAAAAATGTGAAAATTTTATAGCACGAAATAATATTTATCGATAAATTATTCAGTTTGACCATTTTTGTAGTAGAAGTAGGAATAGACGTAAAAACTACAAACTACAATATATTTTTTGAAGGACCAACCCGTAACATAATTCATATCGTAAAAACATTATTCACAACTCGATTTACCATTATAATTGTGATTTTAAAAACTACTTGTGAACTATCTAAAATTTACGTAGTTTGATATATAATATTTTATCAATAAAACTTATGTCTCCAAATTTACATCTATGTATTGAAAACAATAGTTTTACTATTTTAAATCTAAATTTTTTTATATATTTGAAACTTTTAGTTATAATATTTTGAAACTTTTTAAAATTTTAATATGCTCATGTAACAATGGTTTTAATATTGGTATGACTTATAATGATTTTAAATCATTGTCCAAAATATTTAACCGAGTGTAATTGAATATTATATGTACGTTTTGAAAAATTCAAAATTGCAACATATGCGAAAAAAGTTAAAAAAATTTTAATTTTTTTTCATATTTAGTATAATATTATAAATTGAAAATAAGATCAAATAAAAGTGAAAGAAGAATGATAATTGTTTCTAATATATTCTATTAAGTTAGTTAGAGAAATATTAGGAAATCCTAAAATTAGTTATGGAAATAATATAATCCTAAAATGAGATATGGAAAGTATCCGATGTATGTATCCGAATCCATCTTAATATCCAATTTTGAAGTATCCAATTGTTAAAATAAGGTTAATTTTTTAATTTTGACCCGATCCGCATTCTATTTTGTACTTCTCTTTTACGAGATAATAATAGAGTGCTGCCGCCGGATCTTAAAAGCGGTAATTAAGGAAGTGAACGATGAATGTTGCAGTAGTGTCGGTGTAAAGTCTACGCCCCCAAGAAGTTTCCAGCATGTCAATTACAAGGATGTTCTCACTTCTCACGAATAGTCATGCGGCTCGAGTTTTACTCTCTTTAAAAATATTGTTTTAATCGAACCCATGTTTTACCATTAATGTATTTAGGTGATGACACCGCCGATCCAAATATTAGGTGATGATGATTCTCATGTAAGATAGAATTATATAATAGGATGACGGAATAATGAATAATTGTTCAATGGGATACAAATCACACACACAAAAAAAAAAAAGCAATGTATACAGTGGAATCATGTCTTCAAAACATATAAGCATGAATACAATGGTAATACTATTATTTAATATCTTATGTTTTCGTTAAGTTTTATGGCAAACAATATTGTCTTTGAGTCTTGACTCTTTAATTTTTCCCTAAACAAAATTATTAACTAGTTTTAAGTTTAAACCAGTAATTAACGCATCTAGTATTCTGTTTTTTTTTTCTTCAATGTAGTTATCTTTTTACATTTGCTTTTTTCTTTTTTTTTTCCCATGGAGAACAAAGTTAAAGCGAAAACAAAAAGAAGATGAAGAACCAAAATTATGACAACTTTATTGCGCCGGAAATTCAAGAAAGGGCAAAACAAGAATAGCAAAATAAATAAATCAAGAAGGCGATAAAACTATAAAACCAACAAACAAACACATCAACGTTGAATGTGATGAGTCACTCATTCAAAATTGATATCTGTATATCGACGACGAACATGTGAAAGATCCAAATTTGGAGGTGGATTCGTACGTATTTGCTCACTCTCCAGATCTCTACACTTCACTGCTCTCTCCTCGAAGATCCTATCATCATCAATCTTTTCCGGTATATATTTTATCTTCTTCCTCGTTTTGAATTTGGATATCACGCACGAGCTCCATTAGCGAAGAACCTTTTTCTTCGATTTCGATTTTGGGTTTAAGAGTAGAGTTTTCTGTTTTTTTCTTTTCCAGTGGGGTATAAATCAAGTTTCCTGATTTGGTTTGTTTACCGATTTGGATGAATTCGGATTGAAGAAGAAACTATCATTAAAAACACATCGACATTACAATCTCAATTGCTATATTTAGGGATTTTGATTGCTAAGTTAAAGATAAAACCTTTCTTGTTTTGTTTTTTTGCTTTCGCATGATTCTGTGACTGACTAAATTAGATATTGTTACAGTTTGTGCCTGGTCCACTTCAACAAACAGTGCAATAATAAGCTTTCTTTGCTGTGGGAGTTGATGTTATCTCTGGCATTCACTCTAAGATGTTTAGTGGGAAGAGTCACCTACTCAAAGGGAGTGTATCACTTGCCTTGGTTCTCCTCATTCTTTTGGTGGTGATACTCCTCGTTTCCGAGAAAAACCCTCTTCGTACTTCTTCTCTTTTTGACATCAAAAGTCAGTTTTCACCTTCTTCTTCAGGTATTTTTTATATCATGTTCCAAGCTTTTGGTATTTAGTCTCTTTTTTTTGTTTGTTTGTTATAATGATCCAAAACTTGTGAACTCTCGTTATCTCAAGAAATTATAGTCTGTTTTTGTGATACATTTTGTTCTTCGATTCAGTTTGTAACTTTGCAAAGGGGAAATGGGTTGAAGACAGGAAGAGACCATTGTATTCTGGTTTTGAGTGTAAACAGTGGTTATCAACCATGTGGGCTTGTAGAATAATGGGCAGACCTGATTTTTCATTTGAGCGTTACCGCTGGCAGCCAGAAGGTTGCAACATGCCACAGTTTGACAGGTTCACTTTCTTGAAAAGGTATGGTAGCACACTGTGAACTTTCGAATAATGAACATTCTTGAACCATACATATTTTGTTTCTGTAATGTGATGTAAGTAGATTGAATTTTGTGTGAATGTCTTGTAGCGGAGCAAGTGTTTCAAAATATCTCATAATTGCTTACTGCAACTTTGTTTTATTTCTAGAATGCAGAACAAGACAATAGCGTTTATAGGAGACTCATTGGGACGGCAACAATTTCAATCCCTAATGTGTATGGCCAGTGGTGGTGAAGAGAGCCCAGATGTTCAAAATGTGGGGTGGGAATACGGTCTGGTGAAAGCCAAAGGAGCTATCCGTCCTGATGGTTGGGCTTATCGGTTCTCGGCAACAAACACAACAATCTTGTATTATTGGTCAGCTAGTTTATCAGATTTGGTACCGTTGAACAACACAGATCCACCTCGTCTTACTGCAATGCATTTGGACCGTCCACCAGCATTCATGAGAAACTACCTTCATCGTTTCGATGTATTGGTTCTAAACACAGGCCATCATTGGAACAGAGGTAAGATAGAAGGAAATCATTGGGTGATGCATGTAAATGGGACACGGGTCGATGGTGGATATCTTAAGGATATCAGAAACGCAAAGGATTTCACAATACACAGCGTTGCAAAGTGGCTCGATGCACAGCTTCCATTGCATCCGCGGCTGAAAGCATTCTTCAGGACAATTTCTCCGAGACATTTTAAAAACGGAGATTGGAATACAGGGGGAAACTGTAACAACACGGTCCCTTTGTCTAGAGGAAGAGAAATCACAGGCGATGATGGATCTATGGATGCGACAGTTGAGAGTGCTGTGAATGGGACTAGGATCAAGATTCTTGACATAACTGCACTTTCTGAGCTAAGAGATGAAGCTCATATCTCAGGGTCTAAACTGAAACCCAGGAAACCAAAAAAGGCGAGTAACGTGAGTGCAACTCCAATTATCAACGATTGCTTGCATTGGTGCTTACCCGGGATCCCTGATACTTGGAATGAACTTTTCATTGCTCAGATTTGAAGTCTTCAACATCACAAACGTTAGTTCACAGGATTGTCTCTGTTGATTCTTTGTTATAGAAAGGTTTTGTTTTGTTTTTCATATATATATATTCATTCTTTCTGGGAGAAGAAGAAAAGGTTCCGGCCAGTTCTTACAAATAGGGGATTTAGAAGGTTTTTCGAGTGATACATTTACAGATATATGATCCATATTGTAATGTAATGATTGCAATCTGGTTTTTATTATACACGAAAACATTGAAACAAATCCTTTTTAATTAACCGAAAACCCGGTACGAGTTCGGCATGGTTAAATGTTAATACTACTGTAACACTAATTGGAAATTGGCTCTAAAAACCGGTTTAAGGAGAAGACGACTCTTAAGTCATAAAACTCGCGGATTCTTTTTCTAAAAATGGCGAGTTTCGAGAAGTTCGAACCAATATTTGGAGAAGTCGTACCCGAACGTTCGGATCCGGATTCGGGTCTTCTCCGGCGATGTCTCTTCCACGTCTACGCTTCCGACTCGTATAACTTAACAGTCCATGTCACTGACTTTGTCTCCGGGGTCTGGACGACGATCCTCTCCGTCTCGCAGCTCGATGATATGGTTCGTTTACTCTTCCTTTCTCTGTTTTCTTTTTGCTTATTCCTTCTTTTTGTCTCAGTTTCGATTTCTTATGCTGTGGATTGAATAATCTCAATGGCTTGTAATTGGGATTGCACTTGATTTAAAACAGAGGGATACTGTGGGAATAGGTGGTTCGTGGTCTGAGTTCGTCGATTACACTGTCGCTTCTTTGAATTCCGATAATGTGAAGCTTCTCCTGGGACAAAATTCTGTTTCAAATGGTAAAATTACTTCACTGTCTTCCTGACAACTTCCATCAAAATGAAGATGCTAACTTAGTTGAATGCTCTTAATTGTTGTGTTGCGTGTGATTTGTTAGCCTGCTTGAGCTTAATTCCCTGTTGTGTTTCAATCACATATTTTTTTTTCAGGTATCGAGATTGCGCGATTAGTTTCTCAGAAGGCCAAAGGAATGCCTCGCATAATAATTCCTCTAACAAAGATGGCAGACTCATCTGCTAGTGAGGCAATGGCTAATCTGTCTTTCGAGTTGTTCAGAGCATTCAAGAGCAAGCAGCACCTACAAGGTAAATTAACTATTACGATGAGGCCACTCTCCTGTTTTTTGCAAATAAAGACCAGACACTCTTTATGGCAGTAGAGAACGCTTATTTACACTATCGAATATCCCTATTTGTTCAATCAGGAGAAGTGAGTTCTTCAGCTGCAGCAACTGATGACCAGGTATCTTTGGTCTGGAAGTTCTAATGGTGTTTTTCTAATCAACTGTTCTTAACACTGCAGCACTGCTCTGTTCTTACTTGGTTGAAATATCTCGTTTAATTGTGATCAGGATAAGAGGGATGGTACCCGTAACCAACTGGAGCGATACTCCTCTGGAAAGGTAGATGTTATAGCTCCATCAACAGATAACCAACAAGACTCTCCCGGTTAGTCATGTTCGCAGTTTAACCACGTTTACTAATATGTTTTCAATTTGTCCCCAGATATCTCAGATGTAAACATTAATAAAAAATCTTTTATGTATACAATGATCATCAACATCACCATGTTTACCACTTATCTTTTGGTTGCAGCCAAGCAATCTGCCCGAGAAGCTAACACAGCAAAACCTGTTAAACGAGTACCTGCTCACCGGAGGTATATGCTTATCATCTCCTGATTAAATCTCATACGCAGCATCCATATTAATATTGATAATTGTGGTCTGAAACTTTAGCTTTGTTTTTTGCAGAACCCGTAAACGTGGTGCTGCTCTTCTGCAGGATTCAGAAGAAGAGGATGGCTGATTGGAACAGAACATAATCTTAAACACTTTAAATCCAACAATCAGCTCTCAGTAACAAACTGAATCACCTGGGGAGGCTTATGCTCATGATTATTTTCCCAGGTCCTTTTTCTCCTCTTTTGGTGATTCGATTATGTAAAAAGAATCTGTAAGGCTAATGTAATTCCTTTTGGACACATATTGCTAGCCATTTTTGAAAGATAAAAAAGAAATAAAACTGAATTTTTCTTAGTATCATTATTCTTTCATAGCTGACGCATCCAACTATATGGACTAAGCATATACACCAGTTACCAGTTCAGACAATTACAAATATTGTACAGCTTCAGTTGTGTCTCAGAAACAAAGATTCTCCTCTTCCATAGATTCTCTGACTGCTTTCAAAATCCATGGCTTGAGTTTCTTGGTGGTAACTATGATCCCCGTCTTGTGAGCAAGATACTTTCCTTTCGAGAAGTCTAGAGACTTCCCTGCAGCATCGCACACTACGCCTCCAGCTTCTGCACAAGGTTATTTTGTTGACTTCTATTTAGTAATAGTCCTCTCGTAATTTTCGTTATTCATTATAAGTGTAAGTGGGTATTAAATCGAGATCCCGTATGTGCTTGGCGATACAGCGAGCAACCTGTTGCTTTGTAATATGCATTCAGGCCATCAGTTTTCAGCGTTGAAAAGGGTTTTGTACCTGTGGTGATGATTGTACCAGCAGCATGGTCCCATATACACTCACTGTATCCATTGAGCGTGAAACGCAAGTATATCTCTGCGTCACCTCGGCACATAGCTGCATACTTAGCTTGGCTATCGATCCTTACAGGTAATGCTTTGATCCCGAGTTTCTGCTCTAACCGTACACAGATTGTTTTAGTAGTAAGAATTCCACTTGGTTATGGCCTACTTAAGGGCACACTGTAATTCCACTTGATATTACCTTTGCAATGGTACCATGGATGGGAATTGGTTTATGGTATGATTCTAAGAACTTTGCTTCTTCAAGAACATCATTGCTACTCACCTGAACCTGTCAAGATAGCTTTCACTCTCTTTAACACTATCAAACAATAGCAGATTGATCATGGTTTAGCTTTGGATAGGTAAATGATACCTTCTGTGGCGAAGAATTTCCATTGAGAGGTTGCACGAAAGTCCCTGAACCAGTTGTAGCAAAGAAAAGGCAGCCAACATTTTCTGAGGAAGACTTCTCCGTCTCACCAACTGCAGAAGCCACAGGAAGATTCGGGCAAGCCATGACACCGACCACCACTTTGCCTTCCACTAGCAAGGCTAATCCCACCGCGTATTGCTCTCCTCTTACAAATCTAAAAATGCAGAGAAGTTTATTGATCCGGTTTCTAAAATGCCAGGAAAGGTAAAAGCATTGTGAAACCACACAGGTTAAAGAGATTTGTTTACCCTTTTGTTCCATCTATAGGGTCAAGAATCCAGTGGCAGCCACTACAACCGCCTTCTGATTTACCGCTGTCTATAGCATTTAACACATCATCTGTGGATAGAGGAGAGCCAGCATACGATCCCTCAGAAGCTAGAGTATCTTTCACAAGCTTTGTAATACCTTCCAGAAACTCCTCACTTCCCTTCTTTCGCAGATCTCCAGTTTCCTGTAAGATTTTTTCCCAGATGTAAATCGATAAAACCCGAGTTACATCTACACTATAAAACCTTGGATAAACGGGTTCCTGAGTAATTTCACCTCTTCAGCTACTAAGGACAGTTTTTCAGGTTGGAGCTCCCTCTCCAATACAAGACTAACTACAGCTTGTGAGCCTGAAGAAACCATTCCATAAAGTAAAGACATTTTCCTTGATCGATTCTAGAGAGAACCCGAATCTAGCAAATCCGAAACTTGAATTTGAAAGGCATGCAAAACGAGGAGGTACAAACCGTAATCAGCTGCGGTAACAGGACTTCTGTCGGATTTTCTCCATACTTGGGATTGCAGCAGAGTCTTCTGCACCTCCTGATTCATTATTATATTATAAGGTTTCTTTAGTTTCAGGGATTCAAATGAGCTCCATGCTTTAATTGTAGTTCCAAATTGTTAGGGTAATTTCACGTGACGGTATAGCTCAATGGTTAATGAGAAAGTAGTCATTACCTGGCTGAGACAAGCAGCTAGAGAGACGGCTTTCTTTGCTGCTGCTAGCTCCTTGTCGTAAGACATTGAAAAGCTTCAAGAGCTTAAACTAGTATGTTTTTTATATATATATTGAACTAATTTATAGACATTGTTATATATTTTTTTGTTCATGTCACAGGCAGACGGAGCGAGGACGTAGTCAACACTGTAGATATATAAAATCGAGTTTCGTGCAAGACGGAGTTGGTGGTGCAAACCGTCGTTCACGTAATGACAGAACAAGTTGACGTTTACAAAGAAAGACAATTAAAGATATTAAAGAATATTTGTAAGACGTATCAAAATATATATTATCATGTAGAATATCTCGCGATTTTTTTTGTATCGGTTTGCATATTGTAATAATATTCGTTAGAAAACAAGAGTGATCATTATTAATGTTTAAACCCTAAACAACAAATTCACGTAATCCATACACTAAGTAAGCTCTAGTTTAATCTTTTTATGTAAGAAGTTTCATGGAAGATTCGCCAGAGTGTGTAAGTTTTTTTTATGATTATCAAAATTTCTTCGTCTTGGTCTTTGTTTAAGAAAGGTCTTTTCATTTTGTCCTTTTTAATATGCGATAGGGAAAGGCATCGTCTTTTTTCTATTGTCGAATTAACTAGTCCCGTAGTAATCACCTTGGCATTTTCAAAATTGATTCATGAATTTCTGATTATTGACAAAACAAAAATTTAAGAAAATAATTTAACGAGCAATTAGTAACATCAAAACTATATTCAAAGAGAAATTAGCGTTTTCTTATATATCAAAGGTGAGTATAATTTTTTCTTCAATAAATAAGACTGAGAAAACACAGGGACGAGAGAGTATATATACCCAAAAGACAACAATAATAAGTATATTACAGTTGCGTGTTAGTGAAGTTTCAGAGAAGCAGCTTTTTCTTCTTCCTCTTCTTCTTCTTTAATTGATTCTTTTACTGCTTTCAAAAGCCTTGGCAACAGTTTCTGCGTCGTAACGACAATTCCTCTCTTGTATTCAAGATACTTCCCTTTCGAAAAGTCCAACGGATTCCCAGCTGCATCAGTCACTTTTCCTCCCGCTTCTGAAATTATACAATTTCCCCCCAAGCCCATTTGTGTGATCATTCATGAACAATGGACCAAAAGCTAGGTGGATAAGAGCTAAATGGGTTTACCTGAAACGATGATTGAGCCAGCGGCGTGATTCCATATCGATTCGGGCCTTGCTTTGCGAGTGAACCTCAAGTACACCTCTCCATCTCCTCTAGATAAAGCTGCATACTTTGTCTGACTGTTGATCTTGATTGGTGATTCTTTTATCCCCAGTTTCTGTTACAGAGAAAACAGAGTCACACTCACACCAAACAGGAAGATATCTAGAGAATGTAAGGAAGATGGTTTACCGTAGCAATGGTGTTATGGATGGGGACAGGTGTGTGGTATGACTCGAAGAAACTCGCTTTCGCGGGATCATCTATGGTGCTTACCTCCACCTAATAGCACATTTGATGGCTTTTTTTTTAGCAATCTATATAATTTTGATGCAAAAAATATTGAAAAGGTATACAAGTAGTGATGCAACGAAACAGAATGGTTCTGAGTAGTTTTACCTTCACAGGAAGAGAGTCAACACTGAGAGACTGGACATAAGTCCCAGTGCCAACTGAGCCATAGAAAAGGCAACCAACATTTTCAGGTGAAGACTTGAGTGTGTTGCCAGCAGTTGATGCAAGAGGAAGCTTAGGACAAGCCATTACACCAAGTACTACTTTGCCTTCCACCAACAATGCTAATCCTATTGCATATTGTTCTCCTCTTATAAATCTACAATTTTGAAATTTCACGAGTAATAACAAAAAGTTGTCAACTTGAAGTAGTCTATGATAGTTCAATAATGTGAATAACAAAACCAAGAAAACAGATACTAGAGTTGTGAGATTGACTAGTCTTTGGAGTTGAACAATGAAACGAGATGAAGTTGGAAAACTACAAGTAAGTAACTAACTAGCTAACTTTGGGATAAAATATCGTGGTTAGGGAAATATGAATAACATTAAGAGTAATAAAGGACTCACCCTCTAGTGCCACCAATAGGATCCAAGATCCAGTGGCGACCCTTAGGACCTCCTTCTGATTTACCACGGTCTATAGCGTTGAGGACATCGTCAGAAGACAGAGGAGAAGCAGCATATGAGTCATCACTTGCAAGAGTATCTTTGACAAGCTCTGTAATACGTGCCAAAACTGTCTCAGCAGCAACTTTCCTTAACTCACCAGAATCCTACAAATTAAATTACATAAATAAGCTTTTACTGCATTTTAAAAGAAAAACCTGCAGAGTTCTTAGGTACCTCTTCAGCCACTAAGGAAACAGGTTCCTTCTGGAGTTCCCTTTCCAGTACAAGGCTAACCACCGCCTGCGAGCCTTAAGAAAAAGCATGTCTTTTAATGAGCAAAGACAGATGTGAAATCTAACATTTTGGCAAAAAGGGGTGATGAAGATTGCAAGAAGAGAAAAAAAGAAAAGAAAAGTCAGGGCAAACCATAATCAGCAACAGTAACAGGACTATCATCTGATTTGTTCCAAACGTCAGTTACCAAGAGAGATTTCCTCACTTCCTGGAACAAGCAACTTTGTTAACAAACCTCACTCAACTCTCTGAGGTGACTAAGTAGTACACAGATCAAAGTAAAATACTTAAAAGATTGTTAAAACCCATTAAAATCTCAGGTAGACATAACAAGATCGAATATTTCAGATCCCCATTCCATAACATCAAATTCACCCTAATCTGACAAAACTCAACTCAGTTGACAAATTCCAAGAAACAACAAAAAAAAAAAAAAGAGAAGAAGTAAAAGTCACACATTCTACTCTTTTTTTTTTTTTTCTTTTTTGCACAGAGAGTTCAGAGAAAACATCTAACTCCGTTCGAACACACAATCTCAATGTCAACGAGCAAAGAACAAGAAGAAAACAAAAATGAAAATCGAGAAATGAAAGAAGAACATGTGGTAGAAGGATCCCAAAAAAGAGACGAGTGATCGTACGTTGCTGAGACGAGCAGCGAGAGAGACAGCTTTTTTTGCAGCAGAAAGCATTTCATCGTACGACATTGAAAAACCAAACTTGAAAGACGAAACGACGACGAAGAAGAACCAATGAATGAATGAATGAAATCTCTCTCTCTCTAAACAATTGATTTATATGAAAAACCTCTCGCTACTCTGAAGCATAAACTTTCTTCTCTATTTGTTTTTCTTTTTTTTTTTCTTCTTTTCTCACTGCGTATTTAAATAACAATAATTGTTTATTTAATTTAGTTACATTTTATTTGTTTTTGGGTATTTTTAAAAACATATAGATGATTTTTTTCTCATAATCTGCTCTACCGTTGTGGAAAAAGTAAGTAGTCCCCTACCCCTTGAGAGTTGAGAGACAATGAAAGTTTCTCCCACGTTGTGTCATTCCTCCTAATATTTAATTATTTATGTACAATTTTCTTACTCTTTTTTAATTAGTACAATTTTCTTTTATAAAAAAAAATGTTATTTATACTCTGCATATTGCAAATTGCCTTTATCTTGTAAGTTACAAAATCCAAAAAATGAGGAAAACATTAATAGATAAACAGTCCAAGAAATGAATTGGTCCAATGGCAAGATATTTTCCCCTACAAAGAGATTTTTTACATTTATATTTTAGATATTTTAAAGTAGTAAAATGTTTAGACTTATTAACAAGACAACTACGTTTCTCTATTTTTTTTGGAGGTGAAATTCTTATTTTATGCTTTTGGCAAGATATGTAGTATATATGATTTTGTTACTTTTCAATTCTCTCTATATATATCACCAAAATGATTGTTTTTTTTGTGTTCCTTGTATTTGTTTAACTTATATAACCTTCTTCTTTTTTGGTATGCTTTTATTCTAAAGAGGTTATGCTTTATTTATAGACGAATATATTCTTCCTTTATTATATACAGTAGTTAACTAAATAATTAGAGCTATTGCAATTTACTTATGTTGCAAATTGCTTTTAATATATTGTGTTAATGACGTCTGAACTTGTGGCTCGGTCTCGTCAATCTTTCGATGAAAAAACAGGTTTATTTTGTCAATCATAACACAAAATATCTTTGGTTACAGGGATTAAGACAAGAACATATATATATGGTGTCTGTACTATATTATATAATTTCGCATAGATTCGTACTCTTCCATTTTAAGTTTGACTAGACCCAACGATTTTCTTACTTTATTGTGAATGGGATTGTATATTATATTTGGGAATAAAATCTCGAATTTATCTTCTTTCTTTTTTTTTTTCTTGTTGATTAAAAGTAATTTTATATGTCCCAACTCCCAAACATATACTAACACATATATATATGGAAAGATTCTACTTAACGCGCTTACACTTCCGTATTAATATGAAGAGTAGCCTACGCGCTCTACACACGTCGGTGCATGTTAACCTTCCTTAAAAGGCCTATTTCGGCCCATATTTCCCCTAACTAAACAGTCTTCTGCTCACTATATACTTGGCCCAAAACAGATTTGCACTTTTTAATTTATATCTTAGAAAATCGAAGAAAAATTCTCACTTATGTAACGATATTTTGTTGGTTGAGGAAGTGAAAACAACAGTGTTATAGATCGAAACAAAGAACGAGGGAAGAAAGAATCAGAGAGCTGAAGCTTTCTCTTGCTCAGCTATGGACTCACGCACTGCTTTCAAAAGCAGAGGCATAAGCTTCTCATTAGTAACGATTATCCCTGTGTCCAAATCTAGATACTTCCCTTTCGAGAAATCCAGTGGCTTTCCCCCTGCATCCGTCACAATTCCACCCGCCTCTGCGCACAAATATCCGATATTGCATTCATTACCAAATCCTATTCGCATATCGGTGTTATAACATAAATAGAAAGCTTTATCTTACCTGTGACAACTATAGCACCAGCGACATGGTCCCAAATCTTTTCACGGTATCCTTTATGAGGAAACCGTAAGTATATAGCTCCATCTCCTCTAGATAGAGCTCCATACTTTGCTTGGCTGTCGATACGTACAGGTGGTGCTTTGACACCAAGTTTCTGTACAGAACAAGAGGTAACACGATCAAATGGATGCACAATTATTTAGTTGTTCACTAGAATCACATGGCAGGAAAGAGATGCAATTTACATTGGCAATGGAGCTGGATAAGCCGTGTAGAGAGTGAGCTCCTTCAAATGACTCGAAGAACGATGCTTCTTCAGGATTCTCAACCCTAGAGACTTGTACTTTGACGGGAGAAGATTTTGAATCTAGGAGCTGCATATATGTCCCTGAGCCAATCGTAGCAAAGAAGAGGCATCCGATTTCATCGGATGAGGAGTTGTTGTTGTTGTTTCCTGCTATAGATGCTAATGGCAAGTTTGGACAAGCAAGCACACCTAAAACTACTTTTCCTTCCTCAAGCAACCCTAGTGCTACTGCGTATTGATCTCCCCTCAGAAATCTAAAATCACCAAAACAAGGTCGGTGTCAGGAACACAACACTTGCAATACCGTTCCATCAGTTTACCAATTTTATCTGAAATAAGAAGATTGAGCTTAGGGCACATAGTTTTAAAACATACCCTTTAGTGCCATCAATAGGATCCAAGACCCAGTGTCGACCATTTGGACCACCTTCAGATGTTCCACAGTCGATGGCTCTGAGTAGATCATCTGTGGACAAAGTAGAATCACCAAACGATTCCTCAGTAGCCAAAGTGTCGTTCACAAGTTTCGTGATGCGCTCAAGAGTATCCTGAGAACCATCTTTGCGTAGATCGCCAGAGTCCTATATAGATCATTTTAAGACAATGTAAGTCTTAAAATACAAACTCAAGATAAGTACTTTAAGCTGTTTCATTCACCTCTTCCGCCACCAATGATAAGGGTTCAGAACTGAGCTCTTTTTCTAAGACTAAAGTAACAACTGCTTGTGAACCTGAAACTCAACACAAGACAGATTATAACAGCGAAAATTTCGACCAATTTATGTGAATTCATTACAATGTCAGTAAGATTCAAAGAGGGAAACTTTTAACAACAGGGAGAGTTATAATCCAACCATAATCAGCAACGGTCACTGGACTTTTATCAGATTTTGATTGAACATCTGATTGCAACAGAGCCTTTTGAACTTTCTGAGAAACAACCAAAATCAAACAAAGACAGATCCTGTTAAAGAAAACTTGGATCAAAGAATCAAATAAACCATTACACTATATCACTAGAATATATTCCCAATTACAGATGCAATACACAAAAATATTAAACGAAATTAGGAAGATAACAAAAATGGGTTTACCAAAGAATCAAACTTTACAATCTGGGTCATGACACAATCGGAAAAAATGGAGGAAAAGGTTGAGAAAGAAGAAACCCCTAACCTGACAGAGACGAGCAGCGAGTGAAGCAGCTTTCTTAGCAGCATCAAGCTCTTTCTCGTAAGCCATCGATGAAACAACTCTGAGAGTAACAAATGTAGGAGGAGAAGATTTGATTCCGAATACTGAAACGAGACGTTTCGGTGAATCTCTAATTCTCGGAACTGCTTTTACTGATGCGAATGATTGAAGCGGAGCCTTGGCTGTTCGAAAACAATTTATAGACATCTTTCGCCTTTTCAAGAAGATAAATATATGTCTTCACATTTTCTGGTTGCAGAGACAACAATTATTACTTTTCTGAATTTCCCATTTACACCCTTGTAATTATGTATTCTCTTAAGCTGAGCTCTAAAGATTATTTTATGACAAGAAAAACCTTAATTGATCTGTTGGATTAGGGGTCCATTTAGTACCAACTTAAACAACATGAACAAACGGTGAAGACTAAAAACTTTAAGTGATGTTCGTAGATGGGTTGTTAGTGCAAATCGCACGTGGATGTTGTGTGTGATTGAAAACGTGGTGGATTTATAGGTGGTCAAGATACAAAAAGGCTTTCTCGATGATTATAGTAAAGCCCAAGTAAATGGTTCTGGGTTTTATATTTTGGTGGAAATGAAAAGCCCAAATAATTTTCTTCGGACAAACAGCTTAAGCTTTTGCCACGTTGTCCACATGAATCTTTTTGAGATTGGTCGACTACAGTTACACATGATTTTGGGGTGTGGATAAATCATTAATGACGCAGAGAGAGAGGGAGACCAAAGATGTCTAGATTGATGGCGTGTGAGAGAGCAAAATACCGCTTTGATTATTTGACGCCGCAAGCAAAGGGTCACGTTCCACTAACTTTCAAGATTCAACAAAACCCACTTTGTTTCTCTCTCTTTTTTTTATATATCTTCATATTCTCTTTCTGTGTCATCTTCTTTTAATAATCTGATCTTCTTACAGAAGAAAGATTGTCTCCAGAGAAAAAAGGTTTTTCTTACAAAGAAAAAAGATTCAAGTCTTTTGAGTTTTCAACAAAGTCCAGGTTGATATGTATATGCTTGCCACTTGTATCAGTGGCTTTTATTTCTGATTTTTGGATTATTTTCTATCTCAAGAAGATTTGATTTTAAAGGTTCTTGTGCTGTAGATTCAATGAACAGAGGCGATAAACGTAATCAGCAACCTTCATATATCGCTGATCATTTCAGCAGCTTGGATCAGGTTTCATAACTTCACCATCTATTTCTTGATTTCTTGATCTTGAATCTCTTTCAAAGTGATGAATGAATGCATAAGAAGAAGTGTCGTCTTATGCTACTTTTGCTGTTAGGTGATAACTTCTCTGAGAGAAGCTGGACTTGAATCTTCAAATCTGATTCTAGGAATTGACTTCACCAAGAGCAATGAGTGGACAGGTTATTTGAATTTTTTTTTCTTTCTATAAATTGCTTCTCATGTTGATGAGAGGACTTGATGGTCAATGTTGTGAATCTTGCTCGATGCAGGAAGATATTCATTCAATAGAAAAAGTCTTCATGCCATTGGTAAAAGACTGAATCCGTATGAGCAGGCAATATCCATAATTGGTCGTACTTTGTCTCCCTTTGATGAAGATGATCTTATACCTTGTTTTGGTTTTGGCGATGGTTAGTTTCTTTCTTCTTGCTTTAAATTTCAAGATTTGGCAAAGTTCTTAATGGTTATCAGCTTAATGTATTCCTCTTCCTGCAGTGACAACACGCGATCAATATGTATTCAGCTTTTATCCTGAGAACAAAAGCTGCCAAGGATTGGAAAACGCTGTTAAACGATATAGAGAGATTGTTCCACATTTGAAGTTATCTGGTATTTCTTCTGACTACAAAATTTATCACAAGGGTTGGTTTAGTACTGTCTTGTAGTAAAGCTTAATCTGTGTTTCGCTGTTCTAACAGGTCCTACCTCGTTTGCACCGGTTATTGATGCTGCCATCAACATAGTTGAGCAGAACAATATGCAATACCATGTTCTCGTCATTATTGCAGATGGTCAGGTTACAAGGAATCCTGATGTTCCGCTTGGTCGACTTAGTCCACAGGAAGAAGCTACTATGAACTCGATAACGGCAGCTAGGTAACTACTCAATTAGCTCAGATTCATGATCATATATTCATATTTATTATTAATTTTCTTCAATGAAAATTTTCCAGCCATTACCCGCTGTCGATCGTCTTGGTTGGAGTAGGAGATGGACCATGGGACACAATGAAACAGTTCGATGACAATATCCCTCACCGTGAGTTCGATAATTTCCAGGTAATATAATAAAACCCTGAATTAGCAGTTGCTTACTTTCCGGATATGGCAATTTGTGAAAAAAAAAAACTCTGTTTCGTTTTACAGTTTGTAAACTTCACAAAGATAATGTCGGAGCACAAAGATGCGGCTAAAAAAGAGGCTGCTTTTGCACTCGCAGCTCTCATGGAGATCCCTTTTCAATACAAGGCCACATTAAGTCTCAAGTAAGTGGATTGATGTTTGTACCTACTTGTATCACTAGTGTTTATAGTCTTACTGCATTAGATTCTTGAAAAGTTGGCAACCAAGCAAACCTTCGATTGTGCTTATAAACAGTAGAAAACCAGTGCGCAGTTCCCATCTGCACCAGAAGCCACTCCCACCACCACCGGAGGTTATTGAGCGTGACAATGCTATTAGATCGGTGCCACATCCAATGACAGAAGCTGCAGAGAAAAGTGACAGAACGGCTCCTGCTACAGCGCCGGTAAATTATCTTCTTTTCTCGCCTGTGTTACTGTTCTTTTGTCAATGAGTACACTCAGTTTCTCGGATACTGAGATTTACATTCCTTTTCTTTTCAAAAGGTATGCCCGATTTGCTTGACTAATCCAAAGGACATGGCTTTTAGCTGCGGCCACACAGTAAGTGAAAAAATAAAAGAGATTAAATTATTGTTTCTTCTATGATCTGTGCTGCTTCCAGATCAGTTTGGTGACATTTCTGATGCGTTTTTTCATTTCAAATAAAGACGTGCAAGGAATGCGGCGTGGTTGTCACGACATGCCCAATGTGCAGACAAGCTATAACAACAAGGATCAGGCTGTACACTTGACTGTAAAATCCAGGGAAACTCAAGGACGCTAGAGATGAGGCAAAAACCATATGGGTAACTGGTTACACACTTGAGATTCATGTTCATACGTGTGTAGCACATTGTACAGTCCAAGCAGAATAATAATAATACATAGACTGTAGTTTGTATGTATATTGCAGTGGCTGTGAGGCTCTTTGGATTAGACTATTAAATGAATTCCCAAAATTCTTAGCCTGCCGAAACAAGAATATATGCAAGAAGAGTAATCTTTCTGTATTAATCAAAAGCTTAAGTACAAAGAAGCAAAAAGTTTCCGTTTTATAACATCCCGAAGCCGATCTATTATGACCTACAAGTTCTAATTCAAACGGTAGTTTTAACAGCAAAGAAACCAATAGAAAAAAAAAGAAGATCTAAAAACAACCTTAAATACACATATTAGAAGCTCCAACGGTCGAGCTGTTGCCTGGCCACAGCCATGTCTTTTTGTGCTTTCATTCTCCGGTAAAATATAGGACAATCTCGACTGTAAAGACCAACACGAAATCCAATAAAGTTGGATCAGAACCTATTTACCTATTGAAAGAAAAGTCTTTTGAATATAGATATCAAAAAGATATAAAAGCAAACCTGGTGCATAAGACATCTTGATGGAGAGAGCCTTGACACTCCTGGCACTGTGTCCACAGCCTCCCAAAAACTTCTTCTAGGTCCGCCACTATATTTTCACAAAATGTTAAGCGACATTATTATGTGAGAGTAATAAACTTACTTTTTGCCCAAAAAAAAAATAAAATAAATAAACTTACTTATCCATCAAACTTTCTTATAAACGTTTATGTTGTTATAATGATAAAATTGTAAAAAAAAAAACATTTTCGATGATGGTTTATAATGATAAAAAAATGTAAAAAAACATTTTCGATAATGGTTTATAACAATATAAAACAAAAATAATTTTTAAGGAAAAATATATTAATAAAATTATAAAATATTACAGCGTAGCGTGGGTATTTATCTAGTATTCCTAATCGATCAAGAAGTCTATAGAAAAGGGAATAACGGTAGCATACCGTGAGACACGTTTTTGCAGTACAATTCGGCTTCTCTTCCCTTGCAACTTGCACATAGTGTTCCATTGCTGGTTGAAGTTAAAGCGAAAATTGATTAGCAGATCCCATATATGGAATCATAAACGAGACTGTAAGAACAAACAACCAAATGATAAGGAACTTGGAAGACATAGAAACAAATACAGATTAGGAACCGAGAATCCAGGATAGTATAACTTGCAGAATCCTAATATATTTCAAAACCGAACATGAATAATAACATAGGCAAGGAAACGAAGATTACCTGATCGGAACTTTGCAGCCAACACAGCTCAGTTGTTTCTTAGCAAATTTCATTATGCCGCTGTTCGAAGGAGTAGTAATTGATATTGACCTCGTGTGACTTCCATGGAGAAGTTCCTTGCTAGCATTTTTCAAGACTGGCTCAAAAATCCTAAGCAGCGGCTGAAAACAACATCTGCTTTAACCTCCAATTACCAGGATAGAGAGTATAGAATCAACTTATAGACAAACCCCACTTCGTACTGACCTTGCTTATCTGATTCTCCAAGTAGTAATTTGGGTCAATAGGGATGTTATTCTGCAGCACGTAGATCGGATCCTCTGACCGTTCATAAGCCTTTTTGACATTAAAATGAGATAAGCTCCGTAAATGACTATGACCTCAACATCTTGTGGAAAAGATAGATTAAGGTTGACATGAACACTACCTTGGCACCTTTAGCAGCTTTTATGATAACATATGGTACTCGATCCCCAACGTTTGGCGCTGTAGCAGCATCTCTCTGTTACAATAGATCTCAGCTTTAGATCAAGCTTTGTAAAAAATCTTATATCCACGAAAAGAATGCATATTAACAAAAATCCCTGCACTTGTGCAGCTCTTAAATGGCCACCAAAAATAATTGTTATACAAGCCAAAAAAATAAAATAATAATCTAACTGCTTATCACTTCCAGTTCAACTTCTCAGTTTGAGGGTGTCCATGCGATGCTGGAACTAGATTAAAGGAATGAAAATTTCTTAGAACTTTTTGTACATGTTTCTTTACAAACGAAAACGGTCAAGAGTTATCTTAAGTTGTAATAAAATGCTTAATCATGCAAATGATAAAAAAAAAAAAGAGAACCACAAACCTTACGCATACGTTCAGCAAGTTCACCATGAGCTGATTTAACTTCATAATCATCTCCTGCTTTCGTTAGACCCTATATGATTTGAGAAACACATCAGGAGCATTATAAGTTAATTTTCGTTTTAGTTTCACCGATGGCTTTAGTCATGACCATACACTTTCAAGCGATACAAACATCACAAGATAAGAAATCAAGCAATATTACCTTAGTAATCACCAAAAGTGATAAATCGATACGGTTCATCAGAAGATCCGAAATGGTTTTCTTAACAAACTCAGCTGCACCTGGAACATCTCTATCAATAAGTATTTTGTTAAGACTCTCAGTCACAAGGTTCTTAACCAGTAAACAATTATCCCTTCGTACTGTCTCGATTCCTGCAAGAGACAGTCATGTTTATATTTAGTCAGAAATTGAATACGAGAGAAGCAGTGAAATTAAATTTTTTTACCTTTGGTGTCCATTTTGTCAAATTTTTGAGGATTTGTCCACAGCAAACCAGCATACCTCTTCTTGTTAATCAGAAGATACGGGAAGTAAACCTTTTCAAACTCCAATTTGATGGGCTTTATGAAATCATACACAATAAAGAATCAGTGAACGATTCAGCCTGTTGTTTGTTTTCAAGAAATCCCATGATCTTGCAACTAAATCACATGGTCTTGCAACTCTACCCCAAGGATTAGGGAGAAGTTTAAGATATGCTCCTAGCATATAAGTTTACTTACTTTTATGAAAGTTCCGCTAATATGTTCTGCAGCTTCTCTCCCCAAGGTCATTGCAGTTTCTACATCCGGTACTCCAAATTGCACCATGACTGAATCTGTGTCTCCATAAATAACCTAATACATCATTTTCCATCAAATTTAGTAAATACAAGAACAAACTTATGCTTCACCCAGTCTTGAGAACATCGAGTAATGAAAATGTACCTCTGCATTGTGTTCATACCCTCCCAGTGTTGTGAATTTATCTTCCACAAGTTTCTTTGTTTGTTCAATCATCTCACGGCCTTTAAAAACATGCAAATCCATCAGAGCAAACCTAAAATGATGTGTCTAGAAAAGTTGCAGTGCTCACAAAAGAATTACCGTAGCTAGTTACACTTGAGGATATTTCCAAGCATGGTAACTGCCCAATAGTGGCTCCCGTAAACCCGTAGACTGAATTTGCACTTATCTGAGACAACAATACAAAACAAAATATAAGATAGCAATTCAAGGGAAAATATTGTTCATAATTTTCAAAATATAAAAATCGTTTTGCTGAATAACCAAGTTAAATAAACTGGCAGTAAGAAGTTCACCTTCAACGCCAACTGTCTACCATCTAAAACAGCCTTTTCAAGGGGATCCTTAGCCTCCTAAATTAGACAATAACAGTTTCACTAATACTAGTTAAAGGCTGTATACAGGAAGCACATACTGCAAAAGTTTCTTCAGAATAAAATGTTAAGTTACCTTTAAATCTGCTTTGGCTCTTTTACGGGCAGTAAGAAGCTCTTCAAGAATTTCTGGAAGTATACCCTGAAATGAATTATTAATAGTGTTTACAAACTGCTGTATTTCCTGAAAGATCTGCAACATAATTTGAAGTACTTGAAGATAATCAATTCAACTAAACACGGCAACCTTTTGCAAACTTTGCTTAACAAATGTTTCCCCTGACGGAGTTTTAGTGACATGTTCAGGTAGAAGATTCAGTTTGCGTACATCTTCAGGTGTCACCTTCAAAGACAAACGTGGAAATAATTCTCTCAAATTAATAAGGTGTATAAATCATAGATGAAAAATAAATAGAATTAACAATGAAAATATCAAAAGAATTACCAAAGTGCAGTAGCAAAGATTATATGCCATCATAATTGACGGGTATAGTGAAGCAAAATCCAAAGTTGCAATTGGTTTTTCATAGAAACCTGTCCTTGCTTCTAAGACCTGAATATCATTTGAAACATCCAAAACAACAGACATGTCAAAACAGTGCAACTATTACAAAGGAGAGACGAAAAAAGAAACGTTCTCATATAGCACCAACTTACAGTTGCGCCTTCATAAGTTCCTTGTTCAGACCCTGATTGTTTAGCATTCGGAAGAACCATATTCCTCTGTTTGGCTTTCCTAAGAAGCTGAGATAAAACCTAGAAGAAATATATTGACACAAAATATCAGCCACCTTAGTAAACTGAAACACATATCCAAAAAATTATTACTTGAGAAATACTTTAATACTCTGTCCTCTGGCAAGAAGAAAGGAAATAGGGACACCAGTTACACGAGCCATCTCAACATAATTATATATAAACATCAGTTTGTCCAGAAGCCTCTGAGGGAGGTATGCATCCTGTAACAGCAAAGAGGAACATGGTGAAGTTGCACCTTCTTATAATTTTCAGTAGGCTAACGATTAATAGAGGGAGGAAAAGTTAGTGACTAAACATCCTTCCACAATTCCTTCCAACACACATTATTCCACGTGTCATTAATATCGCTAGCAATTGTCAAAAGTCCTTCAAGCCTACCTCATATCCAGGGACCAGGGTGCTCAAAAAACTCATGACTAGACACAGTGGATATAAATATAATTTCTATAAACCCAAATGCCATCAGCAATTCAAGGGTTAGGTAAGGATATTTACAATGTGCATATCTACAAGGGTTCCTCTTGCCACACGTACACGTACACAGATATTTACAATGTGCATATCTACAAGGGTTCCTTGTACACAGATATCTACAAGGGTTCCTCTTGCCACACGTACACATCAATGTTCATTTTTACACTAGGAAGGGTCGGACTTGGGAAAACATGCAATAGGACATGTAGGTAGTCATACAAGCCTGATAGCTAGATAGAAAATCTTAAACTTATCCAATAACAGGCAATGCAACAGGACATAGGCAGCAATACTCCAGAATAAACAAATGTAGGTACCTTCAAACAATAAACAGCAAGACGCCTCCTGGTTTCTGCATTTCCATTCTGGAGATCAGTTATTATAGAATGGTGGACATCCTCTTTCTGATAAACAAAATCAGCTTAGCCACATAGAACAAAATAAATAACCTGAAATTCTAAGCATAAATCACTCAGTTTCACCTGCTCGGAAAGAAAGTGAGCTGATACAGAATTCAGCGAATAAGAACTTAATTTGTGGTCTCTATGTATTGCCTGCAATAATGAAAACAAAAATTAAGTTGATGTTACAAACAACCAAAATAAATTTGTCAAGGACAGAAACCTGAATAAGGTCAAACTGAAATCTTCCTTCAATTGTGGTCTCTTTACTTTCCCTTATTCCTTGTTGTCTGAAACAGGAAACATATTACTATGGGAAGCCATATAATATCATAACATGCGAGGTTAGAAAACTCATGAGCTACAAAAAGCATGAAGTATAACAAAAAAAATAAAGGAGAAACTGATGGCAGTTAGCAAGCACCAGTTACTCCCACATCACCTTGATGAAAATGTTGAGTCCCTGACCCGGACCCTGCTGTTCTTTACACGACCAAGGAGAGGAAATTCATCTATTCCTAGTGTTGCAGCTCTCTGAAAATCAGAAAACAGCATATTTTTTAGGTGCCATACAGCCCAGATGAAAAGCACGTTTCTGCGAACCAGAGGTGATAATGATCCGTCAATAAAAGTAAAGTTAATGTTCAAGTACCTCAATCAGATAAGGTAAATCGAATTTGCAGATGTTATAACCAATGATGATATCAGGATCAACATCACGAATCAAATCCTGCAGCCAATACATCAGCAGAACACATGCTTCATTAAGCCCATAACAATATTGCAGTAGCAACATAAAGTATACTAATACTTTCACTGAGTCCTCCCGGATTATGAACTGTATAAAGCTTACTTTTGCAAGCTAAGATGCCAAATAACAGATAAAGAGAAAGTATTGCACATATAAAAATGAAACACGATAGGAGGCAAAAACAATACCCTCCAAGCTAGTAAGACCTCTCTTTCTGTTTCAAAAGACATAACATCTACGCCTACGATTGGAGCACATGACTTAAGAGTCATGACATTGCGTACAAATGGGTGATCCTCTCCCTGAAGAGTAACAAGATTCGCTATCTAGAAAAGCAATAAGAATCTTGTTTCAAGAGGAATGAGAACAGAAGTAACAAATAGGGATATTAAAATATAACAAAATCAGCTAACCTGGATTACAGGATCATGCTTAGCCTCCGGAAAGTGTCCTTTACGACCTGCGCACTCAATATCAAAACTTAGTACACGGAATGGAGCCATTTTTGAGTATTCACCTTCTGCAGCATGACTGATTAGATCTGAGTACCTAAAACCCGTGTTAAAGAAAGTAATGACATAAAAAGAATATGTTACAAGATAAACATATTCTTGCTCAAGAAAAGAAATTCAGATAAGGATACAGGCAATGGAACTCCAACTGGCAGTATGACAAAGTTCTTGCATTCTTCTTATATTTCCCAGTAGGTACTTCAATCCAATTTCCACCGACAATATCACAATCAACCATGAAACGGAGAACGAAAAGAATATTGCTCTCATATGTTTGGAAGCTCTTCATACCCAATCCATCAATTTGTAAGCCTCTATCAAGGATACCTACCATTTAAATCATTGCAATGAAAAAATCAGTAAGGGAGAAAGTAGACCCATAAAGCACAAGCATTTGGGAGTCATACCGCGACAGCTAGCCACCATAGTCGGCAATGCAACTGTAATCTTCAGAAAAGTTTGGGATTTTTGCTGTTGGTAATACATAATGCTTCTTTTTTGCACCATTTCTATACGACGGACAAATTTCGGGACCTTGGCATTTTTATTTGACTCCCTCATCCTTCCCTGAATGATTCAGATGAGCTTTAAAAACAAAACTAGGGAGGTAAAAAGAACAAAATTCTCAGAGATCTATTTAGCCTGCATAAGTAAAAACCTCAAGAGTCTGATGGAAATTAGAAATATCGTCAGGCCCCATTCCAGGAGGACAAGCAATGTAGAAGTAGGGCTCAAATCCATGGACAAAGCAACACACACTGTTACCTGACAACATACCACAAATGTAAGCTCGAAATCCAACGAAATCGTTCCCCATGTCAGTGTGTTTTCAACAAAAAAGCAAAAACGAGCTGAAAACACTAACCTTCTTTGGTAACCCCAAACATCCTAATGATTGGAGCTTGCCCTGAAGAAGCCGGTAACAGCTCCTTATGAGACTCCGAAATTATAGAGTCAATCTCCAATTGTTGGAAAACTAACAAATCGAAAACATGAATCAAAGTGTTGAGCAATTTCCATCAATCACAAGATGAAGAAACCCTTGAGAGAAATTAAGACAGCACTCAACTGATACTTTGCGAATTTGAGAGATAAGCGGGGGAGAGCGGAGGTCGAGCCCAAGCGGACGAACGCGATTCACGCTCCTCAATATCACGGAGAATTAGGGATTCTTCGTCCTCGTCGCCGTACAAGAGAGCTTCGTCCAGAAACACGTCCTCTTCGACCATAAAATCATCCTCTAGGGTTCCGATGGCCGGAGATGGTGTTGAATTAGCAGTGGCTCGATGCTTCACCGGCGGTGGGGTATTTGACGGAGGCGGTCGCTTTCTGGAATTGCCGCCGCCTCTATTCATGTCTATGGGTGAGCGGGAAAGGAAGAAGAACGTGTGAATGTGTGAGCTCTCGTGGAGGTCGGAGAGAAAAAGAAGAAAAAAGTGAGTTTAGAGAGTATAGAGACACTACTGTTGTAATTCCCGCCATTTTTAAGGGTTTTGCTATTTTAGAGACTATGATGAAGATCTTTTTTTTTTTGGGGAAATTTGCTCAAGTCTCTTCAAATTTGTGTTTGTGGTTGTAATTATTTTTAATTTGATACTTGAATCTATATTATATGATGAGTGATGACCAATGTTAAGTGCTTCTACAGCTGTACATGAAATATGAAGTTCTTTAAAAATAAAATTAAAAAGCATACGGCTAACGGGGAGCTCCTATCGAGATATATAAAACTGAATCGTTTGTTCATTGTGTAATCTTGTGTCTTCAACCTTCTCCAGGGATCATGAAAGACACATTTCAATACGGTTTGACTCAGAGACGACTTTGGAATTGCTAACAAGGTTGCTGCGACAAATTCATAGTGGAGTTTGGTTTTATGCCAGAAAGCACGATTAGAACATATCTCTCAGATCGAGACGGATTTGTTATGTGGTTTTTAACACAAGCCAACTCCACTATGAATTGTCGAGATGAAATGAGAGTAATGCTTCTCGAATGTGAACTTTTCCAATTTTTATGTCCTTGCCGAAGGTAGTGTGTGCTCCAAATCTCTCTCTCTCTCGTACTTTGGATACGCTCGTACGTACTAGTACTATGATTAATCATAAGAAGGAATAAGCTCTCATCTGAAGCCATGCATGCATTCTCAAAAACTTTTGCAACAACATCTCTAGTCTCTCTACTGATGGAAATAGTAGATAAGAGAGCAATGCGGAAACCGTACGCGGAATGCCACACACACTCGAGCTCGTCTCCCTTTACTCCTCGAATTCAACTTCAAACTGTCATGTTTGGTTCCAGTCATTACAAGTCTCTCTTTCAGCTTTTATGTAGTAGAATGATTCTTTACAAGTTATTTTTTTTTTTTTTGAATCATTCAAACGAAATTAATGCACTACTCTATAAGCTTGTAATTCATATCGTCTAATATTAACATTTTAGCAAACAAATTTCCCTTTTTCTTCTTGTGACACCAACAAAACCACAGAAAATATGACAATTTCCAAACATAATATAATGTGTTTGAAAAAAAAAGAAATAATAATAATATTTTGTTGACACGAAAAGAAACAAAATAAAAAAATATACTTTTTTTTAGGTTAAATGAATCAGAGGGGGAGAGAGAGATAGAGAGAGCCATTTGTATCGGAACTGAGAAAATCTTCAAATTTCAAAAAATCAAAAGAAAGGCGGGATTCCAAACAGCCTCTTCGTCTTCTTATTCTCTCAGTCTTCTCTCGATCGTCGGTAAACGCAAAACTCATCTCGCTCCGGATAACAGTGTCAACCAATGGCGGAAAATGCTAATACTGCCAGCCATAGAAGAAAACCTCAGAGCTTGAACGATCGACACTACAGTATCCTCATGGATCTTTCTGCGCCTCCTAAACCTCCTTCCTCTTCTTCCCGTACCGCTATTTCTCCTCTGTTGTCTGCTCTGTGGTTTCGGATTCGTATCCGTCTTTTGATTATTGACTTTTTTTTTCTTCTGGGGTTCTCAGATGGAGAAGTTGAAGAAACGAAGAAGTCCATGATTAAGCTTGCTGGAAGGCGTCGTCTCTGCAAGGCCTTGCCAAAGGAAGACGTATCTGATGGAGATGACGATTCTGATTTGGTCGATTTCGATTCCCCAGGTTGTCCTGACTTTTTTACCTGATTTGTAGGGTTTTTGTCACCCATCTCTCTCCGTTTACAGATATATGAGTATTGATTTATTTCAGTTTTGTTTCTACTAGCTTACTTTGAAATTAGGGTTTTCGAAATCTGGGTTTAATAGTTCTGTTGTTTGATTTTCCGTATCTTACCGTTGTTTACTCGAATGTGTTTGTCTTGCACAATGTTTGAATCAGTTAAAGGGGAGTCATCACTCGAGAGCGCTGGAGCTGGGAACATACTCACATCTTTGGATAAATCAGATGAAGCTAAGACAGAGATTGCTGACGAGCCTAATTTTTCCATAATCACAGACTTTGCTTCGCCCTCACCTCAGTTGAAGCAAAAAGAGGAAATACAAGATGCTGGAGGAAGGAACGAGATCATGGATATTTTGGATGACCTGACCTCTAAGCTTGGGACGATGTCCATTCAGAAGAAGAAAGTTAACCAAAGCAACGATTTTGATGCCGGTGGAATTAAGAGCCAGGTTGATAATCTTGATTTTGAGGATGCCGAATCCTCATTTTCCTTGATATCAGATCTATCCAAGTTCTCGTCAGATAGTCTCAAGGACAAGCAAGGCAATGCTGGTATTACCATCCGGGAACAGATAACTAGTAATGAGTTTTCAAGCGAATGGGAAGACAGAGTTTCGAATGTTGGAAAGCAAAATTCATTTTCTGTACAGCACTTTGACGATAAGTCTGAAGATAATAGGCAGGGATACAACCTTGACCTTGGGAAGGGAAAAGGCAAGGAAGTCGACCAAATTCCGAAGACTACTAGACATATAGAGGTAAGTGAAAAGCTAAGAACAGTCGGACGGTCGAATGCTGACAAACTAAGAGACTTAGACGAGGATGATGATGATGATGACTGTGTCATTTTGACTGGGAAAAAAGCGGTTGAAATGAAAATCCATCCTGAAAAGCCTAAGAAGCCAGCTCAGTCTCACAACATAAAAAGACATGGTAGTGATGAGAGACTGTTGGATGATAAAGAGTCTATCACTTTAACTAGCCTCAAGTTGTCTTACACATTGCCTGGAAAGATTGCAACAATGTTATATCCACATCAGAGGGAAGGGTTGAAGTGGCTTTGGTCATTGCATACACAAGAGAAAGGTGGAATACTTGGAGATGATATGGGTTTAGGTAAAACTATGCAGGTAAGGAAATCTGCGACCTGCACCTTTTTTTTTGTTAACACTACTGTATCTTTGATTTTAGTTTTGTTTGCATTGCAGATTTGTAGTTTTCTTGCTGGTCTGTTCCACTCCAAACTGATCAAGCGTGCTCTGGTAGTGGCCCCAAAAACCCTGCTTCCTCACTGGATGAAAGAATTAGCTACCGTGGGACTTTCACGAATGACTAGGGAGTAAGAGCAAATTTATTTGATTGTTATACTATACTGATTTTAAATATAGTGATACTAATAGTCTTTCTTTCCCTTTTACAGATACTATGGCACTTCGACGAAAGCCCGGGAATATGATCTCCACCACGTTCTGCAGGTTCATGTTCTTTCTTCCATTGTTATTCTGGAAAATTTCACTGATATTAACTACATAGTTACAATTCATTACATTTTGGCTTTACTTGTGACCTGTTACCCTTTCCTGTAGTAAATCATTTTTATCTGTATAGAAGCATAATTTCATATTGCTTTTGAAGGATTAAACTGATAAATAATATATCATTTTGTCCAGAGTTGAATGGTAATTGTTTTGAGAAATGGTACGGGTTCCCAACCTGGATGTCTCTAACTTTTGCAGGGTAAAGGTGTTCTTCTAACAACCTATGATATCGTACGAAACAATACAAAGGCTTTGCAAGGTGACGACCATTATACTGATGAGGATGACGAAGATGGAATCAAATGGGATTACATGATTCTGGACGAGGTAAACACATATCAACCTCTTATTATTTGTAAGACCTCTGACTCGCTGCACTAATAGTTGGTGTAATGTGTATGCATTATGATCTATCAAGCGCTGAGATGTTACCATTATTGTAGGTTATGAATTTTTTTCCAAACCGATATCAATATGATGTATTTCCTCTTACACTTCTAGGGACATCTTATTAAGAACCCCAACACACAAAGGGCCAAGAGTTTGCTTGAGATCCCAAGTTCTCACCGTATAATAATAAGTGGTACACCAATCCAAAACAATCTCAAGGTATCGTCTATGGCATTTGACGCAGGTCCATATATTTTCAGTAATTAATTATTCTTGCAATTCTAATGCTGCCTATTGAATTCCATCATCATATTTTATAGGAACTGTGGGCTCTTTTTAACTTCAGCTGCCCTGGGCTACTCGGTGACAAGAATTGGTAAACATCTCCTCCTTACAATGATGTCAGAGTACGTTTACCAGCTTTGTATTACTAAGTCTTTAAGCTTAAACAGGTTTAAGCAGAATTATGAGCATTACATTATTCGTGGAACTGACAAAAATGCTACTGATAGAGAACAGAGGATAGGCTCAACAGTAGCAAAGGTGAGAGGATTCAGTTCAAATATGCTTGAGTGGCTATTATTTTTGTACTGTAGCTGAAAGAAGTTTTTATTAGGTTTTGAAATTTTTCCTCGTATCCTGGCATGTCTTTTTGAATCTAGCTCTATTCTATGATTACTATTGATTATCATAAATATAGTAAGAAATGAAACTATAGATTATCACATACCATGCTTACAATCTGGGATGCATCGTATGAGGTTGCAAACTGTTTGCAATATAGCCGTATAACAGTTTAGGTATGCGTGTGCAAGCTTACTTGCCCCTAAGAAGAAAAAAGCTATCTATTTGCTTGTGACATATGCTGCTCCAGTCTGTAGGCTGTAGATCTTACAATTCTTTTTTTTTCTTTTTTTGGTGTTTTCTCCTTGATTGATAGAACTTGAGGGAGCATATTCAACCTTTCTTCTTGCGGCGCCTTAAGAGTGAAGTCTTTGGTGATGATGGTGCAACCTCCAAACTTTCAAAGAAAGACGAAATTGTTGTATGGCTACGGTTAACAGCTTGTCAGGTGCAACCCTTAAACAGTCGTTGATAATGTTCTCAGTCTTATGAAATTACTGATACGTACTTGTTGTTGCAGAGACAATTATATGAAGCTTTCTTAAACAGTGAAATTGTTCTTTCAGCTTTTGATGGTTCACCTCTAGCAGCTCTAACGGTAACTTGAAGCTCTCTTCTTGTTTTTTGTTTGTTTCATCAAGTGTGTGTGTCCATGTGTTGGTTAAATAACCGTAGACTCAGTTCCACATCTTTATACACTTTGCTTAGTTCTCTTTAGGATATATGTTACATGGAAAGTGGGTTCCTTTACTCTGTTTATATACACGTCAAGCATATAATTCCTGTTCAAAATCTTGTCTGTTCATATCTGGCAGCTCACAGTTATTGTTTGTTATGTAACAGATTCTGAAGAAAATATGTGACCACCCGCTTCTCTTGACTAAGAGGGCAGCTGAGGATGTCCTAGAAGGAATGGAATCAACATTAACACAAGAAGAAGCAGGCGTGGCTGAGAGATTGGCAATGCATATAGCAGACAATGTGGATACAGATGATTTTCAGACCAAGAATGACAGCATCTCTTGCAAATTGTCATTCATCATGTCACTACTGGTTAGAACGCATTTACGGTTCATTATTGATATTAACTTTGACGTTTGTCTGTTTGACTGACATCCTTTCTATACATTGGTACTCAGGAAAATTTAATTCCAGAAGGGCACCGTGTTCTAATCTTCTCCCAGACACGCAAGATGCTTAATCTCATTCAGGTTTTGCTACTAACTTCTAACTTTACCAATTACCCCCTCCCCCAAAGTTTTTTTTTTAATATCGATGGATTCTTTATGTGTTATGCTTGGAATTTTCAGGATTCTCTTACCTCAAACGGTTATAGTTTCTTGCGAATTGATGGTACTACAAAAGCCCCTGACAGATTGAAGACTGTTGAAGTGGGTTTTCTTTTTTTTGACACATTACATTTCAATTTTTCCTAAGTTTGTTGTTTTCTCTAGCCTTCATGCTAACAGTTCTATGAAACCCTTAATATTCCTCTAGGAATTTCAAGGAGGTCAGGTGGCTCCTATATTTCTCTTGACTTCTCAAGTTGGTGGTCTCGGCCTTACTCTGACTAAGGCAGACCGTGTGATTGTGGTTGACCCTGCCTGGAACCCGAGGTGCTTACTTCTGTTGACTATTCTTTCAACAGCCTAAGTCTAAACGTTAAGAAAATTATATTGTTATTTACTTTATCAAATCAACATCTCTATCTTGTTGAAGGTCAATTTTGCTTCCTGTTGAAGCAGCACAATTTTGCTTCCTGTTGTAGTTAGATGCTTATTGCCGGATCTCTATTAGGATATTAGTTGTATATGATGCAAAACTTGTGCTGTGATTTCTATCCTATATCTCTTGCTTGCGAAACTTGATGTAGTCTAAAACCAGTGTTGGAAGAATGAAGGGCTGTTAATATTTTTGGTTTCTTGAAAGTACTTTGATGACTTGATTTTCTGTTATCTATGCAGCACGGACAACCAAAGCGTTGATCGAGCATATAGAATTGGGCAGACGAAGGATGTCATTGTGTATAGGTTAATGACCTCAGCAACTGTTGAAGAAAAGATATACAGAAAACAGGTCTGTGACATATTTTTGTTCCTCAGTAAGTGTCATAGCTAACTGATTTTGATATATATGATTATTTGTATGATACGATCCCCTCGGTATGTGCTTTTTTAGGTATACAAGGGAGGATTGTTTAAAACTGCAACTGAGCATAAAGAACAAATCCGCTACTTCAGCCAGCAGGTCCAATCTCAATTCTGCTGTAAATGGCAGTTTAAGTGCTTTCTAGTTTTTCTTTATTAGTTTATAATTGTATATACCAAATGATATCACTCTTAGGACCTTCGAGAACTTTTCAGTCTTCCGAAAGGAGGCTTTGATGTTTCACCTACACAACAACAACTATACGAAGAGCACTATAACCAGATCAAACTGTAAGCAAACACTGAATTCTGAGCAAAAACTGTGTCATGATGCTTTATTTCTAATATTTTTTTCACTCATCTATGTTTATTTTTACAGAGATGAAACTCTAGAATCCCATGTGAAGTTTCTTGAAACTCTTGGCATCGCTGGAGTTAGCCATCACAGCTTACTTTTCTCCAAGACTGCTCCAATTCAAGCTATACAGAAAGATGAAGAAGAAGAAATAAGGTGACTCCATGTCTCCAAACCAGCTGTTTAGTTACAAAGCACTTTTCCTTCATCTTTAAATCCCAGTTTCTGATTCGTTCTTCAACTTAAAAAGGAGAGGAACGACAGCGTTCTTGGGACGCCCATCATCAAGTATTTCCCAAGACACTGTAATCAATGGGTAATACCACCAACAGCCTTTTGTCAAATTTATGTATAGTTTTATTGTGTAATCTCTAATCGATTTGGAAAACACTTCCTGGCAGGGCTGACTATGCTTTCAAGCCAAAGGATGTAAATTTGGGTAAGACAATAAACATTTCCCCAATCGACGAGAAGGAATTGTCGGAAAGCGAAATTAAAGCAAGACTCAGTCGTTTATCGATGCTACTCAAAAACAAGGTAATGACATCAATTCATTGTAACATCCAGAAAGCTTTAGGCATTATCTCTAGGTCTCTGTTTTGAGTTCCATTCTCCATCTCATAGAGTACGGTATCAAGGCTACCTGATGGAGGGGCAAAAATCCAGAAGCAGATTGCTCAATTGACTCGAGAACTGGAAGACTCAAAAGCAGCAAAAGGGATCAATACGCCTCAAGTTATTGACTTGGAGTTGGAGGATATAAGTCAAAAGATGCACAGAGGATTGAATCTGTAGAGTAAGACACAAGTCAAGATGCAAGAAATGCCGAGAACCATCATGGCAACACTTGGGCTCTTTTTTGTTTGTTCCTTGTCTAGTTTGGTTTTTGTTGAATTGACAAGTCAGTTACCTTATGACTTGCTGCAAAGAAGATCAACGCTACTACTACTACTACTACTAACTAAGGAGTGTGCTAACTGCTAAGCCAGATTTTATCTTTTAATCTGAAACCCATAAACTCTAATCAGTAAAATGAAGATTTAAGCACAAAATTGTCGTCTTTGATTTTGCTCGCTCCTTTTAACAACAAAGACAACTGGTGTCGATTTCAATGCTCTCTATTATACTTGAGTCACAGTAGGAGATTCCTATGTCAAAGATTTGGGTTTAAATCTCTCCTAGTCTCCTTCACCACCACCCAACAAGAGAGTACAAATCGTTTCATTGAAAATTCCAAGCAACTTTCTTGAAGCTGTGGAGGGACTCCAATGGGACACTCTCTACTTCTCTTCGATCATCTTATAATTCGTCTCTACCGGTCTCCTCCTCCATTTACATTTCAGACTACTTCTTAATAACACCAATTGAACGAATCGGAAACAACTTGTCAAACTATTTTATGACAAATTGTTTCTGGATGGTGGAAACAAAAGATGGAGTTGGTGCCAACAGAGAGGAGGAAGAAGATTAAAGAGAAGCTTGGGATACAACAGGTTGGATGACTTCACCAAGAGAGGCTTTGGCTTTGATGTTTCACATACACGGCAAAAAATTACAGGCAGAGAGCACTATAATTAACAAAACTCGAATTGTCCTGATGGTTTTGTTATTCATATATATTGGTGGATTCACTTATGTATACTGATATCTTGATCAAATCAATCAATCAATCACTAACCATTTGCGTCAATGCTGAAACTAAAAGTTTTTGCTTATGAGACACATATATTTGAAGTCCCAGTTTTTGTTTATGACACACTAAAAGAAAGAGAGCTTAGTAACTTTCTCCCCAGTAGCTCCACTTCTTTGCAGGCTTTGCTGATGCAAAGCATAGAGTGTCTTTTCTTAGTTCAGGCTGCTCAAGGGGAGTATACACAGAGTCTTTGCTCCTCCTGCTCCTGTTTCTTCACTTCTGGTACGCTTCTTCACATCCTTCTCCACTTCAACATGGTCACACCACGGAGCTAGAATCAGTTTGTTTTGGCTCAAAGCTCCCACAAATTCATCCCAAGTTTCAACCTTTTGAGTACATTCTTCCACCTTTTCATTTGCCACATCATAGAGGTTTCTCTGGATTTTCTCCAGCAATTCCTTAACTTGTTCAATCATGTCCCCTCTCTTGACATCCATCTTTGCTCCAGTTTCACGCCTCACTATTCTCACCTGCTCTCAGAATCCAAGAAAAACCGTTAGCCTGCACACAGATTATGAGACATATTCTGATTAGTACAAGAAACTGACCTGATCATTGGCCAAATCTCTGGGTCCAATTTCAATTCTCAAAGGAACACCCTTTAGTCATTATCTGCATACTTCCAGCCGCAAGAATACAGTAGTTGTTGTGGGTATCTGCTTCAGCACAGATTCCAGCCTCGCGCAAGGTGGATTTAACAGCTTTACAAGCATCACAAAGTAGTTGGTCATCAGCAGCATCTTTTGAAGGGAACCTGAATCATAACAACTTTAACAGGTGCCACTTTTGGAGGGAATATTAAGCCTCCGTCATCTCCGTGAGTGATAACCATTACTCCAATCTATACATAATATATTTCATATCAAGTTTGATGATGATTAGAGAAATAATTAAAAAAAAAAAAAAAAAAAAAAAGTAAGAAATGATTTAAGATTCAATACTTACCGATCAGGTACATTCAGCCAAAAGTGTATTTTTCTTATCGATTTCTCATAAGCATACTAGCCAGAATCTGTGTATTATATGGGAGCCAACAGTTGCTTCTTCACCATTCTTTGGGGAGCCCTATAAAGTTTTGTCTGAAGAACACTAACTCGATCTTCGCCTCTTCGTCCCTGATCAGCCATTATATTTATATATATGTCGTCTACTGTTATGATCCGAAGAAGCAGAACAACTTTTGAAGAGTTGACGTCCAACCGGAAAAACTCAAGGGTTTTACCTTTATGAGTGTTCATGAATCATGACCATGTTGAGAATACAATGTGGTTGTAGGATTCGTTGTATAATTGTTTTGATTCAGAGCTACCTAGATCTTTCTTTTTTTCTTGTATTGATTCAGTACTTGGTTTATATATATGTGTACTGAATCAATACAACAATGATGACCTTAGCCACCCACAAAAAAAGAAAGAAAAAAAAAACAATTGGTTTATATATATGTGTGATTTTTTCCATCTTCTCAATCTCTAATCTGTGGTACCAAGTTCATTTCTATCAAAGTATCAGACGCATAAAAATGTCCCCCTAAAATCCATCATTGAACTAAAAAAAAGGTCTTAAGACATTCCCATAAATCACACATGCATAAATGAATCTTAGGCTCATGCCGCCGAAACTAAAAGCTATCAGCTCGCCTGGCTTGAGATTCTAACATTGTCCTAAACAACTTATATTTATTGGATATAAGTTCCAGAGCTCACAATAAAACAGGGACATGATCCTGTTTTTTTTCTTTTATAGCGGATTCAAAAGATAATCAGATAAATTAGGAAGCAAATAAGCCTTCCATTCATATGATCAAGTCTTGAAAACATTGAAGAGCACACAATTTACAATGGATCAGTCTCACAATTCGATTCCTTTTGAAAGCCGGACTCATAGTTACGTCATTTGCCACTGCAATTCATAGAAGGTAAATAAGCAAACTTTAACTTGATGATGATGATGATACACAATAATAAATAGAGGAAAAACAAGTATAAAACCTTGAGAACAGGCTCTCCTTTGTTAGTATTTGCAGACTGTTTAGCCATTTGCTGTAATTGAGCTTGTGCAGCTCTTCCAGCTGCAGACTTGTCAAATTGCTCTTTCCTGCGTTAAAAGTTCAATATCAAAATCCATATCAAAGTTTCAATTTTTTAAAGGATCCATTTTTCAGTAGAGACGATCCGAGATCAGAAGAGAAAAGAGAAAGAAATACCGTCGCTGGGCAGCCTCGGCGGCTCTGGCGCGAGCTTCGGCGGAGGCTTGTCTCTCTTCTTCCTTACGCTGTTGCTTTTGGGTTCCGTCGAAGCAGCTGAAGCAACCCATCTTCTCCGATCGAATAGAATTTGACCTCTTCTTCGCTTCTGATTTCTTACCAAAGAAGAAGAAGAAGAAGAAGACGCGTCTGCTCCTGAAAAAATGGCTTCTTTACGGGATTCTGTATTTTTATATACATTGATTATTGTAATTTATAAAACCGATTTATCGAATAACTAACCCGATTAAAGTAGATAAGGGAGGGATTAAATAAGAAAATATCTATAATATAATTATGTGATTGGAAAAAGCTGTGTAGCTTCCTCTGTTGTTGTCGTAATAAAAGATTCCTAACTTCCTCTGTTTTTGTATGCGTCAATCTGTTAATCTCGAAAAGAATATAGCAAACATTATAACGTCTGATGAGTCTGATTTAGGAACTGGAAAAAAACAAACGACTGTTAAGGTTACAGTTTTTACAGCTTTTTGTGTCTATACACAACATCATATCCTTCTTCTAAGAACACAGTCGAAGTCCATGTTCATGTGGGAACTAAGTTGCTTATAAGTCTGAGTGCAGACCAGAACTACAACTTCTTTTTTCCGAGGGAGATGATGGTTCCTTTGTCATGTATCTGGCTATTATGAGTCTGGCAATGTTCTCACCAGCCACTGCACTTGTCTCCATTGTGCTTGCTGCGTTTTCAAAAGCATTAACATAGTACAAGTGATCATCATCTAATATGAATGGTGCGAAAACTTCAGGTGCGTGGTACTTGGGATATGCACCCCAGTCTATTCGAACGGTTTCGGTTCTTGTACTGTGAGGAAAGAAGAAAAATAAGTTTCTAAATGAATATGAAAAGATATTAGTAAATAACACTGACAGGGGTTGTGTTGTACCAACCTGAAGAGCTCATCAAGCAATGAATCTGATGCAGGTTGTCGTGTAAAGATCTTATATGTCATATCTGTGTCACTATATTTCCTTAGAATTGAGATGCATGAGAATGGAATTAAAGGATCTTCAACGGTTCCCACCAAAACTGGAACATCCGAAACTGATTTCATCCCAAAATATCCCTTTTCAGAGAGAAAACATCAGAAATTAGTTGGGAGCCAGAATCATGATCAGGTTAGAGATAAAACTCCTCTGTAAATGATACTTACTGGATTTAAAAGACCTCTCACGAATGTTGCGTGCGTGTGTTGCAATTCCCTCTTTGGAATTGAGATCGCGGGTGAGAACTGAATTTCCACCTCGTCTAATGGTGTGGCAACTACTGTGACATCGCACTTGAAGCTGTTTCCTTTTGTGGAGTTAAGCTCGTAATAGTTACCGAGGTGCGAAATGGATTCAATTCTCTCGTTCAGGTGTAATGTAACATCTGAATGATTAATCAGCTTTACAGCCATCTGCCAGTTTCCGCCTTCAACAGACCATAATCCCCCACCTGAACCCGCCAAGGAGACTGCACCTGCTAGTCCACTGATGAGTACACTCTGTCCGTAATTTATTCTTGTAATAACCTGTAGACAACAAAATAAACAAGAAAACTGTAACAGGAAGATATCTGGCGATGGTAGTTAGAGAGGATAGTGACATGTTGATATTAGAAATTAGTTACAGTAATTAACAAATTAGTCAGAAGAACACTTTTAGCTGAAATGGTAAGAAAGCTTACTGTAACCAGCTCGTTGACTAGTGAAGGAGAAAGCTGAGCCTCAGATAATTTCTCTTGTAGAGTGAGCTTTGTGAGATTGTACAAGCCGGACCATTTAAGCATCCCTTCCACATTGTCGAAGATTGGTCTTGACTCTAGGCTTTTATAGTACTTCAAAAAATTATCAACTGTATTCTACATACATAAAAATCTAACATCAGTCAACATATAAAAGAATCCACACCAAATCAAGTCACACGAAGTCATCCTCAAACTCACACAGAACTAACAAATCATTCCCAAGTAAAACACTTTACAACAACCAATTCCTCCTTGCCAACGTTTTCAGCATTTGTGTATTCATGATAGCCAAATCTGAAATCATCAAAGGTTATAGATTTAAATACCTCAATGAAGCTGCTCATTCTCAACAGTGAGAACCCATAACGCAAGAACAGGTAGAGATCATTCACCCAAGAGATGATCGTATCCGAAAACGGAAATTTGATACGGGAACCGAAGGTTTTGACGATAAACCTCTTCCCATCCCAGATTCCAATCGCTGAAGATTCTTCAATCGGCGTCGGCAATCGAACCGTCAGATTGAACCTCTCGACGAAATCCTTAACGTGATAGTTCTTCGGATGCAGAATCGAACCACCGGCTTCGAAAGTATCACCGGCGACAGTGACTGTCCTCATACGCCCACCGACAATCTCGTGACGCTCAAACATCAGGATCTTCGCTCCATCTAAGCCGGTGGAAACAGAGTAGTTGCGGAGGAAGTGAGCTACGGAGGAGCCTCCGATCCCACTCCCGACGATACATACGGTCGGCGGAGATTCATCCTCGACGCCACCGGTAAAATCGCCGGAGCAAAGTAGAAGAACCGGCGAGAAAAGAGCAAGGAGTAGAGAGATTGCTATCGGAGAATGGTTCATTTTTCGTCAACTCGTTGACTTTATCTATCTCTTACCGATTGTAAAATTACGACGAGGCCTCACTTTTAGTAGGCCTTGATCATCCTAATTAGAGGGAAGGAGCCTGAGAAGAAGTGGAGCATTTGCAAATTCTGGAAAAATAAAATAAAATTAAAGTTGTAAGCTTTATGCTAATCTGGTATTTGATTGGATAAAATACCTAGTTGATAGTTTCCTTGAGAAGATCTGCGTTGAGAGATGACACCATCTTCTATATATTTTGCTGGCAATCCTCACTTAAATTAAAAAATGTGGTAAATTTTGTTTCAGTTTCTTAAATTTGGGTATTCCTCAAAAGGAGAAAATATGGGCCGGGCCAAAAAAATATTAGCAGAACTATGGATCTCTACTTAAAAAATTGGCCCAGGCCAACAACAAAAAAAAGGTAGAACAATGGATCTCAATATGTATTTGTAATTCCTCGATTAGTCAATTTCCACAACAGTACGGTCATAGTGACATACCAAACAGAGAAAGCTAGGCTGGCTTACCACAAGAGCGGGAAAATTCTCCTACTGAAAAAATCGAAATTGCGAACCGTTAGGGTTTATTTTTTCTTCCGGCAATGTCGCGACGAGGCGGTGGCCCCGTGACGGTGTTGAACGTGGCGGAGAAGCCGTCCGTGGCGAAGTCAGTGGCGGGGATTCTGTCCCGTGGAAGTTTCCGGACTCGAGAGGGTAGGTCTCGCTACAACAAAATCTTCGAGTTCGATTACGCCATTAATGGCCAGCCATGTCGTATGCTAATGACCTCCGTCATCGGTCACCTGATGGAGCTTGAGTTTTCCGATCGTTACCGCAAATGGCACTCCTGCGACCCGGCAGATCTGTACCAAGCTCCGGTCATGAAACACGTTCCCGAGGTATGTGATGTCCTGTGTATGTGGGTGCGCGCGTGGTTGTATGATTTTGTGTTGTTGATTTAGTCATAGATTCTCTAACTAGGAATTGTTGGTTGGGTATGATTTGTTTTGGTAATTGCAACTGTAGAAAATGAGGAATTCTGGTTTATAATGAAGTTGGGGTTTGCTGAATTCCAATTTTTTTTTTTTTTTAATTCTGATTTTGTGCGAGTTAGGACAAAAGGGACATTAAGAAGACATTGGAGGAGGAAGCGAGGAAAAGCGACTGGCTTGTGCTTTGGCTTGATTGTGATAGGGAAGGTGAAAACATTGCATTTGAAGTTGTTGATGTTTGCAGAGCTGTCAAACACAATCTTTTTATACGGAGGGCTCATTTCTCTGCGTTAATTGACAGGTAGAGATTGCTGAACACTTTATTTTTCATAATCTTCTACTGATCACTCTATCTTAAACAATTGTACCACCTCTAATGATGTGTTGCCATTGGAATTGTTAGGGAAATTCACGAAGCAGTTCAGAATCTTAGAGATCCTAATCAACTGTTTGCTGAGGCTGTTGATGCTAGACAAGTGAGTATCTCCTGAAATACCTGTTGTGTGTATATTCGTTGGTATTTTCTATAAATTTGTGTTAGCTAATATTTATTTTTGAATACCTTAGGAAATAGACCTACGCATTGGTGCTTCTTTCACTAGATTTCAGACTATGCTGCTGAGAGATAGGTTTGCTATTGACTCCACGGGCGAGGAGAGGAGTCGTGTTATAAGTTATGGTCCTTGTCAGGTAATGTGAAACTAGTATCGAAGATTTTCAGAACTATCAGTCCCATTATACATATCAGAGCCATTTAATGCAGCTAGGTTTAATATTTCTCTGCCTCTATTGCAGTTTCCTACACTTGGCTTTATTGTAGAGCGATACTGGGAGATACAGGCACATGAACCAGAAGAGTTTTGGACAATCAACTGTTCTCACCAATCAGAAGAAGGCATTGCTACCTTTAATTGGATGTACTATTATCAACTGACGTGTTTATTTTTGTTCCCGTTCTATTCTTCTTGAAAGTGACATTGATATTATTTCTACTGCAGGCGTGGTCATCTCTTCGATTATGCTTCAGCTGTCATATTATATGAGATGTGTGTTGAAGAACCTACTGCCACCGTGAGTAAAAAACTAAACATCTTATTAGAGGAAGTTTTATCATCCTATCTGCATCTTCTAGTTAACAATGTGTATTTTTCCTAATATTCTCCATCCAGGTAATGAATGTTCCACATCCAAGGGAAAGATTCAAATATCCTCCTTATCCTTTGAACACCATTGAACTTGAAAAACGTGCTTCAAGATACTTCCGCCTGAGTTCAGAGCACACCATGAAGGTCTGTATGGGTATTAGCTGGTTCAGATAAGTTTCCTGTGATTCTTTGGCCTGGTAGGACTGCATGTTTTGGAAATTAATCTGAATTCTATGTATATTGGTAGAGTTTTCTGCTGTCTTGTAGGTTGATACGTCTTTGAATTACAACTACATCTCTCTGTTTAATAATATCAGAAATTTCTGGATAGGTGGCAGAAGAATTATATCAGGCTGGTTTCATCAGCTATCCTCGTACAGAGACTGATGCTTTTTCGAGCAGGACAGATTTACGTGTGAGTAACGTTTTCTCATGAGCAAGTATGCTTAATTTGGAGTTTATGATTTCCTTACATAGTCTCTTAGGATCTCTAGTTGTGTCTAGGCTATGGTGGAGGAGCAAACAAGACATCCTGAATGGGGTGCATATGCACAAAGACTATTAGAACCTGAGGGGGGACTCTGGAGAAACCCTGGTAATGGTGGTCATGATGACAAGGCTCATCCACCCATTCACCCAACAAAGTTTTCTAGCGGAGAGTCTAATTGGAGCAGAGATCACCTTGTAAGTATGGCTGTTGGTTCGGTTAACATACCCAAGCATAGGTATGATCTTGTTTTTTTTTTCGGTGGAACCAACATTTTTTCCCAACTATTTCAGAATGTATATGAGCTAGTTGTCCGCCATTACCTAGCATGTGTTTCGCAGCCAGCAGTTGCTGCGGAAACCACAGTCGAAATTGATATTTCTGGTGAGCGCTTTTCTGCATCTGGGAGAGCAATATTAGCTGTACGACTCTTCACTCACTACCTTTTAGTTGCATAATCTCTGTGGAATAAAATATGAAGCTACTTTGCTTGTTAAGATGTTTCCTGTTTATGTAGTAAAATAAAATGTAAAGCTGCTGTTTGTAGGAAACATAATTATCGCCTACTTGTCCCTTCACTAATGAATTTAATACTGACCTTAATTTCCTTTCTGTAACTAGAAAAACTACCTTGAGGTGTACCGCTTTGAGTCTTGGGGGGGTTCAGTGATTCCCGTGTATGAAAAAGGGCAGCAGGTTGTTTATTTCTATATCTCAGCTGCCTCTTTTAAATAAGTTACATTTCTTTACTAAGATATAATGCAATTGAACGGCATAACTTTGCATTGTATTTTCTAGTTAAAAGTGAAACTGGTGTCATTTTTATTATTATTAAAGTGGCCTAAAATTAGTAATTGCTACAAATGTGGAGAAGGAACACAGTTTGGATTAGTGGCTTAAATCTTAAAGCCTTCTATATTTAAATCTACTGGACTCTTCTTAAGACAGACATAATGGAGCTTCAATTAGTGGCTTACATTTTTCCCCAAAAATGGAGGCCGTCTAACTGCTGCAATTTCTAATTAAAATTCACTTATTGAATTTGTTTTGTTTACCCTAGTCCTACTGCTTGGTACTTACAACCTGGACAATCTATGACGTTTCTGAATTTCTTGGTAATATGCAGTTTATCCCAACAAGTTTGACTCTTGATTCAGCTGTAACGAGGCCACCACCGTTATTGTGTGAAGCTGACTTACTGAGTTGTATGGACAAGGTGATTAAAATTGGCTTGTTTCTCTTCTTACGTAGGTGGTGTCTGCATATTCTTGTTGACCTATCCCTAAAATTAGTATCCAATCATGTTTGTATCTCTTTATTATCCTACCTTCTTGTGAATGTTAGGCAGGCATTGGCACCGATGCGACAATGCACGACCACATTAAGAAACTCCTTGATCGGGGTTATGCTACAAAGGATGCTAATACACGATTTTCTCCAACCAACCTGGTAGCTGATATGATACTCAAACTTTCTGAATTTATCCTGTCATTTTTATTTCAACCCTTTAGAGTGTATTATTATGGCAGCATGTAGATTAGGGTTGCAACTGCTTTTGGGTGTTCATAAATGCCTACACTTTAAATTTATTAACTTCATTTGCTGGAGCTATAGCAAGACTAGTCTCCGTGGGATAATTAAATTTATGTTCTTAGCCCTTTATATGTCTGTTCAACGTTTCTGAAATTTTAGCTTACTGTACTGAACTCATTTCAGGGTGAGGCGCTTGTGATGGGATATGATGACATGGGGTATGTATAAGTTTGCATGTTAATAACAAATTTTACTTACATATCTATTTGGAGAGACATAATTTCTATCAAGCACCTAAGAGTTTGATGTGTGTCCAACCTTTTTATGTTTTTCTCCAGGTATGAACTTTGGAAACCAAATCTCAGGGCCATCATGGAACATGATATGAATGAAGTTAGTGTTGGTAGGAAAACTAAAGCTGAAGTTCTTGAAACATGTTTGCAGCAAATGAAAGCTTGTTTCTTGGATGTGAGTCAATTGTTTTTAATAGATTGTTTGCCTCTGTGGCCTAATTTATTATTTTTAAAGCTGTTGGCAACACAGTAGGCTGAAACTGAATTTCATATCTTTTGTTTGTCATTCACTAAATTAATTCTCGCAGGCAAGAGTAAAAAAATCAAAGCTCCTAGAAGCAATGACTATTTTCTTTGAAAGGTGGTCTCATTACTTTGTTCAGTACTGTGAAGCTAAAGTCTGCTTTGTCGTAATATATAATATGATACTGCATGTACAGATCTAATAACACTGATGAAGGTGAAAATCAGACAGCTGGTGAAGTTGTCAGACGATGCAATCTCTGCAATGAATCAGATATGGCACTCAGGAAGAACCGGGTAATATATATACTGCCTGAACAATATCTTCTATGTGGAATATGAACTGCTTTTCTTCCTCCTGTTAATGGGAATCACAGGTTAAACATTCTATGCCTTATCTTTGCAGGATGGCAATTTCATGGTTGGATGCATGAATTATCCTCAGGTCAGAATTTCACAGCTCTTTACCACTCGAATTGTTGCAGATTTATACTTTTTACTCTCTGTATTGCAACCTCATTTGTGAAAGTTATGATCTTATCATTTGAGATATCAGCATTTCTTCGTTTATTCTCCCTTGCTTGCATCTATTAAAATAATTTAACACATTGCCTTTTTGCAGTGTCGAAATGCAGTCTGGCTTCCTGGACCAACACTGGAAGCATCTGTCACTACTAATGTTTGTCAATCTTGTGGTCCAGGTATGACCACAGATTCTCCAGTATCAATAAATTAAAATCCAAAAGCTATATTACACTTGAATGACACAGCATTTATCTGTGAAATATTTGTCTTTATTATTAAATGGTGCAAATTCTGTAGGCCCAGTCTACAAGATACTTTTCAAGTTCCGGCAAATTGGAATTCCACCAGGCTTTGAGGTTAATCACTTAGGTAAGACATTTGCAACCACTTTGTTGTCTATCTTTTAATGCCTCACCGTGTCATCTTGATCTTCTTCTAAATGGTCATTTGGTAATTTTGTGAGCAGGTTGTGTCGGTGGCTGTGATGGCATTCTTAAACAGTTGATAGACATATGTGGAACTGGGTCCCGTTCTCAAGGTTAGTGCTTTGTAGTTAGACAATACATACTTTTCTATAAGACATTGTACAAAATTTCTTTCATCATCTTTTTTCCTAAATGAGAATGTAAGAACTTAAGTATAGTGTCCTGCAAATAGAGAACATTTAGGCTAAAAAGAATCGATGATTTGTTCTTGCAGCAAGGAGAGCTCCAGATACTGTACCTCCAAACAATATCCGAGGAAGCAATACAAGACAGAGTAATGTCTGCATACATTGTCAACAGCGAGGCCATGCTTCTAGTAATTGTCCCTCACGGGTTTCAGCATCGCGAAATTCTCGTCCTACTGGAACAAATCCGAGAAATGGTACTGTTCCTTATATAATATGTAGCAAAGATGATCATCAATTAGTTAATTTCAAACAAATTTCCCAGATCAAGTCTTCCTTATGGACTTATAATTGCATTCAAATATCGTTTGTCACTATGCAGATGAGAGTACAGTATCATGTAACACATGTGGAACACAGTGTGTTCTTCGTACAGCCAACACAGAAGCTAACAGGGGAAGACAATTCTTCTCATGTCCAACACAAGGCTGCAGTTTCTTTGCGTAAGAGCTGGGGCTTACCACGATTTTTCTCAGCATAAATCCATTTCTTCCTTTTACATCACTCAAATCTTTTCCATTTTATGCTCTGCTTGTAAACAGATGGGAAGATGGCATCAGCAACAGTAGTGGGAATGCAACAACAGGGTCTAATAGCGGTGGAAGCGGTAGACGTGGCAACCGTGGTCGTGGCCGTGGAGGTAGAGGCGGCCAAAGTGGAGGACGACGTGGCAGTGGAACGAGCTTCGTCTCTGCAACTGGAGAGCCAGTGAGTGGTATAAGGTGCTTCTCATGTGGGGATCCTTCACATTTTGCTAACGCTTGTCCTAATCGTAACTCTTAACGGTAACTTTTTCTAAGCCTACGTACTATGTATTTAAGTTAATTACTTGATTTGGGCTTATAATTTTGTATTATATTTATTGACCACAAAAATAATAAATGGCCACTTCTGCCCTGGAATTCGTTATTTGCGTAGATCAGTGTCAGCTGGGTTTATCAAATATAATATTTCACGTGCTATTCTGAATCAGTGAATCGTGCCCACCAATTTACATCTAATCTCTAATAGTTTACAATATTTAGTTATGTTGTAGCTAGTTAATGTGGATCCATCTTAAAAAAGTTAATGTGAGTACATGAAAGTGTGAAAGGTGATCGAAAGATACTAATCTTTGGCATAGGCATAATTTGGTAGCCTAGAACAGTCTGTTGGTTTCTTTCTATGATTGGTGAAGTGGGTTCCTCTTAGCACGTAGTCTCATACAAGAGTGAAACTTGGTCCAAAGTTGACAAGCTTCTCGAAGCACTTGTTCTTGGACTATATTTTACAGTCGAGCTTGTGTTCTCCCTAGTCCCTCCCCCAGTTGTTATCTTGGTTGTGGTTTTATTATCCCTTTATCAGGTGATTCTGTACGAAGATAGATTGAAACAACTGTTTTGTTTGGACTATAATTGATAAGTTACAATAGAATAATGCATGAGAATGAGATCGTGAGAGAAGGAGGAAAGCCAAGTTCTCATGCCATGTCGGCCATCTCTATCTTCTTGATTTAAGTACTTGAGATGTATACCTTCAGTTTTACAAAAAGGACCACCATTAGAAGCCTTCTAGTTTCCACTTTGACTAATTCATATATTTGTGGCTTTCTTTTTTCTATTGCTTCAAAGACAAAACGAATATTTAGTTTATTTTTTACTTAGAAATTAACAAAAGCAAAGCTGATAGGCTTCTGAAACTAATATTAAAAGACAGGCCAGTACGAATAGAGACTTTTTTTAATGAGCAAATTTCAAACTTCAAAGCTTTCAATGATCAAAAAAAACTAATCATAGCTTGACCATTTCCTTTAAATATTGTTTTCCTGGAAAGGAGAGAAAAAGGTCTGCACTTCTTCTATTTCTCTTTTTCCTTTCCTGAAACCAGTTTCAAAGGTTGTTTTCTTTGCCTAGAATCTTCAGAGGTATGTGTCCTGAATTCAGATCCTTGGTTTAAGGTCTATGTTTCTTTCAGATATACTTGTTATGCCAGACGATTTGAGTTTTTTGGATGGTCGTATGGTATTTAATCTTTAAGAGATATACAAAGAGAGGTTTTTGCAGACATGTTTACATCTTGTTTGATGTCTTCTAAGGACGTTTTAAGGGATTCCGTGTATGAATGAATGGTAAAGGAATGATGAAGCTAGCTATTTCTTTCATATATCTTCTTCTTATTCTTCTGATCTCTGAGACAAGAGGGTTGAACTTAGAAGGTCAATATCTTCTTGACATCAAGAGCAGGTTTGTGGATGATCTGCAGAATTTGAGAAACTGGAATTTAAGTGATTCTGTACCTTGTGGATGGACCGGCGTGAAGTGCAGCAATTATTCAAGTGCTCCAGAGGTTTTGTCACTGAATCTTTCGTCCATGGTTCTCTCTGGTAAGCTATCACCAAGCATTGGCGGATTGGTTCATCTGAAGTTTTTGGATCTGTCATATAATGAGTTGTCTGGGAATATTCCTAAGGAAATTGGTAACTGTTTAAGCTTGGAGATTCTGAAACTAAACAATAACCAGTTTGAAGGTGAGATACCTGTGGAAATAGGAAAGCTTGAGTCTCTGGAGAATCTGATCATATACAACAACAGAATCTCAGGATCTCTTCCTGTGGAGATTGGAAACCTTTTGTCTCTCTCTCAACTGGTGACGTACAGCAACAACATCAGTGGGCAATTGCCGCGTTCCATCGGCAATCTGAAGAGACTGAAAAGCTTCCGAGCCGGTCAGAACATGATCTCTGGAAGTTTGCCTTCTGAGATTGGTGGATGTGAGAGCTTGGTCATGCTTGGTCTTGCACAGAACCAGTTGAGTGGTGAATTACCAAAAGAGGTAGGAATGCTCAAGAACCTTTCACAGGTGATTCTTTGGGAGAATGAGTTCTCAGGGTTTATCCCCAGGGAGATTAGCAACTGCACAAGTTTAGAAACTCTTGCTCTCTACAAGAACCAGCTTGTCGGGCCAATCCCGAAAGAGCTTGGGGACCTTGTGTCACTGGAGTATCTCTACCTTTACAGAAATGGGTTGAATGGAACGATTCCTAGAGAGATTGGGAATCTCTCAAATGCTATTGAGATAGATTTCTCAGAAAACGCTTTGACCGGAGAGATACCTTTGGAGTTAGGGAACATAGAGGGGCTTGAGCTTCTTCATCTTTTTGAGAACAAACTCACAGGTACCATCCCTGTGGAGCTTACTACTTTGAAGAATCTAACAAAGCTTGATCTCTCCATCAATGCTTTAACGGGTCCTATTCCCCTGGGGTTTCAGTATCTAAGAGGGCTCTTCATGCTGCAGCTGTTTCAGAACTCCCTTAGCGGGACCATACCTTCAAAACTTGGCTGGTATAGTGATCTTTGGGTGCTTGATCTGTCCGATAACCATCTCAGAGGAAGAATTCCAAGCTACCTCTGCCTTCATTCCAATATGATCATCTTGAACTTGGGTGCAAACAACCTCTCTGGCAATATTCCTACTGGAATCACTACTTGCAAAACTCTAGCCCAACTTCGTCTAGCCAGAAACAACCTCGTTGGTCGGTTCCCATCCAACCTCTGTAAACTGGTTAATCTCACAGCCATTGAGTTGGGACAAAACAGATTCCGCGGTTCCATCCCTAGGGAGGTCGGGAACTGCAGTGCCCTGCAAAGGCTGCAGCTAGCAGACAATGGTTTCACAGGTGAGCTTCCTAGAGAGATTGGCACACTTTCACAGCTTGGCACCTTGAATATCTCATCCAATAAGCTTACAGGAGAGATCCCCTCTGAAATCTTCAACTGCAAGATGCTTCAACGTCTAGACATGTGCTGCAACAATTTCTCTGGAACCTTGCCAAGTAAGGTAGGTTCACTCTACCAGCTAGAGCTTCTGAAGCTCTCAAACAATAATCTTTCAGGTACAATACCTGTGGCTCTTGGGAATTTATCTCGCTTGACCGAGCTACAAATGGGCGGAAACTTGTTCAGCGGTAGCATTCCACAGGAGCTGGGCAGTCTGACCGGTTTGCAGATAGCATTGAACCTCAGTTACAACAAGCTTACCGGAGAAATACCACCTGAACTCAGTAATCTTGTTATGCTTGAGTTCCTCCTTCTCAACAACAACAATTTGTCTGGGGAAATACCAAGCTCTTTTGCTAATCTCTCTAGTTTGCTTGGTTGCAACTTCTCATACAACAGTTTGACTGGTCCTATTCCACTTCTCCGAAATATATCCATTTCTAGCTTCATCGGTAATGAAGGGCTTTGCGGCCCGCCGCTCAACCAGTGTATCCAAACACAGCCTTCCGCACCTTCTCAGTCAACCCGGAAACCCCGAGGAATGCGTTCCAGTAAAATCATAGCCATCACTGCAGCTGCGATAGGTGGGGTCTCTCTCATGCTGATTGCCCTCATTGTCTACCTCATGAGACGGCCGGTGAGGGCAGTCGCTTCTTCTGCTCAAGAAGGCCAACTGTCGGAAATGTCTTTGGACATATACTTCCCTCCAAAGGAAGGATTCACGTTCCAAGATTTAGTTGCAGCCACTGATAATTTCGATGAGAGCTTTGTAGTAGGGAGAGGAGCTTGTGGAACCGTGTACAAGGCGGTTCTTCCGGCTGGGTACACTCTAGCTGTCAAGAAGCTGGCATCAAACCATGAAGGGGGAAACAACAACAATGTGGATAATAGCTTTAGAGCAGAGATTCTAACTCTTGGGAATATCAGGCACCGTAACATTGTCAAGCTACATGGATTCTGCAATCACCAAGGATCAAATCTGCTTCTGTATGAGTACATGCCCAAGGGAAGCCTTGGAGAAATACTCCATGATCCTTCGGGAGACTTGGATTGGCCTAAGAGATTTAAAATCGCTCTGGGTGCGGCTCAGGGTCTCGCCTATTTGCACCATGATTGCAAACCGAGAATCTTCCACCGGGACATAAAATCAAATAATATCCTGCTTGACGACAAGTTTGAAGCTCATGTGGGAGATTTTGGACTAGCAAAAGTGATTGACATGCCATATTCAAAATCTATGTCTGCCATTGCTGGCTCCTATGGCTACATTGCCCCAGGTAAAGGTGTTTTTTTTTTTCTGCTTTTGTTTGTGCATTTAGGTATCCAGTGAGGGAGGGGACTGAGTTAAAACTGTTTTAATAATTTTGCAGAATATGCATACACCATGAAAGTGACAGAGAAGTCTGACATCTATAGCTACGGGGTGGTTCTGTTGGAGCTGCTAACAGGAAAAGCGCCAGTTCAACCAATAGATCAAGGAGGAGATGTGGTGAACTGGGTAAGGAGCTACATAAGAAAAGATGCATTGTCTTCTGGAGTTCTTGATGCTAGGTTAAAGCTAGAAGACGAGAAAATAGTCTCTCATATGCTAACTGTGTTGAAGATTGCGCTGCTTTGCACGAGTGTGTCTCCCGCCGCGAGGCCATCGATGCGGCAAGTTGTTCTGATGCTGAATGAGTCCGAGAGATCGGAAGGAGAAGAACAAGTGGATAGAGAATTGACACACGCTAGTACCCCATGAACTCTCGAGTACACTGTTGTTGTATCATCTTCTTTTTTTACCCTGAGATTATTCTTCATATATGTAACAATGGCGAATAACTAATGTAAATTCAAAAGATATACAGTAATCCCTTTTTCCTGGATCCTAATACAGTAGCTAGATATGTACTAGCACTAGCAACATGTATAGCTTAAGACAATGATTATGCAGTTCTGCTAACAAAAAGGTTATTTGCAAACAAAGATCATCAGCGATCATTTCGCTAGAAGCTTTTGCTAGGACACATATTGGTCCAATGACAAGTAAATCGTCTAAGATAGAGACAAAGCTTCGTCTCATCACAGATTGCTAAGTATAACGGTAACTTTGACTAATTTAGCTTAGCTACTATGTTTAGCATATAGTGCAATCATTTATCGACAGACTCAAACGGTAATGAAGAACATGTTTACCGTTTGTCTTTACTGGAGGCCTAAAACCCTTTTCTAAATGCAGTAGTAATTAAAACTCTATAATCCGAGACTTAATTAATTACTATCTCTCTACCGTTGGATTTATTTGTTTGGTCAAAGTTCAAACACATACATACAGTATTCTAGTCTCAAAATACAATGCGAGAGTTTATGGGATGTATTGTTGTTAATTTACCTTTTTATTTTTCGACAGGGATGATTAGGTTAGGTCTAAAGGATAATTAATTTAATTTTAATGAGACGTATAACACCACCAGGCGGCCAATAATAAAACAGTCACTTTAGCTCTGTAAATCATACTATATATAATTAGCGTAGATCACGGTTAGCTGGATTTGATCAAATATAATACTTCACGTGCTATTCTGAATCGTGCCAACCAAATTATATACATCTCTCTATATATTAAGCAAATGTGGATCTGTTTTTGCTTCATTCTTTTTTTTTGGTTTTGTTAAATAAAGTCATCTTCATGGTCTTCACTTCTCTAAGGATATGATTTTAAATAAAAAAAAACCCAAAAGATGATTCTTCGAGTCACATATTAAGACTTATTCCTAGCTACACACCATGAACTTTAATTTGAAAATAGGTATATTTATATATATTCAAACTGAAAATTCAAAACAAAGGATATATAAATATAGAGAATATATAAAAAGATAGAGAATATGTAATCGCGAGAAGAAGATCATTCTGTATTTAAGACGTCTCTAGTCTTCTTCTTTAATGGTTAGAGAGAGTAAATGTGAGAAAGTATCTTTAAGTGATAATAAAATATCATGCATGATGATGGCCCAATCTTTATTTATTAATCTTCTTTGCGTGTTAATAATAATAATAGGATAGGAGAATGGGGTGGTGTGGTATCTTCTCGAGAGATATTTTGTTACCTAAACATTAAAATGTAGGTTTAGTAAAAATAATCAACGAATGATATTAAAGATGACGACATGCACATTTAATTACTTCTAGAGAGAATAATGATTTGAGAGTTTCTGTGTTTGCTTCTTTTTTGTTTTGTCTCCGTGTGTGGCTCCCAAATCCCAACGTAGTAAATGAGATAGATTACACACTACACTATTTATCTTATCTAAAGACTACCTCATCATCATCGTATAATTCTTGAGCCGCTTTTTTTTTTTTTCTTTTTTTGGGTAAGTATTAATGCAAATGAAGTATTTTGGGAGGAATATAATAATAATAATGCAAATTAAACCATATATATACACATATAACCAAAAAAAAAAAAAACAAGGTTAGGTTTTAGCCTTTTAGGTCTCTTTTTTTTTTTTTTTTTTTTGGGGTGAATTAGGTCTCTCTTTTTTTGTGTTAAAACATAAGTAGGTGTTTAATGTCTTCACCGACGGATCTATTTTGTCCTCTACTTTTAGCTAATATTTCTTTTTATAAAAAAAACAAAGCGAGAAAAAAATAAGGGAGTCATCATCTATACTTTATTAAAATATTGAAACATGCATGATATATTATAATTTGGTGATGATAAATATATATATGATAATGACATTGAATTATCCTACATAAAAATAAAATCAGGACATAATAATTAAATAAGAATCCAAAGAGAAGAATGAAGAGAAAATATATATAAAGAGAAAAGATTCTTCTTTCTTTGTTAAAAGAGAGAATTGCATGATGGCGATATGCCCTCCTTCCCATTATTATTCTCTCCTCTCCTCGTGCTTATTTTTTTTTTCTATTTAATTTATTTACTCTCTCTTTTTTTGCTCCATTAAATTTTTATAATTATCACAAAAATTATTAATTAAAATCGTAAGAATCGGATCATTAGAATAAATCGACGGCTCAGATTCATTCAAACCAGAGAACACAAAAACATCTCTCTCCCACTTTTCTCCCGGAGACAGTTAACGTGATTCGCTCTTTCCTCTTTGCCCCAAGAGCTACACGACAATCCCACCACACACACACACAAGCCTACACACACACACACAGAGAGAAAAGAGAGAGAGAGAGAGAGAGAGATTTGCTACTGACTTGATACATTCGACAGAGTGTGTGTGTGTGTATCTGTCTCGCGACCGTGTACCGGCGGAATCGTCTTTGCTTTAAGATGATGAAACCGACCGGAGATGGAGCAGGCGAAATCGCCGGCGCCGGAGTCCAAGGAACCGTGGCGGAGGGTTCCGCTTTGTTAATTGTTGGTGTCAAGCCGGATGAATGGAGTCGAGAGGTGCTTACATGGTCTTTGGTTAATGTTGCCCGTCCTGGAGATCGAATCGTTGCTCTTCACGTTCTAGATTACTCTCTAGGTTTGTTTAAACCCTAGATTTTTCTTTGAGATCTCAGTTTTTTTTTTAATTTTGTTTCTAATTTTGTTTTTTGGTTTGTGCAGAGGGCTCAACGTCGCTTATTTCGTTGGTTAGGAGTTTTGATACTATGCTTGGTGTTTATGAAAGCTTCTGCAACTTAAAACAGGTCAAAGTTTTTCAATTTAAGCTAATTTCTGACTAATTTAAATGAAATTTGATGTTTTTTATATTTGGGATTTTTGAGGATTTGTGTATTTTCTTTTTCTAACTCAAGTCGATGGATGTCGTGTAAACAGGTAGATTTGAAGTTAAAGGTTTTCAGAGGGAAGTCAGCTAGGAAAGTTCTTGTACAAGAAGTTAAATCGTGTGGAGCAACAAGTTTAATCGTTGGTTCCTCTAAGAAACATCACACTATCCGTTCTTCAGCTTCCTTAGCCAAGTATTGTGCTAGGAATCTTTCCAAGGATGTCTCAGTTTTTGCTGTTAAGAGTGGCAAAATTATGTTCCGTAGAGTACCTAATACCAATGGTAGGTTTCTGATATTAATGGTGCTAGTTCAGGTTTTTCTGATTTGTCTACTGTGTTAGATGTCTACTTTGGTTTGTCCTCTGTTAGTTCTAAAAGTAAAGGTTTGGGCTTTGCAGGTGCAGATGGTGGTCCTCACATGAATCTTCCCTCTTTAGTGTGTGGCTCACCAGACATTGCTATTGAAGCGGCAAAGATTGGCAACAATTTTAGCCCTGCAAGAACGAGCTCACGCTGGACAAGAACTAGTCACAGTTCCTCGTTGCAGTCTCCTGAAAGCTTAGGTGTAGACAATTCGTTGGCTTTAGTGCCAGTACACACAAATGGGGCTGATTCAGGTTCCCTTGAGTCAGGACCAGGTTGGCATTTTCTTCGCGGCTTTTACGGTCATCGAAAAAGCTGGACCAAAGTTTCTGCTAAGAAGGCTGTGCTTCAGTGGGTTTCAAGGCTGCGAGGCCGGCATTCAGAAGCTGTAATCTATCTGGATAGGAAACAAAGTGACTCTGGTTGTGATGAAGATTGCTCTTCTAGTATTGATGGGGAAGATGTTTCCATTTCACGATCTGGTTCTGAGCTTATGCAGTCTCCTCTCTCTCCCTTTACTGGATCAAACAACATTCCGGAAGAGCTGGAGGGTCTACATGAAAAGTACTCTTCCACATGTAGACTATTCACCTACGAGGAAGTTCTGACAATTACCTCAAACTTTTCATCCGGTATGTCCCTTTCCCTGTTCCAACATGGGTTTGCTCTGACTTGATTTTCGCCTGTTTGCTTATGGATACATCTTTTTTTCTGTTTCCAGAGAACTTAATTGGAGAAGGTGGTAATAGCTATGTTTATAGAGGAGATCTACCAGATGGGAGGGAATTAGCTGTCAAAATATTGAAGCCTTGTCTGGATGTGTTGAAGGAATTTATTCTGGAAATTGAAGTCATTACAAGTGTACATCACAAGAATATAGTATCTCTCTTTGGTTTCTGTTTTGAGAATAATAATTTGATGCTGGTGTATGACTATCTACCCCGAGGAAGTCTTGAAGAGAACCTTCATGGTAAATAAACTAACATTTAATATTCACTCTGAACTCACTGTTATACTAGTGAAATATCTATCTTGATTGTTCACAATTCTTGATTCAGGTAATAGAAAGGATGCAAAAATATTTGGCTGGCTGGAGAGGTTCAAAGTGGCAGTGGGTGTTGCGGAAGCACTGGACTATCTACATAATACTCATGACCCAGAAGTGATTCACCGGGATGTGAAAACTTCTAATGTTCTTTTGGCAGATGATTTTGAGCCACAGGTACTGCTACATCTCAAATCATAATTTGAGTTCATTTACAGATGACTTTACAAAAGCTTCCTGATTGACATTGAATTATACTTGTTTTCAGCTCTCAGATTTTGGATTTGCTAGTCTGGCTTCAAGTGCTTCACAGCATGCGTCAGGTGGAGGTATTGCCGGGACATTTGGGTATATTACTCGTTTCTTTACACAACTACACCTTCCTTTAAAACCATTACCTTCCTATCATTCTTCCTCTTATATCTCATCCTTTGACAGTTATCTAGCACCAGAGTACTTCATGCACGGTAAAGTGACCGACAAGATTGATGTCTATGCTTTTGGTGTTGTATTGCTCGAGCTCTTATCGGGTAGAAAACCAATCTGCATCGACCAGTCTAAAGGCCAGGAGAGCCTTGTCTTGTGGGTAAGCATTTGTGTCCACAAATTCACATTTTTTCTACTTCACACCATTAGACATTAGTTTGTCAATTTGCCATCGCAATGTAATCTCTCATGTCTATATAAAATGATTGAGTTGTATCTCTTTCTCAGGCAAACCCAATTTTGGAGAGTGGAAAGTTTGCTCAGTTACTGGATCCAAGTCTAGAAAATGATAACAGTGATGAACTAATCGAGAAACTTTTGTTAGCTGCCACGCTATGCATTAAACGCACGCCTTATGACCGTCCGCAAATTGGCCTGGTAAGCTATACAAAAAAATTATCTAGTTGGTTTGCTAGAAATCTTTACTCTTTTTTCCTCACTGTTCTCTCTATTGGTGTATTATTCTTTCAAACGCAGGTCTTAAAGATCTTACAAGGGGACGTAGAAGCAACAGAGTGGGGAAAGCAACAAGTGAGAACCTCAGAAGACGAAACAGCGTATTTGACGAACATAGAGTCACATATAAACCTTGCATTACTTGATTTGGAAGATGATGCAGCTTCTGATAGTAGCCCTGAAGCTAGTAGTATCTCTGTTGAAGAATACTTGAAAGGACGATGGAGTCGCACTGCTAGCTTCAACTTCAACTAATATTTTTAGTAGTTTAACCACAAAAAATCTCAAGCATTTGACTATGGTAATTTGTAAGTTTTGTAAATTGTAATCGAATATCTGAGATTTTCAAGCTTTTAAGATGTGTCAATTTAGGAAGAGTGAAGAAGAGCTCTTGTAGAGAGGCCAAAAGTTGTCTGTGTTGTTTGTTTTGTCCTAAGAGTAGAAAATGTTATGAGTATTACGCTGCGGTGATTTCATCATTTTCGGTTTCAAGAGTAAAATAATGAAGAGAGACATGGCTAATCAACTGCTTGTAATTAAAAGACAAAAGATGTACCAACTTATATATGGACATTAAAAGTTGTACACACGATTCCCCCCACACTATTTAAAACCAAAATCTTATATACATGAGGAAAAAATTACGAGACTTGTTTATTCTGTGAGGCTTGACTCCTCTGCTGAATCATCTTCTCCTTTTTCCTTGAGAAGAAACTTATGACACATGACAGTACCAACGAAATCAAGCATCCCATGTTTCACCAGCTCCATCCTCTCCGAAGTTTCCATAACCGAGAACCCAAACCGCTGAGTCCAAGTGGTCACAACCTCTTGTGCAGCCGGTAAGACCAGTCTACGAACTCCCATTTGAGACATTTGCTTCTCCAACTCATCCATAAGCACTCTGCACATCCCACTTCTCCTGTACTTAGACAATGTCGCCACCAAAGGAATCTCGGCTACATCTTTATCCACTCTCACTGCAGCCACCGTAACAAGTTCGTTCTTTCTCTCTATCAAGACCGTGTAAAATCCGCGGCCCACCCCATTCCCGTCCCTCCTGTATATCAGTTCCTCAACAAGGTCTCTCCCAGATAAAATATCTTTGCTAGGCTCAAACCCTTGGTGAAGTACCTCGACAGCAGATTCTAGCTTGGATATTTTTTCATCATCATAGTGTTCATCTTCGTTGGGAGCTCTCATCAATGTCCAGACCAAACCACCGTCCTCGCCTACTGCAATCTTACATCCTAGTAGATTCTGAAGCGCAGAAAAGACTCTGTTGCACTGAATACTACAGAACCAGCCTTTACTGGTAACAAAGCAAGGCTCTTCTTTCAAACACTTGAGATGGAATCTTCTTTGGCACTGCTCACAATTCATCAACTTACTGTTTGCAGGTGATTCCATTGATCCACAGATATCGCAGCAGCAACAAGGACAGAACCAGAGGTCTTCCTCGGGAAGACTCGACAGACCGAGGCAAGTATGGTGAAAAGCTGAAGGACAACCATCACACAGAAGCAACTCTCCTCCAGAGTGACAAACACAACACACATCACAGTTCGTGTCCGGACCACGATCTTTTCTACAGTACCTTAGAGACTCTGTTTCATGATTGTCCTTCTGCTGCTTCTTTTCCATCACATGTAAGACCTTCTTCAGAGATTTCCCTATCCTCGACCTCCGAATCTCTTCACTCGCTGTCTTCCTTCTCTTATTTTGTTGTTGGCTTTTTACATCAACATTGAGAACGATTCTGATCTTCTCTTGGTCCCCATTAAGCGCAGCCGTATCACAATCCTCCACTCTTTTCATTATCTTCTTCTTCTTTTGTTTGTTGGATACATCAAAATTTGGAGCGATTTTGATCAATTCATCAGACGAATGTTTCTGTTTATCCGGAGCTGTGGTACTGATATCGCAATCCTCAACCCTACACCTTTTCTTCTCCTGCTTCAATACTGAGGAAAGATTACTTGGAGAGCAAGACAAGTCATATTTGGGAACGATTTGTTGTTGTTGTTGTTGAGAGTCTTGCAGGCTGACACAAGACATACAAGCCGTAGCTAAAGAGTAAAACCACTTTCCGGTGGGAGACTTATAACGCAACTCTCGCCTCTTGCCTTGATGAGGGTAAGCGAAAGCCCAACCGAGAGCCGAGAGATGTTTCTTCACCTTGATCGACAGTTCCGATCTTTTTCCTTGATCGTACTTATTTCCATCCTTCACCGTCGAAAGCCACTGCTCCACCGATCCTGGACTCAGCTCTGCTTCCATCGGAACAAAAATACACGAAGCCATATCCCAAGACTTTCACAATCTCCTAGGGTTCGCTATAGCCAGGGCTGATATAAGGTCAGGTTCACGAGAAAAAATAGGAAATTTTCCTTTAACCAATCTTGTTTATATAGTAGATTTTTTAACAATTTTAAAATATTTTCCACGTAATTTCTCAACAAAAAAAAAAAAAGGAAAACGCCTCTATTTTAAAAACACGTGTGTTAACGAAGCCCTAAGTCAAACTCGTCTGAAAGATTAGACTGTGTCGCCGGCGAACACTGAATCGAACATCTGAGCAATACCGGTGAAACCAATCTAGATGTCACTCAATTTGTCTCGTCTTTCACTTCTCTCATCCCCCCGTATCTCGATTTCAGCTCACGCTTCTCAGAAAGGTCACTCTCTTCTTCCAATTCATTCTGGTTTCGGCGTTTCTGTTCATGTGGTTTATAATCTTCAAAGTTTAGAATTGCCTTGGAATCCGATTACAAGATTCAGTTTTTTAATCTCCAGTTGCGTTAACAGGATACGTTGGATGCTCCATGAAGTCCTACAGATTATCTGAACTTAGCTTTTCCCAAGTTGAAAGTTTGAAGTCACGCCCTCGCATTGACTTCTCATCTATCTTCAGCACTGTAAGCTTTGAACTTCTTCCTTCTTATTTGATAATCATCTATTCACTTCTCTTATCCAGCTCGCTCATATTCTTATTTTCTTTAGGTGAATCCGATTATCGATGCGGTTCGTAGCAAAGGGGATTCCGCTGTCAAAGAGTTTAGTGAAGTGACTCATTCTTTATTTGAAGTGTGACTAGTCTTTCACTTCATTCTTCCTTATATGAAGTTAACTGCTTTCGTTTGCTTCACGTTTCAGATACACTGAAAAATTTGACAAAGTTCTGTTAAATAACGTCGTCGAAGATGTGTCTGAGCTTTCTATTCCTGAGGTAGTAGATTAACTTAGTGTGTAAAAGTTTTGAAACCCCTTTTATCAGTAAATGACGTTCCTTTCTCTGTATCTATCAATGCCCTCTTGTTTTCAGCTTGATTCCAATGTGAAAGAAGCGTTTGATGTTGCCTATGACAACATTTATGCATTCCACTTGGCCCAAAAGTCAACTGAGAAAATCGTTGAGAATATGAAAGTATGTCAGTTCAGTTTTTACCCATTACGTTCTTAAGTCTTCTTCACACATGATGTGTACTAATCTTCACTTGTTAACTCTGTTAGGGTGTCAGATGTAAAAGGGTTTCAAGATCTATCGGTTCTGTAGGTCTTTATGTGCCTGGTGGAACAGCTGTTTTGCCATCAACTGCTTTGATGCTTGCAATTGTAAGCTCTCATGTTTATTACTTTTACTTGTTCATTCTTCTTGTAATTTTGTAATAATCTGGTTTTCCTTACTTTTTCTTTCTCTCGCAGCCTGCTCAAATTGCTGGATGTAAAACAGTTGTCCTTGCAACTCCACCATCTAAGGATGGTAGCATATGCAAGGTAGTACTCGATATTACTCACATTTTTTTTTTTTTATTATCTATCTTGTTACTTTTTTTGGGGGATCAAAATCTTGTTACTTATTTTCTGAGTTTATTATGTTTTTTCAGGAAGTTCTGTATTGTGCCAAGAGGGCTGGTGTAACTCACATACTCAAAGCTGGTGGAGCACAGGTATGGTTGTTTGTCTTTTCGCCTGTGTTTATATGTTGGTGATTATTATTATTCTCTCTAAGATTGTAGATATTTCACTTTCGATTTGCAGGCTATAGCTGCCATGGCCTGGGGAACAGATTCTTGTCCTAAGGTAAACAAGGATTAATGTTCCTTGGTAGCTACACAAACATTCTGCCAAGCAACCATACATGAAATTGCTTTGGTTATTATGGCAGGTTGAGAAGATTTTTGGTCCTGGGAATCAATATGTTACAGCTGCAAAGATGATTCTTCAAGTACAGATATCCTTCCTCAATTTCTTATGGTCCTTACTTGTTTGTAATACTCTTTAACATTCGTTTTCCTGTTACTGCAGAACAGCGAGGCAATGGTTTCCATTGACATGCCTGCTGGCCCTTCAGAAGTCCTAGTTATCGCTGACGAACATGCTAGTCCAGTTTACATTGCTGCAGACTTGCTTTCTCAGGTACTTTCATGGAATTGCGATTCTCAATATAAAACATGGGAAGGAGTCTGTGTCTGCGTTATTTGTGTTCTTCAGACCTACAGGGAGCGGCTAACTTGGATTTTTTTTTGGGTTTCTCTGCAGGCTGAGCACGGTCCAGATAGTCAAGTTGTTCTCGTTGTTGTAGGTGATGGTGTAGATCTTAAAGCCATTGAAGAAGAAATCGCCAAGCAGTGCAAAAGCCTTCCTAGAGGAGAGTTTGCTTCAAAAGCACTTAGTCACAGTTTCACAGTATTTGCCCGAGATATGATTGAGGTATCCCTCTGTTTGCTTCACCCTTTCTGTTACTATCTCAAAACAACATCTGTGACATAACTGTTTGCTCTTTAATTCTCCAGGCAATATCTTTCTCAAATCTGTATGCACCAGAACATTTGATCATCAATGTCAAAGACGCTGAGAAATGGGAGGGACTGATTGAGAATGCAGGTTCGGTTTTTGTAGGGCCATGGACTCCAGAGAGTGTTGGGGATTATGCGAGTGGGACAAACCACGTTCTTCCAACATACGGATATGCAAGAATGTACAGTGGCGTTTCGCTCGACTCTTTCCTTAAGTTCATGACTGTACAATCTTTGACAGAGGAAGGTCTGAGAAACCTTGGTCCTTATGTGGCTACTATGGCTGAAATCGAAGGTTTAGATGCACACAAGAGAGCTGTCACTCTCAGACTCAAGGATATCGAAGCCAAACAGCTTTCCCAAACAAATTGAGATTCAGGTTCAGACAAAAGAGGCAAACTGGTTTTTGTATTCTGTAAAGATATTTGGTTCTCTAAGATTGGTTGATAATAAAATAAGAGATGTTGGAAAACTCTTACCATAAACTGGTTTTTCATTAGTGAATGTTGGCCTTTGATTAAAACACAATAGGATTCCAAAATATACAAATTTGACAGTGACGTCAAGATTACACAGAACACTTCAAGAGCAATAAAGACACAAATAAAAGTGCAAAAAGAATGATAAAATCGGTCTTGTTAATCAGTTTTTCTAGCTCAAGCCGGCAAAGGTTCTTCAAGAACTGCAGCGGGAAAAAAACAGGCCAAACAAAAAATGTCCTGAGTTCAGTTCTTGCAAGTCTAACAAGGAGAAGAAGAAGAGAAAGAAGAAGACCAAAGTAAATACCTTTTGTTTTTGTGGCGGATTCAGCTGGTGTGATTTCTGAAATGGAAGCGACAGGTGTTTTTGTTGGCACATCCGGAAGATCCAGCTTCTCAGAATCCTCGGACTCCTTTGTAGGCACTTCAGGCATCTCATCAACAATGAGCTTTAGGCAAAACATCCATGACCATGAGTCTCTCTATCTAGTAAAGATAATAATAAACAAGTTTGTTTTTGAAGAGCCATGAAACAAAACATACCTGACTTTCTAGGTTGTCGAATTCTGCTAATATATCTTCTTCATCCTCTGCTGATAGTTTCTCTCCCAATATAGCATTCAGCTCCTGATATTCAGAAATGTCATAGTCATCAAACACAAAGGCTCGACTAAAAAGATTATAGATGATTTGAATCTAAACAAGCTCAGAACAAAATGTAAAAAGCGGTAGTAGCAGGAAGCTACTAATGAACTTCTCTGTTTACTCGGGAATCAACAATGAAGATATTTGCATTCTGACAAAGCGGATAACATACTAATGAATCAAAAAACTCAAACATTTAAATGATAAGATTTCCAAAGTTTGTGACTCACATCTTGATAAGCTTTAGCATCAGCAGTATCATCCATTAGTTTTTGAACATCATCAAGGTCCAACTCGCTTTGAATGGCCTTAATAGCACTATTACCCTGCTTTAAGCTCTCAAACACTGCCTTTTGTTTGCTCGTAAGTTCAATATCTGCCAACTGAGGGTTCACATGAAAGTTTGAGAAAATGTCTCTCTGAAAAGCCATAACGATGCTGGATACATATTATAAAGAGAAAAGGAGAAAGATTTACTTGTTGTTCAACATTGATGACCCACTGGTCAACTTGCTTCAATAATTCTTCCTGAGTCCGTTTCTTCCTCAACGCTAACAAAGCCCTGTCCTTTCGCTTTTCGCGGATTAAGTCTCTTGCAGCTTCCTTCTCCGCTTCAATTACTTTCTCAAGCTAAAGTAGCAAAATTTGAGAAGATGGGTTGGTTAGTTAACAAAGAGATGAGACAAAAGAAGTCACAAGCTGGAGTTTTTTCATCACTACTAACAAAAAAAAAAAAAAACTCAAAAGAAACATTTAAACAAATCAAAACCATCCATTGGACAACAATTGACTTCGAGAGATTCTCACCAATCCATTTGATCTCAGATAAGAAAGAAGTAAAAATCCGATCAAAATGAATAGAGACTATAACAAGTGAGAATCAAAAAAATACCTTCTGTTGATATTGACCAAGCTTACGTCTTTGAGTTTTGAGAGATAGAATCGCTCGATCAACCTCCGTGATCTGTGGTTTCTTCACGAACAAATTCCCCATCTTTCGTCACTTATCGACTCCAACAATTCAGAAACCAAACAATTCGAAACGAGCAGATATATAGCAAGATCGAGACGAAATCGATTTAAAAGTTTTCTAGATTTCCCAATAATGTTGCTCTCCAATTTCAAACCAAGTCCAAGTTTTCCCCTTTTCAGTTGGATCAACTGTATGCAATTATCAGAGGAGAACACGACCCGGACCGGGAAATCTAATTTGAAAGCGAACCGATTTAATCGAAATCAAAAACCGAATTCGAACTAAGCGTTTACTACGAGCGATAGCGCATAATTGCAAAACGCGGTTTTATAAATCGGTCGGTCAGCTTCTAATAAAACCCGGTTTGGGATCATGAATCTTTTGGCTGGTTCGAAACGTCGTCGTTGGAAGCTTGGAGCATATGAATCTAACTAACTAAAGCCAGACAGGACAGATCCTAAATCTCGTTCTCGACGACGGAACTCAAGGAAGAGAGAAAGCAAAGTAGAGCTAGGTCCAAAGATCGAAGCTTAAAATTCTCTCCACATCTTACCCGGTCAGTCTTACTCTGTTCCGAATTGCTCTTTGTTGTGTTTGGTATTTCAATTTTGGTGCTATAACTACTTTGCATGATTCGATTATTGTAATTTTTTCTATTCTCTCGAATTTTAAATATGTATGATTTGATTTATCTTCTCTTGAGTTGAAAGATTGAAGGGTGTTGCTTTGGTTCGATTTTTATATCCTAGCTCTTCAGTGAGCTATCTTTTGCTGTCTTTGATAGCTAAAAAGTGGAAACTTTGGTTATGTCTTGATCACTCTCCTTTTGATTGTTTCTTTGGTTTCATCATATTGTGTTATATGTGGTTTGAATTGATTATATATTCGTATAAAAGACTTGCCTTTACCAATCCTTATAAATTGTGTGTTTACAGTTATAGCTTCAGTTAATTTCAATGGAAGCTGTTCCACCATCTCCCATTATATGGCCGAATGGAGGTGAGCTCACGAACGAGTGGGTACATGGGCTTATGTCGTCTTTCGAATGGTCTTCATGGAATCTACCTCCTTCCCAGTTACCTTCACTAATGCCAGTCAACGTCTTTGATTCCCTCGTCCTCACCGCTTCCAAAATCCTCCACAAAGAGCGTAACTGTGTTCATATCGATGATCTTGATTCCGAATCCAACGTTGTTGTGGTTGGTGACATTCATGGTCAGCTCCATGACCTTCTCTTCCTATTGAAAGATACTGGCTTTCCTTGTCAAAACCGGTGTTATGTATTCAACGGAGACTATGTGGACCGTGGTGCTTGGGGGCTCGAGACCTTCCTTGTTCTCTTGTCCTGGAAGGTCAACTCTTAACTAGCTGTTTTGCTAATGGCTCAAATCTTAGTTTTTCCTAACACCCCTTTTATTTTTGATTGTTTAGGTTTTAATGCCGGATAGAGTCTACCTTCTCCGTGGTAATCATGAATCCAAATATTGTACATCCATGTACGGTTTTGAAAAGGAAGTGCTTACAAAATACGGCGACAAGGGGAAACATGTGTACCGCAAATGTTTAGGTTGCTTTGAAGGTCTTCCTTTGGCTTCTATTATTTCAGGACGTGTGTATACTGCACACGGAGGTCTTTTCCGTAGCCCAATCTTGCCTAAGAGAACAAGGGGGAAAAAGAACCGTCGGGTAGTTCTTCTAGAACCTGAGCCGAGCTCGTTGAAACTCGGTACTTTAGATGAATTGATGCAAGCTCGAAGATCAGTTCTTGATCCTCCTTGGGAAGGTTCAAACTTGATTCCTGGGGATGTTTTATGGTCCGACCCTTCAATGAGTCCAGGCCTTTCGCCAAATGAACAGAGAGGCATTGGTCTTCTTTGGGGTCCTGATTGTACAGAGGAATTTTTGAAGAAATACGAACTAAAGGTGAAACCAAACTAAGATATTGATACTGGTTTGCTTCCCAAATACTGATTTGGATTACATGTTTTACTTTATTATTGATGCAGTTAATCATCAGATCACATGAAGGTCCAGATGCTAGAGAGAAGAGATCTGGTCTTGGTGGAATGGACCAAGGATATACAATAGATCACACTGTCGAATCTGGAAAGCTTATCACTATTTTCAGTGCACCAGACTATCCACAATTCCAAGTATGTACTTTACACGCCTTTCGAAATTGTATTTTCTAAAACTCGTAAGATGCAGATCAAAATCTTTCTGTTTCATTGTGTTTTGTGTAGGCAACAGAAGATAGGTACAAAAACAAAGGAGCATATATTATATTACAGGCTCCTGATTTCTCCGATCCTCAATTTCATAGTTTCGAAGCTGTTAAACCGCGACCAAAGGTAAATAAGTTCACCCTTCTTGTAACCAATTAGTTTTTGTTCTGTGTTTTTGGTAGATACATAAGTGACATTTGGTTTTAAAATTTGCAGGCGCATCCATATTATGACTTCGAAAATGTGATTGATTCTGATGATGAAATGGATAAGTCGGCTTTGGACACCAATGACGAACAACCAAATCACTGACCATTCTTGGAAATAGCTGAAAAGAAGAATCTTGAAATGAAGTTTTTTACAGTTGTTGTGATTGATCATTGTTTGCAAAGAGGACCATGGAAGCAAATGTAAAGAAAAGAGATGAAGAAAATCATTTGTAGAATTACCATTTATTCGAGTTATGGGTGGAAGATTAGCCCGCTTCAGTTTCTTAGTTCTTAAACCTTTTTTATTTTTAAAGCATACAAATCAAATCAAAACCGAATTAAACCGTCTTTAAGGTGGTTTGACACGAGCGAAGATCGGAAACTGGAAACATCGACGCTGGTGACAGTAACTTGCTGTGAATTTTCTTGGCACATGACTTAGTGGTGAGTTTACTCTGTTTCGCTTTGAAAATGGAAGCTTTGTGCTTAGGTTTTTGATAAAGTGATTGGAGAAAAAAGAATCGGTATTGATTGAATTGAGAATGATCACAGAGCAGAAGAGATTCCTCAAGAACAGGGCCATTGATGGGACTATTGCTTTTCCCAGAGTAAATGCAGTTTTGGTGCAGACCATTTCTCCAGTTTATGACTTTGTCTGCTTCTTGCCTTACTGTGAGAAACAGGTATATGTCTTGTAGATTAACTTGGACTTCCTCTACTTTTTTTTTTTTTTTTTTTTTTTTTTTTACTTAAGATCTTGAGGTAAGATTTTTCTCTGTTTTGTCAGGTTAGCCTAAATCTTCTTGAGGGTCTAGAGAGGTCAAAACAAAGTGCTGAATCGACTCGTAGTTTAGTCAAATAGAAGTTTGTGGGTCAAGTTATGTGTATGTCGGCATTATAGTTTTTTTTCCCGTTGGTGGATCCTTGACATTACTAGAATCTTATCCAAGGCAAATTTCTGTGGTTATGAAATTCTAAGCAACAAGACAGCTTATTAAATGCCGAATAGGGTAGCAATTTGTTCCGATGAATGTATGTCTTCTTGTGATAGACTAGACAGTATGCAGTGGTGGTTGATGCTACCTTATCGTATGGTTCCTTACTGCACTTTGGAGCATTTATTGCTATTGTTTCCGATTGTGTCGAGTGCTACAAACTAATAATGGTCTTTTCTTTCTCAAATGGTACTCGAAGAAGCAGCTTCATCGTTCTCAAAATGGCACGAAACGAAACACATCTAAACTACCTCTAGCATGCAGCATTTTATGAATGCATGATTCGTTCCAAAGTCTGTCACGGGGAATCTCAAGTAATAAAGCGTAAAAGTTTAACTGTCCTGTCAACCAAATAGTTTCATCATTCATTCATCTAGATATGTTCACATGATCTTTCCCTATTTCATCACCGATATGGTTACAACATTTTTGAAAAAACTTGAAATGTTTTATCTAACCTTGACCCTTGTATCGGATGTTGTGGAGAACACACCAACCCATGTGGGTGGTTGTTGGTTTTTACTAGTGTAGTGTACTTTGTTCATCGACAATCATCGACATGTACTCACCACCATGTTTTTTTTTCTTTCTATTTTCATGTGCGAAAAGGTCTCTAAACAGTCACTGTAACACTCTCATGTCAAGCCTAAATGATTTGAAGGTGTCCTATCTTGTCTCTCTAATAAAACTGTTTTAACTTTTAAGACATGTGCCTTGAATTTTATGATGATTTTTCATGTAGTAATATAATCTCCACAAATCGTTAGATAGTGATGATGTTAATTTCATATAAGAGTTAGAATAATGCAACAAATATGTGTGTGATGGATGAGTCGTCGAACACATTATAAATTTGAAAGAGGTGACAACAAATGTCAACATTAGAGACTATCTTGATCATCTAGAGTTTTTGTCCCGTTGACTTAAATGCCAAAATAGGACAATACATATGATGCATGTATTAGGCAAATTGCAAAAAGAAAATATCTTCCCATTAATTTTTTTTTTTATTACCATAGATGTTACAACTGGTCAGCTGACAAGAGCATATAATGTTGGTTTTTTTTTTTCGATTTATATATTTAGGGTCTAGTTCATTCGAATGAAACAAGAAACTCATCCATACTTTGGATTGATATTTTTGGATGTTTTAGATGATATATCTCAAAATTAAAGTCTAGGTGTTTAGAATGTCATTAGAAAGAAGAAGAAAAGGTGATACATGAGGGTTTACTTTGAACCTCAACAAAAAAGTTTCTAAAATACCTCAACTTATAATAACATACATATAGAAAAGACAAATTGAATATGTCAATTTTTTTGGACTATATGTGATGAGTTTTTCACGAAAATATATAATTGACCAGTTTTTATCTCTACACCATTCCACACGTGTGCAGTGTGGATGACTAAGTTCATATGATTACGAATATATACGATCTATGTGCGTTACACGTGTGAATGAGTATAGACACAAACGTAATTTCAAAATAAAACTCTGAAAGTTACGAAATAGCGTTTAAATGAATAAAACGTACAAAGCACTTGAATGCTGTGCAGCAGAATCTCAGTGACAATTAAAAATCGTTTTCATAAAATCTATTATCTATGGCATTAATATATCGTCTAATAACGTAAAAGATTGAAAGAAAAGGAGTTAAATGATCAACAAAAAAGGCGACAAAAAAAAAAAAAAAAAAAAAAAAATGATCAACAAAAAAAAATAAAAAAAAATAGCAAGTTATTGTTGTTGTTACTTAATGCGAGAAGAGAAGAAAGAGGGTAAATGAAATGAAACGGTTAATTAAAAAAAGTATAGTATAGTACTAAGTATTATATATAATAATAAATAAAAAGTTACCGGTGGTGGTGAGGGTCCGTATCTGTATTTATTATATAAAGAGGGACCCTTTTGCAATTAAAGCCTCTACCGTCCACACAAATATGTAAAATTTCAAAATTTATATTTTACTTTACTTGGACGGTAAAAAACAAAACCAAAAAAAAATCACCCAGAATTCAGAATTATAAAAAAAAAGAAGTATGAATTAGTGACATGTGCAAATCTCCATCGCGCCTTTATTACCATCTACCGCTCTCTTTCTCTCTCTCTCACTCTTCTTCTCTTCTTCTCTTCTTAAGAGGATAGTGAAAGAGAAGCTGCAAAAATTTCCCAATTTTATCATTAAAAATAGAAATTTCCTTTTTTTTTTTCTTTCCAAAATAAAATCCAACTTCAAATTAAATATCTTCTTCTTCTTCTTCTTCTGCTCTATTGAGTCTCTATCTCAACTGTGATCGATGGCGGAGGAGATGGTGGCTGATGATGTTACGGCTCCTCCTCGTAAAGTTCTTATTATCTCCGCTGGTGCTAGCCACTCCGTCGCTCTTCTCTGTACGTCTCCCCCCCCCCCCTTCTCCACTTCTTCTTCGCTGATTTTTCGGTTTCGGAATCGTGAAATCGACGGCGTCTTTAGGCTCTGTTCTTCTCGATTTCTCTTGATCTGACCTTTTCCTAACTCGATTCTTCTTTCGTATTGTACTGATAATTGCTAATAATAGGACGAGTCACGGGTGTTTTGACTTTTGTAACATTTTTTATTTTATTTTCTTCTTGTAGCTGGTGACATTGTTTGCTCTTGGGGTCGAGGAGAGGATGGGCAGCTAGGTCATGGCGATGCTGAGGATCGACCTTCTCCAACCCAGCTTAGCGCGTTAGATGGTCACCAAATTGTTTCCGTTACCTGTGGTGCTGATCACACTGTTGCTTATTCACAATCAGGCATGGAGGTCTACAGTTGGGGATGGTTTGTTTCTTTCTTTCTTTCTCATCTTATACTCTTCTTCTTCTTCTATGCTTTTGTTTCCTTCTGAATTTTGCTTATCTCTGTTGACATTTCTATAAGCATTGTTGACCTCAATTTCCTGTCTAGATTTTTGGTCTGAATACAGCCATTTGCATACCTCCATGTGTTTCTCTGCAGGGGTGATTTCGGGAGATTAGGCCATGGTAACTCAAGCGACTTGTTTACTCCTCTGCCAATCAAAGCTTTGCACGGTATTCGCATTAAGCAGATTGCTTGTGGTGATAGTCATTGTTTGGCTGTGACAATGGAAGGAGAGGTGCAGAGGTATTTTCTCTTGCTCATTCTTCTTCTCCATCTTATCTGCATCAATCATGGTTTACATTGCAGCTCACCGATCTCACTTTTCCATGATTTTCATCAGGATTTGATCATTTCAATTGCTTCAAGTATATTTTAGTGTACATTGCCTTTTAAACATTTTTTGCGTCTTGTCTTGTTTTCCAACGTTTCTCTCTGACTTCTATTTATATAGTTGGGGGCGCAACCAGAATGGTCAACTTGGTCTGGGGGACACAGAAGATTCTCTAGTGCCTCAGAAGATTCAAGCCTTTGAGGTTCGTATTGCTATATATATATTCTTCTTGTGGTGTATTGTCGTTGTAGTTTCCTGAACTTGCTAAAATCATTATGCTTCAGAATTGGGTCCATTTGTGCAACTTGATAAAGATATGACTGTTACTAACTAAGCGTCCACATTTGGTGGAGATGTATTCAACATCATAAATTAAGTTACCGAATGTAGAAGTGGTAACTATTGGCCGTCTAAAAATAGCTGCAGTTATGCCTTATACTCAATCTGCAAACACAGATAAAAGGGAGGATATGATCTCTTGATAATTGCTCTGGCTAAGTAAATTAGAAGATGTAGTGACCGGAGACAGTGAGGTTATGTATTTAGTTTGGTTAACCCCTAATGTTACATCAACTCTTCAAACTTGTAATGGGTGCAGGGAATACGAATCAAAATGGTTGCTGCTGGTGCAGAACACACTGCTGCGGTTACAGAAGATGGTGATCTTTATGGATGGGGATGGGGTAGATATGGAAATTTGGGATTAGGTGACCGGAGTGACCGTTTGGTTCCTGAAAGAGTTACATCTACTGGTGTAAGCTATTGCACTCTGATTCTTTATTTGTTTTCAGTACCTACCACTTGTATAACCTTTCGTTTGTGATTCAGTACACATGAAATAAATTGAAAATTGTTCGAACGAGCCTTTCCCTAGACAATGTACTACGTTATACTGGTTAAGCTGTTTAGATTGATGAGGTCACAAATATATGCCATGTAGTTTCACTTGCTGGGTCTCAGGAAAGGGACCATAAGACTTTTAAAATCATTTGATCAAAGCATAACTTAAATTGTGTATTATCAGGCATTCGATATTCAAAACCCAAACAGTGGGTTAAATTAAGTTTTAATTCATGGATCTAGGGAAACTTTTTCTGATGCTGTACAATTTTAGGGTGAGAAGATGTCCATGGTTGCCTGTGGATGGCGACACACAATATCGGTTTCTTACTCTGGAGCATTATACACATATGGATGGAGCAAATATGGACAGCTAGGACATGGAGACTTGGAGGATCACCTAGTTCCTCACAAACTAGAAGCACTGGGCAACAGTTTTATCTCCCAGGTTTCACTTGGGCCCTATAAAGCCGTCCTGAAATACATATTTGTACATCTAAATTATCCAACAGATGGGATAGTAATGGTGTTTGGATAAGAGATTTTCTTATTCTAGCTGTGTAATAAAGTTAGCAAAGTTTCTGACAGTTTTTGCCTGCTGAAGAAGACTTGTCTCATTGATATGCTTCTCCTGGTTGTGTTTTCTGGTTCAACATCTTTTGGACCTTTTTTTCAGATTTCAGGAGGTTGGAGACATACCATGGCATTGACTTCAGATGGAAAACTATATGGATGGGGTTGGAATAAGGTAAAAATATTATTGCCTTTCGTTATATCTGGACTTTATTTCAGAACACATTCATCTAATATTTGCATTCAGTGTCTTTATGTTTCAGTTGGATGGTATTTGAAGAAAACAACAAAACCCATATATTGGGTTACTAAAGTATAACTCATCTTGAATAAAACAAGCTTCTAATTGTCTCTCTTCTAACTTGCAGTTTGGGCAAGTAGGAGTCGGCAATAATTTAGATCAGTGTTCTCCTGTGCAAGTGCGATTTCCCGATGATCAGGCATGTTGTCTTACAATGACCCATATAATATTTTAACCAAGCAGCTTGTCACATTGTTTGTGAAACTTGGTTCTTTTCTTTTCTAATGCACACAAATTTTTGTGAAACTTGATAGAAAGTAATTCAAGTCTCATGTGGATGGAGACATACTTTGGCTGTCACTGAAAGAAATAATGTGTTTGCGTGGGGTAGAGGTACAAATGGACAGCTCGGCATTGGAGAGTCCGTTGACAGGTAAAGTTGGATCATCTAGACCCTCAGAAATCTGTGTGTTGCATTTTGCATATAGTGGCGTAATGATCTGAAATATGAAAGTTGGCCATCTAGATCGTTGTTACCACCAAAATCATTGCTTATATAGCCCATTCACTACCTAGCATTGATAATGGGAAATGGATATTTGGTTTCGTGTTTTAATAGGAACTTTCCCAAGATTATAGAAGCACTGAGCGTGGATGGAGCAAGGGGACAACATATAGAATCTTCTAATATTGATCCATCTTCAGGTATTTATAGAAACACCACTTTACCCAATCGTCAAACAACACAACAAGTGATCTAATGTTTCGATTTTTCCATGGCCTTGTTGTCAGGGAAAATCTGGGTGTCACCTTCGGAGAGATATGCGGTTGTTCCTGATGAAACTGTAAGCTTCTTCATTCTTTGCTCCTGAAAAACTTTAACCAGATGAAAGGAAGCCTTTCAAGATCTTGGATTGTTTTCAGAGATGAAGTATATAAGTGTGATTGTATTTGGTTTGATTTGTTAGGGCCTAACCGATGGTTCAAACAAAGGGAATGGAGGTGATATCAGTGTCCCACAAACTGATGTCAAGCGTGTACGAATTTGAGTCTGAAACAATTCCTTCTTTTTTTCTTTTTTTTTCGGTTCTTGCGGTTGGGTTCGAAGGTTTTCCAGTGATCTATATTGGGTTGAAATTTGTACTAAAGTACGTCGTCTCTCTAGTTTGGGATTGGTTGTTGTTGTTAGATTGTAACTTGTAATGCTTCCTTCTCTTGGCTATCTTACTACCATTGGGGGGTTCGAAACTGTAAACCGTGTACTACGTTCTAGTCTCTAGACTCTAGTGTCGGTACTTTTTCTTTTCTTTTTTTTTTTGCTTCACCATAATAATAATAATGTCTTTTGGTTCTAAGTCTTTCAATATTTATAACGTCTTATTAGAGTGTTTTTCTTAAGAGATGTTTCCTTTTTGTTTCGTTTTTGTTTCCTTTCTCTTTTTAGTATGTTTGAATTAAATGTGATAGGATAGTCTAGTGCTCGGATAATTTTTAAGAGTGTATGTGAAAATTGAAGGGCGGAAAAAATATTTCTTGGTTGTTACATGAATAACCAACTTGAAGATGTTTAAAAGTGATATAATTTAGTTTCGGGTAAGGTGTCCTAGCCTTTTAAGCACTCTGCACACCATGCATTGATGCATGATTCGTATGTCTTTATTCTCAACTCAATCCCAAAAGTAGAACATGAAGAAAGAAGTATATAATATCCCAAGTCAAACAAAAAAACAGATGATCCACCAACCTAAGTCGACAAAAAAAAAAAAAGTTTAGGTATTAGTATAGTTTTTTGGCGGTAGTGAAAACATGCTATTGGGTGGATTACTATTGGGGGGTGGTGATTCTCTTTAAAGCAAAACCATCCAAATTGCTCTTTTATGTGTTTCTCTTTCATGTGTCGCGTTACTTTCTCAATTATTCGAAAATTTTGATGTCATTTAGATTCGATGCCATGTTATTTTACTAACCTTTTTTTCAGTTCCAAGTCGCATCTCTTACAACTTTCTAATGATTCGTGATGTCTCCTCCACGAGTTTTCCATTCCCAACATTTTCTTCCTTTATATTTTCCCCCAATTTCCATAACATATTATTTATATATAATTTCCCAATCTTCGTTTATTCACATACTTATACGATTAATCGTGGCCATAAATCTTTACACCGATTAAATAAATTAGAAAAGAAAAATCCAAGGTAATAGTGTAGAAATTTATTTTGACCGATGTATGTATATTCTATTTTTTTTTTTAACCACAGACTTAACAAGATTGTTTTTGCAGCTGAAAGGGTAAAATTGGTTGGGGAGACCAAAAGCTTGGCCTTTCTTCTCCTATCAGTATCCTGATATGAAGTTGCCATTTTTTGAATAACAACAGCTTAGGTTTGAGAATGTTTGAGTGAACATATCAAAGGTTCAAACAGAGAAGCTTCTCTCAGAGTTCAAAGTGCTTTTATAAGGTACTCTCGTGCTCAAATCTTATATGGCGATGGGTTTCCCGGTTTGGTTGCATGAGCTCTTTCAATCTGAGAGCTCTTTGTCCTCTACTGTTTAGTGCTCCCTTTTTTGTTATACGTTACATTTTGGATTTTTTTGGTAGTATCCATGAACAAACCTGCATAGCCTTGGTTCGAATAAGGTGCTGAGTTGTAATTTTTTCTTTAGAAAGTTCAGATGTTTTTTTATATATATATATAATCTAAGCTACTATATTACTTATTTCGTAGATTATAATTCTAAGTTTACTTGAAATCTATATGTGGTGAAAAACAGATCAATTCAACAAAGTTTAAGTAATAAACCTGATTTTTAAACTTCAGAACACAAGATATATATGAAAATTACGAAAGATAAAAATTATACGATACGAAGAAACTTTTACATTATTCACATTTCCCCAAATGAAATATATATTAAAATTAGGCACCAAATTTGTATCTTTTGTGTAATTTCTCCTCCAACACCTTCTTCTTCACCATGGGTTTGTTTAATAAGTAGTCTTGAACGGCTTGTAAACCTTAAGGTCAAGCATTACTCCGGCGATGGAGCCAACTCCTGCGACCAACGTGATCATCAAACAACCGCAGCTCAACATCTGCAGGCAAACCCATTTCATACTCCATCTCTCGACCTTCCTCTGTTTTATATACATCTCCACCGGGAAATATACCGTCAAAGGCCAAAACCCTAACGCTCCTAAAATACCGACGACGTCGTTGAAAAACGGCAGAAGCATCGATATCACGGTGGTCAAAACCACAAACCCACTCCGGTAAACTGTTCTGAAGACGTTGACTTTGTACGGTGACCTAAAACCAGGGATTCGGATCTCGTATTCCTTGGTCACCAAGTCACTGTCGGGAAACCTAGCCGCGGCTTGTTTTTCAATAAAGGCGAAAATGGGCTGAGCAAAGACTTGGTAAGCTCCTACTAGGTGGACTACAATGGCAGCGTTAGCCACGTCGAGGAGCCAAAACGGATTGTAGAAACCAAAACCGGTTAAAAGGTTTCCCGGTGCTGCATCTCCAAAAGCCGCATAGCCCATACAACCGCATAGCAGGTAAAACGTCGTTGTAACTGCGATGCTGATTCTTGTGGCGTTCTTCATCGTCTTTGATTCCGCTGGTGGAGATCTTACAGTGTCCTGCTCGAGAACACCACCCCACAAAAGCAGATTAATATATATATATATATAGTCAGACTATTCATTTGGCATACATACGGGTGTAGCACTTTATATATATATTTACCTGAATTTCAATAAGAACAACAGAGTATGAATAAGCAAAGGCAATGTCTCCAAGTGCTTGAAAGGTTCTCCATATCTTCTGTGTCTGAGTCACTGCCCCTATGCTAATCCCGGTGAGACTTCCCTTGACAGCCCCATTTGCTGAAACCCATAATAGTTAGTTAGAGTATCTTCTTTTGTTGATAAAATTGTGAGGAATCTTTGAAAATAAACTATGTACATATTTTACCTGCGACTTGTATGATTCCGAGAGCTAAACCGATTGCAGAATATGTGAAGGACATGACGGCAGCAACAATGGAGAGCCACCAAATCTGGTCAAAATCTTTGATCTGAGAGAGCAAGATCTCAGTCACACCAAACAAGATCATGTATGGATTGCTCGACATGTGACACGGGTTCTTCCCACCGCTCTCGTGGAAACAGTTGGACCTCTTGATCGCCCTGCAAGACTCATCCCATTAACACCAAATTCTTGAAGGCTTTTGAAAATCATTATTTCAGTTCCACCAGAATGAGAAGAAGAGAGAGACTCACATCATGCTTATAGATGCTGCGATTGTGTACCCTATCGTGATACCGAAGAGATTCAAATACTGAATCAACCCACAAATCTTGAACCTAAACCCACCTGTCAGGAACAGAGCATTTCAGAACACAAAGCAGAGCAAAAAAACAGAGCAACCAAAAGCATGCACAGAGAATATAATGTTTGTTGATACCGAGGATTGATCGGACAGCATCCATGTAGGTATAGTTTCTCTTCCCGGAGACAGGATCTCCAGTTCTGTAGCAGTCGCTAAGAAGAGTAGAAGAGTAGTAAGTGACAAAAGAGAACAAGAACATCACAGCAGGACCTGCGATCCAACCGAGTTGACCAATGGCCCATGCAAGCGATAGAACACCAGATCCAATCACCGCCGTTATAATATGGGCACTCGCGGTCCAAACCGTCCCGGAACGTTTAAGCCGGCCATCGTCATCGAAACATTTGAAAGCTGGCTGTGGAACATCCATCTGCAGGGTTTTGTAGTAATTAAGAGATCAAAGTTATAAAAAGGAATCACTAGTTTTGAATGAAACTACCGTTAGGACAAACTAACATTGGCGGTTATAGTACTTTTTTTTTGTATATATACAACAACTAGAGAGAGTAGTAATGTAGTAGTAGTAGTAGTAGTACCTTCTCTTATTGAAACTAAGCTTTACACAGCAAAACTAATCCCTCTCCCCAAGAAAAATAAAGAAATGCAAAGAAGAGATATTATAATTAAGGAGAGAGTAGTTTTGCTGCTGCATTTTTCATTTGTTTTGGTTCTATCATCTTTTATAAGCCATCAAAAGTGGGGAATCTTTTCTTATTATACAGATCAGATTTGTAAAATTCGGCCACATAAGCCATACTCATTTATATCATTTTTCTCATTATATGATGTGGGTATTAGGGTATCCACCATTTTTATATCTGATCCGGTTAAAGCAAAATTAATGATTTTATCCTTCATAAATATAGTATAACTTACAAATGAAATAGAAATAAAAAAATAACTTTTAATATATATGAGCTAGTGGATATATACATTATTTGGGTATTTTGGTGGGAGTATATATATGTGCATGCACATATTTGCCGGATGCCAAAATATTTCGGGCATCTCAAACTTTGAATTATACTAAGAGGTGGAATAAGAAAAATATTGACAGAAACTAATTATCATAATTTTAAACATGCAAATATATATGCAAAAACCAAAAAAAAAAGCATTTGTCGGAGTCGGACAGTACGTAGTGAATAAAAACTCTAAATTCTTTTTTATTCTCCTACCAGTATATATATAATATATAGTTTTCTTCTCCTATCGTTTCATCCTTTGTGTGTGAGTGATCTTACGTGTATTCTTCTTCTCAAGTTGTGTGTTTAATTCTTTTCGCATCCATATTGCAAAGTCATGGCTCATCAACAGATCAAACGTTAAGGTTCATCTCTTCTTGAGATTGACAACCTCAAAATTTCGAATACTTCATTAATTAATTAGTCCTACTAATTTAGTAGCGTTTGTGGTTCCTTTATCTGAATTTATATCTTAAGCACCCTAATTTTCGGACAGGTTGATTAATTTTCTGATTAATTAGGCATTGCGTTTGTTACAACTAGCTACATGAATTAGCTAGGAACAAACAATTATATAATAAGATATAAACATCACAAAACGAATATTAATAATTACTCTTTGTCTACTAAATAACGTACGTTCAATAATTATTTATATATATATATATATATATATATATATATAATAGTTTTGTTTTCTCTATTCTTTAGTGAAAGATACGTAAAAAGAATCAAATGCTTATTTAATATTTACGTCTCCATACCTTTCGGATTCGATCTAATCACTCATATTTATTTAATTGATAATATACTATTAACAAAATTCATACTTACTTCAAATGCTTTATAAACCCTAGGCTATATTAAGTACTAATGTATATTTATATATTAGGACATCTGGTAAATTAGGTCTATTTTTTATTTAACATATATATATGTAAGGCATATATTCTGTGTATTAATTACCGCATTATAATTTTGATTCATTTATAAAT